CCTCTCTCTCTCTTCTTTTTTTTTTGTTTTAGTTTTTAATCCATCCGTCTAATGAAATCGTGGCAACTCGTTACTCCAAGGGTTCCCTCAAGGGTTCACTTTTTGGGAATTACGTCTGTACTTGGTTTCTTCCACGACAGGCGCTTCAATGGCACCTGCATTCCATTCTTCCAATTCCTTATGGTGCTCCCTCTCGATGGCGAACTTGACTGCGTCTAAAACGTCTTCGCAGATTTTCTTTGGAGTGTATTTGGGTGCCGTCTTCCCCTGGTACACACCGGTCTTCACCAAAATCGAATACCAGGACGAATCGTGAGAATTGGCAAACCTAATATCAGATTCCGGAGTGTCACCAACGAAATAAACAGTTGACGCCGGTGGTAGTTCCAATGTGAGTTTGGTGTCTTTCTCCAAGGGTTGGCTATTGCTAGCATCGTCGTCTTCTTCAGATTCGGTTTCGGAAGCGACAGACTCTACGGGCTCGTCCTCCAAGTTCAATTGCTCGACGTGCTCCGTGAGGGTTTCTCTTCTCCAGTTGGACAGCACCTTCTCTGCAAACCGGAAAGTACCCCGCTGAGGCTTACCGAATCTGGTGACTTGTAATTCTTTGCCCGTATGTTCTTGGTATAATGCAGCAATGGACACTTGCAAAGCACCCATACCGTACCGCGACAGCCCGTAGTCGGTTGCCCAGACAAAATCGGAGTGCGCAAAGTAAAGGCCCGGACCTTCTTCTGCGGTCTCGGACACAGTGCCCATGACACCGTTCTTGGAGAGTAACAATTCTAAAATGATCTGTTGGTCTGCGGCCCAGTTTCTGGAGTCTGCAAACACCAAGATGGCATCGATACTGATCCGCGAGAAATCCGCGTCGACACAAACTGCCTTTTCTTCTTCGGAGAGCGTGTAGTAAGGAGTGACGCTGGGTTTCCATTTCATGATATCGAGTGGAATGTAAACGTTCTTGAACCCGTAGCCCTGGGCGACTTTACGGCAAGTGTCACCGACACCTCCTACGACTAAAACGTTGGTGTACACGTTCACCAAATCCTTCATGGGCGTGTGACCCTGAATGACCTGGTCCTCGGTCACGGTGATGCCCAGTTTCTGCGACAGGTCTTTGCAACGGGCCTTTTCAGACCTGCCACCTCCATTCGTGATAAAGATGTAAGGAACGCGGATATTGTACTTGTTGTGGCCGTTCAGCATGCGCAGCGCCAGACGGGCCTCGGGGATGATGTCGGGTCCACGTAAGATGACACCGTCAATATCGAATGCAAACGCGTAGGAGGCGATTCTCTCGTGGTCCATCAGACTCTTGCGAACACGAGGCACGGCCGAGGATCTACGGGACGAGCGGGTAGAGGAAACGCTGCCGACATCGTTGGCAGCTCCAGCGGCGCCGGACGCGCCGGTAGCCCCACTCTCGACGGTTGTCAACGGGTGCAAATCCTGCGACGCACGCCATTGATCGCTCAGCGACAGCGACGACACCCGGTGCGTGCGCGCCTTGGGCGTCAGACTGTCGATGTTGTCCGTTTCCAAGAACGATTTGGTCCTGGGTTTCGCGTCCTTGAGCGCATCCGCGCTGTCACTCGCCCCGGGAGAGACGAAGTTCTTGTTCTTGCGCGCAGGCCGTGGCGCAGCCGCCGCAGGCGGCTGCCCCGCGGCCAGTGGGTCCACACTGTCCTCATCTTCGTAGTCCGGAGCCACCACGTGACCCTTCTTTTTCTGTCCCTGACCCCCAGGGAACGGCGTAGGGTCTACGTGCCCGCTTTCGTCCTCATTCCTTCCGGCGTGCGACCCGACTACTTTCTGCGAAATCGCCTTCAATTTGTCCGAAATTCTGTCTGTCATAATGCTCTGCTACTGCTGTTGCTCTACTGCTGGTTCTATCACTGCTACTGCTCAATCTGCGTTCCTTGTGGTTTGCGATTGAATCTCCCACTGACCAATGTCGAACCCGCCACCCCGCGGTTCGCGTCCCTTATATAGTTCCGGTCCCTGTGTTATTGCGCTTAGCAAACGCAGCAACGTCATTGCGGCGCGTGAGACGCGATCGATCAGGCGGCCCGGGCAGCGGGCGGGGGCCCGCCCGTGGTTCTGCTCACGTCATCAACGGAGCGCTTATGTGTGCAAAGGGTTGTTGCGCGTGCGCAAAAGGGCTTAGAAAGAGGTGCAGGAGGAGGCAAGGTGGTGCGGGCGTTTCTGGGGCGCGGGGGCGGGGGAAAGGGGAGAACCGTTTGGCATGCGCGGGGAGGGTGCCGTTGGAAGTGATATGAGAGTTCGACCTAGGTCACGTGCGTTGCCGTACTGCATGCCTTGCCCGTTTGTCCGCGCATCACGCCGCACGGAGGTGTCACGTGGTCCGTGCACAGTGACTATGGTTGCGTCACGTCACTGTGCACGGTGTCCCCTTTTTTCTCAGACCCCACCGCAACGTCCACCCGTGCCGCTCTCCCGTCGAAGCCCATCCATGGATAGGGTCGCCCATGAGGCGAGTATAAAAGCAGATGAGGGCAGGCTGGGGGACGTTTCTACCGGGATTCGCCACCGAAATGCTACAGCGGCTAAAACATACCATCCTGAAGCCGCAGTGCCAACCGCTTTGTGGAGCGAGCAGTAGCAGAAGCAGAAGCAAGAGACGCGCCTTGTGCTTGAAGCCCACGTGAACAGATGGATGCGGCTAGCGCGGCCGCGGAGGGCGGCGCGGAGGGCGGAGCGGAGATAGGCGCGGAGATAGGCGCGGGAGCGGAGATAGAGATATACGCAACGACGAAAAGCGGCGGCATAGTCACGTGCAACAATAACATGAATGCCAAGCTCAACAAGCGGTTCGGACAGCTGCCCGAAAACCTGCAACTGAACGGGCGCACCCCGAGCGGGAAGCCGCGCGTGTTCGTGTGCGCCGTGTGTACGCGGGCGTTCGCGCGCCAGGAGCATCTGACGCGGCACGAGCGGTCCCACACCAACGAAAAGCCGTTCCATTGCGGCGTTTGCGAACGCAAGTTCACCCGCCGCGACCTGTTGCTAAGGCACGCCATCAAGATGCACGGCGGTGCGGGCGGAGAATCCGCCGGGAAGCGTGGTTCTGCGAGAATCAACGCCAATCTCCTCGAAGGCACCGCCCGCTCACAACCGCCGGAACAGCTGCTGTCGCAGCTGCCGCGGCGGCAACTGCCTACTGTTCGCCGTTTGCGCGAAGAAGGCGCTTCTGGTGTGCACAAGAGACCACGGCCCTTCCACAGACGGGCGTCCTTCTCGGCGCAGAGTGCTGAGAACTATGCCAAAGCAGTCCAGGTCGGTCTCGGAGGCACCGGGGGCGGCGGTGTGCGCCGTGTCGATTTCTCAACACCGCATCTTTTACCGATAGATATGACCGCCCAGGACGTACCGCCGTTGCCAACGCTGTCTGCAGCGGCCTATACTTCCAAACGTAATGCCCGTGCTGAACCGCCGCCCATCAATTTGCTCGACCGCGACAACTGGGTAAACGAAATGAATGCCTTGCCGCTTTTGGAAGAATCTAGTGATTCTACAGGGTCCCCGGTTTCTCCTGGATGCCATTCCAGACGTCCTTCTTCTTGGAAAATCAATGCGGAAAATCGCCTGGAAATTACGTCTTTGTTCAACAACGGCAAAAGTCAAAAGTTCAAAACTTCTTCCAAATACGCCCACCATTACATGGGATCTCTTTTCAACAAGAGTTCTGACGTTAATCAGCGAGAAATCATCGCGAAATTTAATAATTTCCAATTTCAAGAAAAGCCTGATTTTGAAGAGGCTTTAGGAAAATTCAATCTTCCCTACGATGTCATTACCACGGGGGCCCAAAATAAATTCGATCCTGGCTTCTCGTTTTATGATTTCAATTCTTCTGCAGTTTCTAACATTGCCAGAATCCCTAGAACCCAACAATCTCAACCTTTGACATGTCAGTTTTTCACAGAAGAACTGCGTCAACGATGCGTTGCGGCACTCGCCTATTATTCATCTCATGAACCCACAAAGACAGATATGAGTTTGCCAAGTTGTCGCGACTTAAACGTTTACCTTTCTCATTTCCAAACTACGTTCCTTGCACATTATCCCTTCATACATCCGCGAATACTGTCACTTAGCCTCAAGGATTTCGCAAGATATGTGCATGATGGTCAGCCGGGCGCAGCGCCCGACGAGATTTATCTACACGCTAACATAGTATGCCTTCCTTTGTTTATGGCTACCATTGGATCTCTCTTCAAGTTAGGAGCGCAATCTCAAACGGTTTACCTCTATGAAATGAGCCGTCGCGTACTTCACGTCTACCTCGATACTAAAAAGAACGTGCACGACCAAAACTCCCTGCTTGCCAAAGGCGCCAATTTGTGGTTGATCCAGTCTTTATGTCTTAGTGTTGTATTTGCACTTTTCTGTGATCCTTTGGAAAGAGTCAACTCTGACATTATTATAAAGCAGGTCTCGGCGCTTTGCTCTTTGATAAGAAATAACATTTTCCCCTCGACTACGACACCGATCGTCAAATTTGACTCCCAAGATCAATACATGTTATATGAGTCTAAGATCAGAACCACGTTAATGTGTTACAAGATTTGTCAGTTTTTGCGCATTTTCTGCAAGATAGATACCTCATTGTTCTTAGCAGAACAAGATCTTGAGCAAATGATTATTCCTGATGGTGAAGACGCCTGGCAACGCGCAGGTTTCGCGAGTCAGCAATCGGAAGAAATTCAAAAACAATACGTGACGGATTTTCAAAGCTTTTATCGCTCATTTGCCTTTACGAACACAGGTATGCATCTAATACCCGAATTTTTGACCAGCGCTATGCTGTTTCATGAATTTAATACCATTGTGAATAATGACAGTGATGAGAGCGAACCTTTCCATGTTTTTTTGACCAAGATTGATACCAAGAAACTAGAGATGAATTTACCGCAATCGACTAATGCGTCAAAAAGCTCTACAGTGCTGATTGATAGCGCCGTTGACATGCGCAATTCTCTTGTATGCCTAATTTTCTTCAACAAGGTTGACCCCCAATTCCCGCAAAAGGCGTGGAACAATGCCATATTGGAGATTAGCGACACATTTTTGTTCCCAGATAAATTCAACATTTTGTCGCACGGCTCATACACTATGACCACAGATTTTCTGGTTGCCCTCAATTTTTCTATTAAGAACATTTCCAACTTATTTTGCAGTAAGGACGATGTTATTGATTTCAACAGCAATAAACTGTCAGTTTTGAACCTTCAGGGGTATTATTACAATTTTTTGATTCTCATAAAATTCGTGCTTGATTTCGAAGCAACTCCCAACTTCAAATTGTTATGCGTTTTCAACGAGCTCAAAAAACTTGTCTCGCAAGTCCTAATTCCCAAGCTCTCTGCGGCCTGCCCAGGGGAGTTTTACAAATTCTCGTCCAATGCTCATGAGAAGAAATTCCAAACAATGGTCAACATTGACCAACTAGAGAAGTTAATCAATAACGTTCTCGTACATTCGTTCAATGATGCCAATTTTCTAAAGATGCCCGAACAATCGGCAACTGCATTTATGTTTGGGCCCTACAATGACACACTTTTATCCGATGAATTCGAAATAGAGAATAAACCACGACCCTCGAGGTCCTCGGTCGAGCTTTTGCGGCAGCACCAAACAAGCGGTAAAATGCCTGTTAAACAAAGCTTTGCAGAAAGGTACCACTTGTCTGCGAAATTTGTTGCGGTAGCGAAGTGCTTTTTCATGTACGTTTTCCAAAGATTTGCACACGCTCATTTCCTCGAAAAATTGTCTCTGGATTTTCTCACTTTAGAGCAGCAACTTGATGAATTGGCTAGCACCCATTCAGTAATGGCAGCGACCCGAAACAGCTCGGATGATATTAGAGAAACACCTACAGGAGACTATTACTTTGATCCGAATTCTCTTGGTTGACATGGCATTTTGATCCCACCTTTGACATTCTTCGATATTCTCCACGACTTCTATGATTAAAAGCTGTGTTTCGCACTATGAAAGAATCGTCTCTTTCCACATTTTTACATAATTTAATCCAAGAATCCTGGGTCACCATTTATAACCGTTTGTATAAGCCATTCTTTTCCTTCTATTCTCACGCCGGCGCGAGTTGAGTACTTGTTCCATGATGATTGAAGTCCCCGTCGGACTTGGGTCGCTGTATTAGGTTTGAAGTGTCTTTCGTTGAGATATATTAGAATGTCTTCAGCTTTTTCGGACACATGGATGGAGGTTAACACTTCGTCAAGGCGTTGGTAGGCGTACTTACTGTCGAACTGTTCCTCGTCCTTTGGTAGGTCTCGATTCTTTGCCTGTTTAGAAATGAATCTGAGAAACTTCACTTTCAAAATTCGGAAAACGAACTCAACAAAATCGTCTAATTCGGAGTGACCCCAGATTATCACGCTGAAATTGCTCATTCTAGATGGACGACCTAACAGCTGTTCGCTTAACTTGACTTCACTCAGAAGATTCGTGAAGAAATAGAAGACATCGCTCGACTTGACAACACCACATTTGTTCTTCAAATCAACCGAAAGTCGATGACTTTCTCCTGCCGGAAGTAAAAACTGATGGATACTATGAATATCAAGCTTTCCATAAGTTATGCATCGGTCAACAAATTTCCAATGGAGAGGGGGCCAGCCTAGCGCTAAAGTTTCGAGGTATTTCAGGCTTCGTGAGTGTTTTTCGGTGATGAGACAAGCAAATTTGAAATAACCCAGTCGCTCATCGCGAAATTTGGGGACTGTTATCTCATCGAATGTAAAAAGACTGGAAAAACTTTCGTCACACACAACTCCGCCTTGTTGCTCTATTAACGAAGAGATTTCACGACGACGGTTTTCGGTAAATCCAGTCATTAGAAAGAGACATTGGTCAAAAATTGGCAGTGAATCGGTTGCATCTGTTTTTTTGATTGAAACTTGAAAGGAAGTCCTCAAATCATTGCCCATAGTCTTATCGTATTGTTCAGCGTCCACCGGATCTGCTGAAAACGTCCTTTCCCCGTTCTTTTTGGTAGGAGTCACCGGCGTTACTAGCATAGTGTTTTTCCGGCCTCGGATGGGATACTGAAGTTCATTAAGCGCACTTGCTTTATAATCACTCTTGTCCAAAAGTACAATCTTGGACCTTTTCGCCCATTCCCCAAGCCCTAAAGTAATCGATGATAGTGGAATTCTAATTATCTCCTTCTCGAGTTTGCCACTTTGAAACTTCTTTCTCAAATGAAGAGTGTCGTATCCTCTAACGCATCTTATGGTATCTTCAGCTTGTGATGTACATTCCAGTGCAACTATGACATATGCCGAAGATTTCCATCTTACGGTTTCTCCAACTTTTAAATCCAAGTAGTAGACATCGTCTTGGTCAACCTTTGAGATACCGCTTTCGAACAAAACTTCACAGCTATTGCTTGAGCCATCTACTCGCAAGAGTTTCCCCGGATAATAGAAGAAATTAACGCTATAGTGACACCATATGGCGTCTTCACATACGATGTCATCTCGAGATAAAAGCTTGGCATCGCTAGTAAGGGTTCTCGGTTCGAAACGCTTTCCCTTGCTTTCGGTTAATTTAGTTCCAAAACTTCTATCAATTTCCCCGTTGTCCTGTTTCGTGTTTCTATTAGGGGTTTTACTCGCGAACAATGCTGAAGAATCATAACTTATTGTCTTTCGGCGCTTATTAGCATGCTTCTGCTCATTAGTCGCTAACTGTTTCTCATCCACTTGAGTTTCATTCTCAGCGGTTTTTCGGCGTCTAGTGATAAGCAACTCACGGCGATTTCTCACGATATCTTGTGAATCATCTAATTGCGCTTCAGTTCCTCGGACATCCGAGTTTTGTTGAGAATTTTTTCCACTCCTATCAGATCCTGATTTGTCTGAAGCCCGTGCTTGAGTCCGTTTCTCAGTTACCGCCGTCTCCTCAATTTCTGGTAGCTCTTGAGTTACATCCATGTCGCTCATTACAATAAGATGACTACTATCAATAGAATCTTCGGTAGGTGTGCCCCTATTATCTGCTTTATTAGAAAATCGCAGCCTAACTTTGTTATCATATTCGGAGGGCTTGATGTCAACTTCAGACGACGCGGAGCAAGCTTTGGTTGAAGGCGAAGCATGAAAATCCTTGTCCTCTGATATAGGAAACAGTTCTGGTAATTTTTTATCGCCATTTATAAAAGGAGATTCTATCACCTGCGTTACATTGCCAATTCTGTCTCCCGCATTTGGTGTGTCTTTGAGCAAGGTTAGCATTGATGTTTCTGAAGGTGATTGTTGTGTTCTGTCAGCTTGGGTTGCCACAGTTGGGCTTAATGCTGAGCCTATTTGTTCTGTGTCTACCATTTGCGTAGCTGACCTGGGATATGGATCACGCGCAGATGATTCAATCACTTGTGTGCTTTGATCTTCAATGGCCGCAAGCTCTCTCGACTGTTCACTCAGATATTGTTGACCAGAAATGGATGGACGTAACCCTTGAGGCTCCAAAGTGCTCACAATCCCTGGTGTCGTGTGATCCGTCAGAGAAAGCTTAGAATCCGAAGCCTCCTGCATTTCTTGGTTCTCAGTAGTCACCGTCTGTTTGGCATCTGCAGATCCCGATGTTTTTGTACGGTCCCGTCCGTTATCCTCAGTAAACTGATATTTTCCATAGATCCCACTCGAGTCTGTAGCAGATATGAACATGTCACTGCCCTCACGCAATGGTTGCGTTTTTGTGCAGCTTACTGGATTTCTAGAATCAGAGGCTACGAGGCTCGTTGTTTGTCTGGAGGGCGAATCATCAACCAAATGCAATAAATCCACATCAGATACTTTGGATACAGAAAAGCCTTCAGGACCCTTAATCGTAGAATCCATTTCTTCTTCGATATCTGTACCAAAACTGTTGTCCACTTGATTTCGTCGAAACTTGTCAACCAGTCGCTCAGCAGAAATCTGTTGCAACTGGTAATCCGGCCGTCCACGCTGCAATTCTGGAGTATCGTCTGGAGATCTTTGTAACTTGGAAATCAGACTTCCTTGCCTCGATTTGTCTCTGTTTTTAAAGAATCTTTTTAGTTTGTCTAGATCAGGAGTTTTTGGGGTACTCTTTTGGTCAAATTTCGCGTTTGCGCTCCGTCTAACTTCGCGAAAGCTACTGTTTTGGAAAATAAGGTTATCATCGTCCATTCTGTTCCTATCGTAGCGCCGTCGGCTCCCCGAATTTTCCCAGAAATCTGGATCTCCTCGGCCATCCCTTGACGGGGTTCGTTCGTTCAGAGTTCTAAATTCGGACCCAGATCCACTCACCAAGATACGGCCTCCAACTGGTGTTTCTGCTATCACCTGATCTCTTTCTTCATCAACCTCATTCGTATTCATTCCTGGTTTGTTCCAGGGTCACTTCAGTAGTTTCGCTTCTTGGAATTTTTTCTTGATCTCGCTGTCATAACAAACCGGGTACTGCGATCATCACCAATTTGTGAACACACAGAAAACTAAAATCAATTATTCACATGGAAGGTTCGTATCAGCACCAGTTTACTCGTTTGATCTTTAATCTTCGGAATTTGAGATACTTACGTGTTTTTTCAAAATTTTGAAAAGTTGTCTTTAGCCCGAGTTACAATCATCTCGATGAATATTTCGACACAAGGATTTTCACGATCGAACGTGAGATTCAACGGAAAGGTCTTAGTGAGTCGCTTGAAAAGCTGTACGAGCTCATTATTTGTATGATTCCACTGCGAAATTTTGACCCTCTTTTCGGAAAAGGGGGTCATTGTCGAGTGAAATTGGAAAAAGAGCTGGAACGAGAGGTCATGGAGCATCCCGAGTTGGACTTGGAAGTCGAGCCCCGCTATTTGGTCAAGAGTTTGACGAAAAACGACATTTATGACAGTGTTGTCTTGACGGCGAAAATTCGGCTCATCGTCTTGGCCAAGACTTTAATGGCCTTTTTGGATCTTTTCGACAATGAGTTTGCCAATGCGTTCTTTGAGTTTCGATGGATATTACAGTTCATGCACGAGGCACGTAAATGTCAGGACGTTGCAGGCATATCTGTGATAATTTCGAGCGATCATGAGAGATCGCTTTCAATTTGGTGCGCTAGAACTCTCATAGACGAGACGGGCCGTTTCAGACGCACGCGAGGCGTCAAGAATCGAGAGCTCAAAATCAATAGACTAGATGTACTCGAAGGCATTTTGGTCAACATTTTGGATTGTACCAGTGAAACGTTTATGCTGGAATGTATTGATGAGCTTGACTATTTCATGATGGACAGATTGTTCACGGTCATTGGCGACATTGAGCGAAACATCGCGTTTCTCAAGGGCCCTGTTTGCGAGCTAGAAGAGCAAAAAGGTGTTTATGAAATAGCTTTGCGTGCGCAAAGGGCTCACATAGATAGCATGGTGCGAAAACACATTTTGGCCTCAACTTTCAAACTGCCGGGAGATGTCAGTATCGTCTCCTGTATGGACAAAATTTTAGAGGGTCTATTGCTGTATGGAGGGGTCCATCTCCCAGTAATAGACTTTTTTTATAAAGTCATGCAGTATTATCGCAACCAAATTCAGAACAGTCCGGGATCTAATTCATGCGAGCGCCCTAGATCGCATATCAAATTAGTTAACGAAATTGTGGCGGACTGGAGGCAAATGGTTGACGATTCCGACGCCATGAACATGCAGTGTCCCCAAACGCTCATGAAAATTGGTGACCGAGGCATAGTCATGATCGATGAAGTGTTCGAGGAATCGGAAAATGATCACAATCATGATCTGACATTGTTCTTGAGTTCCGTGAAATTGAGAGCTAAAAAAAGGTTTTATGGTGTATCAAAAGTTCAGGGGGAATTTAGCAAAGCTCAATGGCATGTCGGTATCTCGTGGATTAAATTTTGGGAAAGCTGCTATTTGGATAATCAAAGGCAGCTTCCTCGAGAGCTCGCAGAGATTCTGCACGAGTTTAACCTCATCAAATTTTCACAGAATGCTGGGAATAACGGCAGTGAAACATAATTTTGTACTTATATACCGGCAGCATGATTTGCCCTAATTTGCTCAAAACCAGAGACTTGCTTTTAGGATTGCTCCCGTTATTTCGGTACTTTCTTTGGAGGCTCGTTTAACGCACTTAAGTCATCATTCGGCCTTTTATGAGATAGCTTGCTCTGTGCGACAGTTTTTTCATGCAGCTCTTGAATTCGAGCTTCGATATGTTCAAGGAATTCGTTTGTCACTTCACCATCTTTAATGTCTTCATAAACGTAAGTATTCTTCTCCTGGTCGACTGGTCTGGACACGTCTGCATCTTCCTCGATAAGCGAATCGATGTCCTCGCGCGAAATGTTGAGCTTTTGGCCTTTATTACTCTTCAAATCGAAAAAATTCTCTTCAAGTCTTTTGTAATCTTCGAACAGCTTGGCTAACTGTTCACTCGATACCGGTATGGGAAATCGTTCGCTGAAGAAGTTCTTTGGGAATCTGAAAGTATTGTCCACTTCCGATTTGTACTGAAGTCCACAGTATACAAGTGATAAAACTGTGATGCTAAATCCGTCACACAGAAGCGAAAGAGGCTGAGTTCCCGCTTGTATAATGAAATTTCTGCCCTCTTGAATTATTTTGGGGAAAACGTGTCGAAATTGTTCGCTCACCTTCAGGTCTCGGTTGTATCTAAAATAACCTCCGAAAATCTCCTCAATGAGTTCTTTTGGGTTCTGTATATCCAGATCAAATCCCAGCTGGCAAAGAATTTGCTTTTCGTAGAGGACCAACTTGTCCCGAAGATCCCATCTCAGTTTTTCGACATTTTGTCGAGCTCTAGATGGCGGCATGTCTTTCATCAAAAATTCGCAAGTACTTTTCACAAACGCATCGATTGGACGATTATTCTCCATTGTTTTGCATGCAGTGACCAAAATAGCCTGCGAAAGCTGGATGCACTCTGGAAGACTCGAAGGAAGTCCATAGACATACCAATACCGGAAAAACAGCACACAGGCCGCTGTATACGTGTGGTCAAAAAGCTTTAACTGCTTTTTCATCACGTAGAAGTACATGAGACACTTTTCCATACGCTTTTTCATTTCATGAGCTGCCTGTGGGTCTGTTCCCAGCTTGTTCACGATGTCATCGCAACTGAACCACCATTCATTTTCCGGTGTTTTGATCATATCTGGCCATAAAACTCGGGAATTAAACCCATCTCTTGTCACCGCCAGTGTTTTTCCAGTCACTTGACTCATTTCGGAGGATCTCTGGTCAGATTTAAGCTCATTCATGAGGTCAAAGTGCGTTCACTAGAGTGTTTTAAATTTGAAGATGTTGTACGTCGTTGATGATGGGACTCACCAACCAACCGTTGATATTACTTAAGACTTGAATACCAACAATTTGTCCCGCTAAGACCGCTCTGATGATCTGACTACGATTAAGGAGCGAGCTTCATTTTATGGAAGGTTTTTAATTTGATTTTACTATTCCAATTGATGATATTGCGTGTAATTATGCTGTAAATATTTGAATTTCAAAAACCTAGATTAATTAGTATGTCTTTTCAGTCGTAAAGGGTCGTTAAATCTTCTCGTAGCAAATCCTGTTCTCCACGGTCACGGATGCTATGAGCTTTCTTCTTGGGGGTCTTTTAGAGGATCTTTTATGATGTATTGTCTTTCTGTTCAGAATGATCGTATTATTGGTATCGGTGGTTTGCTCTCGCATAACGTGATCCTCATACCTGGACAGGTATTTAGACGACAAATCAGGTCCCTTCGCTGTGTTGTTTCCATCGTAGCAGCCAGGACTGGGTGGAGAACTGCATCTCTCCAAGCGCTCCAATTCGATTAAATAGCCCTGCGAAACGGTTCTCTTTGAAGCATTGTTGGGAGCCTTTTGTAGCTCTTCGGGCAGTTCAAAAGCAGCCTGTAGTGAGTTGGAGGCTGGATGCTTGGATCTCTTCCCACTGATCGTGTTTCCGGCTCGGTCTTTGCTCGCGAGTCTTTCGTATATGAATCTTTTATCCTTCACTTTATTGGAATTTCGTAGTTGCTCAATATACCCGTTAGACGAGCTAGAGTCTGAGTCCGTGTTCTCGTCAGACACGCGTTCCAGCTCGTAGAGATATGGCCACTCAGACTCGGCAACTTTTGGTGCCTCCGAAAAGAGCGAGCTCGCAGACCGCGAATGAAATGATGAAGTCGGAGAATCGTCTGCAAACTCCAGCGGTTGGGTTTCGTCCAGCGTTGTAGAAGGCGAAGGTGCAGCAGGAGGAACATTCCTGGTTTTGGTGGGCGTGACAGGTCGTACTTGGGTGTCTTCTTGCCTTAAGTCAGACGCTCTGTCCGCGATCTTGTGAAAACCTTTCAAAATGGCCAAATATGCTTTGTTTTGCTTGTCCGAAGCACCCGCAATAGGTCTTTGCGGCGAGGGACACCTTCTTTTGCCCCCATCACACATATTTTCGTACTCAAGACGTGGATATCGCAGCGAAAGTTCAGATGTCTCAAAATTCGATGCCAGCAAGCCCTGAGAACAATCCAGGTCAAATCTCTGCTGTATGGCACGCAAAGTACCGATAATCGATACTTTCTCCGCAGATATGTGTCCCAAAATGTCCGTCTTGCGGTTAACGATATGCAAAAAATCGAACAGTAGCCGTTTCGTCCAAAAACAGGACGAACTAGGGTCCCGCAGCATCCTATGATACATGATACTCTCGTTACTCAGAACGCGCAGCATTCTGCAAGTCTTTGATACCTGCCGTAGATCTTCAAACGGCAAAAAGAACAGAATCCTGAATATCACTTCCAGAGGAAGTTCTTCAAGCGATTTCATCGTAACTTGGCCGTTAGACGTCGCGTTCGCCATCTGAAAACCCCGATTGACAGCTCCCTTGCAGTTTTCTCCTGTTCAAATACAATTCAACTCTCTTATCAGGCTCTATTTCACCTAAATAATGCGTGTTTGGATCCTTATTTCGTGTTAATCTCTTGCATTTTTCAAATGTTGATGATGTTGTTGGTATATATCTATTATTTACCAATTACTAAATAGGGTACGTTTCAGTCACGTGATATCATCCAAGTTTACCAACTAACTCAAAATTAAACCAAATCTCGCTTAAAACCAGCTTGAAAATAGCTCAAAATATCTTTATGGTTATACTTCTGCTTCTTGCTTTTTTCAATTTTTTTTGGTATTTTAACTCAAATTTTAAGATTTTAAGTGTCAGAAATGAGCTATTGAACCCTGGAAATCATCATATTGCTGAACAAAAAATTTTCTAGACACTGCCACGTTAACTAGTAGTCCCAAAATTGCTGTGCTTATATTATAAAACTGTTTTCGGTTGGTTTGGATGTTAGACCAAAATCAAGTATCAACGTCCACCATGATATTAAATTAAGAACTGATCACTTCACATTTGGTGGAAGAAAGAACGAAGAATAGCATAAGCATGAGGAGCTATTTCGGGTTGTTTTTACTCCTACAGAGTCAATTCATTGAAGCGGGTATTAGGGGAGTGTCTCCCGAGTCTCAACTCTTGTATGAGCCTCTAGATACCGAGACTGGGCAATGGGCATGTCTGGGAGATCCATCCGTGATAATCCATCACTCCCAGATCAATGACGACTTCTGTGACTGTCTAGACGGATCAGACGAGCCTGGAACGAGTGCATGTGGGTCCAAGTCGAGGTTTTACTGTCAAAATGAAGGTTTTGCACCCCGATTTGTATCAGGTTTTAAAGTGAACGACGGAGTGTGCGACTGTTGCGATTGTCAGGATGAAGATGATGGCGGATCAAGAGCCTGGATGGAATCTCCGGGCTGCAAGGAGCTTCGCAGTGAATATGATACTCTAGTCGAAAAGGAACTGAATCAGCATTATGAGGGTCTTACTGTGCTGCGGGCAATGCAAAATTCGCTGGGGATTGACGTGAAAACCGATCACAATCCCAATGTCCAGGTCGAGACTGAGCAAATGAAGCACATTGTGCTTGGTTTGTCAAACCAGTTGGAGGATTGCAAGCAAAAAGTGCAAGAAATGAGGAAAATTTACAACGATAGAATGCAGGCTGAAAATCCCCTCATGCACCAGTATGAGCAATTGGACATACCATTTCTGACTGCTACGACAGATTCTTTCTTCATGTCAGTCGAAAGATCATCCCGCGCGTATCATGAGGTCGTGGAGCTCTTGGAGAAGCTCGTTTTGTCTTATAACAGAAATCTGAACGACGAGGCGGTCAACGACGTGGTTAAGAAGTACCTCGATTTTTCTGACGAGCTCTTTGACAAGATTAACGTGAATAGCGCTCTTGACGTCTCGCACCGGGAGCAAATCAAGGAATATTTGGAGGTAGAACTCCGAGATCTCCTGTCGACGGGCCAGTCTCGGTACCCTGCAAGAGCTATTACGGGAAAATTCCAAACTGTGAGAGCCATCATCACTGCGAGGTCAGAATACTACAAAGAACTTTCCAAGACCTTGAAATTCTTAACCGGATTACTCGATAGCTTGTCTGAAAACTATAATGTGAACTTTCAAGATGTAGGTGTCAAGGATACGGTGCTTGCTTACAAAGAATTTTTGGCCAAGAGTGCCGGTGTAACAGATCCATTAAGTTTCCCAAGCAAATTTATCGACGGTTTGGACCGCTTATCGGAACTCGTCACGCAAGCGTCGTCAACCGTTTTGACACCAGAATCCCAGTCGAGTGGCAGTTTTAGTCTTACGTTAATAAACTTCTTCAGGGAACTGGCAGAAAAATTTGGCTTCACAACTTCGAGTCTGGCTTCGTTAAGAGGCGATATCGCTGCAAGAGAACTGAAATGCTCCCAACTCAGAAAAGAATTGAAAACAAAGGATATGGCACTGATGAAATTATTACGTCTTCAAACTGAGGAAGGAGAAAGTGCACAATCCAAGCTTGCCGCTACTGCTCAAGTGGAGGAACTACTCCAGAAACTCGATCCCAGCTGCGTAGAACAGGTCGTTGGTAATTATGTCTATCAACTTTGTTTGAATCCAACTGATGGCGTTATCACTCAAACCGATGATAAGCCTAACGGCAACACTGTCTTCATAGGCCGCTTCTCACGTTTATTCTTCGACGAGAATGCGTCTTCTCAAAACTACATTGACAGACTCAGGTTACAACACATGGACACTGATCTGATTTCCCACCTGGAGAGCGATGTCGGAAACTTCCAGCAAGAAATGCTGATTGGTAATTTGCCAAACATCAACAATGGTCTTGTCATTGAGTATAAGAATGGTGATCGCTGTTGGAACGGACCTTTAAGGTCGGCTCAGCTTTTTTTTCGTTGTGCGAAAACATTCAGTATCCAAAACGTCGATGAACCTACAAGATGCAATTATTCCTTTGAAATCAATGGTCCATTAGGATGCTCTTACAACTTTGTTTACCGCCCACCAGCATGGTCTCAATAGAAATATGTTGGTAGACGGGAGTCGGGAGACGTTTCCGACGTTGTGTCGCGCGGACGCTGATTTCAGATTGATGAATGAAGATACCCCCTTACGTTCATAAAACGTGCTTTATCAAACTCCGTATTGATTTAAGGTTTGTCATTGGTCAGTGATGGGCGCATCAGGTCAGTTTGTACCTATTCGGAACAGTTCAAGTTCGGAACCGAACTACGAACTTTTGGAAGATGTCGAAGATCTTAAATGGAGAACTATCACGCCAAATTCAAGGGAAACCACGAATGGCGGTCAGCACAAAAGTGCCAAGAGGTTTGTTGCGAGCAAATTTGACGGGTTGCGCAAAAAATCAACCACTGTAGAAACCAAGACGTTGTACTTTTGCGACCTTGAAACTGGGCGATGCGGGTTTGTCCAGTTTTTGTACTCGAGGGTGTTGGGAGATGTTTACAAGACTTTCAGGTTCAACTTCAAAGTTTTCGGAAGTGATGGTGACTTGGACGGTAGCGGCAGCGGCGAAACCGATGTGTGGGAAAGTTTGAAAATCGACGACCCGTCCTATGTCTCGCAGTTCGAGCTTGAAAGCTCAAACTTCAAGTATGAAATCGCCAACGCACCAGGGAATGATGGTATTGGTTTTGTCTCGATTCGTGTGAATGCGCCGCAGCAAAAAAACCGGGGTGAGATGTCACTGGATTTAGCTGTCCGTTTGGGTTGTGGATTCAAAATCAAACCGGATGGCTCCAGCTATTACAATGGGTCTAGCGTAAACAAAGCCAATATAGCAGCGCCTCATGTTGATCTTATGCGTCATGTTTTCGTACCGCTTGGAACATGTGATGGCACATTGAAGTACACTTCCAATTCCGGGAAACAAGTGCAATTTAATCTCGCGAGTACGCCCATCGTATTCATCAGTGCGCTCCAGGGTGTAGCCCCTAACAAAGCCGCCCGGCAATGGAATTTTGCGACTTTTCGAAGCCATACTTTGGGTATGATTTTCATGGAATTTACCACACCAGCCGAGTACGGACAATGGACAGTGACTGTCAGTGCAGTAGCACAGGAAAATGGGCCCCTAGAAGTGTACGCTGTATCTAACTCGGCAGAGACCTCGCATGCGTCTCATTTGCATGCGCGTGCTCTTGCGTCCAAGCAAGAACCGCAGTCACTCTGGCGATTTCCTACGTCTATTGCGATGCCTCTACCGCCACATTGCATGCAAGACGCGTCAAGCGCGACTTATTTTGAGGAACATGGTCTCCGCTTGGTGAACAAATACGACGTTTTGCAAGAGCTACCATCCATAGTCAAAAACGTCGTGAACAGCATCGCAGGAATTAAGCCGTTCATTTTCCAGTTCTGTCAGCGCTCTAATCTAAGAGGCCAGCCTGGTATATCCATAGTTGAGACAACTTTTATCAGCTGATTGATGTATCATCCAGGGCCAGCAGTCGTTTCACTACCGGAGTCTAAACTCAAAAACAGTTCCGTATAATCTATGTATCCGCGTGAAAATTTAAACATATAACAAAGTTTTTCTACCAGTAAGATAGTTCTTGTACGGCTTCTCTCGGGGTTTATGGACCTTCCAGTGCGCCTGATGACCTTTCCACAAAATTAATCTTCTTCGAATTATTCAACACCTTTCCCGTTGAGCTCCTTGGCCCCTTAAAAAACCACATTTATCCAAAAATCTAGCTCTATTCATTTCAAGTGATATGATTTACAACCAGTTCCCTCGTTTGTCTGCATACTCTTCCTCAACGTCTTCAGTCGCTTGATTTTCATGTTCATTTAACTCTTCTCTTTCATTCTCGATGACGGGAAAAAGAAAATCAAGCGATGAGACCTTGGTAAGAAAATTTTTAGAAGAGCCCTAATTCACTTTTAGGTGATGATCTCCAAGGTAAAACAGAAGCAAACTAGCAGTACAAGGAGTAAAGAAATTGGTGTATCGGTTGCTCTTTATAGTTTGTGGACGATTTTACACTACCATAAGAAATTTGAAGCGCTCTTTTAGGGCACCTGAGTGACTAGATAGGCGCAAATAATTGTGCCGGGATAAACATCGCATTAGGTCAGTCGGGGACTGATCAGATACCATAATACCATATCATATTGTCACGGGTAGTTCTGTTTTGAGAACGTGGACTTTTGGTACCAGAATAAAGGCGAACTGGCGAGTTTTGGGGCGTTGAAAAAAGCGTTCCGTCAAGTCTGAATTTCGAGGGGGAAGAAAGTTGGTAACAAAACCGTCACAATGGGGGAGAAAAGTCCTCGAAAAACAACGACGGCCACTGGTAAGCGGCCGTCGCATGTACAAAAATTGAAAACTCGCACTGTGGGCGGAAAATCAGCTCCAATATTGTCAAGAAGTGGGTCGCGGGCACAGCGGCCGCGGCGATTTAGTTTGATATACTCGTCGGATTCCTCGCTAAGTGCAGTATCAGATCTCGAAAATAGTCGCAAAGTGAGCTTTAAGAACCCCAGTTTAGGTAAGAAGGCCAAACGCGGGGTAAATAACGAACTGGGTAAGCGCAGCAGACTGATACCGGAAGAAGCAGTGGGTTCAGAATCATCTGACGTCTTTTCTAGTGATAGTGATGGGGTCGCCGACGGCAAAGACGGTGGTGACGACGACGACGACGACGGATCCGACGGGTATTCGAGTTCTTCAAGTTCAGATGATGACGTCGATTTTGTCAAACTCAGTGCAGAGCGTAAGAAGAAGGCGATGCAAGCTATGAGTGCACTCAAACGTGGAAAGATGCCCAAAAAAGGTGAAGTCATTGCCAATGCCAAAGAGAAGAGAAGTCAGCCATCATCCGGTGACGATGATGCCGACGCCGACGCATTGTCATTCAGTTTCAAAAACGACGATGGAATCAAATTCAGTGGGAACACGCGGGAGGAGGACTCGGACAGCGAGGATTTAGGTGAAGAAGTCAACGACGGATCCTCACAGGCAACCAAATCAATCGGTGCTAAAAAATCTTATCCACTCGATCAACTTAATGTTCCTCAAATATCCGAAAGCGAAGATTCCGACTATGAAATAGATCGTGATCTTTACCTCAAGAGCATACAATCAGACCACGGGGACACCACGGGTCTTGAAAACGGGTTTGATACCGGAGATGACGACCGTCCCATGTTAGACGAAGAAGAACAGAATATTGTTATGGAACTTGAAAACGACGATAGTCTTTCGTTCAATGGAAGTATACATGAAGAAGGAGAAGACCCCGTTGAAAATGGAAATGCGTCCGATCATACCGGGGAAGAGGTGATGCAATCGACTGTACGTCGTGTTGACGATAAAGCAGAAGATGACGAGGATGAAATTATGAGTGACTTCGATGCTCCTTTCTACGAAGACCCCAAATTCGCGAACCTGTATTATTGCGCCGGCAGTGACCAACCACTTTCGCTAAGCACTTCACTTCCATTGATACTAAATGATGAGAAAAGGAAAAAATTCGACAAGAAGCAGAATAAGAGACGTGAGTGGGAAGAGCTTCGCAGAAGGCGCAAACAGTTGCGAGAGCTTGCCAGGAACAAACAGAAGTCTAAGTCTACTCCGGATCCTGATGCTGACGATTACTTGTTCGGTGTTTTTTTCCATAGTGATTCCGAACACGAAAAGAAAACTGCTCTGGAGTCCCCACTTCGCCGCTTAAGCTCAGCGGCTGTCTCAGACGATGAATATTCTAGTGAAGATGATTACGAAGACATTTTACTGGACATTGCGCATATGCCCACGGACGACGAAAGTTTAAATGGAATCGAAGACAGCTTGGATTTTGACGGAGAAGATGACGATGATGACGATGTAAGCGTCTCGAACGTTTTCATTGACATTGACGATTTGGATCCAGATGCATTTTACTTTCAATACGAGACTTCTGAAGATAGCATAGACGAAGACGAGCATACAAAAGATTACAAACTCAGCAAGACTGAGACCCAGGGTCCAAATAACAAAGAAAATCAAGAAACAATAGCATACGTCGATAACGAATCCACCGATGAAGACGAGACTTTGCCCCCACCCAACACAAGAAACAGGAAAATAGGATCGAAGGCCAAGGAGGTGGTGAGTGCAAATGTAGTAGGTTTGAAACCACCAAAATTGGGCACATGGCATACTGATGACAAGCCATTTAGTATTATTGATGGCCTCTCCACAAAATCGCTATATCCATTGATAGACGAGCAGCGACTCTTTGAGCAACAACAAGCGCAACTTCAGCAACAGCTGTCTGCTGGGGAATTAAGCGGAACCGGCGAAAAAGAAGAGCTAACGTTAAATGAGCTTCTTAACATGAGCGAGCTTGAGGATGAAGAAGGTAACGGTGTTGCGTGCGGTAATGCTCAGGCCATATCCGGCTGGTACGAAAAGCCTAAGGTACCTCTTTCCGCGTTCAGAAATAAAGGTATTGATGCCATGCAGGAGGAAGAGTTCATGCTTCCTAATCTTTCGGCGCGGAAATTCCCCATTGGATATGTGGGTAGCGAGCGGACTAGAAGGAAGATTGATAGAATGAAGGAATTGCAGAAAAGAAATGAAGAGAAGCGGAAAGTAAAGAGGAAGAAGAAGCTGTTCAAGCTCAAGAGAGAGAGAGCAAGGCTAGATAAAGAACGCTCACTGTTGAGCGATGGAGTTGATGACGTCAGTCAAGACCAAGTCAGCAAACGCGATGACGAGCAACACCACCACATCCTTCCAGCCGAAGTGGGTGAGGGTATCACCGAATTGGACTCTCATGATGGCATTGTGCTACCCAGGAAGGGTTCCATAAAGGGATTGGACCTTAACGATATCAACAATATCTTAGCCAGCGGCGATACAGATTGGCTACCACAAGATTCCAGTGTTGAGTTTTTGGCTCACGGGGATGCTGATATTCTAGCCTCACTGGCCGCTCCAGTAAGCGTCGGTAGTGGTGGTGATGGCGGCGGCACCAAACAGTTGACGGGTGGCGCCGTATGGCGGAGAAGGCAGAGTATTTTCGAGGCCGCAGCTGAAAATTTAAGATTTACAAAAGGTGGTCTTTTCAGCGAAACGGCGCTGGCAGATTTGGAACACATTATCGGCTCTTCTTCAGGCCCTGCATTAGAAATTAATGAGATGCTGCAATAAATGGTGGACGTATTTCCGGTGAAACAAACCAATTGCGCCCTCTACCACCAATGTCATTATAATATTTTTTATTTCGGTTTTACATACATGAGGAACGTTTTTGTTTTGATTCGATTTGTTCTGACACTTTAATTTGTTAGATCAGGATATGCAACATATATCAGGGGGAGTACTTAGACTATTGGCAACGGCTTGATGATCGACCAACTTGAATGTGTTACTGTTGATGGTTTGATCTCTTTGTCACGTGATCTGAAAAGATTTTCAAGAAAGTGAAAAGTTGAAGCTCATCTCATCGCTTCTCATCGATTTTATCTAATGAATCAAGCAAAGTCACTGTGACCGATATAGATAGCCTATTAATGGATTTCAAGTATCAATATTCTAATCAGACGCTGCGACCATTCTATGCAGGTAGCGGAGCAGTTGCTTCTTTGTCTGAAGACGGCACGGTACTTGCCTGCTCAGTAATCGACGAAATTAATATATTGACGACATCGGAGCCTAGTGAAGTACTGCATCGAATTGAGAACGACGACGAACAAGATATCACGGCGCTTAAGTTAACCCCTAATGCCAAATATCTCAGTTTCGTATCGCAGGCACAATTGCTCAAGATTTTCGAGTTGTCCACTGGGAAAATCGTACGGTCCATCAAGCTTTCGTCTCCGGTCTATGTTATGGACTGCGACTCTACGTCGACGTTATTGGCTTTGGGAGGTACTGATGGTAGCGTTAGTGTGATTGATATCGAAAACGGCTACATAACACATTCTTTGAAGGGTCACGGCGGGACAATTTCTGGTTTAAAATTTCATGGGGCGTTAAATAGCAGCGATTGGCGCTTGGCCTCTGGAGACACGAACGGAGTCGTCAAAGTTTGGGATTTGGTGCGAAGGCAGTGTTCGCATACTTTGCAGGAGCATTCTGCTGCGGTAAGAGGCCTCGATTTCCGCTCGGTCGGCGAACACCTGCAACTTTTGTCGGGTGGGAGAGACGATGTCGTGAACGTCCATCAAATAGGATCTACAAAAAAAGCCAAGCTTTTGAAGACAATTCCGGTTTACCAGCAAGTTGAAGCATGTGGTTTTCTTCCGGGTCACGAATTAATCTATACAGCTGGTGGAGGTGCAATTTTTCAGATTGTGTCTCTTGACACTGAAGTGGCCGTAAAAAAGACAGCGGCGCCCATTGAAGAGCTTTTTATTATAGGAGTTGTGCCTTTGAAAGGTTCTAGCGAGATGGTTTTGGTACTTTCCGATCAAACTCTTCTTACAATAGATGTGCATCAGGCCATTGAGAGTGATTCTGGTGAAATCGCGATTGCCCGCAAGATTGCCGGTAACCATGGTACAGTGGCAGACATGAGACCTGTTGGGCCTCACTTTGACAAATTGGCGTTGGCTACAAATTCCCCAGCACTGCGAGTGATACCTAATATTATCAATATGGAAGATCATGAGGAGGAACCGAAACGCACCGATATATGCATAGATGTGGACATTTACGAAGCGCACACGGATTTGCTAAACTCACTTGACGCAACAGAGGACGGAAAATGGATTGCTACCGCTTCCAAAGATGCCACTGCGATATTATGGCGATACCACGACTCGAGCAAAAAATTTGTTCAATACGCCAAATTTACGGGTCATGCAGGGTCCGTCACAGCTATTGGGCTGCCTAATGTTGTGAACAAAGGCTGGCCTGATTTTGTCCTGACAGCCTCTAGTGATCTAACAGTAAAGAAATGGATTGTGCCCAAGCCGAGCACCGACAATGCTCTACACGTCATTAAAGTCTCAGAGTACACCCGGAAGGCGCACGAGAAGGATATAAATGCGCTCTCAGTTTCGCCGAACGATTCTGTGTTTGCTACAGGCTCATACGATAAAACTTGTAAAATCTGGAACGTCGACACCGGTGAGTTGCAAGGCACATTAAGTGGACACAAGCGTGGTCTGTGGGATGTCTCATTTTGCCAATTTGATAAGATCTTGGCGACGGCTTCTGGTGATAAGACTATAAAGATTTGGTCATTAGACACTATGACTGTAATGAAGACGCTGGAGGGCCATACTAATGCTGTTCAAAGATGTTCGTTTTTGAACAGGAATAAGCAAATCGTTAGCACAGGCGCCGATGGGTTGGTTAAAATATGGGACTGCTCGGCTGGAGACTGTATTAGGACCCTAGATGCTCATGCGAACCGAATTTGGGCTCTCAGCGTCTTACAAGATGGTGAATTACTCGTAACGGCGGACGCCGACGGTGTAATCAATTTTTGGCAAGACAGGAGTGAAGAAGAGAAGAAGGAAAATCTTGAGCGCGAGAAACTAAAAGTTGAACAAGAGCAATCTTTGCAGAATTTCATGAGCCAAGGTGACTGGACAAACGCTTTTTTACTTGCATTGACACTTGATCACCCAATGAGACTTTATCGCGTACTGAAAAGCTGTCCACCTAGCTCCAAAGCAGGCGTGGTGTTTAACCAAGAGCTTGATGCTGCTATAGGGTCTCTGGCTGACGATCAATTGAAATTGGTCATTAAAAGATGTCGGGATTGGAATACGAATTTTTCCACTTACGGCGTCGCTCAGAAAACGATCAGATGCATCTTCGATCATCACAACATAGCGCAATTGTCTGAAATTCCCGGTGTTATGCAACTCATCAATGCTCTCGTTCCTTACACTGAGAGACATTATTCTCGCATAGACAATTTAGTGGAACAAACTCACGTTTTGGACTATTTCTTAACGCAAATGGATAACTTTGTGTAAGCATAGAATTACAAAATTGGCACTCATTCCGAGCTTCGCTTGGGTTATTGTGGGAGAATGGCGATTGGCTTTTTAAACCAGCTCAGCTACATATTGTCTTGTTAATTACACCCACCAGACTGATCTGGCGGCCTAAAAGTCTCAAAAGTCTCTTAGATAATTGAATATGAATGTATTCGCCCAATACTCACATATTTGATTCCCTGCCCGCCGTTCGACGCTGTAAAAAAAAAAGATGGACCCAATAAGCCATTTTCTAGAACTTGAGCACATCTACTGTAAAATTATCTGACGCTTTAAATCCAAACGAGAGATTTAATGCTCGTATGGCTTTAAAGTTTAAAAAATGGCTAAGAAACCTTTTTTTTCTGGCAAAAAAGTCCCACTGAAGAGAGCGTCTGAAATTTAACTTAACAATCAACACTTGAAATATTGCAGTTCAAACCGATTTTTAGAGCAATTCCAGGAGCGGACATCAAGTGGATGTTGAGCTGGTTAAAGCACCTTATCTAGAACGTCTGATGATGATAATGATGACGGCTACCGTATCTACTTTTGTACGAAGACTGTGAAAAATTGAGATGCGATGAGATGAGATGAGCTCATATCTTCAAAGACACTCGGAGTAGCAAAGGAGACGCTGGAGTTCACCTTGGTTGCCAGTTGACCCACGTACAAATGTCCTCCCAAAGTATAAATGGGGCAAAAAGGCCAGAGAAAAAGACCAGAAGGAGCAAGAAGAGAAGAACAGCTGATTTTTCAGATTCTGATTCGGACTCAGACTCCAGATCATCTTCTGAGCCTCAGCAGGGAAATAAGGAACTAGCAATAGAGAAGGAATTGGAGGATGCGTCCGATGTCGAACTTTCTGATGCAGAAGCGGTCCCAGAAGAAGCAAAATTCATGGATCTAGACGCAGAAGTTAAGCAGAAATTAAACGATATACCATTGACCAGAACAGAAGCAGTAACAAGCCGACAAAAGAACTTGAATAGAGTGGATCTCGATAGGGCACAAGAAAAAATAGACGCAGGTCGTGCAGAGCTGGGTTTGGAGCAAAAAGAAAACGAATTGAAAAATGAATATTTGGGTCTACTCTTCAAACATTATGGTGAAGAGGTCAGCTCATTGAGAGAAGCACCGGATTTCACGCCGAAGTCGCTTGTAACAATGGCCAACGTGCTCAAAGACGGTGCACTTATGTTTGATATCGATGCTTTGAAAACGGTTCTTGAATCGGAGAAGTGAGTATAAGTACGCAAATATGAAATCTTTTTATAATATACAGCATTGAAAGATTCTAAAAGATGTCAAAAAAACCCTTGCCATCAACACATGCTATTGTTTGTCATTGACGCCAAAAATAAGACATTATTGAGGTTTAATTGCCGATGACTCTAACCATAAACCATGCAGAACCGGCAGCTGCTCCGCCGACAAGTAACATTTGGAAACCTTCACTAATTTTTTTATTCAAAGAGCAACTATCGCTCATGGACACAGCAGTTTTCCCGTATCCGAAAAGAAAAAGGGTCACTGACATTATTATGATGGAAAGAATTAAACCGGACCGGACTTGATCGACGAAAAAATATGGAATTAATGGGATGAATCCACCACCGAAATAACCTCCACCAATGGTGAGTGCACTGATCAATTGCCTGTTTTCGGCAGGTTCTTCGAGCCCACGTCCGAATTTTATGATAAAATCCACCATCAATTCTGGATTTTTTTGCAAGTCTTTTATAAAAGACACGATAGTTTCATCCGAGAAATCCGGGTTCATTTCTAGCAGGATGTCTTCGATCTCGTGATTTATCATGTTCATATTGTTATAGAATTTGCGTTTTTCTTGTTTCATCGCCGCACGGTAGTAATCGGACTCACTTTTGGCACCCAGATAACCTCCAAGTCCCATAGATATGGACCCCGATATCAATTCCGCAAGCCCACCTGTAATCACAAGCTTTGCGTCTCCCAGAGAGGACAGACCGGCAGTAAGTGCAAACGGTACCGTAAGACCGTCACTAAGCCCAATAATCAAATCGCTCATTACTCTTGGATCGACGCTGCCCAGAAGGGTGTGGCCGTGTTCGTGGTCTTGGTCGCCGAATTTCCCGTTTTCTTCGTCTGCAAACTGGTTCGTGACATCTTCTTCGTCATGACTGGATCCAGCCCCGTATGTTTCTTCACTACTCTGTCCATTCGTGAGCAACGGAGCACGATCTCCGTCGGATTTCTTGGTGACCAGCCGCACGATCGCGTTCTTGAGAGCAACTATCGACATATTGTGGCTATGAGATCTTTAATGTATTGAAAACAGCACCACACGGAGATTTGTAGGCCAAAAAACCGTTACTTTCAGTCCGTTGAATCCGATTGTGTGTGATGTACGCCAACTGGAGTTAAACTGCTTGGATTGAGCCACAGAAAAGGAAATCCAACTGGATTTTTTCTAACACGTAACAGGCAGATAAGGAAACCGGGCCTTATTGGTAGCGACACTGATTAGTACAATAGCAGTTCAGCCTGATAGAGTTCAATGACTGATTGCACAGAGCTAGATTTGATTTTTCAAGGTTTAACAATGAAGGGGCATGTGTTGCAGTTAAGTGAAAAAAAGTTCGTACGTACGGATGTAAAATATTGGCCAATCAGGATTGGCTTCATTAGTAATGGATAATGGGCATCTTAGAGATTGATTTAATTCTAAGAAGTGGTATTTGGAGTTTAATGATTTGGTTTGATCTTTCAAGAGTTAGGGTACGATGGTATGCGTTTGTCAAATTTCGCCGCTTTGTTTGCATAACCTTAGAGAAAGTTGAGCGTTTGTGTGGGTGTCATGGGATGCGTGAGCGCAGTGGTGTGCATTTATTGACGGCTTGCTGAATCATGTATTTGATTATCAACGATTTTCTGATCTGCAAAATTTATCAAGTATCAAATACTAATGAAAAGAAATCGGTTCAGTCTTGCAAATTGGTTAGTTCAGTCATAGCTATGTTACCAGTATTGCATGTATGGATGTGGGTATCCCCCTCTCTCTCTCCCCTCGTTCCCCTCTATGGTTTTCTTTGCAATGTGATCTTTCTCTCACATCGTCTTTTTTATACAATTGATAGAGTTTTTTTTGCCGATGTACTATCATTCCGAATGAAACACGGCGAAACTTGTCAAAGTACGCCACCGATGGCCGGCAGCAATTTACAATTCCATGGCCTTTGCGGAGCTTTTTGGGCACCTTCCGTTGAGTGCTACCCAAAGCTCAGTTTAAGCCTTTGAGGATTATCTGTCGTTGTGGTCACGTGACAGCTCCTATCAATAATACAACTTGGCAACGCCCCTCGTAGCTCCTTCCTACAATTTTTCAAAAGGTTTTGAGCGTTTTGAGCGTAGCTAGTGTGTAATGTTATTCGTAGCTGAGGTCTTGTTTGCAAGTATGTCGGGTATAGTCTATTTGTATCGGTGGTTAGCTTGAAGCCCTTCAATGCTGGTCAGATCACTTGTTTGTCGAAGCATAAATGGCAAAGCTATTCCTGATGTTATTTATCGCACCACGCGGTGGGTGTCATATGGCCATTGCCGGACTTACTCGGGTTTCTTTCCTTGGTCATCCGGATCACGTGATATCTGAATCAATACACCAACTGTCCTACTTGTTATCATTAACCCTGGTCAGGTACAGGGCGGAAACTTATCCTACGCATTTTTTCCAATATTATAGTCCTTTCCCTGTAGCCCATTTCAACTACCCAATGCCCCATGCCAGGGCGAGACATTGCCTAGGCCATTACTGTATTTTTGAAAGTAATTGTCACACGGTTAAAAAATCTATGATCAACTTGCACCGAAACTCAATGACAGACATTCACAAAAAAACATAATATTTATGAAGTGAAAACAAAGATCAAAACGATAGAAAACACGTTTACATATTGATAACGGGACGCAGCTGTGGAACGTCGTCCTGGGACCGACGGGAGACATTTGGCTGAAAAGAGTGAGGCGGGCGGTGTCACGTGACTACTCCCTCAGGGTCCCTACAGCAACGCCGAAACCACCCGTCCAGAATACGTACTCGGTCTCACCACACATCACGAATCCAAAAACCCATCTATTTTACATTACATCTCATACGTACTACAAACACGAGTGCACTCGCCGTGCGCTTGCCACGCTCGCGGCTTGCGACCCGCTTAGGCCTGCGTGGACGACGAGTACTTGGTCACCGCTCTCGTTCCCTCAGAAACGGCATGCTTGGCAAGTTCGCCGGGCAAGATCAGTCTCACGGCAGTCTGGATCTCACGCGCAGAAATAGTAGACTTCTTGTTGTAAGCGGCGAGCTTCGACGCTTCCGTCGCGATCCGCTCGAAAATGTCATTCACAAACGAGTTCAAAATCGACATCGATTTCTGAGAAATACCCGTGTCTGGGTGCGTTTGTTTCAACACTTTGTAGATGTAAGACGAATACGTCTCCTTTCTGACCTTGGTCTTCTTCTTAGACGCGTCCATAGTGGACGCGGTTTTCTTGGCGGCGGGTTTTTTCTCCGCTGGCGCTTTGGAGGCTGGCTTCTTCTCGGCTTTGGCTGACATTTGGTATTACTTAGGTGTGCTTGACGTGGTTTGTATCCGCAGTGTTCTTTCCCCAAGTCATCCGCGTTTCGTGCCCTTTATATACCCGTCTTTGGTGGGATGAACGCCAAAGTCGGGACCGAAATGTTCGCGCGCGAGCGCGAACATTTCGGTCTGCAAATTAAGTTTTTTTCCTCAAAATTTCCTATTCAGGCATCTAGCACAAACCACCATACTAATCGAAGGGGTCGTTTTTATGAGAAATTTGAATTTCTGAACTCCATTTCCAGCAAGAGGCCGTCGTTCTCATTTGTTCGCAACGAGGGCGAACAAACGGGACCATGTAAAAACGAGTCACAGCAATTTGCACAGAAACCATTGCAGGGGCTTCAGGGAGGATTTACACATGCGCAGGGGGCGTGGCGTGTTTCTATATATCTCCGATTTCATCAGGCAACGTATAAAAGAGCCTGGTTTGACCACTTCATGGCCCGGTAACAATCCAGTCCTTCATACAAAACACACACACACACCTTACACAATGTCTGGAAAAGGAGGTAAAGCTGGTACTGCCGCAAAGGCAAGTCAATCTAGATCCGCTAAAGCCGGATTGACGTTCCCAGTCGGTAGAGTTCACAGACTCTTGAGAAAGGGTAACTACGCACAAAGAGTGGGATCCGGTGCGCCCGTGTATTTGACGGCTGTGCTAGAATATTTGGCCGCGGAAATCTTGGAGCTGGCCGGTAACGCCGCCAGAGACAACAAGAAAACCAGAATCATCCCACGTCACCTGCAACTGGCGATCAGAAACGACGACGAGCTGAACAAACTGCTGGGCAACGTGACCATCGCGCAGGGTGGTGTTTTGCCAAACATCCACCAGAATCTGCTGCCAAAGAAGAGCGGTAAACCGGGTAAAGAGTCCCAGGAGCTTTAAGCCTTGGGTCTTGCGCGTGCATCGCGCTGTGTATATTAGACTGGATTTATGTATAGTGTAATAACGGGGATTGAGGTGATTATCGTACGAAATGATGATTGGATTCTACCGGTGCAGACCTGACCGCGATCCGTCGACTACGAATTCCATCGCACATGAGAAGATCTACGCATCTCGCGAGCACTCTCTTTGCCCTTGTCTCACCTGCTGTCGTGGTTTACCTCTGCTTTGCTTGAATCAGTACTATGTACAGTGTCATGAAAGAAAAACTCGCCTGCGGCTATCGAGATATCGAATAAGGTTACCAAATGGGTCATACCTTGTTCAATTGAATCAAGTTTAAGTAACAGGCCATTTGAAGGGACGCTGCACCGAATCGAATTGAACTACTCGGGACGCCAAAGTGAGTCGCAAATGAGTCGTCGCTTTGTACGTGTGGGTATTTTGTGGGTAACATGGGTTTTTCTAGCAATGGCGACAGTGTTATTTCGCAGCACGTAGTTTCGAACTTCATCGAGTATTTCCCTATAAAAGGCTCTTCAATCATTGTAAGCATTAGAACCCCTTTCACAATAGCACGGGTTCTGATTTTTTTAAAATGTTTTCGAAATTCTCTGAATGATGGGTAGCACTGGGTAAGTATATGTGAACTTTACCTGGGGAAGACCCCTAGCGACCGAATGAGTTGCACTGAGAAGGGACTCGGAAACATCTGGGCTTTTGTACAGAACGGTTGCCCAGTTTTCAAGCGTGATTATAGCGTAATAATGGGAATTGATAATTTGAATTAGAGAACTTGTATAGATGGGGGTTAATTGCGTCGCAGTAAGCGTGCGAACACATGGCGCGAAGCTTTGGGTGTGGGCGGGGTAGTGGAGGTAGCGGACGCTGCAGGCGCGGTAGCGGGTGTAATAGCCGGTGCTGGTAGAGGTTCCGGAAGGTTGTCCGTCGAAGATGATACACGCTCTGTAGGCGCCGTGGGTGCCGACGAAGGTGCCATGGGGGCCGGCAGTGGAGCCGCAGTTTCCGTGGCCGGGTTTAAATTCACCGCATTACTCGGAGGGTGCGATTTCGCCTGGCCCGGTTTAGTTGGGCCCTGTTTGGTTTGGCCCTGTTTCGTCTGATATCCGTAGTTTTCCTGGCTAAACTGCACGACTTTGCTGAAAAACGACTTTACCTTGGAACGCGATACGGGGCGAGCGGTGCCGTTTGTAGCTGGGGGATTTGGGGCTGGCACTGTGCCCGACACACCGTCGTGATTCAACACACCGTCACGGCCCGACACGCCGTCACTGCCCAGCACACCATCACGACCTGACACGCCGTCATGGTCTAACACATCGTCATGGTCTAACACATCGTCGCGCCCCACAACACCTGTTCTGTTTTCGAAGCTGTTCACCCCAGTGGCTTCCGCCCCGATAGCCCCCTCCGTGAGTCCCACCTTTGTAGGTCCCGCCTGCGTAGCTCCCTCCGTAAGTCCCACGTTTGTAGCTTCTTCCGTAGCTCCCGCACCCTTGGTAAAGCCACCAACCTGCTGCACATACTGTTGCCGTGCCATCTCCACCGCTCTCGAATGAACCTCTTCTTGGGTCATGTGGTGGCCCGCACCGTCACTCACAGATATCTTTGGATTCGGATTCGCACCGCGGAGTGACCTCGCAATGCGCGTTGGCGACGATATGGAAGACCTCCTCAACGACCCCGATCGCTGCCGTGGCATTGCGCTCGCCGCCTGTGACGGTACCATTTCCGCGTTGTCCCCGTAAACCTTTTTACGCGCTATTTCCAGCGCTTTCGCATACATCTCTTCGTCACTCATCTTCCTCCGCTGCTGGTGATGAGCGACACTGTGAGGTCGCGTGTTGCGATGTTCTGACAACCGCCCGCTTTTACTCGCCGCAGGCCTATCGGGTTTACTGGCCCCGAGTTTTGGGGAGATGGCAGGTGACCTTGGCGCTTCAGGTACTACAGCCGGCACCGCTGGGGCAGCTGGCGCGGCTCCAGGCAAATAGTCCATGGCATCACTAAACTCGGCCTCTTCTTCGACATCGTCAATGTCGTCCAGTTCCTGTCGTAGCCCGGTACCGTTTTGGCGATAACCGGAATCCTGCGTAAAATCAGACGTAAATTCACTGAACTGCGAATCCGGGTCCTGTACGTTCCCGGAATTGCTTGTCGTCAGAGTTTCGACATACTCGAATCCGTTGACCCTCCTCACAGTCTGTCTGGTAATGGACTGAGTACGCCCCATACGGTCTTTGATCTCGGTGGTTTTGACCGTGATAGAACCCGTATTACTGGCCATGGAATTGGTCCTTGACCCAGCCCCGTTGGCTACTCTTCGCGGTATCTGCGACCGCGCGACTCCCGTAGTCAAAGATCCGGTCCGTCCATTGGAATTCATCTGTCTTGACCGCATACTGTAGCTTCGAGGGCTTGTGTCCATGTTCCGCGGCGTACCCGCCAGCGACGTTGGATGAATCATTGAGTGACTCCTGCCCGCAGCAGCGGCTGCTGCTGCCGAAAGACCTCTACCATTTCCTTGCTCGTTCTCGTAGTACTGCTCGTACCTTGACAAATCCGGCGCCCTGTGTTGTTGCTTTTTATGAAATCCTAGAACCATTGAGATTCGCTTGTAAAACGATTGAAGAGCTGTCTGGCTAAGTGACGGACTTTGAGAAAGCGAAATCCCTTTGAATTTTTGATAACCTTGGCAGAGGGACGTTCGCAATAACTTCAGATAGAGAACAATCACGTGACTGATATTTAAATCACGTGATCACAGCTTCCAGAAGGGCATCGCTCTCGAGAAGGGTGGTTCTAATGTTGCATCACATTAGCATGGTGAGGGCGCAGTTGTCGGCGTTTGGCGACGAGGTTCCCTCAAAATGCGATGGGAGGGCTTTTGAAAATGCTCATTTTTGGTTGTTCTGAGAGTCACAGCGGAACAGATGCGAAAACGATTGACTGGCGATTGAAAGTGGGCCGTGGCTAAGTCGAAATCATAGCCCTGTGTGTTTTCAATCATGCAAATCTACTAGTGTCACGTTGGCGTACCAATAGGCCAAACGCAGCTGTTCTACTCCGAACGCCACTTTAGGAAATTCGGTACCAAAATCTAGAACTTTAGCAGTAGCTGTGACATCGTGTCGCTCCAATAAGCACGAATTCTTACTCCTCCCCTTCTCAAGTAGTCCACTTCTACTTCTTCACCGTTGTAAGATGGTAAAGTCAGGGGGAAGATAGCCGCCGTGGCCTACTTGGCTCTTTATATACTAAGCGATTCACGTTAATAGTGATATCCGAGACGGGCTTCTATCGCCGATCGCGCGAGTGGGCCTAAAACCGCCTTGCGTGATCACCGATAGGTGAACAATATTTATTGAAGTGTGCCATTGTCGGCAGTCGATAGGTTCTTGAACTGGTCATTCAATTAGTTGGTAATTAATTTAAAGAATAAGGCAAATAAGAGGTTGAGCACTTCTGTTTCTCCGTGATTATCTTTCGACAATGGCCACTACGATCCTGGACATATCGGCGCCTTTTATTTATTTTTCTAACACTGTTCCAACTTCAGAATTCGTTACTTTCTCCCTACTAGACGGTGAATTCTTTTCGTAAGCCATCCATCATACCACGTATGCTCCGATTACGGTAATATGAGGATTCTAGAACTGTCGATGGAATTGTTTGAGCTTTCAATGCTTTCACAGTAAGCGAACCGTCCGTTCACTCTTCTAATTTTATTCTGTCATCGTGATCACGTGAAAATGCAATTGAGCGATATCACTTTCTCCATATCTCCTTCCAACAATTCATAATCAGATCAAAGGTCAATTCGAATTGATGGGTTGCGAAAGGGTTGTGATCCAGTTGTGATTCGGTACAATTCCTACTCACCGCGTGAGCAGGAAGGAAAGAAAATAATCGCCTCTTCCGTATATGAGTATTAAGCAAGTAGCGTCAGTGTTAAGCTAGCGACAGACTTGGCAATAAATAATGTTTACAAACTTCAACAATTATCAATTTTACCTTAATTACCATGCACACCTACTCATTGGCACCCAAAACCAATGAAACTCTAGACAAAAGCTTGAACTTCGAACTTCTCAAGGCCCTCTTCGAGGGCCTTGGGAAGGGATTTTTGTGAGTTATGGGGAAGACCCCACCTGTAGCAACGAAGTAAAACAAAGATCTTGGTACAAAATGACGGTCCGGGGTCCATATCCAAAATATGGAACGAATCCACAATCATTCTACCAGGAGATTAATCCTTGTTTTCAGATGTTAACCTTTTTTCTGCTGAGTCAGCTGGATCAACTCCATGCGAACAAGACGTCGAAATTTGTCAGAATGATGCGTAATTAGTCGGAAGTGACAAAATCGTCAAACCTTCGCCCAGGTGCTGGATGCGCTATTTCAAGTTAATGTAACTGTGAAAAAATTGGCTGGCGTGAAGACATAATGTGCTCCGTTATTGGGTTTGTTGAATTCACGTCCTTGCGAGGAATAAGAGCTCGGAATCTGTCCCCACTTGAGTAGCCTCTTCCGAAAAGATCCGAATTGACAAGCACTCCAGTGCTGATTGAAGTTAGGAATAAAATTCACGTCTGACGCTTTGCCTGGGTGGTCCATTGCTTCTTATGTTCAATACTAACTATTATTATTCCTTTAACTCTCAATGCAGATTATGGCACCTCTTCTAGATGACCGCTGGCGAAAACTCTGACATTTGTCACACCAGCCATAGTTCGTGAGGCAAAGCATGCGTTCCAACCTGAAAAATGTATGCTTACGAACACATAAAGCGAAACCAGATCAATAAGCAGTTAGGTGAAGTAGAAATGCGCATCGCAATGCCAACAAAAGGCGATACATGAGTCAATAACGTGGTTGTTTTATTTTATTGTTATAATAGTTTTTCTTTTCTTGTTGACAGCTGTTAATTCAATTTTCTTCTTAAATTACCATTTATTACCATCGGTAATTCGGGCCCTGACGAAGAGCTCGAACACCGAGGGAAATCAAGTACATCCTCTAGGTCGGTTGCTTACGCAAACATACATCTCAACGCTATTCACATCCGTTCCATAAACTTGGCAGCTCCACCGATGGTTATCATTCCCTTCATCACAAGTATTTTCACAGATTTCTGAATAATACCCGAGTCCGCCAACAGTCCAGCCTGTTTGCATTTGCTCCCAAGTAACTGAAAAGGGAATCACAAATGCTGAGTGTGACTGCATGCCCCGTGCCACAGAGAACAGAGGTCGCCCGCCTTTGCAAGTTGATTGGGCTTGTGTCATCTGTAAGGTAGGGGTCAGTGTGGTTTCCGGCCAAGATTCCATGTGCCCACTCTCTCTCCGAGAAGAGATCGATCTCGTTTCCACTTACTAAACATTCATCGTAGTAAACTGTGGTATCATTTTTTCCCACGACAAGCAACCCAGTATCGTTAGCTGCCTCAATTAAAATCCCTGCAATCGAATTTGGATATTGTGCAAATGTCAATTCAATAGGACCATTCTCCAACTCGTTTTATGCTTGGAAGAATGCAAGCATTAGATGTTACGAAGAGATCAAATCTCACAAAACTTAGTTCACTCATTTTTCTAATTTCTGGCCGCATGGAATAGCTTCTCGTGGGAGAATTTATCGTAAAGTCGAGCTCAATATATATCTATGACCAAATCGCATGTCCAACAGGTTGATTTTCAGCTCTCAACCAAAAGGGAGGTGAAAACCTGCCGATATGCAAACACGCCTTCGAAAATGCCAAGTCTGAATTACGTGTTTGAAGATATTTTGTTTCTTTTGCTTTCGGACTTTAGTTCATCAACTGTAAGGGCAAGCATAGTGAGATCCTATTGATATATCGTAAAACTATATAGGGCGTATCTCGAAGGCAGCCATTTTTCGAGAGGTTATTATAAGGGAGCGCAGTTCAAGCGAGGACGTAAGCTTAGAACCTAGTTTAAACTTTTTTGCCAAGGAAGGATCTGACGAGAGCTTAAGATCTAAACAGAGAGATGGATCCTTTGGCAATGAATCCTGCCCGCAAACGGCTTCCTCGCGATGAATACCGGTCAAAAATCATTTTCCAGACCAAGAGATGGAGATTTCTATCAATATGTCTCGCAAGTGAATTTATTTTCTGTATCTAGCTATGCGTCTTGAGTGTTCAGTACGATGCTATACCTGCCATCCTAATTATCGTGTTGTTGGGAGGCTCAGCAATGGCTGCCACGGGACTGACTACTTACTGGCTAAGAAGAGACAGTGGGATGGACACATTTCAAAACCTGTTGTTATTGAAGGAAATTTGCAAATATAAGCCGGGATTGAATTTGACAAAATGGGACTCAATCGCCAAAAATGTGAACTTGTCATGCCAGGAATGTCGCCCAGATTTTTTTATGATGGCGACGAATGCTTGTCTTATTTCCGACGTGTTTTCTTAGATCTTCACAATTCATCAACTGAATTCGAAGCGTTGAGACCATATGTTGGCCTAGCAGTGAATGCTTATCATGAAGGAATCGCCGCGAGTTGGGACGAGTTAGATGCCAGAGAATGTGGTGACGCTCGCGAGAAAGAAGATTAGAGTGATTGAAGAGATGCAGGTCATTAAAAGTTGAGCTATGAGGCTCTGAGTTGTGGGACTTCAGCTCTACAGAAGTTAACTATTGACCCTTGTCCATAGGAAATGCTAAGTTTTAAAGTGGCATCTCCTACTTTTCTCGCTTGTCTACCAAGCACATGGGTCTCAGACATTTCACATATACTAAACTGTCAAATAGATGAAATCCAGTTCGGGAGGTTGCCATGAATTCCGTGAAAGTAATAATCAAACAACGATAACTAATAGAGGATCTCTCACTACTCGTATGAGCTCAATTTTGTGTTGGAAGCTCTGCAATTGTGGATCACCATTGAAGGTTATTTTATGTGTGAAAGATATAATATTTACGCTCTCGAAAATGACATAAACAGACTGTCAACACGCTGAGAAGTAAATAGCAAGTGCCAAGTGAGCCCCCTCCCTGTCAGTGCGCTCACTTTCAATCTACCTCGCTTTCTGCTTTCGACTCTCTTCCCCATAAATTTTTGACTGGCGACAGTTTACTACATAGTGATAAAAAAGTAGACCACGCTGTCAATGAATAGCCCATACGTCAAGTAACAGACACTAGCGAGCATCGTGCAGCATTGAAACATCTCTTTTAACTCTATGACAACATGATACCTCATAGATCTCTTGACCGCTCTGCGATAGATGCCATTGAAACTCGAAACAGACCTTTAAGACTCCTGTGACATTGCAGGGAGTACCACGGTTTAGATCCCCTGCTGTTACGTAGCACACACCAATTAAGACACTCAAGCACTCAAATCTCCGCAATTCATCTGAGCTCCCTCAAACTCTCTAAATTACTAAAATCTCGAAGTTTTAAGTGCGGCAAAAAATAATCTATAACACTTAACTCGAGAAATCCGTTCAACAGCGTCTTTTGGTACCATTTGTGTATCTACAACAATCTTTTGGCTTCGAAACCTGGCTTTTTACGTGGCATGGTTCCTCCTATTGGCCGAGTGATGCGTTGTAATAAGAAAGAAAAAATTTTAGACCGGGCAAAATCACGTAACATATTTATCATTCCAATACAAGGAATTCACCTACAACTGGCAATCAAACGATCCGGTTCACGTCAATTCTAGACTTCCCACTACAGTCTCGCCATAAATGTCTTCGAAGGACTTGAAACACGTTCCAGAATCCATCAGAATGGTCCTAATTGGTCCACCAGGTGCCGGTAAAGGTACGCAGGCTCCTAATTTGAAAGAAAGGTTTTGCGCGTGCCATCTTGCCACGGGTGACATGTTGAGATCACAGGTCGCCAAGAAGACCGCATTGGGTCTAGAGGCCAAGAAAATCATGGATCAGGGTGGTCTTGTCTCGGACGAAATCATGGTCAGCATGATCAAACACGAACTTACGACTAACCCAGAATGCAAAAACGGGTTCATTCTCGACGGTTTCCCAAGAACCATTCCACAGGCGCAAAAACTTGACCAAATGCTTGTCGAACAAAACAGACCTTTGGAAAAAGCCGTTGAACTCAAGATCGACGACGAATTGCTTGTATCAAGAATCACAGGCAGACTCGTGCACCCAGCTTCGGGCAGATCTTACCACAAGATTTTCAACCCACCCAAGAAAGAAATGACTGACGACGTCTCTGGCGAACCACTTGTCCAGAGATCCGACGACAATGCCGACGCTTTAAAGAAAAGGCTTTCCGCTTACCACCAACAGACTGAACCAATTGTCGATTTTTACAAGAAAACCGGCATCTGGTCCGGTGTCGATGCTTCTCAGCCTCCAAAAACCGTGTGGTCCGACATCTTGAAGTGTTTGGGCAAAAATTAAGCTAACGACGTCGAAAAAACCAACAAAGTGATCCTTTTTACTCAAAGACACTATCTGCACCGACACTTAAGCCGGGATCGCGATTAATGCTTATATATGTGCTCAATCGACTCCATTATATATAACACGTCTATCTTGTCTTTGTATAGGGCTTCCAGGGTCTTTGCTCATATGGAACGGTCACCAAAATTAACGAGTTCGTTGTAAATCAAGGATATGGCGATGACAACTGGTTAAAGACTGAAACAAATCAACAAACCGCTAGAGGTCCATCAACCTGGGAAGTTGCTAGAATGTCAGTGAATGACAGAGCCGTGCGAAATTCGCCCGGCGGCGAAAAATCAGGGCACATTACAGTGGGATTGGTGGGCCCAAATCGCATTCCATTGTTTAAGTCGACGCCAACGCCGACCAAAAGGAACCAAAGTATGGAAAAGCCAAAAGGTAAACGTCTCAGCGATGAGGAAAACGCGTCCAATCGGCTTTTAGGGCTTTTGAAAAAGAAAAATGAAGAACGATCCGATAGCGGGTCTCCCGTTGGTTTGAAATTTCGACAAAACGAGGATAAAAATGCTGGTGACCCCCGAGGTCCATCAAGAGCTGTGAGAGCTGTCCCTGAAAAAATTCCGGACGATTTGATGATGAAAAACGCGCCCAACGAGAATCTGTCCGTCGCCTCTGCCTATAATCGTGGCGATGCACAAGACAATTGGCAAGACGCGTCTTCAGTGCTTCCACAACGACCAGCTACTCCAAAGATCCAAGTTTCACAGGGTTCTGATGACACAGCTACCGGAAAATTGTTTTTGACTCCGCAACACTCCAAAAACCCGGTCAGTAAAAGAACTACCCCCACCACTCTTCCCAAAAAGCACGAAAGAAGCTCCAAAACTGTCATATACAGGATGAAACGAAGAAATTCACCTTCGAGTCGCAACGGCTCTGACAATATTGACGACGAACCGTTACATACGGAAAAAGCTGCGACTGCGACGCCCAAGAAAAGGAAAACAATGTCTACCGAAGAAACTGCAAAAGATATCGAAGCTAGGGACTACGCACCAAATGCGGACACGCCGAAAGCATCTCCACAAAAATTGACCACGAATTCTGCTACGAGACCTGGCCATCACCTGAATGCTGGTAGTACAACGAGTGCTACAAGAAACTCTTTAGAATATCCAGAAGAAACTACTCCAGTTCGTCAACACGCGCTACCAAGAATACGAAAGTATTCAAAAGCCTTTGAGAATGTCAATAATGAACGTGAGAAAGAGAAACGAGGTGTGACTAGCAAGCGTGAAGTCAGGAATGATATGCAATCCGATCCTGTGAAGTCAAAAGAGAGTAGACTTAAGAAGTTGGGAATTAAAGAAAAGCGATACAAATCCATGAAAATGGCACAATCCACAACTGCTAAGCCAAAGCAAACCGGAGCAGAAACTACCAGAAAGCATAAAAAAGCCATGTCCAGTGTATCGAGCCCCAGCTCCTCCGTAAGGAAAAAGACTATCACTCTAAGGCCCGTACGATCCTACGGGGACGAGCCTAATGGATCTGCCAAAATTAGCCGTTTCCCACCATTATCGGGATCAAATTCTGCTGAACGTGCGCGATCGGACCTTTCACAATTATTGAATGAGAATGAAATGGCTGACTTCAAACCACAGATTTTGGCCGATATAATGAAGTCCACTTCTGAAATTTTAAGAAGACCTTCTGCTACACCATTGAGCGGGAATAGACCTACTTTACCGCTCCCAACTAGCTCAACATATTTGCAAAATGTCGTTGAAAAAATCGATAACAACTTAATGCTTCAGCTTAAGACAAAAATCTCTGGTCAATGGCCTCCGAAATTCGAAATAACAACTGAAAATTCTATTGAGAGGACTGAAGTCACCAAACAGTTGCCAGACGGCGGCGCATCAAGCAACAACGCGAGTTCAGAGCTCGGGAAAACCCTGTTTGGCAATGAAAGCAGAGATAGTTCTTTTGCTGAGAGCAAGGGAGCTGTAGATCAGAACATAAATCCTCACAGCCTTGAGGACGTGGCAAAGCTAACGGGACCGAACGTGTCTTCACACGATAGGAAAGCTCCAGTGCTGGAAGTTGCTCTTGAGAGGTCTTCTGACTCCCCAAAAATGATGAATATTCAAAATATCAGATTAATACCGCTGAGGGCTGACTCGCCCAAACAAATATCTCTCCCTAAGCCGCTTCCGTTACTCAGTTGCGCCACGAATTCTGCGGATAAATTGGAAAAAAGGGCTCAAGTTTTAGTGGAAGAGAGACCATTAGTCACGCCCCAGTTGCAACGGCAGATCCAGACAGCGGTTCATAGCTTGACTGCCAGTGGCGAGAAAAAAATCGCCTCTTTTGAGATTCTAAAGAATCCTGTTGACCCCAATAAAAATTCGGAGTTAGGGACAGGAACGGAAGAGCAAAGAGATAAAGAGAGGTTACAAGATACTATAGCACCCGCTAGTGGGAAGCCACTGAACATTGTTTCTTCTGTCGAAAACGTTTTTGGTGGAAACCTCACTGAAGAAATAACGACGGAAGCGAACAAAGTTGTTGAAGGATCGATAACAAATACAGACCCTAGAAATAGACTTTCTAGATTAGGAAATCAGACGGTGAACAATCCAAACGCAAGCGAAGAAGCCGAGAGTGCCCAGGTTAGCAGGTATTCCGCAGGTCCATCGAAGGTCTCGAGAGTTCCAATTTTCAATGCAAATAATCAATGGAATGGTGGTCAATCAAAAAGAAGTCAGAATTTGATTCATAAGACTTTAGACAAAGAATATAAAGCTGAATCGAGAGTTGTCGATAGGTCTAATGTTGTTACAGACGTGAAGTCGGGTGCTATTGATGTGGCTCAGGAACTCTTGGGCAAAGACAAATCTTCTTTGGAAGAAAATGCTCTCAAACTAAAGGGTAGTCCCTTGCGACCAGACAGCGGCCAACTTAAGAAAGCACAACAGGTGGATCCGGAGAGAGAACAGAAAAGAGCTGAGCGTGCTGTTGGTCGGGAGATCCAGAAGAACGTAGCCTCACTCAAGTGCTTGAAAAAGACAAGAATCCTGGAACTTATACAAATGGGCATCGTTAATCATACGCCTTTCGAAGGTGGAAATAATGTTACGGTGAGTAACAATATTTGTAATATTAACAATTACGAAATTAGTCCTGTGTTGTACCTTCAGCACTTATCCAAGAAAGGGCGATTGACATCTAAAAATTTCGACAAAAGAGAAATAATCAGCGATTTCCCGGTGCACTTCAACTCTCCAGCAGCGGTAAGTAAACTGCGGGACGATTTGCGAGGCATTAAAATTTACGTTGATGAGGAAGAGCTCATAAAAAAGATTGGAAACTCAAATCCTTTCCTCTTGCAAAGAGTCAAAGATATGCGGGAAGGTTTTTCCAAGCTTAATGCTGTTTTTACAAATGATCTTAACTCCGATGTCGACCTCTACATTTGTTCTCCGAAAATAAAGGTAGCAAAGTCTGATTTAAAGAGTCTTCAAATGGCGGAGTATTTGGGAATAAGAATTTGGAGCTTCAAGTACGCCGAATGTATGATCCGCAAATTCCATATGATCAGCGAACCGGACATTATTCTGAAAACGACACAAAGCAGCAACAGCAAGGTGGGCAGCCTGGATAGTATCGAAGCTGAAAACTCGAGGAAAATAGACGTACAAGATCAACCCGATGCTTTCAAGGGCTCAGTGGATGCTGACAACACCGATGTAGAGAACATCGGAGACTTCTTTTCCTGCATTGATGAGCGACTGAAATCGGGACAACTCAAGGAGAATGAGTCATGTGAAATGGCAAGAATGCTTTTCGATCTGTCGCAAGAAGTTTGCTCCGCATATAACGAAGAAACTGCAGCACTAAAGAACGAAAATATGCAGTACCGGTCCCTCATCACCTCTCTCACACGCTCAGCTATGCAAGAACAGATCGAGATAGCTGGTTTGAATGGACAACTGCAGAAAGCAAGGGAAGACATCAAGAGTGTCAAGGAAGAGTCAATTTCTAAAGATCATGAAATATCTCAGCTTCGAGCGAAGATTAAAAAAATATGCTATGAGGACAAAGCTTTAGAGGAGGAGAGCAGGAATTTGAAGGCCACATCTACTGAAAAGAAGAACGTCAAGAGTGCTAGTGCCAGAAAGGCAGATAAGGCTTCAAGTGACATCTTTGACAACACCGTTTTGCGTAACATCACGTTGATAAAGGGCGCTTTAAAAGCGCGTGCAGGGGCCACTGCGCTTTCTTCAAAAACATGTACTCCCGCAGACAAGAAGACATGGCGGTTGGACGAAAATGCAGCACAAAAAAAGCAAGTTAAGATGACGAAGGCTACTGACAACGATCTGAAGGCTGACCTTCTCAGCTCCAGTAAAATGGTTGTTACGTTAGATGATAAGTTAGCAGAGGTGTTGAAAAATTTAGAGCTGGAAAGGAATTCTCGTAGGTCTGACATTGAGAGACTAGCTCGAATCATGCAAAAGAAAGACGAACAATTGGCTCTGGTCTCGTCACTTTTGCAGAAGGAGACGAAAAAGAGGAAAATTTTAGGTGAGAGGCTGAGGGCGTTTGCTCATGGTCTTCTAGCGCAGGATGAAGACGACGACATTCCGCTAAACAAGCAACGCAGATGAAGGGAGTGGACGAGCAGCTAGTTACACAAATCAATGCCGGACAACTTTGACCCTCCAAAAAATGTCTTCGAAGCCATTATCTGGGAAACTTGTGTTATGCATAATTCTGCAGTGGCGCAGTTATATACGCTTGTTGCATTATTTTAATTTTGGCATTGAATATATTCTTTGCCTATGTAGTTTAGCATTTAATGAACGCATCATGCGGGATTAATTGTTCAATAGGCCCTTAAGCTTCTCGAATCCTTTATTTATTGATTGCTGGGGTACATCCTTTACAGCTTCACAGAAGCACGTAGCATGATATAGCTTCCCCTCGGATTCGATACAATTTTGCCAGATCCATTCACCCAGATCTTCATTGTATATTGCGCTCGTTGTTTCTCTACAAATGGAGCATTGAAAAGACATATCCTCTGTTGATTCTGGAACAACGACGTATTTCTCACGCAATTTGGTCTCAATGATTTTGACATCTAATTCAGGTTTATTTTCAGATTTGTAGTCCACACTCTTTGATACTGTCTGAGCATTCAGATTGGCGAAGGTAGAGGCAGCGTCTTCGCTTCGCGTTGTGGATACGATTTCTTCGTCCTTGAAGGTAACCCATTGAGAATCATGCAAATACCAATTTCTGGATTGGATGTTTTTCGATGTCGCGCCAGATGCACCGACAGTGCCTTTAATTCTTTTATTAATTCTAAAATGCCAATCAAGGTGATCGCTTTCCAGTTTCTTTTCTTCAATAGAGTTCCCAAACCGTCGACCGCACGAGCTACACTTATTTGGTTTTGCCCTATACAACAAATTTGTGAGTTGGATTACAGCCGGGTTTTTCTGCATGACAGTTTGTTGACAGAGCTGTAAATTTGGAGTGTTGATGAGATCAAGGTTTAACGTGGAGAAATATGATTTCACATTGCCTAGTATATCTTGGAGTAATGACAAGGGGGGAAGTTCTAACTGAATTTCTTGCTCGTTGGTCTTACCAATTTTCCGATCCAACGTAACAACGGATTCGAAAGGTGGTTCATATATCAAATCTTCCTTTTTCAAAAGGTCGTATAACGATTGGACCTTGGATGTCGTGGCTGAAGCCTGCTTCGGTATGGAAGTATCGGAAGGTGGGAAAATATCAGAGGCATTAGGGAAGAAAGAGGATGAGAGCGTAGAAGAACCAAATAACGAAACGGGTTCGGATTCGCGAGGCACAGGAGTGTGTTCTAATGCTTGCGGCGGCGGCGTACTCAAAGATCGTTTCTGTTGAGCTTGCTGCTGTTGCAGTAAGGTTTGTTGTTCTTGAGCAAATATTTTCTTCAATTGTACTTGTACTTGCTGCAAAGCCTGTATGGGCATTCGCTCTCTTTGAAGTTCATGTTTGAGTTGTTCTAGAACTATTATCTTGGTATTCAACTTTTCATCTGATGGATATTGCGCGAGTCGACCCTTGGTGAGAAGGGCAAGTCGATCAATTTCTCTTAACAGAGACGGCACCGTTGGAGCAGGTGTGGTAGCTTGCGCATGCCGTTGATGAAGTGCACTGGCTTTGACCAAAAATTGTTCAATCCCATCTAGCGATTCTTTGTCGAAAAGTGGATCTCCCATAGCGTTCATGTTTGGTGCCATCCAAGTCTTGAACATCTTGATAAGATCTGTCCTTGTTTGATTATCGACGATTAGATACGTTCGCTTGTACAGTTTTGTCAAATTTCGGCTAAAATAGATAGTATATGGGCTACCGGCATTCTTGCAAATCGAATCCAAAACGTAAAAAGCGTAAAGCTTCTGGTTTGGCACACATCTTTCTATTCGCTTTTCTATTGCTTCTACGAATGGTTGGGCACACGAGATGTTTTCTTCTGCCATTTTCGTGAGAGTGGTTATAATCGGCCTGGAGTTGGCCGTCAATTCATCTAGAATACTGCAGAAATCATTCACAATCTTATCATGATCTGAGTCCATGTTGATCCAGGTACGACTCGGGTGTTGATGTTGTGGTGGTTGAGTTGTATTAGTTCCTGGAGTGGACATCATTTCAAGGTTCGGTAAAAATTGATAAATTTGAGTCGTGGAGCGAGTCGTGGAGCGACTCTGGGAACAGGTAACGAAACGACACAGGAAACGACACAGGAAACGACACAGGAACCAAGTCATAAAAAGAAGTCAAAACTCTCATGCAATGCAATGCGTGCTTATATAATACAACTCATCGACACAAAACCCAAGCACCATGGAAAGTAATTTTGTACGTCGCCTTCCATTCTCGGAAGCTGACAGCGAAAAGCTTCAAAGGCCACATCTCGGTGATACTTGTGTATACCACAACGGTATCGCGACGCCTATGAGACCGGCGCTTAAATATCAGACCCGTAGGCCCAAATACCATGTATATAAATTAAATGAATTGTTAGCGTTCAAACAACAGTGTCAGACAAACGAGGTAAGCTCGAGATTGCGACGCCAATTTCTGCAACAAAATGTTCATCACCGAAATAGCGTGGGAAAAAAAGAGTCGTCCGAAAAAATGAAAAAAAAAAAATTTCAGTCGATTCCATAGAGATAAAATACCAACGATCTGTCGGTTAAGTCTTCGAAGAAGTTCAAACGTTCTTATTGACTAGTAACTCAACGATGTCTAACGACAAGAAACAATCTGGTCTAGCACGTGTCTTGGGTTCGGCTTCCGCCGGTATTCTTGAAATCGGTGTTTTCCATCCAGTGGACACCATTTCCAAGCGGCTGATGTCGAACCATACGAAGGTGACATCTGCTTCACAACTTAACAGCGTGATATTCAAAGAACACGCTGGAGAAGCTCTCAGCAAGCGGGTGTTCACTCTTTTCCCGGGTCTCGGGTATGCGGCCGTTTACAAAATCTTGCAAAGAGTTTACAAGTACGGTGGGCAACCGTTTGCGAACGAATTTCTGAACAAAAATTTCAAAGCGGATTTCGATAATGCGTTTGGCGAGAAAACTGGTAAGGCTTTGCGGTCTGCGACTGCGGGGTCGATTATTGGTATTGGTGAAATTGTGCTTTTGCCCCTAGATGTTTTGAAAATCAAAAGACAAACCAATCCGGAGGCTTTCCAAGGTAGAGGGTTTGTGAAAATCTTAAAGGACGAAGGCTTTGGTCTGTACCGTGGCTGGGGCTGGACCGCTGCCAGAAACGCTCCGGGTTCGTTTGCGCTTTTCGGAGGTAACGCTTTTGCGAAGGAGTATATTTTGGGATTGAAAGATTACTCCGAGGCGACATGGGCACAAAACTTCGTTTCGTCCATTTTCGGTGCAAGCGCGTCTTTGGTCGTGTCTGCTCCTTTGGACGTTATCAAGACCCGTATTCAAAACCGTAATTTCGACAACCCAGAGGGCGGGCTAAAAATCATACAAAAGACGTTAAAAAATGAAGGATTCACTGCTTTTTTCAAGGGCTTGACACCTAAGCTACTGACGACGGGTCCTAAACTGGTATTTTCGTTTGCGCTCGCCCAGACGTTTATTCCAATTTTTGACAAAATGGTCAAATAAGGGCCCCATGTGACGCCTTGTAAATATAATGTCTACTATAGAAATAGGAAACGCGTTTGGATTATAAATGCTTGCCGTTACCTTGAGGGACTAGCAAGGCCTTGTAAGGAACCTTACGATGGGTGTTAGGGTCAAGTTATGTTGTCAGTGAAGGGTCAGACACGTGATAACGATGGCAGAAGAACTCACGAAGATTGGAATCCGGAAGCGAGAGAAGGCCCAGGTTATTCCAGGGACGATCATGAATCGCTACACCATCAAATTCGTATAACCAGCGGTATGATGAGTCTATGTGGAAAAGTTCTCAACACTTATCTTGCTTGAAGTAATAGACGATAATAGAATAATTTTACAAGAATTGTACAAGAGATGACATGGCCAGGTTTAGAGGTGTCATATTGTCAACTATGTAAAAACTGCAATACTTTTTATGATTTCCATCAAGAAGATTATGCGCGAGTACTTAACCTGGAAAACTGCCTACCACTGACGATGATGAAAATCAATGGAATATTTGAGCAAGCAAAGATTACTCCTGGTAAAGAGGATAATTTCTCAAAATGAAAGCAAATAAGCCCCTCCATACTCGACCACCAGAAATAATCCCCAATTGTTTCTCCCTGAATTATATTGCGAGTATCTTCAAGATCCTTCAAATTCTTCAAATTCTTAAAACTTCCTCGAAATTTGGACAAATAGCGTGACACAAACGCGAAGAACGCAGTTACATACATTAAGCACGTATGAGATATGCCACCCAATTGGATAACTATCAACCTTCATACCACCTAATTTGTGTGATTTGATATTCTATTTTATTATCAAAAACGTCAAAAAATATCCAATTCCTTTCCGGAAAAGGCTTACTAGACACATCATACGCTCAAACCAACATAAAAACTATCATAATGACTTCAAAATGCCCAGTAGTCACCAAAGACTCCCAATTCTCAAACCTTCAACTTCCTTTGCTCATCACTTTATCCTTTCGTGACATTGGCATTTAATACGTCATTCGACATTCCGTTGTCTCCAGTGATATCTAGAAACATTGATAAAGAAGAACTCGGTGAAGGGTTAAACCCTGGATTCAAACAAAACAAAGCCTCTGCGAAACTCGGTAGAATCAACTTTGGTCAACTCATATTTCGAATCGTACATTGTTAGAGATGGAACGAGAAGGAAGTCCACAGGGAAAAGGGTTATCTCCGCCGGCCATTCATAAGGGAAATCAGCAAGCACAGGACTTTAATGATCAGAACCGGGACCCCAATTTGACGTCTTTACCGCGTAGAAAGCCCGATATCTATCAGTACGACATCGGAAACATGCGTCAGGGACCCGGGGTGGGTAATGCTGGTATGTTATACAAAGATAGCAATGTGTCAGTGCCGTTTCAAAGCGCCGACGGAGCGAGCGATGCCGCTCAGATCGTGCCTCCAGGCTACAATGCGCATTTGCAGGTCAAAGAGACGTACCTTACGGGCCGTCCTTTGCTCTATTTCACCTCGGTGTTTGTGTCTTTGGGTGTTTTTCTGTTCGGTTACGATCAAGGCGTTATGTCGGGCGTAATTACGGGCAAAGACTTCAAGGACACGTTTAACGACCCTTCACGTGCGGCAATTGGTAACATGGTGTCCATCCTTGAGATTGGAGCGCTTGTAAGCTCGTTGATGGTCGGGAAATTGGGTGAAAAATGGGGTCGCAGGCGGACTATCAGGTACGGATCTTTCGTGTTCATTTTAGGCGGCCTTTTCCAGACTTTTGCGCTCAAAATGCGGGATTTGGTTATCGGCAGAGTTATAAGTGGTCTGGGTGTCGGATTGCTAAGTACCATTGTACCTATTTATCAATCCGAAATCTCTCCACCTCATAATCGTGGGAAACTTGCTTGTATCGAATTCACTGGGAACATTATTGGGTATTGCTCGAGCGTTTGGGTCGACTACGGTTGCTCATTTTTGGAGGGAAATGCGTCCTGGAGACTCCCGCTCTTCATTCAATGCGTTATGGGATCTGGTCTTTTACTCGGATCGTTTGTCATTGTTGAAACTCCCAGGTGGCTTTTGAACCACGATCACGATGTTGAGGGACTCATTGTAATTGCAGATTTGCATAGTGACGGTGATGTCCAAGATCGCAGAGCTCACGAGGAGTTTCAAGCTATCAAAGAAACGGTTATAATCTCTCGCTTGGAAGGCGAAAAGAAGAGTTACAGCTATGCGTTCAAGCGTTATAGAACTCGAATGCTCATTGCAATGAGTTCTCAAATGTTTGCGCAACTTAATGGTATCAACGTTATTTCCTATTACGCACCCATGGTGTTCGAACAAGCTGGGTGGGTGGGACGTGAAGCCATTTTAATGACAGGTATTAATGGTATCATTTACGTTCTTTCGACAGTCCCACCTTGGCATCTAGTGGATAAATGGGGTAGGAGACCCATCTTACTACTTGGAGGCATCGTGATGGGTCTTTCCCTTGTGGCTATATCTGTGTCGTTGTTCGTCAACGTCAGCATAACACCTCGCCTGGTTGTCATTTTCGTGATCATCTTCAATGCATTTTTCGGCTTCAGTTGGGGTCCCATACCTTGGCTTTTCCCCGTTGAGATCGCACCCATGGCAGTACGGTCGGCTATGGCTTCATGCTCAACAGCTACCAACTGGCTTTTCAACTGGCTGGTCGGAATCATGACGCCGATTTTGCAAGAAAAGATCAAATGGCGTCTATATTTAATTCACGCGGCCTCGTGTTTCATTTCATTTTGGGTCGTTTTCCGCGTTTATCCAGAGACGGCGGGTCTCCGGCTGGAGGAAATGGACTCTGTTTTTGATGATAAGTCGTCGACTTTCAGTTTTCACGGGTCTTTAACGGGCGTGGACGTCGATGCAGCATCTCTCAGTGCGGGAAATCCTACCCCTACTGCTGCCAGGGTACCAACCAACCAGCATGCTCCCGCAATGGAGCCGGCGAATCCGATGCTTGCTCAACAGAATGTGTTACTCAACCCCTCTTTGCCAAGTGGAAGTAATCAAAGTGTTAAATCTAAGCGCACGCTCGCTAGCGCTAACATGTTTACGGCAGATTCGATCGAACCGCCAACTTTGGAAGAGGTTTTGGAGTTCAAAAGACAGCAGCAAGGTGCAAAGCCCTTCCGTAAACTGGTAAGGAGAGGCTCTGAAACTGTTAATTTGATATACGGAAAGGTCAAGGGATTAGGGAGACATCAAAAAGACGACGGTGAATACGGAACAATACCAAATGCTGACCTCGAAGCATCGCAGGAAAACTGAAAGGAAAAATAAGACATCATGATATTTTAACAACAAAAGACCCCCATTTTTGTATTCTAAAAAGCTGGAAACAAATGGGCATGAGAAACGAATAATGCGCTTTCTGATTTGCGCCTCAGCATTCTATTACGTGCTATATAATGGTAGGTGTCGGTAGCCTTTTGAAACAAGCTATAAATTTGTCACCTTGCTTTCTAGCAACTTTCTTACCCTCTTCTGTTGCATTTCGCATAATTTGAACGCAAGCGTCTTGTTCTTCCCACTGTGAAGAGAGTCTTTCGAAAAGTGGATGTTCTTCTAGATGTTTTTTCATCCAATTGTGGAGATCTTCAACGTCCGTTATCGTGTAAACAACACCACCTTCTTTCAAGACGTACGCATATTCGCTTAAAAGGGTGTTGGTTATGATTCTTGCCTTATGCTTTCTTTGCTTAAAGTGTGGATCTGGGAAACAGAAGAACATCTTTTCCAATTGCGCTTTATGAAAAAAATTGGGTAGAAACTTCATGGCATTGCCTCTTAGCACGCTTATATTCTGGTATGCACTAGTTTCGGCGTTATTAGCTCGTAATGCAATGATTCTGTCTTCGACGTAGTTGGTCACTTGAACCCGGATTTCCATACCCAAAATCAATTTGTCAGGGAACTGAGGCGATAAATCCACGAGAAGTCCGCCAAATCCACATCCAATGTCTGCAATGGTCACTTGTTTGGTCATTAGGCCCGTTGATTCGTCATAAAATGCAGGATACAATAACTTCCATTCCATGTCACCTGGGCTCAATGGATACTCCAATTGATGATCAGAAAACGGATTAGAATGCGCACGTTGTCTGTAAAACCTTTTCCGGGGCAAATCCACTTTATTCGCGGTATTTTGTGTATCTATCTTGACGTGCTTCATTTCTTGTCGATCTTCTTGTTTCTTGGCCCGATACGCCTGGCGTTTGCTCGAGGGATCATCTAAAGACATGCCAGCTTTCATCTTGGTTGCAATAACTATGTAACACACCGAGCAAGATCCAAAACCAAGATTATCAGGCTCTAACTTGTTTCTTCAAGCCAATTTTTCAGTAGTCTAAAGTTGAGATGAGCTAGAAAATTTTTCAATATCTAGCTCATCGCTAATGTCAATTGTGGTCAAAATCACTGTCAATTACCATAAATACTGCTATAATCTTCCTCAACTACCTCAGTAATGAGTGTGAAGAGAGCCTAACATTTTAGTCAAACTGCGATCGAGAATGGGCTTCTACACGATGAGTTATGGTACCGACTACAAAACTCTGATCTTAACTGATTTGAGTGATACGGGTTTCTTCCTATATACATGCCTTCACTACTTCTTGTAGTATGGTAGAGACTTGCAGAGTCTCGTAGAGTTTTCCAGATTCTTTAAGAGTCGTTTAGAGTTCTTTCCGGTCTATTCTGTGGTCTCTTTACCCTCGCTCATATGGTCGTGGTGCGACGATAACGTCAAAAACAAAGCTTGAGAACCAGCTTCCAAAGTTCTGACAAGACCCGCACCGCTCAAAATATGCAAAAGTCCCAGCAATTGTGATTGCAGTTCAGGTTTAGTAGGTAACAGTTTAAACTGATTTAATTTAGCCAAATCCATTGCTTCAGACTCGACTTTTGCACCCACAATGAAAAGCTTATCGGAAGATTTTTCTAATTGCTTCAAAAGCTTTCCCACTTGAGCCGGATTCGTCTCCGGGAAACTTATGGCAGCAGTAGGACCTTGGAACAACCGTGACAATGGGTGGGCTCTGTTTTGCAATTTCCGCCTCACAGGTGCACATGGGTCCGGTAAATGTGCGTTTCTAAGATAAACCTGGAACAAGTCGTTTCTTATCACTGTCATTCTACCTCCCAGATCTTTGACAAGGGCTCTAAAATGCGCATTTTCTTGTTTGATCAAGTTATTGTGATGGGCAAAGAGAACAACGGGGTTCTTATCCATCAAATCTTTGTAGGAATCAATCAAAAACGTCTTTCTAGAGTCAGCTGGTTTGACCGTTACCCTTCTACGGGACGATGCAAATCGTACGGATCTTAATCCATATTTAGACCTTTGAAACACATTCCATATATTCTCGACCCCGCTGATCATTTTAAAGCACTTATAAAAGGCTTCAAACGGACTCAATTACTTGGTTTTAGCCCTCCTTACTAGTTGTCTTCTCTTAGTAGTTGGAAAATTTTCAGTTTCCATCTTCAAAGAAATGAATCTGATAGTTGTCGAAAAGGTTGAAACTGCCAAAGTGATGAAATGGAGGGCGTTCATCGAAAAACGAGAAAATTTATGAACGAAATAGGATAGTAGGTTTGTTTTGCAGGCGGATGGTTTTTTGCCCAATCGGGACGGATGGATTTTGACCCAGTTACTGTGTTGAAGAGACATTCTCGAACATACGGTCAAAATGGACAAGATAAGCCATGTGCAAGCCAATTTGAGCGTTGGAAACAACCAGAGGGCAGCCAAAGAGCATCCGGAGAGTGTTTGAGAATTAACCCAACTCAAGAGGTCGCATGAAAGTCTGTGGAAGTGTTTTAAGCACTGGTTTCTGTCCTCATATTCGAGCGATGTAGTCGGAGAAGCGAGAGCCACAGCACCCTCAGAAATTAGGCGATAATTACGTGTATGCGTATGCAGCTTCCGACCTTCTCAGCTTACCGTCAATTCCACGATCATAACGAACGCTCTTGGATGACCTCAAACCTGGAGACAATCGTAATCAAGGCTTCTACGAAATAAGTTTTACAATCACCAACTCCTGATATCGTGATCGCGACGACGGTTGTCTTTGAAATGAAGGAGCGAAAGCCATTTGACGCACTTTGCCGGACATATTTCGTATCCATCCCGCATTAACATTCGTCTTTTGACATATGATTATCGCGACACATTGGCAGCCTTTCTCAATGGAACGACGCCAACGTCGAAATAGAAATGAACCGAAGCTAATTCACAGCTACATCAAATCAATTCATTGCCAACAGTATGCTGGCGAACTCAACGCCAGCTGTAATGTCAGGTGTGATGAAAAGTAATATATTGGAGACTTCCATTTTTGACACAGAACAATTCTCTGCACAAACCTTGCGTTTTCTTCAAGCCACTAACTACAACACCGTTCGGGCTCGATTTTGATGGATCATATCTTTCTCGATGATTCTACTAAAGGGTAGCTAAAAATGAGTTAAATTCTGATCTTGAAACAGCTACGAGTTGCTAAAAATCGCAGCAAGGCTCCGCCCTATCGTGCACTGGCCAGTATCTCTTAGTCGCGTCGTTAGCACACGCAAATGGTAGTTGTACATTTGATCACGTGATTTGATTTTTAGTAGTTCAAGATACTAGATAGAGACTAACCAATATCTCATAGAACTTGGCTCGAGAATTTGACCATTGCCTAAATCCAATACAACGAGATTGGCTTAAGATTGATGAACAGTGACACGGTAGACTCTCGCAATCGTAATGCTGCGTACGAAAGATATGCCCCCCATCTTTCGGAATTCTATTCCATGGTCAGTGACCAAAAGGGTGTACCTGAATCCAACAACGTTGAAGAAACAGAAGCTGTTATATTACAATCACCTGCAAGGATTAGTTCTGCGTCTGCAATGCTAGGAGCGAGACGTGCGTCGTCTTTAAGATCTGGAATGAGTTCTGTCTCGGAATTGCAAACATTGGTAACCCAGAAAGATATGGGCCAAACAGTTGATGTAATGTCTCAGGTGTTATCGAGCATTAATGCTTATTCAGAAGAATTACGAACCGTATCACAACGTGCGAGTATGGTTGCAGTTTCTTTAGAACAAATGGCAAGGTTAAAGGGCTGCAATGACGCCACAGCAGAGAAATATTTGAGTTCAAGTGGACTTTTCCACGTTATGGCCAATCACCAACGCATAATGTCAGAATGCATAGCTACGACCATGGGGGCCACTTTGGCAGAGCGCATAGAAGATTTCAAGTATAAAAGGCGAGTACAAGAGGCCCGATTCAAGCAAGAGTTCCAAGGGGAGACACGTAAGCTTAAATTACAAGAGAAGTTCAACCAGAAATTCGCACAGAGGAAGACTCGCAACTTGGTCTCATATCGAGAAAATTTGGCCAATTTACAATTGCAATTGGACGAAATAGAAACCCTCAAACACAAATATTATCAGGACTCATACGATTTGGTCCAAGCCACTTGCGCAGATGTTTTAAAAGACGTGGCAACGGTTTCGCGTGCCCAAGTCGAAATAAGTGAAAATATAGCGAGAAAGGGTTGGTCAGGTGGAGGACTTGACGAGCTTATGATCGATGCGGACGATCCGTTCAATAAGAATACCAGCAACGCGGACCAGTCCGATGAAAGCGACAAATTGGGCTCTCACATGAGCAGTTTCAATACTCCGTTCTCTACTCGAGAACGATCAACTCCAATATCTACGGGCGTACGCATGCAAACCGAAAGCCCGGTAAATAGGTCGGGAGACCTGGAAGACGCAGACGACACTTTTGACAATTCCTTCTCCTTGCCAGCTCCAGGAGCAAATATAAACGGCAGTTACGGCGAGTCTCATAGCGATAAAGACGACGCTCGAGAGTCCAATCATAGCCAAGGCGCCGATGACGATCAGCCGAAAATACTTGATGGTATAAACGGACCTGTGACATAATCTCTGTAACTATAAAATGTAACGTTAATGAATTCACGAGAGTCTAAAACCTTTTAAACACCAAATTCGTAAAGCCCCCACCCCATACTGTAATCGTTGTAGTTGTAAAGTTCTCTTGCGCAAAATTGACTGGGACTTGAAATGCCCTCGCCTGCGCCTAAACTTACGAGTAAAGGCAAGAAATGATCAAGACTTGGATGCGCCGCGTGAAGAAGTTTGTTGGAATCAGAGTCTCGCTTAATTTTCTCAAACTGCGCCAGCTTAGAACCTTTTTCTCTTGGGGATGAGATGATGTTCTTGATAAGCTTGTTGAACTGCGATACGTAGGACCGTGGAGCAGCACCAGGTGTAAAAGACCGGAGATCGCTCAAATTGTGAACAGACATGCCCGATCCAATAATTAGACCACCCATAGTGCGGAAACTTGCTAGGATCCTGCCCAGCTCGTAAGACTTGCTGAAACTTTCGCCAGCGGGTAAAGACACTTGAATCACAGGTACGTCCAGATTCCAGTAGTCGTCTGTCTTCCCGCGAGGAAAAGCTACCTTCAAAGGTACCCATGCACCATGATCAAGGCCCCGTGAAACACTGCGAGCATTCAAATCTGACTCCGACCGGTTGATACGTTCAACGATCTTGTTCGCGACGTCAACGTCGCATCGAGAATGAAACTGTTCCTGGTAGTAGCGTGCCGGGAAATTATAGAAATCGTAAATGAGCGAGTTCTCCAGCGTTGTCTTTGTCGCCTCCTCATACGACGGGGGTGAGTCGGGCGACTTCTGTACAGGCGAAGACTGCGTTGGAACGGCAACTTCGATGGAATTCAAAGCCTCAGATTCCCAATGGCCCGATACAATGATAATAAACTTCACAACACCGTTTCCCCGAACATAATTGCCAATTTCTTGAACTTTCTTGTAAGCACCTGGATTCCCACCGAACTCAGCATCCGGGTCCATGAAAGAGGGTCCACCGTGAGACCAAAAAAAAACTGGCAGCGGTTCAGAGTCCAATTTCCTCCCCCCGACAATCTCTTCACGCCTTTTCCTCTCCTCCTTCTTCTTTTTCCGATGTTCGATCATTTTCGATGCTCCGATGCCTGCGCCTGCAATAATCAAACCCAACATAACTAGACCAAGCGAAACTACTCTCTGGTATTTATCTCAAACGATTATCAAAAACTTCAAACAAAGCTTTTGGACCTTTTGTCAAGGTCTCTTGTTTCCACAAGGAGTTTCTTATGTGATCATGACTAAGGCTTAGGAATCAAAGGTCGAAGAGGCTACGACTTTGAGAATTGAAATTTCGGGAATTTGCACCCGTGACGACTTTTGACGTAGTATCGGCTTCTGCGAGTCTAATTCAGTATATACAGGATTTGCAGCCGGGCTTTTCACCAAAACTTGTACCAGGGCTTAGGACTGCTTGCAACTGACGACGACGGCGTCGTTGCAGTTGTGTGACCTTCCCATTCCTTCAAGACACGCTTATCGTTAACAGGTTCGTGCAACATGGGCCGTTCCTTGGCCGCGACCGCGTCGCGGGCCATTTGAGCTACGTGGAAGCTGCGTTTTCTCTTGAGTCGACATTGTTCCCAGCCGACGATACTGCCGAGCATGAAAGCCCCGACGGCCCAATTGGCCGCACGGGCCGGATTCTTGTGGTATAGGAACATGACGCTGCCTGCGACAAACATGCTCGCGAATCCGCTCATCCCGGCGTCCCGGAAACACGGAATCGCAGTAAGACGTTCGAGTGAAAAGTCTTGCCAGGAAACGGTATTCCAGGCCTGCTGAAGCGACGCTTCTTCACGTTTGCGAGCTGCCTGGCTCTGGGAACTGTCTGAAAACCGTGGCGTAGTGTCTTCTAACAAGAATCTGCGCCCTCCTGTGTAGTTTTGTGATTGACGGTCTTGCTCCGATGATTCGTGAGCGGGTTCATGTGTGGAGTTCAATTTGATCGGTTCTGGTTGGTTTTTGCCGCTGGAAAAGGGCCATACCATGATTTGTACACTTTTAAGGCTGTCTAGATACGATGCGCAGCGCTTCCAAAGCGGGTTTAGGGGACTATTTTACGCTGTTTGTTTGTTAATTAGGAGCTCATCGATAAATCTACTAATACCATTGCACTAGTTGAAGAGTAAGAATAAACTTGGAAAGGAGCGCCAAGTGGGGTTCGAACAAGGAATTGAGCCTAATATTTATCATAACACACGGCAATAACCACTAGGCCATTGCGGTATACAATATATGCCCGTGTACGATGCGGAAATCGCGTCACCATACCAAAACCCGAAAAATGCAAATTTCGCACTCTCGAGCTCTGAAAACCGGCGCTAGAACTGCCAAATTCTTCTTTTCGACTGCCTAATTCTCTGCGTGTATAGCATTCCGTATCTAGCCCGGTTTTCGCTTTGTTTGTTTATCTTGTCTTTACCTTTTGGTGTTCACATGGTTTACCCATTGATTCTGGCATCAAGACAAAAAGAATATCGGCTAGAATGCCGAACATTAGTTGTAAAACACCCAAAACAGGCCTACAAGAAACCCAAAGGACATGAAAAGCCGGGAAAAGCTGTACGAAAACCATATTAACATGTACCCGCCCGGGTTTTCGGGAAAATTTGAGTCGGAGCAGCCCAAATTGGCGCCGTATCCGGTAGAAGACACACGGGAAGTTATCAACCCAGTACCGCTCAAATCGCGAGAAGGTGGGTCATCATCGAGTTCTACGCCGAGCCAGACGTCGTTTAAAGTCACATCGCCAAATTCGGCCCGGTACGGGCTCGCCTTCGCCTATGCAGGACCCAAATCTACAGATTCGTTGAATGCACGGCCTGCAGCGCAGTTCAGCTCGCTCAACAGCTCTGTTGACACTTTCGAGAGCGCTAGCGACGTGCAAATACCGCCACCGCCTTACGAAGATGATCAGACGCAGCGTTTTCTGGAACAGAAGGTGTACCGTCGACCAGAGGATCTTATCGCGACAACGACGACGACAACGAGTACGACAAGTTCAACAACTTCAACAGGTTCAACACGTCCTTCACCGAAAAAGCCTGCTGAACCGGATCTTTCTACTTACAGTAAAGAAGCACTCGAGTTTCGAAGCGCTTACGAGACCGCTATTGGCGATGGCACCAATTTTACCGCGACGACACAATTAAAGTGGTGCGAGACGTTACTGACGTACGCGTTCAAGCCTGAATTCATATCCAACTACAATATAAACGCGGCAAAGCTTAAACGCGAACTGACTGCCGCTGAGGTGCAGAAAAATCGGAAAATTATCTTAGAACACGCGCTCAAAGTGCTTACTAAACTCATCTCACTCGAACATCCGCCCGCGTTGTATCTAATGGGCACACTCTATTCTCATCAGCCGTATCTGGACATGGACGTGAAATCCATTTTGGGTCGTAATGACGCTAAAGCTTTGGATTATTATGTGCGTGCGGCCAAATTGCGGCACGCAGAGGCTTGTTATCGCGCTGGCGCGAGCTACGAGTACCAGCGCGGAACCGCACCGGAATTGTCGCGAGAAGAGTGCGTCAAGCATGCCGTTGACTTCTACGAGATGGGTGCAAAGGTTAGCGACGACGGGAAATGCATGTACAAGCTTGGCATGCTTGCGCTGGCCGCGATCAACCCTCACAACGCAAGAGAGCAAAAAGTGATAGATGCCATTCGCTGGTTCAACGAGGCAAGCTCTAAAGTGTTAGGGGCAAAGGCTTCGCCGCAAGCGTTGTACGAGCTGGCGAAAATATATGAGTTCGAGGGACTCCCGGCACCTGTACAGGCGTCGCTTGCCGCTGCCGGTTTTTCGCGCGACGCGACCAAAGCACTCGCTTGTTACCACCGGTGTGCCACCGCTCTTGAGTATCCGCTTGCACAGTGGAAGCTCGGCTTCTGCTACGAATTTGGCGAGCTCAACTTGCCAGTTGTAGCGAACAAGTCCATCGCATGGTACGCAAAGGCCGCGATGGCAAGTCCGCGTGGAAATCCGATTGCGATGATGGCCCTGAGTGGGTGGTACCTGACTGGGGCCACGGGCGTACTTCAGCCCAACAACCAAGAAGCCTTTAAATGGGCATCTAAAGCGTGTACCGCGTCTGACGGGAAACTGGCGCGCGCAGAATACGCCCTTGGGTTTTACCTGGAAAACGCAATAGGCTGTGAGCGAGATATGGAGGCTGCTCGCGTCCATTACCACCGGGCTGCCCAAAGTGGCCACCGAAAAGCACAAGAACGACTCAACAAGGGTGATCTGTAAGAACTCACGTGCCGAAAAGCAGGACAACGTCGTTGTCATGACCAAGAGAAACTCAAATGAACCAAAAGTACCTCCAAGAAGCTGGAATACCCTAAGGGAGCCTCGGACAACATTTTGGAGGCCCACACCGGCCATCGAGCGCTGAAACTCGGTCAGACTAGCCAACGCCAAAATTGCGATCTGAAAACGAGCTTATCTCTACGAGTTTTCTACCGAAAAGCATCTTTTTCTCACTGAAATGTTCCAAGTCTTGCTCGGTATTGAATTTAACTGGTATTACCGTCTAATTCGCTTTCCTAGTCTGTCTTCTGCCCAACTTTGTTCTGGTTCGTTACTTTGACGTTCAGCGCGATGCTCATCGGCCAATGATTTTCCTTTTTCCAGAAGGACAAATTTTCACCAATAAAAAATAAAAAAGGCCCGAACTGGTTTAACCCAAAATCTCGACATATCGATCAATTAGCGAGCTTTAAAAGAGGCTTCCGATCTCAGTCAAGGATGGAGTCTATTGCTCGGCAATCAGTTAAACTATGTCCCTTTTTGAACAACGCTTCTAGCTCAATGCAGAGTGTGAAACGGCTTCAACAATCGAACGTTTCAGCTATTGCCAAAAAATGCCCTTTCATGGGCAAGGCGATGCAAACAGCCGGATATGCGAGTTCTGCGGCTGCGAATGTGGCCGCGGCGAATGCTAGGAACTCTGAAAGCGATTTGAGGTCCAGCGATGACGTCCAGGAATCGGCTTTTGTTAATCATGGCACTCGTGAAAAATCGTTCGATTATGATGGCCTTTTCGAGCAGCAACTGCACGATAAGCGCACGGACAGATCATACCGGTTCTTCAACAACATCAACAGGCTTGCCAAGGAATTCCCGCTCGCGCACAGACAGCACGAGGAAGATAAAGTGACCGTCTGGTGTTCTAACGATTACCTTGCGTTGTCAAAGAACCAGCAAGTTGTGGATGTGATGAAGCGTACGCTGGACAAGTACGGAGCAGGTGCTGGTGGTACGCGTAACATCGCGGGCCACAACAAGCACGCGTTGAAATTGGAAGCAGAGATTGCAGCTTTACACAAGAAAGAAGGTGCACTCGTTTTCTCGTCGTGTTTTGTTGCCAACGATGCGGTGATCTCACTTTTGGGCCAAAAAGTTAAGGATTTGGTCATTTTCTCGGACGAATTAAACCATGCATCCATGATTGTTGGTATCAAGCATGCGTCTACGACCAAGCACATTTTTAGGCACAACGATTTGAACCACCTGGAACAGATGTTGGCATCTTACCCTAAATCCCAACCAAAGTTAATTGCTTTCGAATCTGTTTATTCCATGTCTGGCTCTGTTGCCGACCTTGAGAAAATTTGCGACTTGGCCGACAAATATGGAGCTCTGACGTTTTTGGACGAAGTGCATGCCGTTGGATTGTACGGTCCACATGGTGCCGGTGTTGCTGAACACTGTGATTTTGAAGCTCATCGTAAAGCTGGTATTGCTTCAACAGAGCACTCTACTGTGATGGATCGTATTGACATGATTACCGGTACTTTAGGGAAATCGTTTGGCACTGTTGGAGGTTACGTTGCAGGTTCCGTGAAGTTGATCGACTGGCTAAGATCTTACGCTCCAGGTTTTATTTTTACCACTTCTCTGCCTCCGGCGGTCATGGCCGGAGCTGCAGAAGCAATCCGCTTCCAGCGCTCGCATCTTGACTTGAGACAAGATCAACAAAGACACACTACTTACGTTAAGCAGGGTCTAGCGGACTTACAAATTCCGGTTTTGCCCAATCCGTCTCATATTGTTCCAGTACTAGTCGGAAACCCTGAACTGGCCAGACAAGCGTCTGAGATTTTGATGGACAAACATCGTATTTACGTTCAGGCGATCAATTTCCCTACAGTTGCAAGAGGAACTGAGAGGCTAAGAATCACACCAACTCCAGGCCACACTAATGACCTGTCTGACATTCTTTTGGAAGCTGTGGACGATGTATTCAATACTTTGCAACTACCAAGAGTTAAAGATTGGGAATACCAAGGTGGCCTACTTGGTGTGGGTCAACCGGAATATGTACCGGAACCTAACTTGTGGACTGAACAACACTTGAGCTACACGAACAATGATTTACACCCCAACGTCAGAGAACCCATTGTTGACCAACTAGAAGTCTCTTCGGGAATCAAAGCCTAATAGAGCTGTCTTGGATGTGTTGCGATGCTCTTATTGTACAGTCTTCTCTGAGAAGGGGTCTGTTCTGGAAAGCAAAGCCCGAAATCGCTAATATGTTTCGTATGAACTTTATTTATCCGACCCTTCGTGTGTAAAATTGTCTCATCAATATTCTTTCCCGATGTTTCGCTAATTTCAGTTATCCTTGATCAAGAGGTTTCTTAAAAGATCGAACAGATAGAGGATGAAAGGGTCAAAATTGCATAAAATATGGAAGCTTAATGAACTCGCATCCAAGCATTCACTTAAAAATGCCTAAGTAATGTAGTATAGAAAAAAAATATGTGAAGCTTCCAAGACGAAATCATTCCGTGAATGGGTTGGTTTCTTTGTGGGGAATGTGAGAACCCGTGAGGGTAGCGTCTTCGACGACCTCATGACCCAATTTGGTAGAAGGGGCCGTTGGGAAATCGGCAGAAGAAGTCTTGGCAGAAGTGTGTTCTTCCAAAGGCGATGAGGTCGTCTTTTCAAGTGGAACATCTGCGGCCAATTTGGAAGTAGTGGACTGAGGAGCAATACCAGCAGCGTTAGCTTTGGACTTCATGAACTTTGAGACTGGACCCAATTTTTCGTCAAGTTGCTTCACGTAGGGACCTGCTTTTTCAGAGACAGTACTTTGCAAAGCTTGCGCCTGTTGTTTGCCGGCTTCAACACCTTGTGCCACGGTGGCATCGATTTCACGTTGATAAGTCTTGTAAACCATAGGAACCGTAAAAACACCGATAGTGCCGACGAAAAGCATGGTCCAGAGAGACATTAGGCTGTAGAGTTTGTGAACAACGTACAAGACCGCAGCAGCTCTAAGTGTGGCCTGAGGCTTTGCGGCAAATACCAATTGACGCAGTTGCGCTTGGTATTTGGGGAATTTTTCAAACGCAGCGTCAACGCTGGGCTTGACACAGCCCACAATATTAGGGCATTGTTGAGGTCCGTATTTGCTTACGAGCCCCTGTCCCAAAAACATCTTGGACGCAAATTCAACGGAACCGGTCGCGAGCATGACAGTGTACGCCAAACGCAATAGAACGGTGATCAAGTTCACTTTCTTGACGAACAACAACGCAACAAGCGCTCCACCAAAAACTTTGCCGGTTTCGACCGGGTTTTTCCAGTATAATAATTCACAGCAGCTAGACATTGTTGAAGATATCAAATGTGTGCAGGAAATCACTCAAAATGGGTAATTTCTGGTATTGGGGTTAAACGTATCCGTTATCTAACGTTATCTAACGCTATGGGAAGTGTATGTGAACCAGAGAAACTTGCTCAGAAATCCTCCTTTAATCTCTAAAACCTCAATTGACTTGTTTCACCTGAATATCTAGGTTTCGAAAGCCGATCTTATTACAAATCACTTGGAGTTGTTCGTTCTACCTTGTTCTTGAAAGTTTTTCAAGTCCGATCCGTGTGCCTCTTTTATAGGTTTTTTTCCAATTGCAAAGGACAATTAGTAAATCCGATGAGCTATCAAAGCAAAAGGTGAGATGAAATTGATAATGGTGGAAAGAAGGGTAAGATCCCGGTAAAACAGCTGATGTGAGTCTGATGAGGCCAATTAGAGCTGTACATTCCTTTTTTTCTGCCAAAAAAACGGATCCATTATGACCAATTTACGAATTAAATGGGATATTTTGATAATATTAGCGTGGAGTTACCGGTGGGAGGAAGGGAGGGACTTAAGAATGCCGAATTGAAGCCAAATAAGACGAAAGAATTCATGGAGAGCTACTTGGGTGTTTATTTCGGAATTTTTGTGTGAAAAATATATCGTTTAGGCGTTATTGTAGGGTTTACGAAGAGCAATGCGACAGTTTCAGAGATTTGTGATTCCTATGGGTTTGGGAAGTAATTTGGCAAATGGGCACGTTTAAAGAGGATGAGCGGCGAGATGGGCAACTGGAGGCGATCTTTTTGGGTCTAAATCCAATGGTGACGTTGTGTTTACGTGACGCTCTGTTACCGCTGAGTATCTGAACGCATAGTTACAGATCAAACCCGCCGAAAACACTGATTTGTCGTACTATGAGGAGGAGGTTTTTCTTACCAGGCATATGCGTGTCAGGGCCTGTTTTGCCCAAGGATTTACAACACCCGTTATGATGAGGGCCACTTTTGACATTGGAAACAGACGGGTATGGGCTGCGAAACCCAGGGCTGGTGGGGATGAGAAGCCCATACCATTCCAGAGACTAGCCCCCTCAAGGCTTCCAAGGTCAGTCGATAGCAGTGCCACCGTTGCACCTCCGCCACACTACGCAGTTTCACTATGGGCAGTTGTGTTTCATTTGACAGTCACAAGACAAGTTGATACGTGGCGATTAAACTATAAACACATCCAACAACAATGACTCTCAGGAGTAAAACCCCTTTTGACCTAGTGACACACCGACCCAGTGACACAGTGGCCCCAGTGACACGCGACTCAGGCCACAATTAAATGTCGACGCTACGATAAGAAAACGAAACCTCTTGATAAAAAAAGCTTCTACCAGAATAGATCAAGACCCATCACGACGGGCGACAGTTTGCGAGGACCCACTACCGCCCTCATGATCACTACAGCGACAGGTGGGTTCATTCTGGAAACAACAAAGCTCGAGAAACAGAAACATCTTACCTACTGGAGACATCGCGATTCTACAAGCAAGGTAAAACGAAGAGACCATTCATATTGATCATAATCCATCTTGGAAGAAAGTCAGAATTCACTGGTAAAGCTTTTCTTTGGGTTCTGCTAACATCACCGGTGGTGAAATTCCGGTGGAATTTTTCAGTGACCATGAGATGATGAATCTTTTAAAAGACGAACGAGATGAAAACAAACTACTTTAAGAGGATGGATTCATTGGACTTGGGTTTGCTTAGCGGTTTAGTATAAAAAGGCGTGAATAATGTTAAGAAATCGACAAATCACGGCGTCGTCGTCGTGTCTCTTACAAAGATTTTGTAGAAATTTCCAAACCTCGACACCGTCATGGAAAGGCCAGAATTTAACAGAGAAAATAGTTCAAAATTTTGCAGTGGGACTTCCGGAGGGTAAGAAAGTTGCCGCAGGTGATTACGTGACGATTCAGCCGGCGCATTGTATGTCTCATGACAATTCTTGGCCTGTGGCTTTGAAATTCATGGGACTTGGTGCATCTCAAATCCGGAATCCCAAGCAGATTGTGAATACGTTGGACCACGACGTTCAAAACAAATCCGATAAGAATCTGACCAAGTACAAAAATATTGAGAATTTTGCTGCAAAACATGGCATCGATTTTTATCCAGCGGGTCGCGGTATTGGCCATCAAATCATGATCGAAGAAGGGTATGCGTTTCCCTTGAATCTGACCGTTGCATCAGATTCACATTCCAACACTTATGGTGGTATTGGAAGTTTGGGTACGCCGGTCGTGCGTACGGATGCAGCTGCGATTTGGGCAACAGGTCAAACTTGGTGGCAGATTCCTCCCGTGGCCCAGGTCGAATTGCGCGGTGAATTGCCCACGGGAGTCTCTGGCAAAGATATTATAATTGCCTTATGCGGTGTTTTCAACAAGGACGAAGTCTTGAACCATGCTATCGAATTTTCAGGTGAGTCGCTTGACAAGATTCCTGTCGACTTCAGACTAACCATTGCCAATATGACTACTGAATGGGGCGCTTTGTCGGGTCTTTTCCCCGTGGATTACACTCTAGTGCAATGGTACCGTAACCGACTTTCGAAAGTGGGTCCCAATCATCCTCGTATCAACCAGCAGACGATTCAAAAACTCGAGACTCGCGCTCAAACTGTAAAAGCGGACGCGGATGCCGAGTATGCTAAAAAATTGGTAATAGATTTGGGCACGCTGACTCATTACGTCTCGGGACCTAACAGCGTAAAGGTCTCATCGACGGTCGAAGAATTATCAGCTCAAAACATCAAGGTGAACAAAGCGTACCTTGTGTCTTGTACCAACTCTCGTCTCAGTGATTTAGAAGCTGCGGCAAAGGTCGTTTGTCCCACAGGTGATATCGAGAAGGTTAACAAAGTTGCACTCGGCGTGGAGTTTTACGTTGCTGCTGCCTCCTCCGAGGTTGAACAGGACGCAAGAAAATCTGGCGCTTGGGAAAAGCTAATGCGTGCGGGTTGCAAAACTCTACCAGCTGGTTGCGGACCTTGTATTGGACTGGGAACTGGGCTTCTAGAGCCTGGTGAAGTCGGAATCAGCGCTACAAACCGTAATTTCAAAGGTCGTATGGGCTCCAAAGACGCACTAGCGTACCTTGCGTCTCCTGCAGTGGTTGCTGCTTCTGCAGTGTTGGGTAAGATTGGGTCACCTGCCGAAGTTTTGGGTTCTCACGATCCAAATTTCGATGGCGTGAAGGCCTTTGTAGAAGACCAACCCAATCAAGACGCTCTAGCGGCGTCAAAATCCGAAAATGGTGGTAAAGCCAGTGTTGAGATGCTAGAGGGTTTCCCAAGTAAGATTACAGGCGAGCTGGTTCTTTGCGATGCCGATAATATTAATACCGATGGTATTTATCCAGGCAAATACACTTATCAAGACGACGTTCCTCGCGAGAAAATGGCACAGGTGTGTATGGAGAACTACGACCCTGAGTTTCAAACCAAGGCGCAAGCAGGCGACATCGTTATCAGCGGTTTCAATTTCGGCACTGGATCTTCTCGGGAGCAGGCTGCCACGGCCCTTTTAGCAAAGGGCATCCAACTCGTCGTCTCCGGGTCCTTCGGAAACATTTTCTTCAGAAACTCGATTAACAATGCGCTCTTGACGTTGGAAATCCCCAAACTGATAGCATTGCTGCGGGAACGGTATGCAGATGCGCCTAAGGAGCTCACAAGACGTACTGGCTGGTTTTTGAATTGGGACGTCGCTCAAAGCAAAGTTACCGTGACAGAAGGCAGCCTAGAGGGTCCCGTTGTGCTGGAACAGAAAGTGGGCGAACTGGGTAAGAATTTGCAGGAGATTATTGTCAAAGGCGGTCTCGAATCGTGGGTCAAGTCGCAACTCTGAGCGGGACATACCACACTATTTATTGGAACGCGGAGCACTCAGAGAAGTCTCTGATAACTCGGGACTCTTGCGTCAGGTGCCTCTTTGACGCTGTTTGACAAAATTCTTTGACGCTTGATTGAAAACACACGGGAGGTTTTGGTTCAAATTGGCATTGATGCCCGCAAAAAAAGCATGAATCCAGCTTAGATAATCCGGCGTTTAATCAGCACTTCTCAAGCAACTATTAATCAACCAAAGATATCCAACAAGCTAATCCTACATATCAAATTAGATGATTTTTCATTAACGTATTAACCAAACGCCTTTATCCCATGTTTTGTAGGCCAAAACGTAATTTAAAATTACAATAAAGTTTTAAAATTGAAGCCGAGATTTGTGAGATCCTCGGGAGCTCTTGTTCAAATATCCAGTCAACTCGTCTTGTCACTTCCGCCTTGTTTAACGTTCTCATTGGTCGACACATTTATGTCAATTTTTTTAGGTCAAGAGATGCGAAATTTACGATAGAACCATCAAAATAAAGCTGAAACTTACGAGAATCTTTACAAACGTCCGCCTAAGTACATGATTTATCCTTCGTATAACTACAGGCTTAAATAACTCTCTCATCATGTATATCAAATGGCTTACCGCTGAAAATTTTTCTATCAAAACGACGCTAACGATCGAAACTGAAAAATTTAACTTCACTTCGGACTATAATCGTCGAACTGGCTTTAGCTGGACAAGAGGAATTGTGATCTTGCTCTGTCCAAAATCAATTGTTGTAAAGACCGGCCTGGATAAGAAAGTTGCTGAAATTTGGTATCGAATTGGCCGCTTTCCCCTTGCGTGAATAAGTGATATTACCTGAGAAACTTCGACTTCGCTAGTTGATGAAGTTAGCATTGTAATATCAGAGAAAATCACTATTTTTTGACTTGTACATATTGCTCATCCCTTGAATTATATTCCTGAAGGGGAGCGAATTGTTTTCGGCTGAGTTTGGCTTTGCGACGGAGGTTATCAGGATTATCGTTTAACTAAACGGGCCATCGCGGTGAACATTGGGGACAGCTTTTGGTGACAATATCAAAATGTCTGACAAGCAGGAAGCAGAACACATTGTGCGCATTGGCGGACGTAAATCGAAACTTGCCGTGGCACAATCGCATGAAATTAAAAACATGATCGAGTCGGAGTTCCCACATTTGAGATGCACTATACGAGCGCTGAAAACGCTTGGAGACCAAGTTCAGTCTAAACCGCTTTATTCGTTCGGGGGTAAAGCCGTGTGGACCAAAGAACTCGAAGAACTGCTTTACGAAGAGGATAAAGAAAAACGGATCGATATCATTGTGCATTCGCTCAAGGACATGCCAACGTCTTTGCCCGATGGTTTCGAAATCGGCTGCGTGAGTCCTCGTGTCGACCCACGTGATTGTCTCATCATGGCCAAGAGTAGTCCCTATAAAGGTCTAGACGATTTGCCCGATGGTAGTGTTGTTGGAACGTCTTCGATTCGACGTTCAGCACAATTGCGTCGGAAATACCCGAAACTGAAATTCGAGAGTGTTAGAGGTAACATCCAAACCAGACTCAGCAAACTGGACGACCCAGCGACGCCGTTCGCATGTATCGTGCTCGCCACGGCAGGTTTAGTCAGAGTTGGACTTGCAGACCGGATCACACAGCGATTTGATGCGTCTACCATGTACTATGCAGTCGGCCAAGGCGCATTGGGTGTCGAAATTCGGTCCAATGATAGCTGGGTAAAGCAAATTCTCGAGAAAATCAGCGACAAACATGCTACCGTCTGTTGTCTCGCAGAGCGTTCGCTCATGCGGACGCTCGAAGGTGGCTGTTCTGTACCCATTGGCGTTGAAAGCCATTTCGACGAGGATTCCAAGACTCTTCGTCTCCGGGGTATCGTCGTCAGCGTCGACGGAACGCAAGCTGTCGAAGACGAATACTCGATGAAAATTGACAATGTCAGACAAGACGCCATTATATGTGGTCAGCAATTGGCACATAGGATGGCGAAAAACGGTGCCAAGAAAATCCTAGACGAGATCAATCTTTCAAAAGTTGAGCAATGAGCTAAAGCGTCAGCCGAATGCCCACCGCTAAATATAATAGAAATTCGACCTTGTAAATGTGTATGTTATTTATTAAATAATGATTTGAGATGCTAAATAGTGGGATATCAGGAGGTAATGGTCGATAAGGGACTGTCATTGGATGGTATAAACCAGCCATTGGGCTTAGGTTGACTAAACTTGATGATCGTGACGGAACTTGACATCTCCTCGTCTCTGATGATATTGTCAATTCTATATTGAAGTGACACTTCCATAACCTCGAAAATAAACCAGAGATGAGCAGATGAGCTCATTTAAAGCACTCATAAGTCAATGGATTTCGCCTTAGAAGATGTTTTGGATGAAAATTATGGTCCGCTATCACTTAAAGTTTCACAATATCCAAAAAATCTGAAGTATTGGGAGCAAGTTTTGAATTATTTATTGAAAAAAGCAAGTCCATTGAACAAATCTATCGATGAACGTTTGGCAAACCTTATAAGGTTCACTTATAGCGGAATGCTGTCGCATTTCCCGTTTCTGGAAAACTACTACATTGATTATGCGCTTTTTGAGTTGAAATTGGGCAATGTCAAAGAGATGCATCGTGTTTTCAAAGAAGGCTTACTCAAATTCAATAACCGATCTCTTCTTCTGTGGGTAGAATATCTCAAACTTTGCAACGAATTGATTGCGGACAACAAGCAATTGTTTCGGAAATATGAGCTTGCTGAGCAATCCGTGGGACTTCATTTTTTCAGTGGGGAATTTTGGGAATTGTACCTTGACCAGATCCTGTTGCGCAGTAATTCTCCCAAACCATACCTACTTGTCTTGCGTAAAGTTTTGGAAGTCCCGATTTATTCGTTTAGTGCATTTTACAGCAAATGGTTGACGGCAGTGGACGAAATACGAGATTTAAAGCAACTGACATATTTCCTACCTGAGCTAGAGGTGGCCAAAAGACTCAAGATCGACATGCGCAAGGTTTCCAGGAGGGGACCCGATGTACAAGATGCCAAGCGACAGTTGAAAAAATTCACTAAAGAACTTTACATGGTTGTACAACATCGTACGCTTGAGATCTACAACTTGTTCGAAATTCATTTGAAAACACAGTTCCAGACTTCGTATGAGACCCTGTTAAGCTACGATGAAATTGTCAGTTGGCGAAAATATCTCAATTATACCATCGAGACGGGTGAGAAAACGCTTATAATGTTGAATTTCCAAAGAGCTTTGGTACCTCTGGCCCATTATGATATCATTTGGCTCATGTACGCCAATTGGCTTCAGAAAGACGAAACCAATTTTGCATATGCCAAAAACGTTCTTTTGCAGGGGCTACAGATATCCCAAAGGAAGGTCAGAATTTTGAAAAGCCTAGCATTGGTGTTGATCAGATTGGGCAAACGTCAAGACCTCATTAACGTTTTTGGTAGTTTGCAAGAGGCCTTCGGAAATAAAATAGAAGCGGTTGACGATTTTGAACTTTTCATGGATTACTTCAAAATTACAACATTCCTTCAAGAACTAGTCTCACAGGGAGATCAAGATCTGCAAGCGGCAAGAAATTCGTTAAGTTTTGATCCGCCGCTTGTCTTGGCAATGAAACGCTTAAGTTACGGGACTCACAAAAATGGTCAAATGGAACTGCTACATGTGCTTTGTGAAATGTACAACAGGTTTTCTGGGCCCGAATTACAGCGGGAAATCTTTGATCGCATACTAGACCAGGGATGGGAGTTTTATCTGAGCAATGGGAAATTTTGGCTCGAGCTTTGCAAGAGAATTTGGTTTGACACCGACATTTCGTACCTTGAAAAGAGAAGATACATTACTAAAACTGTATGGCCTAAAGCGGCTCGATACAGAAAAACTACAAAGCCCGAGATGGATTACTTTAGGAAATCATATCTTCCTGAAGATTCCGAAGCGTTTGCATCGTTATTCAAATGTGTCCATAAAACTCCTGATACGAATTAAAGCCTGTCATCACAAGATAGAGTGTTAGACACACTACCCCTATTTTACGGTCAATACGCCAATCATTAAATGGCACGCCGATCATGTAGATACCCAAAGCCGCCAAGATGCCGAAACAGCTCACTATAAGTGAACCAGTCACTTCAAATTCGATATATCTTTTCCACAAGGAAACATCACTTTGAGAAGCTGCACGTTGCGAGATTATTAACATCGCGTCCATGCCAACTCCGAAAACCAAATAGAGTAACGGCCCACCCAAACATGCGCCTAGTGCCACATCTAGCACCCCAATCTTCACGAACGTTATGTTAGATACCATGTCACCTATGGAATTGCCCCATGCGAAAATAGTCAATCCAAGAATGCTTTCTGAGACACCCAGCTCCTTACACGTCGTTTGGAGCATGCTAACGACGAATTCAACGACAAAAGAGATCAAAGCGATTGACACAATAAAAGCCGTGATCGGTCTAATAGATTTTGAAGCAAGTTTGAGTTCCAGCCACAGACTAATTAGCACCAATAAGGAACATATATATAGCTGCACGCCATTGATGCTGTTCCATAGAAAATATGTCGTTAGGAATGGAGAACTTGTCAGTTGTAAAACCTTAAATTTCCCACTAAATCGGCTCTTTTTCGCTACGGGTGTCGGTATCAGTGAGCTTAGGATCAAGGCCACTTGAACGCTAGGGAGAAGTAACGCCAATTCTAGAAACGGTCCGGGGGAAGTTTTCTCATACCAAAAGGCTTTCAATTTCCCAACGTAGGCGAAGAGAATGAAGGAATGGCTCTCCATTTGTTCGCTGCCGTCTCTGAGACACATACTTTCGAGGTCGAGATCAATATCCGTTTGGTTATCGTCATCGATACCTGGAAACAAAATCCGTTCACTTGATTGATCAAAGACATTTTCGGAGAGTACTGACGTGGGCGTTGCGATACGATCATCGACGTAAAGCAAGTGATCAGCACTAATAGACCGCCCTTTGGTTTTAGGAGTTAATAAACGATCAGAACTCGCACTAGCAGGTTTCGATGCCGCGACTGGTATTGGCCCGATGAGGTCGCCCGCGACACTCTTATTTTCGGACACTTTTATACAGGGTGGGACCAAAGATTCCAAATTGCCATGCGATTGACTTCTCAAAAGCCGTCCAGGCTTGCTATGAGCCTCGGAGTCGGATCCAAAAACGTTATCTCGTTGCCAAACATCGAGAGTGTCGTTCAACGTCAAATGCATGCAGGTACTGTAATGAGATCGCATGTACTGTCGAATTTTCCGTCTTAAGGCGATTTTCCGCAGTTCAAGGATTTTGGTGACGTTTTCATATGCAATAGGAGATCTCACAGGCAGAACCAGATCATTCTCGAGCTCATGATCCTCGTTTAGGCTTACTTGGTAACCAACGTAGCCACAGTACATAACACACATCACAGCACATTCCCAAAACATGAGCCTGCCGTCCAGCAAAAACACAAGTGACAAAACAACCATCGCCGCGAACATGACTAAGTCCCACACGAATCTGTTGCGATTATAAACGGTTGTTGTTGCGTCGGGCGTTGAAACGTCGATACCGGCCCTTTTCAAATCGATACGTCGTATAAATGGCATAACGCCCATTACCACAGTCAACATGAACATAACTGCTCCAAGTATCTCTGCTAGGGCCAAAATTGTCGAATCTGAATTCATCGAATGGTAAGTGCTCGTAATGTCAGGAACCGCATTACCTAAAGCCAATAAAGTCAAACCTGACACCCGATCGGAGATGTGAAAAACATGTTTGGAAATAAATGCCAAATTGGGACTCAAAAAGTCAGACGTTATCAAACCAAGTGCCAGAAAGCTATAACTCAAAGCTAACAAAACTAAAAGAACTCGACCAAAAACCCACCATTTGAAACCAGTAATAATCACCAAGGCTTGCAGTAAGTAGAATCCAGTAATGTAAACCCGTCTTTCACGGATTTCCATCAACTTTCTTAAAATTTAGTTTGTTCAACATGCGGGTAGAAGGTATAAGTGGCTCAACCTTATAATGTCACTCTTACTATATATACTGAAAAATCTGAAAGCAATCGGCCAAATCCCATCAACTCAACTTAACTCAATTCGTCCACGTACTTGCTGTAACTCATTCGGGCCAAGTTGGCTTCAGCGATTTGTATGTCTATCTGTATGTCTTTGATAAGAGCTTCTTTAGTCGTGTAGTCGAGTTCTGGCCTAATGAAGCCCAGAATCGAAAATTTGACTTGAGCTCCATAAAAATCATGTTGGAATTTGGTGAGTATGTGTAATTCGACGGTCTTGCTTTTGTTATGGTAAAACGGGTTCAGTCCGATTGATAATACTACTGGTAAGGGTTGTAGTTGTTCGGTGGTAAGGTATGAACCGTAATTGTAGTCCACGTCACGGACAGCTGCCGGACCGGTTGCCGATTTTGCGGCATGAGTCGTAGTGTTGGGCCTTAAGCGTACAAATCCAAAATACACCCCTAGTTTTAGGTCCTTTATTGTATCTGGAAGTTGCTCAATGGGGACATTGGCAGTCGGAATACCTAATTCTGACGAGCCTCTTCCAAAACCTGCCACCACGTCACAAAATTCGGTGGTGATAGGGAAAGGTGAGAGAGGAGTTTCTGGGATTGAGTGGTCAACTTGCCGGGGCATTGAGTAATTATAGTAGGGTGTCAGATATTGGTTGTTAGTAGTTCAGTAGTTATTTATGATAGTTGGATCAAAAACCAAGAAAATCGTAATTTGGGCTCTCGAACCATTCAAATAAGAGTTCTGGTAGAAAGTTGGCGCCTAACTTTGCAGGGCCTCTATTATATATACATATATATGTATTTATATCATCACACTGTCATTTCTGGGAAAGAGCTTATCGAGCCCGAAGTTTCGAATTCTTCCGCCAAAATCCGTAAACGGGCCGCTCCCACGTACCTTTTATCGGCTACTACGTTCGTAAGGTCAGTACTGATCAAGACGAGTAATTTGCGTGCCTGAAACCCATATGCGAGCAAAAACTGAGCAGCAGTTGCGTCCCACCAAGATCCCAGCACGACAAAATGCATATTGGTCAAAAGTGCAGCGTCCGTGTTGGCAATTCGCGCGACCAACTGCCAAGAATGTGAAATGGGTATCGGGTGCACTGTCGGAGTGCCGCCAGGCCCCGCACTTTCTGGTGGAATAGGTAGACGTGTTATGGAAGCGAAGAGCGTCGCAATTCCACCCATTCTTTCGTCGTACGCAGTCTCGTCTTCCCATTTATTGTCAGAACTGCGACGCCATCCCATTCGTATACGGCCTTCCTCAGAATCAATGCTGCAAGTGTATCCGATCACCACGGGACATTTTTTCACAAATCGAGCCATCAAGAAGTCGACCAATTCTGGGTACCTAATCATGAGTGCCAAAGCCAATTTACCCAGCGGCAAGGCGCTTTCAGGTTTAACTCTGACTTCCGTTTCTGCCTGCGAAACTATGGCTTTAGCGATAAAATTGAGAATCCATTCGTAGCCCAACTTATTAGGTCTGGTCTGGTCCACGAGACCCGTCAATTCACTCAAAATGGCTTGCAATTGCTGCTGGCTGTTCGTCAATTGTCCGAACTTAGGGTTGATCTTACGCCGATGTTTAGACAATAACGATTTCAGCGTAGCGTCTTGCTTGACAGGCTCTACTATCTCGGTTTTAATGATCTTGATCCGGTGCCGGTACTTATGCAAAGTCTCATTAATCTTCTTGAAATCTGTGAACCCGCGAGACCTCATTTGCTGTTCTTGTAACTTGCGAGCCTCTTCTTCCTCTTTTTGCTTCTTTAACTCTGCCTCTCGCTTGCGTTCTTGTTCTTTTCGTTCTTGTTCTTCCAATTGTTTCCGTCTCGCTTCCTCTTCTGCTTGTTTCCGTTGTTTCTCCGCATCTTCTCGTTTCTGTCGTTCCAGAGCTTCTCTGGCTTTACGTTCTTGTTCAATTATCCTCGCACGCTCTTCTTGGTCCCTGCGTTTGCGGGTTTTGACCTGTTCAATTTCTGCTTGGTTCTCTGCCTCTAATGCGTGCAGTTTCCTTGATATATTCTGACTAACAGCACCAAACTTGGGATCTTCAAGCTCAGCATTTCCTTTGCAGGTAATGTACGAAAGATCTGATACCACTGGCGTTCTTGGCTCTTTCAACGGCGCATCCCGTCTGACTGATCTCACCTGTAAGCACCTATTCTGACATTCGGGCAATTTCGAACCGAGATCCAGTTTGTCCAGCAGAGCTACAATTTCAGCATCGATTCCTACCGTATCGCTAGGGTCTGGCCTTTTCAAATTCAGTGATTTCGGCAATTTTAGGGTCAAGATGCCCTCATCTTCGCTCCCAATTATCGAGAACTCGTTATTGTCTAATTCTTCTGGAAAATCGTCCTTTGGAATCCCGTAAAGTTCCTCATAATTGTAAATCATGTCAATTAAACCATTTAACGATTGGTGATGTCAAATTGACCAACTTTCGTTCTGTATGTCGTCCTTTTCTTTCAAGGAGCTTTTATCGCGAACAGGTTGATATAGGTTAATTTCAATTTTGAAAAATTTTATTGTGAAGAGACATCCACGTTAAAGATCAGCGCTCAAAACATAATTAAGAGCCCCGAGATCCATTTGACGCGTTAACGGGACACACCACTGAATGAGGCGGTATTGGAAGCTGAGTAGTGTGAATACGATGCAGTTTCTACGTTGCTTTTCGACCACAGAAGGCTGCTGGAAATCGGCATGTTCATTTGTCAAACCGGTACATCATTTGGTGAAGATCGACAAGAGTAAACTTTCACCAAGATTTCCAGAACTCAAATTTAGCAAGAATGATATCAGATCACCCGGCTTCAAGCCTGTGGCGACCCATCAAGATCGAGTTTGGGACCATTATAAGCACACAGTTCAATCTGATATGCTTCTGATAACGTACAAGCATGGTGCGCAAGTGAAGGAAGGGTTGAAAAAACGAGAATGGGATGGATCGAGTCCGTATCATATTAACAGACAGGCTCGGAAACCCAAGGGTTCAGACGCGCAATTGCCCGATATTAAACCTATCAAATGGCACAACATTCCAGAAGTCGAGTCTGTGGTGATCAATTGCTATGTCAAAGAAGCCAAAGAAAACCAACTCTTACCTATTACTGCCGCTTTGCAACTTCAGCAGATTACAGGTTGCAAGCCCACCCCCGTATATGCACGAAACGATGTTCCTACTTGGAAAGTGAGAAGAGGTAACAAAATGGGTGCCAAGATCGAACTAAAAGGCCGTCCCATGTCCCAATTCTTGGCAACACTGACGGAGATTGTTCTTCCTAGAATAAGAGAATACAAAGGTATCAGCAACAAATCTGGCAACCGCTTTGGTGGTATTTCATTTGGATTGACCTCCGACGACGTGAGATTTTTCCCAGAAATCGATTCAAACCAAGATCTTTGGCCTAAGACCTTTGGTATGCACATCAATATCAACACGTCGGCACAGACGGACAATCAGGCTAGAATTCTCATGAGTGGTTTTGCATTTCCCTTCCATGGCCAGGAAAAGATTAAATAGAAGATATCCATCGTTGATCCCAACAAGTCTTGTATATAACAAATGGCGACATTTTCCTTTGATTGAGATAAACCGGCCCTTGCCCTTTTCTTATACGCGATCTAACTTGACTTTATTTATTTGCCTGGCAATCAGAGCAACTCTGTCACCTAGGGAAAGTGCAAGACCTTGACCCTTGGAACGGATGCGAACATGTCCAACAACCTCGCCCGTTTCCAGATCCTTTTCAATACAAAGATTCGCTAGCGCGTCCTCCCCAAATGAAGACCTAGAGTACAGGTTGCAACTCAAGAATCTGCACTCTTCCTCGTCTTTCGATGGTGCATCTCGCGTCAAATTACCCATTTTGGTACCTTTCATCAATTCTTTGAGGTAAGCGTGGAGAGTTGGTAGTTTCGACCGAACTGTAATTTTGTTTTCCCATTCAAATGCATTCCACATTTTGCGGAAATTAGCTTCATCCGTGAAAGCAGGTTTGATATAGTCCATAATGTCAACGTGAACATCATTCATGATAACGTACCTCGCGTCTTGACCGTGGCCACCATCGTAAATGATATTACCAAAGATCACGCCAGTATCAGCAGATGACACTTTAACTGTTATAGAAATTTTGTGGAATCCGTGTGCGACAACATTGGTACTTGGAGGATTATCTATGATCTTCAGATCTCCTAAAGTCGCGAACTGACAGTGTAAATTTTTGAGCGTTTCCTTCGTTTGATTCACAAGCAGCACATCCAACACAATGTCAAACTGATGCGTAGTAATATAAGCTTCCGCATATACAGGATCTGAGAAACCGGTCAGGGGAACAATCTTTTTGAGCTTCGATTCAAGAGACACCGCTTCTTGATAGGCGGCAGAAGTTCCACCTGTAATGGCCATTTCCAAGTCCTCATCGACCTGGTCAACAGGAGTATTGTGCACATCTTGCTGACTAAATTGCCTGAAGACTATAGCTTTGTCAATAGGCTCGGCTGACTTGACAGCGAGGGATGCAAATTTCTTGGCCTTTACCCGTTTCGCAATGGCCGCTTGCTCTTCAAAAGAGGATCTAGTTGCTTTCAAAAACGCCAACTCTAGGAGTTCACGTTCTTGCGTCTCTTGGTTCGCGTCGAAGTTACCCATTATAATTGAAATAGCGGTCAAAACTCTTTCTGCAGAATCCTCATCGATCTTCTTCTGGACAAGCGAACTTTGACCAGCTCTCAAAATACTCACCAAAATGAGCATACCTTCCGCTTTCATGGCATTGATGATAGCTTCATCATGATTACCCTTTTCAAATCTTAAAACTAGCTTGACTAATGTGGATGCTAAGACCGATGCGGTGTAGAAATCACCATTCAAAATGAAACGACGCAAAGGAGGCCTAGAGTCTTTCTCCTCTTTCGTGAACGCCTTTGTAGAGGTGGCTGTAAATGCTGATTCTGTCGCATAAGTACCATCAGGCAAAACAACCGGACCCGTTGGGACATCTTGAAGTTCTCGCGCCTCATCTTGACCACCCGTGGTAGACCTCAATTCCGTCTGAACTATTGGAACTTCTCCTATGCTTTGACGGATATGTTTCCAAGAGTTTTGGACGTCATCCTTGTCCAGAGCATATTCACCTAAGATCCATAAAGCGCCGCGATAGGCTTTGCCCGAATTGACGTAAGGAAGTGCTCCAATTAGATGTTGCAGAACTTCTTTTCTTAACTTTGGATACCTTTCAATAACATCTTTGATGAAAGATATCACACCGCTTGCCGCAGTGGAGCTTAGGTCGCCGATAAATTCTAACAAGAGAGAGACAACTTCTGCAGAAACTTCCACGAAACTGATAGCGACTTTGTGAATGTTGTTGATGAGCAATTGTCTATAGTCAGAAGCTTTTTCATCATTTTGAGAATCGGCAACTGCTTTTTGCAGTTCTTTTTTCAACAGCTTGACAACATCGTCCACGTTTCTGGAACTCACGAGTTCGAGAGATATTTCAAGTGCTTTAGCGCGAACATCCAGGTCTTGTGCACTCAAAACCCTCAAAATGTCAAGTGTAAGTCTTTCCAAGTCTCCCATTGCTCTCTTATGAATGTCTTGAATCCTTTGTAAGACGATAAGTTTGACATTGTTGTCAGATTCCTTGACGGCCAAATCAATCAACTTGGATGCCACTTCTGCCAAGATGAGCGGATCATTGGTCAACACGCTTACAGCAAGTGCGGCTTCAAAAACTACTTCGTTAGAATTCGTAGAGGCCAGCAAATCCTGAAGCAAATCGATATATTGCGGTTTCAGAGTTGGGGTGCGAACTGCGTCCTTTCTAATGAAATCGACAAACGCGTCTTGCAAAAGCGGGTCCAAAGTCTCAATGGCCGTGATATGCTCTTGTAGATAGCTTAACGCAGCTTCACGGTCCAATTCGGAAAGTCCCAAAAACGCGTTACGTTTACAGATCGGGTCCGTTTCAGCGGCCAAAAATGTATCAATCACATCGCGTGCATCTGGGATCAAATGCTCACTGACTTTGTAAATGGATCCCACTGCCAAAATAGCGTATTTGCGCACATACGCGTGACGATACTCAAGACACGTGCGCACCGCAGGAACCATTTGTTCCAACAAATCTGCCTCTTTGAGCTTCGTCAGAAATCGCAATGTACTGCCTCTGATGTACTCGTTCGAATGCTGCAGATCGTGTTGGATTGCGTTGCACACCAGAATCATTTCTTGCCGTAGTTTGCCCTCATCGTCTAATTTCGGCACAATCTCCCAGTAAAAATACAACAACTTCTTGAGCTGCTTGTTTTTCGACGGCATGACAAACCGAATCACATGCATCAACAGCTCGGGCATCGGATTCCCGTCAAGCATCGTCACTAAGACCCTTTTCATCGTTTCCACTTTTTGTTCATCTGACCCTTTCTCGAGCGCTTTTTGGAATTCAGAAGCCGTGTTTCGCGCAAAATTCGGGTTTGGATCGTACACTAAAGTGTACGCCGTCTCACGCACACTCAAACTCATCCCAACTGTCCTTTAAAGATGCCTATTACCGCCCAATTGATCCTAGTTCGTTCACCGGAAGCCGGTTTGTTGATATTCATACTTGCCACCTCTTTATATATTCAATTTTATCAAAAACTAAAGTTACCCGACTTTTTAAGATTAAGCCATATTTGAAAAATTTGCCATTCCAAGTGAAGCCGTTTTCAAGCTTCAACGAATTTCACGGTTCAACAAGAGCTGCTAAGCAAGTTAAAGAGCTATTTGGATGAGTCAAGCAGTGGGATTTAGTTGGGGGTTCAAACCTAGCACGAATGGCTCCAGTGGAATGGCGTCAAACGGTTGTAAAGTGATGAAACCAAGGGTGAAAAGGCGGCTGACCAACGAAGAGTCTCAGGTGACCTTGGGTGTGAACACCAGTGTCAATAACGTAACTATCAACAAGTTTAAGGCCGCGGGACGGCGGAGAACTGCGCGGTCGGGTATTCAGGGCCAAGCGTTGCCGCTGGCGCGTGCTTTGGAGCTTATGGATCGTGCGAGCTTGCAAGCGACACTGCTTGACCTGCTGAAATTGCATCCCGAAACGCAAAAAACGTTTATGGCATTGCAACCCGCTAGCAGAAGTGTAGAGCACTATTGCGAGTTGCTCCAGGTGAAGTTGCAAGCGATTTACGACAATTTGCCTTACACGAGGCGTCACGACGACGTCGACACAGGACTCAACGATTACGCATTTGTTCGCGTTAAAGATCATGTTCAAGAATTTCTGAACTGTCTGGTTGACTGTCTCCTGGAAAGTATCCCTCCACAGACCCAGAACCTGTTACAATCGTTACGAGTCCTGGATGCCGCGACCGATTTTTTGCAAAGGGTTCCGCAATTTTCTACCACGACCAACAATTACTACAAGGATATGTGCTACGAACAACTCGCAGAAGTATGGGCTACCGTTGTCACCCACGTTTCCGAAGATCTCGTGTTCTCGGCCTCGTTGGAAAACGTTTCCCATTGGCTACAGAGACTCCAAGAACATAATAATAATTGCAGCGGGAAACTCAACAAACCGGTATCGCTGTTCAGCAGTTTCGTAAGTCGGTTTACCCATGTCAAACACTCCCAGAATCCTGTCCAGGATCAACAACCGTCTAGCATCTGGAATAATCTGGTTTAGGTTTAGTTTTGGTTTAGCATATACGTAGATATCACCTCTATCAGTTTGTACGTGCCTACTAACTGAGTTCTACCAAGATCATGGAATCCTTAAACCTTTAAAAACTCCGAAAGTCGATAAAAGTGTAAGCATTGAGATCAATGGCTAGTCAGGTCCAGCCGGTTCATTACGATCCAGCGACAATCAAAGAGCTTACGCGAGAGGTATGTAGTTTTTTGTGGGTTGTTCTGAGGTTTTCCATGGCTTTCACCTTAAATAGTACTAACTTTTCATTCGTTATAGCTTTTGGTAGCAGCAGGAATTGGTGCAGCTAAAGGTGCGTTAATTGGTGTTACGTCTGCGTTCTTGCTTCGTCGCTTTTCTACTGTGTACCGCAATGTACGGACTCCAGTGCGTGTTTTCTACCACTCGGCCTGGATCTCAATGGGTGCAGTTTTCCATGCAGACAAGCAGTTGATTAAGTTCCAGAATAAGTACTACGAACGAGAAATTGCTCGCAGATCCAGGATCCTGGACGAGGCGGCCGATCGAGGAATTTTCCTGGAAGAAGAGTCTATCGTCAGCAGCACGACTTAGTTCAGAAATTATATAATATTCCTTGTAAAGCAGCAATGCGAGCTTATAGTTTAAAAAAATGTCCCTTTTCCTAGTTGCCCTACCACACAATCCATTTCGCGGCATCGCCGGCCGCTTTGATGGTAAGTTTCCCGCATTTCAAAACGCTAAACACAAACCAAACCATCCAAAATAATACCATGATCACGAATTCCAGCACGCGATAAAAAGCCAGTGAAAAGGGCTCTTTGTTCATAGTGTTGAGTGTACCGAACTTGTCCATATTTTCGTTCAGCATCTTCAACCGAAGCGTAAGTGTCGTATTAATGTCACTCAGGATTCTATCGCTCGACGAGATGAGTTTGTCAACTCGCATCGAATAATCGTTGAGGAGCCGCGATTTCCAACTCTCACACGTTTCCAGAGCTTTGGCTACCTCAGCTTCGTAAATGCTCATCGCTGTCGCCGTCGGCTCTGCATAAAGGGCGGCATTTTCAATCTGGATAGGTTTCCGCTTCTTGAATTCGCGATCTCGCACGGTTTGTAGAGTTTCTTGCCTGTAATGCATCAATCTCCATGTACATGCCACGTATCGCAGATCCTGGTACCGTTTAGTTTCGCGAGCCCGCTCGTCGACGTGGAATGGTTCGCCCAGCTCGAGTAGTTCGACCGAGGGTTTCGTTAATTTCTCCGACGCAACGTCTCCATTTTCCATGATACTGTTGCGAACACTGTGAATAGGAATTTCAGTGATAGGCGGTTTCGTGCCGCCCGCTTCTGAAAAGAACTTCTTTTCGCTATTCCCTACTGAGTTCGACGAAATTGTGGTACTATGTGCATCCGCCTCTCTTGAATCCCGGCTATTGGTCAGTTTCGACACAGGCAGCCCTAGTCGTTGGTTTGGTACCGCTCTCGTCACTTCATCACTTTCACCGCTCTTGTCTAAATGATCGAAATCCTCCACAGAAATTTGAGGAACTCCGTTCTTAGTTGCCAAGCTTTGGTTGTAACCCTGTGAAGACGTTCTGGAGTGCTCACGAGGTTGACTTCTGTGTTGATTTCCCGACATATCGAGAAGCATGTCTGTGCTGTCCTTCTTGAACCATTTGTAGCCATCCGGTCGTTTCAGCTCGTTCCAATGCGAAGTGCGCCAGGTCAAATCGCTAAACCTTTCGCTGACATCGACAAACCAAATCTGTGGCTTTTGCGAGTTCCTGGAAAAATCTTTAATCGCCAAAATAGGCGATTTCATAAATAAAATGTCGCTTGTGGGCACACTTCGATTCTTCTTTTTGAGTTTCCGGTTTCTTATTGTCTGCAATGGATTGTAGACACCTTCAACGCCCGGATGCAAGATTCGCATTTCTCCATTCTCAATTTCTCGTTCCATAATATCGTAGAAATACTGGATATACGATCGAACCCGTTCTGCACGTACTTTGCTAGCCCTAGAGAATGTCTTCAACGGTCGTTCAGGCTCTTTTTTGGTCTCAATCAATGGTGAGTTCCCAAATGAATTCCCCAAATCGCTGGACGCACTTGCCGGTAAACTCTCGACATTAAGATCCTCCAAGAGGCTGGATTTTGCATCGGCCAATAATTTCGCAGTCTTGATCAATCTGCTAGAATTTACTCGGGGCTTAATCGTATGCTCCTTGGTATCAGAGGCGGGTTTCATGGTTCCCTTATATAGCTCATCTAAAGGTGAATTTCCACTGGCTGAAATTTCCAATATATGAAAAAGCCAGGTAATGTCACCATACCAAGAAACTTATCAAAACCTGATAGAATGCCCTGTTACTTCGCCATAATTGGGTACCAGGACAATCCCATCTATGAAGCCGAGTTCCCATTTCCTCAATTGCAGTCTTTCCCGCCGGAACTCAAAGAACTGAATCCGTTCATTCTACATGCTTCTTTGGATATAATCGACGACCTTCAATGGCAAGTAAATCCGATTACTGGAATGTCAAACACTTCTAGTGGTGGGTTCCTGAGATCTCGACACAATAATTCGAATGAGAACTGCTATTTGGGTAAAATAGATCACTTTTACGGGTTTCCCATCACCAGTTATCTGTCATACGGTAATATTAGGTTCATTATGATCCATAGTAATGGAACCGGGAACGTCAACAGTACTCAGATTGACGACAATCAAGTGAAACTATTCTACCAGGAGGTACACGAGATGTACATCAAGGCATTGATGAACCCTTTTTACAAAGTAAACGATCCGATAACAAGTCCGGTTTTCGATTCAAGAGTACGAATGCTTGCCAACAAATATTTGACAAAATGACGACGTGAACGATAGTTTAAGATATGATCTATTAATGTTACACCACGTGTGGAATTAGTCACTGCTCGGTGAGAATTTTGCTCAAACCTTGAAGAAGATTTCGTACTTCTTTTCTACGACCGATCTCCGGGCCAGCCCCGAGCCCCGCATCACGCAAACATGCCGTCAGCTTTTCCAATCTCTTTTGCGAGGTTTGAGATATGAGTTTGCTATGGGAATTCAAGAAATGCGCCATGTTTTGGAAATTATCCATCCTAGTTTCCAGCTTTTCATTTAATTGTCCAAGTTGCTCGCTAAGTACTGTTGAGTACGGATCACTGTCGTTAGCCCTTTGAGCCTTACTAGCCAAATCAGTTTTGAAATCGGTCCATTTCCTGGCAATGCTGTTGTCCTCGTTGGTCATTTCGGACCAAATTTTGATCTCTTCGCGTAAATCGTTGATTTGTTTCTCTAATATGACTAAATTCTTTGCGTTTTCCACGTTCTTTTCATTAGGAATGTTGGGCAATTCTCTGCGTCGCCTCTTCGTGGGCATGCGCACCACCACGCTTTCGTCCTCATCGTGGTCAAACAGCTCGCGAAGCTCGGTGTCCTCGTCCCGATAAGAATCTTTTTCGTCATCTTCTTCAACGACGTTATATTCTTCCGCTTCCCAATCCACACCTATTTTACCCCGTCGAAGATCCTCGACAAATTCTTTAATGACAACCATTGCTATTCTTTTCGGGTCTGTGTACGTTTCACCGCTTTGACCCGCGTCTCGCTGCTGGGTGGACTCTGATTTCTCCCATTTCCGTAAACTACGAATAAAACACCAATTGAAAAGCTGTCTGACTTGGAGCTCATGGCCAAACGAGGTGTTGGCGATGTGCCTGTAAAAATCGCGTTCTGGAACGTCTTTGTGGGGTGATATTATATGACTGTGGTCGTCTTGGAACGATAACATCGATAAACGTCTGCCCCGCTGTGCCATAAATGACCTTTTCCGGTCTCTTCTATTCGGGCGCCTGTGGTCAACATTGTTTTGAAAGTTGTAGGCAGGATAATTGGGATACAGCGGTGGAGGAGGCATTAGTTGGCCATTCCCGTGCGGAATTGGAGGCATAAATGGTTGAGTAGACGTGTTGATATAAAGTTGCGACGAATTCTCAGGCGGTCGCACGGGTGAAGTGGGCATGGGCATCAGTTGCGTCATTGGATAATAATACATGTACGGCATGTAAGGCGGTGCCATGGGCTGCGGAGCGTCTGCAATGATAGGTGGCTGCTGAGACTGGTTTTGAGACGGTGACACCTTACGGCTGTAATTCTGGTTTAAGGTCTGACGCTCAAAATTGACCGAAGAATTGAAATTATCCATCCATCGCGCTTTTTGTAGTTCTTGTATATTGTCTAATCGTTCGCCCAAAGACGCGGTTCCTGCTTGTTTCGATCTGTGTCTTTTGAACTTGAAATCGTCATCATGTTCCAATTTGGAATGAGTGCTCGCAGTCTCGTAATCTGCCATCTTTTCGGACTCTATGTCCTGTACTGTTTCAAACGTTTCATTGTTCTTCAAATCTGCAGAAAACGGTAACGTTTCCATTTTAAGCCCATGAAACCTTTTGCGATTCGAATCTCGCGGATTGGAAGATCGGGAGTTCTGGCTACTCATGGGCTCAAGCCTTTGGTTTTGAAGCCTTTTGCCAGTTAGTGATGCTTTGTTGACACTAGGATCTTGTAAACATAAGTGGGAAATTTGTAAAAAGTGATCAAGAAAAGGTCGAAAGGTGATCACGTGCACTGGTATTGTTGGCCTGTTTCTTTGATTGAGCTCCATCACGCTGGGTTCCAGTGCCCAATCAAGGCACTTGAGTATTGGACGGATCTCGTGGTGTGTGTACGAGGGCATAAGCTTTCAAAGGCCGATTCAAGCTTGTTTCTAGCGTATAATTTCGTGATATTTGCTTGAAACGCGGTTGCGCTGCGTCACTGCGGGCTGGTGCCTGTGACCACTACGGACACCCATTCTTCAAGTAGCTTAGAGCATTTTTCAACGTCGATTTGTCGGTCCTGACTAGATTTTTTGTCAGGGACCTGACTCAAAAGCCATTTTTCCCGGATCGTACGTGTCATCACCAAAAGGTCCTGAATGCCCTTGATAAGCTGCGACGTATGGGTATTCACTAATACAATACCGTCGGTCGCCATTGTGGCGACCGACTCTGCGACTTGACCCGATTCTTCAATTTTGTCGCTGTCTTTTGAGAGCGATGAAAACTTGACAATCTGAGCCAAGGATTGCGCCAAAAGCTCTGTGGTTCTGTCCAGTTGTTCCAATAAACTGCGAGTACTCATTGGTGTCCAGGTAGGTGGCTTTTTTCCAATGTTGTGTCGAGTTCCACGAGTTCGACTTGCTCGGTTTGCCCTCAATGAAGGTGATTTTTGATAATTCGAGGGCCGTCAACCTTGATCAAACAACGAAACCATCAAATTTACACGTATAAAGCCCATGAGAGCGTGCTGAAAATACATAGTGGGCGGGATGGAGTAGGCTTAAGACGTTCGCTCTAAAAAGTGTAATCATTCTTTCAATTCTTGTCTTCCAAGCGTCGTGAACGTTCATTTCCCAGCGAAAAGCACTGTCTGGCATTCTCTTATCATGCAACGCTCTTCTCAACCCCATTTAATGCTACAAGACACGTTTACTTCCCCGTGCTTCCGAACCCACCTTCACCACGCAAACTTGATTCTAGACTGTCGACAACCACTATCTCAGCGTCGTCGACGATTCTTTCGAGGATCAATTGTGCGACTCGTTCGCCCTTCTGAACCTCAAAATCCTTCTCGGAATGATTGAAAAGCATGATTTTCACTTCTCCGGTGTAATCTCTGTCAATGACACCTGCACCTGTGTTAATACCATGCTTAACCGCCAGTCCAGATCTAGGGGCGATTCTGCCATAGGTGCCCACGGGCACCGTGAACGAAATGTCCGTTGAGACAAGTCCCTGACCTCTACCCGGTATCGTAGTTGGTTTGGACGCATATATATCGTAGCCTGCTGCAGTAGCAGATCCTTTGGTGGGTACAGTGGCGTCAGAAGAACGGCACAATATTTTAAGCGAATTGCTGAGCTTCTGATGTTTCGAACTGGAAGTCTCTTGTGCACTCATTCTTGGTAGCTTCGATGCAAAGATTAGGCAACTAGAGCGTCAAACCTATGTTGATGAGGACGCCATGGTTATATACTGGTTTACCTGGGATGCGACGCGTAAATTTGGGTTTTTTTCCTCGTACGCGTAAAATTCATGTCATTCGCGTTACTTTAGATAACATGCGACTGAACGCGGCACGCTGCAGCGTCCGCGAGCCGCAACCACATCAGTGAGAATACTTTCAAGGCAATGCTGGAAGTACAGGGCGTCTGATAGAACGACAATCATGTTCCACTCAGGGCCTTTGACGCTACAGAGAGATGAGCCGTCTACGTTGTAGTCGCGGACCACGAATGATTTCCAGAGAGCCAACCGAACACTCGATGCGCTGAAGACTCACTTGAAAAGTGCCTCGGAAAGACTTGACACCGGGAAGGGCTATGGAAATACTCTCGAGGCCTGCTGTGAGATCTTGGTGTCAGAAGGTAATATTCATACCGTATAAAACGATATGATTCTACTTCCAGTACCAAATTTGGAGTACATCGCGAAAGTTCACGACAAATCGTGTTACTGTGGCCCTTCCATTGTCTCCATTGCCCCCATAACCGAGCTTTGCCGATGTTTTCCATTTCACGATTATAAAAGTCCCCTCCCACGAGTAGCTAGCCGGTTTTCTTTTTTCTGAGGTCAATGGCTCTCTCTGAAAAATTTTCAGATTCTAAGAGATGAGCTTCCCCGAAAGGACTTCGAGATCATCAAGCCAAGGAAGCCGATAGGATCCAGTTCGATTGCCACAGATTCCCATAATGGCCAAAGAAAAGACGACGTCCGAGGATAACTACGACGCTAGATTGCCTGCCGTGCTCCCGTTCGCGCAACCATTGGCATCTAAGAAGTTAAATAAAAAAGTGTTGAAAACTGTGAAAAAGGCTTCCAAGGCCAAGACCGTGAAACGAGGTGTCAAAGAAGTGGTCAAGGCGTTGAGAAAAGGTGAAAAGGGACTTGTCGTCATCGCGGGTGACATTTCTCCAGCAGACGTGATTTCTCACCTTCCGGTGCTTTGCGAAGATCAAGGCGTTCCATTCATCTTTGTGCCTTCCAAACAAGACCTTGGGTCCGCCGGCGCGACCAAAAGACCCACCTCTGTCGTTTTCGTCGTTCCTGGCAGCAATAAGAAGAAGGAAGGTAAGGCCAAAGAGGAAGAGTACAGAGAAGCATTTGACGACGTGGTCAAAGAGGTCAAGGCTCTTTGAGCATCCAGCGTGCGCTTGCAGAGCAAGCGGATGAAAACCGCAGCAGCAACATCTAAAAGCTGAAGTGGGCACAGAGCCAGTGGAGACTCTGGTGTCGCAATGCACTTGTAAATTAAGCATGGCCGTGTAGACTAAATACGATCCATATCACTAACAGAACCGTTCCACAACGCTAGTTATTACTACATGGGCGACGAGGTCATTGGCCGACATCGCTATTCACGGAGCCTTTGATCATCTTCACAAGTCATCGCTAGAACAGAACTTGGTTAGCTCGAATAATTGCAGTCCTGAAAAGCACAATGGCACCCAAGAGGAAGCCTAAGAACCAAATTACGAAGCCCAATTACAAGCTGCAAAGGCCCGGGCTGTTAGATTCTGCGTCAATTGCCACCGTTTACCGCGGTTTGACTCGGAAAATCCAGAAACGAACCCCGCTTCGAAATGCACAACTGTTTATTCCGCTGAGCGCCACGTTGGCAGATATTATAGATGAAACCCAGTTTTCGGGCCTACAAACCGGAGTTCTGCAAACTCGAAAAACACCAGACCACGAACAAGCCTTCTTGTCGTTTTCAAACTTTAATCCTTTGGAGTGCGCATACGTGCTGTCATTTTTATTTTACAACGGCTCCCGACAGTGTGCCAGGGATTCTAAGGACCACTGGACTGTACCCAAGGGTGCGCATCTGCGTGGTTCTTTCTACGTGTATAAGAGTTGCGACGTTTCTCCAGAAACGTCGACAATGAAGCCCAAGAAATCGGTTCTCGATAGCGCCAGAGCCCACTATCAGATCAACGTTTCGGAAGTGTCCGATGTGGCTCATTTTAAGGAAGTTTATGTCTCTGGTCTCGGTCTTTTGGACTTCATGCAAGCAACGATGGAACTAATCGAGCGGTTAAGGTTTCGATCGTGTCCCAGCCATTTAAGCGAGCTCTTCGGTATGAAATTAGCGGAGAAAAGTAGTCTTGCCGCCGTCAAGATCAACGAGATCCCGTTTATTGCCAAAGGACTTCTCATCGACACATCGGACGTTGCCAAGACCAATGCGGACGTTTTGGAGAAATCAAGAGTAGCGCTCAACAAGTTTGCACAAGATTTGACGTCAACCGAATTGAAAAGCGAGACTCCCGCTCTTGCTGACGCCAAAGGCACGTCCGCCAGAAACGCGCATGACAATCAACCAAATCAAAGAAAACATGCAAGAACAACGAATCAAAATGCATCCAACGCAATTCCAAGAGACACAACGTCTCACCGAGGCAATAGCCCTGGATTTCTGTCGCAAGAGCAGATTAACCACTATTGCATTGCCACCATCAAGGCCTCAGTGGATTTAGTTAAAACGAAATCCTCATATCAAATTCTCAAAACGTATATCAAGTATCCGAGACAGTTTTACCTGGACCTGCTCTACGACAATCTGGATCGCATGAGAGCGAGCACCAATTGCAATATCGTTGTCCTGAACCTAAGCAACGTTCACGAAGCTGGACCTTGGTTGGATTCCCTCAACACATCCAAATATACCGAAGTGAAGTCGTCTCCGCATCCAAACACGACACGGGTTGTCAGCATTGGAGGTATTGGCGAGCATATAGTTCAAGCGCTACAGATGCTACTGGAGCTACTAAATAAGGATGGGAGCTGAACGAAGTTGATACTGGTGTCGATGCCGTGAATCATGTCGTACGCGAATACATCACGATTCCTTAGACTGATGAACTGTGACTTCTCAAAAACAGGTACCACAAGTCATACACCTAACATGGTTGACGGTGTATCCGGTTCGCAGCGGTATTCCCTTGGAATACCTTCACCTCCAGCAAAAGTTACAGCTTCAAAAAGTGGGAAACGAAATCCATTAGATGTTCCGCCTTTGAATAATTCAGCATTTGTGGGGAGTAATGACGACACAAGTGTAGACTCAAGCTCTCCGTATGTATCAGCAGATGAACGCATTTCACCAGATTGTGGTTTGAAGAAAAGAGACCCCGCTCAAGAAGAAGTCAGTCCCGAATTTCAAATGCCTAAGAGAAATCTATCCCGTAGGCCTCCACCACCAGTCGTTGATCTAAATCTCGCGACACTCAAAAGTGGAGATGCGCTGTTTACCGGTACGACTGTAAAATCTGCTGAGGTGAAATTTCAGTCAATGGCGGATGAATCACATCATAAAAGGAACAAATCTGAAATCGAGCAGTTATTGGAAGATCTCGAGGACTACGAACATGAGAGGAACGCTACATTGCAGCTTGGCAAAGTGTCAGACCAGCCACCCGCCGCTGTTCACACTGATGCGAATGGGCTTTACACAGACGAAGTCGGATTAACTTCAGATGTGGGCTCTTTAAATTTTGCTGAGTCTATTTCCGATTCGATTCAACAAAGCCCAGTAGTAGCAACTCAAGACAACGCCCAGATGTATCAATTTCCCGGTAAAGCAAATACAGAACCTGATAAAAAAAGCATAGAAGGTCAGTTTTACGAGAATCCACTGGGGTATTCACCTACCGTTGGGTTCCCCAGTCAGGGCGAGAACCCCCACTCTGTTCAAAAGCAAACTCCTTTTGAATTCTTCGACAACGACGTTGAGCATATTCGTGGACAAACAAGATTAACACATCAAGACGACGATGACAGATTCTTTGAAGAGCAACCCAGACAGTACAGAGTTGTCAACGAGGAGAAGCCCAATTTTTACTTCAATGATAATGAGAGTTTTACTGAAGACGAAAGTGTATCTTTCAGCGAAGGTACACCGCCTGTCGATCAAGGGCAAACTCTTAATCTCAGTCCACTCGGTGCGGAAAGAGATACTCAGGCATTAACTGCCGATCCAAGTTCACCTGTTACGAGTTCTTTGTACATGCAAACTCCAGAACCAGTGAACACTGCATCTCAAGCATCTTCAAGCGATCATACCGGTGGCATAGAAAAACTGGCCGTAATCTCCAACTCGACGAGCCCATCGACAGCACAAACAGATAAAAATGTACGATTGGTTTCAAGTTATGTGGAAGAACTACGATTGAAATACTTCCCTACCTCGAACTTCTTACAACCGCCTCCAAATCTGCCCTTTGCACTGAAGAACAAGAACAATTTGGAACAGCCTCAGAACATTAAAGTTCGAATCAGAACCAGTTCGAAACAAATTGGTATTAAACACGGCAAAGCCAAGCAGAAACTTCTTTCTCTGGAGACTGCCGACGAGGACGCCGAAGAAGATAGTTTGCCACCCAGTCCTCATGTATCTACGTCGACCAAAGTCGATCACACCAAAGAATTCCATCAGTATTTGGGCAAAACCCGGCATATCCCACACCGAACTTCTTCTGCGTCTGACGAAGATTTCATGTGTGAAATTCCTGGTGATGAGGCATATAATAGCGATGATATACTGGCACCCCTGCGAGAAAGAAAGGAAGACGTAGTCAAATTCCACGGACAAACTGCACAACCAGTACATGCCAACACAAGACCGAGCAGAAGCGATACAGTCACAAGCTATTTTACTAGAAAGGCCAATCGACTACGGAGTGGCACGCTAGATGACAATTACGTTCCAAACTTGACCGCCACCGCAGGTTCTGTCGGAAATGCAGAACTAAGCACAAGTATTTCCGCAGATACAGCTGGCAGCTCGGATGAAGTTGGTTCACTCAAGGACTTGGAGAATTATTCACCAGGACGCTATGGTGACCTTAGAGTTATGAATTGATGCATTTGTCGCATTTTACCACGAGGGTGCTGGATGTTGAGGGGCCATTGTTACGCCTAAGAAAGTCTAACCATGAAGCGAAAAACAATTCAAAAACCATCCGAACAAAAGAATACTACACAAGAAACCACGTCTCTCTAATGAATGAAATGACCTTACAATCAGAATGGGGATGAAGGCTGGCAGAGCAGGTAAGCGCTCATTCCCACGGGACGCAAAACGCTTAAAGTGGCCCAGGTTGAATTTTTAGAACTTAAAACTCAATCTCTGAGTTAACCCAGTATCATTACAATCAAAGCAAAATAACAAATTCAACCGTAATCTCTCGATATTGATGTGTTTATACTCGACGGATGATTGATTTTCAAGTGTCCCTGTCAGGGCCTTATTTCTTTTGGATTTGAAAATTTTAAAGAAAATCAATGCGATGAGCTACTTAGTAATAAGAGTACCAAACATCACAAAGTCGACAGGTGATTCTAGCATCTAAGACTGGAATGAGTGGTTTTCCAGAAGAGGTCCACGCTGTGGGAGATGATCACGTTCAAGAAGAATTCATTGAAAACAACGAAGTTGAGCAAGAATACGTTGTAGACGAAAACGCAGGAGCACCAATGGACGATGACGATGATGAAGAAGATGAAGGTGAAGAAGGCCCGGAAGAACCAATTGAGATAGATATGTCGAACAACTCTTACACTTATTTCGACAAACATTCAGACTCGATTTTTACGGTATCTCAGCATCCTAAACTGCCTCTCGTCTGTACTGGCGGTGGCGATAACGTTGCATATCTGTGGACTTCGCATTCACAACCTCCGAAATTTGCCGGTACGATAACACATTCTGAATCTGTCATTGCTGGTGATTTCAGTTGTGATGGCAAATTTTTGATCACCGCCGACATGAATGGACAAGTGCTGGTACATAAGGCTGTCAAAGGTGGCCAACAATGGAATAAGTGTGCAGAGTTACATGAAGTGGAAGAAGTCACATGGCTGAAGGTTCACCCCACGGTAGCCGGTATATTCGCTTTTGGTGCCGTAGATGGGTCCGTTTGGTGTTATCAAATAAATTCGAACTCGGGCAGTTTGGAACAACTGATGAGCGGTTTCGCGCATCAACAAGACTGTACGATGGGTGAGTTCGTCGATGTGGAATTGGGAGATACGGCAGTGACTCTAGTCACGTGCTCGCTCGATAGTACTATAGTCGGTTGGAACTGTTTTACGGGCCAAAATCTCTTCAAGATATCACAATCGGAGCTTAGAGGTATTGAAGCGCCTTGGGTTTCGCTTGCACGCGCTCCAGCGTCCAAATCTGCGTCTGTCATTGCATGTGGTGCGAATAACGGTGTTTTGGCCATTGTGAACTGTCAAAACGGCGCCGTCTTACAACTTTCCACCGTAATCGAGCTTAAGCCTGAACAAGACGAATTAGACGCATCTATTGAATCCATTGCATGGTCTCCCAAGTTCCCGTTGCTAGCCATTGGTCTAGTTTCGGGTGAAGTTTTGCTTTACGAAACGCAAAGCTGGAGAGTGCGTCACAAGTTTGTTCTTGAGGATTCCGTTACAAAGTTGAAATTCGAGTCCGAAAACGGGTGTTTTCTTTTCGCTTCGTGCATCAATGGGAAAGTTTATGAGTACGACGCTAGGAATGGACAAGAAGTTCATGTTTGCTTGGGCCACAACATGGGAGTCTTGGATTTCGTATTATCAGAAGACGGTAAAAAACTGATCACAGCAGGGGACGAAGGTGTCTCTTTGTTGTTCCAGTTGCCATAAGTCGCTCGCTTTTACGGGTTTAACAGCGTGTACAATATGTAGAATTCGATTGATGAAAGGAAAGGCTTGCATTTTCCTGGACTACGTAGAGGTTTTGGCCAACTTCGCATCTATCAGCTTGCTAATTAGTTTGGAAAGCGGTGAAGTTTCCGAGTTTAATTGTTGTTCGAGCTGAGCAAAGACTTGTTTTTCGATGATTTTGCCTGTAAGATCAACTTCGATATTCACCAAGTCGCCAACTTTCTTGAGCGGCATGACGACACATTCCTGAGTATGTTTTATCATGGAAATGTAGAATGTTCCGTTTGAGTCCACGTTAGTAATAGTGAGTGACGTACCGTCAATACAGATAAAACCCTTTTCCACGATGTAGTTCTCGTATTCTTTGTCTCTCAATTGGAACCCAAATACTAGCGAGTTGTCTTCTGGAGTACACGAAACGATCTTTGCCGTGGTATCGACATGACCTTGGACGTAATGACCTCCAAATCTGACATCTTGGCCGACAGCTCTTTCAAGGTTCACTTTCGACCCGGGCACCCAGGAAGCAACGTTGGTTCTTCTAATGGTTTCTGGTGACACACCAACTTTAAACCATGAGGGTCCATATTCTGTAACGGTCAAGCAAATGCCGTTAACCGCAATAGAGTCCCCGATGTGACAGTCCGAGAGTACCTGTGCTGACTCACCGATCATCACGGAGATACCTCCGCCGCCACTTTTAGATGCGTCGTAGTCCTTGTAGTCTATCACGACGCCCATATGCTCCACGATGCCAGTAAACATGTTTCAAGATCCTGGTGCTATCGACTGGTGGTGGTCTGGTGGTGGTACTCAACCTGATGTCTTGGATTATATATCTGCAAGAAACCGGGAAGGAAAACGTTACTGATGACCAAGAGAATCCAAGATATCGCCTTTGGAGCTTGAAGTGGTCCCTCGTTTGGATTCTAGTGCTACTGTTAAAGCTCAAAAGACGTTTATATAAAGTTGCAAGCCCGATCTTAGTGGGGCATGCTAGCAGCTATGGAATCTAAAGTATAGATCATCGCTGCTGGCACATCGAACGAATGAGTGTATCCAGCATAGCACTATTGATACTTCATGGAGAAAACTGGGTACATTGCAAATGCTACAATTCATCTATTGTGTGTACGCTCCATAGATGATCCATATCATACCATCAGAGAGCAACTTGTTGATGATCACTGGTTATCAACTATGGTAATGAGGCTTATTGATATGGTCGCCGATCGTATCCAGTGACTACTGCTCTTTAAGTACCTCTATACGGAAACGAGTATCTATGAGTATTATCGTTTTGTACGTTTGATGGGTTCCTGATAGGTAGTGTCAGTGACAAGCATACGACAGAGCGTAGCAACACGAAGAGTTGAACTCCAGTTACGATTTTGCCTCGGTTTATTACACTTACACGTGCGGATTTCAGATTACTTAGTACCGCGTGGTTGAAATTCGTGGCACTTCATGTTTCTGTAGTGAAAAAGCGTTTTTAGAACGATTTCCAAAAGTCGAAATTCACGTGTCTTGCCGTTGCGTAAAGGTGTCCACGTAATTCTATAAATGCGACGACCTTCAGGCCTTAAGAGCGTCCAATTTCTTCAACTCAGACTGTATTTCTTTGATAGTCTGCTTCCGTTTCTCCTTCAACGCCGCCTTCTCCTCAGCGGGCAGATCCACGAGATCCACGCCGTCCAATTCAATCAGAAGCTTCAACAACATCTCGTTGTAATACTTACGCTGATACTGGTCCTTCTCGCGCGCAGGGTCATAGTTTTCCAGTAACTGGTGCAATCCAGTCTTGTATTCGTCCATGTATTTCGCGTAAACGGCGTCGATTTGTTCTTTGAGGCTCAATTTTGGACGTGATTTCAACGCGGCGCCCTGCGCGCAGCTTTGCCCACCGCGCTGCTTCCGGCTGCCCCGTTTTCTGCTTCTAGGAGTTCTGCGCAACGCAACCGCCAGCAGCAATGCTCCGACCGCTGTGACAGTGCATGCGGTCTGGAATTCACTGGTTTGGGTCTTTTGCAACGCTGTCTCTAGTAGCGCGCTCGCATACGACATCGCAGACACAACGCGAGGCTGCTCACCCAACGATACCAGCGCTTGTTTTATCGAGTCCATATTTCAAGATTTGTCGCGTCTCGAGGTCTCAAAACGGCTCTTTCCTACCCTTTCGTTTCAGCAGTCTTGAGACTTCAATACAAAGAATTTCCGATATTACGATGTTTAGCCGTGAAAAAAAAATTGATGAAACGAGGTTTTAAGGCCCCAGGTTTCCTACAAAGACATTACGAGGCCGCACCGTTTATTCAAGTCCGTACGAAGAAGCTATTGATCAGGAAGACTTTGTCAATTTCCGCCACGCGATGGCTTCGCCTTGTTCGTGTTCTAATTCTTCACCTTCTAGATCATCGTCAAAAGATTGATGATCTTGAAATGAAAAAGGCCTTCGTATGAAGTAACATCATGAACTTTGGTCCATCTGGTAAGGGAAGCAAGAAGACACTCGGAAGGGTTGAAATCTCTGAAGCAGTAGGGAGGGTTCAAAAGATTTCAAAAGCCCATAAATATGCCGGCAGCTGCTAAACTAGATGGCAAATTTGGTGATGAATATATTAGAAATTTCAACGAGACTCTCGTGGGTGATCAATTCGCTAAAATAGACGTTTTTTTGAGTAATGAGGAGTTGATCTACAAACTGGTAGATTTGGCCCTGGTCCGACGTGAAAGTTTGCCGGAGGCGCTAGACGCCTTAGTTTCATTGTTCAATATCCATTTGGAGTTGCAGGGTGAGTTTTGGGAGGTCTACATGCGAGCTACAGAGTCCATAGTCGCCAATTTCAGAATCGATGAGAGCGAGAATGACGAGGTATTGTACAAAAAGCTGGCTTTGATCAACACCTGTCTGCAGCGCGACGAAACGAATGAGTATGTGAAACAGGTTCTGAAGGGTGCGTCGCTGGCAGGCGCTCCGGAGCGTCTGTTGGCGCAACAGATCCAGAAGCTTTTGTCGAGGAATGGGTCCGTTATCACGCGCGAAATCATCGCAGGCCTGCTCAGATTGTACTTGCGAGCTGCGGTTGATGTGCTTCAGGAGCAGAAACCTGTTGTCGAGGCGCTGCTCCTGTACCTTTTCCGCAAGTACAGCGACCAGCTCGAGTTCAAGTATGTCGTAAAAGTGGCTCGCAAGGGCATTCACGCACCAGTTTACAACCCGTTGAGTAACAAGGGCATCGAAAATTGCTCTGCATTGCCTTTCATGACTGCACCACGAGCCGTCATCATTTATGATCAACTCGACAAGGAGCTTTTTTCGCTCGGGGTTCACGTTTACCTAAGGATATTTGAAAACGTAACCACACCGGAACTCAGGGATGAAAATTTGTGGAAATCGGGTCAATTTGTGCTTTTCGTCACGAGTTTCCTAAAGTCGGACGATATAGGCTTGAAGGCCCCCGCGCTTAGGTTCTTCACCTATCCTTACTTCACATCGCCGAACAACACTCTGCCGCGACAATCTTTGCGCCTCATAATACCTGCACTCGTTCAGACTTTCAACTATTACAATCTTCCTTGTTCGTTTGACCCTTTCGAGATTTTGACTGGCTTGATCAACATTTACAACGAAACGGAACCATTGAACAACCCCATTACCGATTTCTTATACAGAACCGATTTGGTGAATGGAATCGTTTACATGTTGTCAAAGTGTCTTTCTCTCGATCAGCAAAATCAGAGCTCGATCACTGTGCTGGCTAAGTTTATTAGGCTCTGTGCATGCTTGACTAGCTTTGACGAAAAATGCCGGACACTACTTTTGGAAGATAAAAATATCTTACTACATGCTGAGCGTGGTCTCGAATCGCATCTTATTTTACTCAGGGCGTTTGTGTCATACAAGGGGGACCTGAACGAGCCGCTTTCAGAGTCCGATCTACCGCCATTGCACGATAGTGAGCTAACTCTGTCATGGTTGCTGCTACTTAAATCATTTTCGCGGAGTATAACGGCGTTACGGACTTCGCTCAAAAGAGACAAATTAGCTGAACTGTTACTTGATATAGTCAGAGTCGTCTACGACCTCATCAAGCACGTAGATTTCAAGGGTTTGTCGCTTATTCGCGCCGAGGTGGGCATAATGGGTGCAGCTCTGGGGATATTGTCGAATTTCGTTGTCGAATTTTCCAACTTACAGTCCTATATCATCACAAATGGAATCATCGACGCGATTGGAGATGTTTTGAGTGAGCCCCTATTTAATAACAAGATACCCTGGACACCCGATGCGCGCGAGGCATTGTTGGAAGATGTCCCCTCGTCGGAAATCAAAACCAACGCCCTGTGGGTTCTGCGACATCTCATGTACAACTCGCAGGACAAGGACAAACTAGAACTCCTCGGTAAGATCCCACTGTCTGTCATTCTGCATTTTGTCAACGACAGCAATTGGCTGGTCCAAGAGCAATGTTTCCAACTCCTAAGGAATTTGACTTGCAATTCTAAAAAAATCGTTAATCTCTTGCTAGGCAGCTTTGACGATTCGGCGCCTTCCACTTCGTGCTTGGAAGCTTCGCCCTCCAACATCCGCTCAACGTATCTGTTCGATTTCTTGGTCCACAAAGCGCGGATGCTGGACTATCGTGATGTACATCAACGCAAAACTCTGGAGGGCGTTCTATACATTGTGGTCAACATCAGTGCAATAAATGAAAACAAGAGGCAATTGATCATCGAACAGGACGATCTTTTGCATATTGTTCAAGAAATCTTGAGCAAAGAGCCTGAAAGTGAAGACGGAGATGCTACGTTTGCTGACCTGCAAATCGCCTGCCTGTGGATAGTGACGAACCTGATTTGGAACTCGACCTTCTCGGCGTACTCGCAGCGGTCTCCGATTGACTATGGTTCTACACGTCACAATGCTGGGGCGTTGACAGTAGAAGGCGCTCCCGCCGGTGAACAACCTGATAAAGCGGACTATCAGACGGGCGATGACATAGCGGACGACGATGCCAGCGATGACGCAGACAAAAACGAAATTGTTACCAATCAGTCTGTGGGAGACGGCGGTGACGCCGATGAGTTTGTCCGCCCGTACAGAATGGCTCCATCGCCTAAAGTCAAAAACGCCGGTCTAGAACGATGTTTGAAACTGGTCAATCTAGGAATCTATGACTTGCTGAAGTTTAAATCATTCGACAAGAATTTAACAGTGCGCGAGAAAGCGCGAACCGTTGTACTACACATGGACCAATTACGCGAGGGCATGTAACTTACTGACGACAGCGAAGAAGTACACTAAGGCAATATCCCAGAACAAAATAAGCTCGCTAGCTAAAATAACGCCATCTTCAACCTGGCTGAATGGATTCAACTCGTCAATGTTTTATCAGAATCACGTGCCCCTTTTGACTGACATGTGACATTCAAATACCACGTGATTTTGAGATAACATGTGGCTTTTCGGAAGTGGGATAATTGACAATGCCAATCTATGTTGGAATGCCTGAAGTGCTGTAAAGGATTGAGGTATTTAAATCAGAAGCCATTGATTTAGAAGACCCCCCTCGAGAATCGGTTTCAAGAGCTTAAGATTTGGTCGGTAGCAGCCTTCAGTTGAACATTTTTGCCGGAAAATCAACTGGAATGGGCATCGACTTCTTGAGTAATCCGTTTGGAATTTCAGGCGATTGGAAGCACGCCGGCGGGTATAGTTCGCCAGTGACAGCTATCAACTCGGTTCTGTGCGACAATTTAAAGTCTATTTTCAGCTACAAGACGTTTTCGGATCCGGATTTACTGGATAGGGCTGTTAAGAAATGGGCCGAAAAGGCATCAGAGCTTGAATTTAAGGAACTAAATTTGAGATCAGGAGCGGGCCTGACGCCACTAGGGTACGCTAAGGGATCCAAATCCGTGTCGGGCATAATTACGCCAGGCTATGGGGTGCCGCTTTTTGCCGAGAGTTTTCGAAATTCCGGTAAGGAGTCGGGCCGTTTCCTTTTTAACGTGGGAGCCTTGGATTACGACGAAGCAAAGGGAACGCTTTCCAACGACTACATCACGCCTCTAAAGACGGCTTCTCAGTTAGGTTATCCCGTTGTCTCGCCTCTTTCGGCTCAGGAAGCCGGGCTCACAGCATGTCTGGCGCTCGCGTTCGCTAAGTTTGGGAAAACCGTAGGCGCCGTTAACCTGTTCGATGCGGCCACGTTTGGAAAATCTGTCTTGAAGATCTCTGGGGATCAATCTGCAGGCGTCTTGGATAAGTTGGCTCACACTTTAACGACAGATTCATCGTTTGATCAGATTTTGGATGCTTTCAATGAGGTTGCTCCCCATAGACTGCACAACTTCGAATTGTCGGGATCTGAGGACGCCGAGACTGTTTTTGTCGCATTTGGAACTGTGGAGTCGCAACTTTTCAGTAAATTCGCAAATGCAACTCGAGGTTCAAAAATTGCCTCTATAGCCATTAGAATTCCACTTCCTTTCGACACCGAAAAATTTGCTGCTTTACTGCCTGTTACTACCAAGACTGTGGTCGTGATTGGGCAATCACCAGACGGTCTCTCACCCTCATACTTGAAGTCACAAGTTTCGGCGGCCCTGTTCTACCAGGGCAAGAGAAATTTAAAAGTCTTGGAGTTTATATACTCTCCCGACTTCGCTTGGTCGCAGAAAGCCCTTAACAGTGTTGTCACCTCTTTCTTGCCACACGTTAAAACAGGCTCGAGCAATAATGAGGATTTTTTGTTCTGGAGTGCTGACAACAGTCCCAACATTGATGTCGCAGCCAGACTAGCGCACGCTCTTTCTTTAGAAGATGGAAAAGAAGTGACTTTGCGGACAAAATTTGACAACCTAACGTGTGCCGGATTGTATCAGGCTCAAATTTCTTTGTATCCTTCGACTTCCCCTGTGTTGCTTGATAACGTAGAAGAAGCCGCCTTGGCAATAGTCGAGGCGGACGTTTTGATGCATTTCAATGCTGCAAGGTCGATCAAAGATTTAGGGACTCTCGTTATAGTCAGTGGGTTTTCTTTGAAGGAGGAGGATATCTCATCTACCGAGTTCCTTGTCGATGAACTGAAGATTCCTTTCCCTGTCATTGAAACCATAGTTCAGAGAGATCTCAAGGTGGTCTTTCTAGATTCGGCCACTATTGGAGACAAGGAAGAGACAAAAGGGAGAACCATGTCGTTTGTGATGCAGGCTGCTTTTTGGAAATACGCTTACAACTTGTCTATCGCTGACAGCGTCAGACGCATCTGGAATTCTGCAGGTTCTGACATTGAGCTGTTAGCTGCTGTTCTTTCTGACACCATTGCGAATGCCTTTGATGAAGGACTCATTGAAGCGGACGGGAAGAAGCTCAGCGATAGTTTTAAAAACTTTACTGATAGTAGTTCCGGAAAGAAGGAAGAAAATGGTACTCAACTTGAAACAATCGTTGTCGAAAACTCTTTCAAGCCTAATCCAAGAGCCATCGAAGAGGTACCTGAGGTTAGAAGCACGGGCTATCTGGAAATTGCCAAAAGCTTGACATTCTCTGAAGCTTACGACACTGCGAATGAATTGAGACCCGACTTGCCTGTCAAAAACTACGTTGTCAAGGTCAAAGAGAATAGGCGTCTGACTCCTGAGGATTACGATAGATATATTTTCCACGTCGAATTTGATATCTCTGGCACTGGCATGACCTACGGTATTGGTGAAGCCCTTGGTATTCACGCAAGAAACAATGAAGCGCAAGTGAAGGACTTTTTTGAGTTTTACGGTATTGATGATAATGAGGTGATTGTTGTACCAAATAAAGATAACCACAAAATTTTGGAACACAGAACCGCTCTTCAAGCCTTCATTGAAAATTTGGACCTATTCGGAAAACCTCCAAAGAGGTTTTATGAATCTTTAATTGATTTTGCCTCCGATGAGGATGAAAAGAAAAAGTTGCAAGATTTGATTTCTCCTGCTGGTGCTGTGGACTTGAAGCGTTATCAAGACGTTGAATATTACACCTACGCCGATGTCCTTGAGCTATTTCCATCTGTCCGCCCATCTCTCGCTGACTTGGTCCAAATTATCGCTCCATTGAAAAGAAGAGAATATTCCATAGCTTCATCGCAACGTATGCATCCAAACGAGATTCACTTGCTGATCGTCGTCGTCGACTGGGTTGATAACAAGGGAAGAAAGAGATATGGTCAATCATCTAAATATATCTCTGAACTTAGTGTTGGCTCGGAACTCGTTGTCAGCGTGAAGCCCTCTGTCATGAAGTTACCACCAAGGCCAGAACAACCGGTCATCATGAGCGGTCTTGGAACCGGTCTGGCCCCATTCAAAGCCATTGTTGAAGAGAAGCTATGGCAGAAAGAGCAGGGCATGGAAATTGGAGAAGTTTACCTCTTTCTGGGCTCTAGACATAAGAAACAAGAATATTTATATGGCGAGCTGTGGGAAGCTTATAAGGATGCCGGCATCATTACGCATATCGGCGCTGCATTTTCCAGAGATCAGCCAAAAAAGATTTACATTCAGGACAGACTCAGAGAAAGTCTAGAAATACTAGAAAGCGCTATGATGGAAAAAGAGGGCTCTTTCTACTTGTGTGGACCAACATGGCCTGTTCCCGATATAACAAGCGCCTTGCAAGATATTATTTCTGCCAATGCTGAAAAAAAAGGACTCAAGCTTGATCTTGCCGCTGAAATTGAAGAACTCAAAGAAGCAGCCAGATATATTCTCGAGGTTTATTAGTTTATCTCGTGCCTATGTGATGCCTCTACTTTTAAACGTCTCTTTGACTTGAATTGAAAGCGAACTATAGAGCGTTAACGACAGAAGTGCCGTCTTGAAATCTCGTTTTGAAAACTCTGTTGGCGTTGGTGAACATACCTTCCTTCAGAGACACAACGATGAATTGGGAGCCGTTGAATCTTGTCTTTATCAAATGTCCGATATTTTGAGTGTGACTCAAATCCAAAGCAGCGTCTACTTCGTCCAAAATATACATTGGTGCGGGTTTGAATTGCAGCAGTGCCAGGATGAGAGAAAGGGCAATCAGAGATCTTTGTCCACCCGAAAGCTCAACAAGACTTTCTTTCCACATCGTGCCCAGACGTACTTTTACTTCAAGACCCTCCGTGATATCTTTGCCTTCAGAGGGTACAAGCTTGGCAAAAGAATTTGGTAGAAGATCTCCAAAGATGAGACCAAAATCTGCGCTTACTTTCTCCCATGTTTTGATCAGTGTTTCACGTTTGTAATCATTGAGCTTGAATATTGTGTCCTGAATTTTCTTCTTGTCTTTGAGGATGGTTGCGATCATTGTTCTTAAAGCAGACTCCTTCTTTTCGACATTTTCTATCATACTGACAATATTTGGGTTCACTTTACGTCGTAAAGTTTGAAACTTCTCTTCAAGATTTTCCTTGCGATGACGAAGCTCCTCCATGTCAGTATTTTGTTGCTGTTTCACTATGCTTGAGACAATTCCATCGTCCGCCAACCAATCATTCTCTTCTAGTAATTCCTTTAGCTTGTCATCAATAAAGGTGGTGTTTTGTCGAACTTTTTGCAGCTCTCCTGTAACATGCTTAAATTCCATCTCAGACTCGCTTAAAATCTGCTTCTTGTCCAAATTTAGCTTTTCTAGCTCTCTCAATTCTTCATCGATGACCATGATCCTACTGCGCTCCTCCAAAAGATCTTCCCTGGTTTGTTTCAGACGATGTTGTGCCTCGCTGAGCAATGAGCTCTCTATTGCTCGCTTCTCTTCAGAAGACGTAAGAGATTTTTGAACCTCTTTGATCTTTTCTTCTGAACTGGCAATATCAACATTGAGCTGATCCGCTTCGAGTTGCAGACCTTGATAAGAGTCATACTGCTTTTCAAGTTCATCTTGTTCTTTTTCAATTCTCCTTGTAAGATCCTTTATTTCCCGATTTATCTCCTCAAGCTTGGATCCTTTATCCCTGCTAAATTCTTCTTTATCTCTCAAGATATTTGAAACTGAGAGTTCGAGACTCTCCGCATTAATGCAGTTCCTTTTGATACCGTCTTCACATTGGCTAATCTCGTTTTTCATTTCAGCATGCCTTTGTAAGATTTCGGTGGATTCATTGTTTAACAAACTCCGCTCGGCCATTCTCTGTTTGTGCTCCTCCATGCTTAATTCATTTTGAAGATTCTTGGTTCGGCTCAATATAGCTTCATATTCCTTAAGCTGACGATTTATCTCAGATAATCTTAGTTCCAACTTCATTTTGCGTTGAGCAACGTTATTGTATTTTTGTATATCGAGAAGGATGGAGCTGCTATTATTGCGAGATCCGCCAGATAGGGTACCCTCGGGGTCGTAAACATCGCCTTGCAAAGTAATGCTTCTAGTTCGAATTTGAGGGTGGAATGTGACTTTTTTGGCGGCTTCGGCATCCATGCAAATAAGACTTGTACCAAAAATAAACTCCATGGCCTTCGTCACTTCTCCTTCGAAACCAATCAGATCTAGGGCCAATTCTACACTATTGGGAGCCACTTTTTTAGCAAAAGCTACTGTGCTTTCTTGTAGCCGCCTTGCTGATATTTTGTTAAGGGGAATTATTGTCACTCTTTTGCGAAGCTTTCCCTTTTCTAAAAGTTGTGACGCGGTAATTTCATTATCGACTACAATGTTGAATAAGCGCCCACCCGCACACACTTGAAGAGCGGTGGCACTATTCATATGTTCGCTTTTCAATGTGAAAAGCTGAGCGGCGACTCCTTTAACAGACTTAGGATTAAAGTTTGAATTCGGTTTGGAATACGAAAAGTCAAGGTTTGCCACGGTGCGTTGCAAAGCATCCATCTCAAGTGATGTACTGTAGATTTCATTTTTTAGGTCATGTTCCTCCCTTTTAAGCTCGTTCAAAATTTCCGGCTTCAAGCCCAATTCGCTGAGTTGCTTTGTAAAATGAGAACACTTTTCCTTATGTGCTTCTATGGCGCGTTGCAGCTTTTTGTTTTCTTCGGTAGCCTGCTCCAGTTTAGGTTCGTTAGCTTTTAGCTCTTTTGTCAAAATGTCGATCTTCATCTCATCACTTTGAATTGCCACTTTGATATCATTGAGTTTTCCTGTGAGTATCGAATGTTGAGCTTCGTATCCATTGTTTGCATCTCCTGTAGAAGAAATGCCAGTTGTCAATGTAGAAAGCAGTTCATCCTTTGCTTTTAGCTGGCCTTTGAGCTCATCTAAGGAGGCGTTCCTTTCTTCATAGTCTTTTTGAGTTTTTTGAACTTGATTGGTTTTCTCATTTAGAAGCGATCTCATTTGATTTACCGAGTCAACGAATCGTTGCAATTCCGCAGATTCTTCCTGGAGACTTTCTTCCGTGATTCCTAGGGTGGTGCTCAGTCGCGAACACTCGTTAGTTAAATGAGTATCCTGTGACTCCAGTTGGTTGAGTCTGCCATCTTTTTTCAATTCGCTTTGCTTCTGCTTGCGTGTTGCTTCGATATCCTCTTTGAGAGTGGCTAGTTCCTCTTTGAGCCTTGCGATTATAGAATTGAGCTCACTAGAACGTGCATGGTTTCGCTTTAAACTTGTTTCAATGTTAGTTTTCCTGTCAGACAAAGAACTGAACGTCACGGCGTTTACCACCCTTAACATTTTCTCGAGTTCAACTTGGGTTTCTTGAAAGTCCAAAAATATCTGCTTTTCATTGCGTAGCTTTTGAAGTTTGGGTTCCACTTCTTCTTGCAGCAAGCTAGTTATTTCTTGCAATTTCGTTTCTTTCTTTGCCATGGTACGTTCTGCCTTTTCCCGCCGGTCCTCAAACATCTTTGTGCCTGCCGCTTCCTCGATAAGTGACAGAATCTCGGAGGGCTTCATGTTTAGCACTTTAGTAATTTTGCCCTGCATGATTAAAAAATTTGGATTATTGATATTCAGTTGAACGGATTGGAACAGATGAAGTACAGTCTGTTGCTGGGCTCGATGACCATTAATCAAATATTTGCTAGTGCCGCCTAACACGATTTGTCGCGTAACTGAGATTTTAGGATAAGTTTCAAACCCTATCGGTGAATTGGTCTTATCAGAATTGTCGAAAACTATCGTCACACTAGCTTTTGTTACACCTGCTTGCCCTCTTTTATAGATCAAATCTTGTAAATTGGACGCTCTTACGGTCGCCATCGAAGATATTCCCAGTACAAAACATATCGAGTCTAAAATATTCGACTTCCCAGAACCATTAAGACCAGTAATTGCATTAAACTGTGGATCCCAGTCCGAGATCACCGTCCGTGTAGCGTAGGATTTGAACCCATCGATGATCAGTTCTTCAACCTTCATTATCGTCTGACTAACAACCCTAAGCCAGAAAAGTCTGGCCGAATATGTTGAAGTAAGTCACAAACTCCTTCGACTCGTGATTTGCCGATTGATTGAGGCCTTCTAGACACTGGTCTTGGTCGTCAAAAGACGTTTCCTTCAGGTTATTTACCTTTCGCGTTTCTCAGATTCCACGTAATCTTGTACGTAAGGGAGCCAGTTCCTTCAGGTACTTATCGAGATATACTGGAGTACGGCTCATCGAGCCTAGCTCGAAGCATTGAATCAAGCCCAGCTTCAAGTTTATGTACTCAGGTCAGTAATGTGATAACGTATTGATTAGCTTTTTCGGAGGACCTTTAGATACAAAATGACAAAACCATTACCATTCTACGTAACTTAATCTTGGGTCTTTTGAGAACCACGCAACAAACCGGTTCTTCTGGCAGCAATCAAACCAGCCTTTTGACCAGCGACAGCACCTCTGGAAATGGTAGAAGCCTTACCAATGTGTTGATGGTTACCACCACCGTGAGGGTGATCCACAGGGTTCATGGCAACACCACGGGTCTTTGGCCAAGAGTTTCTCTTAACCTTGTACTTGTGGAAGGCACGGCCGGCCTTCAACAATGGCTTGTCAACTCTACCACCACCGGCAACAACACCGATGACACCTCTGGCGTCAGAAGAGATGATCTTCTTAGCACCGGAAGGAAGTCTGACTCTGGTCTTGTTTTCGTCTGGGTTGTGACCAATGATGATAACGTAGTTACCAGAAGCTCTAGCCAAAGCACCTCTGTCACCTGGCTTCTCCTCGACGTTGGAGACAATGGTACCTTCTGGAACAGAGCCCAATGGCAAGATGTTACCAACGTTCAAAGTAGCCTTCTTACCGGCGTAAATGAATTGACCGGTGTGGACACCTTCGTTGGCAATGAAGATTTCTTCACGCAACTTGTATTTGTATGGGTCGCGGAAAACAACCTTGGCCAATGGGGCACCTCTACCAGCGTCGTGGACAATCTGCTTGACGACACCACGGATGTAACCGTGACGTTCAGCATAGTCCAAGGTTCTCAACTTGGCAGCGCCTTGTCTCAACCTGGTGTGGGAGGTGAAGATAGAACCAGCACCCTTTCTTTGGTTACGAATAACTCTACCTGTAAAAAGTTGTTAGTGGCTTCATTCTCTAAATGTTGCGAATTTTTCGCATTTACAGGTCCAATTTCTTCTAGAGACGTCGCAATCTTAAAACACTTCGAGTACATTCCCGGTGGATTGAAATCCCACGTCTTGCGGTATCACTATCTGTTCTCAAAGCTGTCCACCCCATAGTTATTCTCCACAGCTATTTTGCAAAATCTAACATCCATTTCAGTGTCCCACTCAAAATTGATGACAACTTAACTATCTCTTTTCGATTAGAAGGCCCTTTATTTCATTTAACCACGCTCACATACCCATTGTTCACTGATTTCTGGCTTGTCTGATCTTCTAGGCTTCTCAACTGAAGAGCTATTCCTTAACCACTTTCAAAAATTTTGGGTATTGGCGATGCAACGATACACGCTGAGTCTGGGCAGCATCTCCACCAAGGACTCTCTTGCTGCCTGGGCCCGAGACCCCCTGCCAGGACGACTGACGAGGCAGGGCATCCCACTCCGGCCGGATCCCACCGGCGGTCCCTAGCAGGACGCTAGGCAGGGCTGCGTCAGCCTCTGCCAAGTTGCTCGCGCTGGGAAGCACCACTTGGATTACATTGGGTTTGTCGTTACCCATACGACTCAATCAAGCCTTTTTTTTTGGAACCCTACATTTTTATGATGTATGGGTTTATTTTGCAATCTTTTTTAATTGTGTTTGGTATTTGGTGTTTGGGCGTTTGACTAATTTTTGTTTCCCTGCTTTACATCAGAGGTTATTTCCAAAGGTTCCGTCTAAGCTATAACGCTCGAGCGTTGTTCCTGAGTTAGATTAGGTGTATTGTGTTACATTTATTATTCAAATGGCTTAAAAGAGCGAGGGCATTCATGCCAGACAATTTTTCTCAATCAGCTGGCCTCTCGGCGTTGAGACTACCTGTTCAAGTTGTCAAATGTTACAAAGGGTGGTATGTGTTGAATGCGAAATTTACAAGAGTTAGGATTCTTGGTGATCCAGTCATTCTTTTATTCATCCTTTAATCTTGTAGGTTGAGTGTCTTCTGCGCATGTTCGGTCGCATTTTTTTATATTTTATTTTGACAGTTGACTTTCAAAGGCCTACAAATTGATGGTTTCGCCCATATTTATAAACTACCTTACAAAGCAAAAACCGCAGAGATAATACCCTTACTCGCAGGTTGTTTGAAAATGAAAAACCTCAGCTTATTTCTCTATAAAGCGCGACAAAGAGTTCGCAATAGGATCTTAAATTCCTGGTACAAGACGCGGCAAGACGAGGCTAAAATATCACTATACGTACATATTGTCATACGTCTACATAGACCTGTCAGAGACGCGAATCTCAATTATAGCGAAAGGATGGTTCCCAAGTCTATTTGCGATGTTCTGTTATGCAAAGAGCTTTACCAGTGTAAAGTCCGAGGTGCTACTAGTCACTATCGCACGAAACTGTCATCGAAACGCATCGTGTCAAAGAGCACATCAGTTTTGTTCTGTTCTAAAATAGCAAGGGTGACTGGCGCAGAATGCATTCAGACCTGTTCTGTAGCTGGAATCTCAACTCTTGTAGTCTCAGCTTCCAAAAGTTCCAACTCAGTCTTGGCTCGCTCCGCGGCAAGTTTCCGGGCAGCGGCTTGCTGGACTTCTTGAATTTTAGACAATCGCGCAGGTCTTAATATGATCTTCTTTTTGCCCAAAGACTTGGTTTTGCTTAGTTGTTCAATGCAATCTTTCAAGGCCTCGGGCTTGCCTAGTGTAACCAAAGCCGCGGTGAAACGACGGTGGAAATAAAGGCCGCGCCTCGAACCGCTATTTCTGAAAACGTAGATGTCCTGGGGCTTGTAATCTTTGAAAAATTCTCGCAGATCAATGTCAGTGACGTTGCTTGGAAGATATGCGCAATACACGGTATCCTCCGAAAGAGGTTCTGGGTGTTCTTGCTCGAACACGGAGGTCCCAGCCGGAACAAGAGCTGAAGGTGGTTCGGCAACTAAGCATTCGCCCTCGTTACAGCTTTCATGTTCCAAAATTTTGCTGCTGTTCTTTTTCAATTTTGAACCACCGACTTTGCTCTTCTGAGGTTTCTTGTTTGGTGCACGAGGGCTGTACGGCACGTACGGTTTGAGTCTCAGCGTCCGATCCTTGAATTGAATTCCGTTGAGCTCTTCGATCGCTTTTCCTGCCTCCTCCGCACTGGCAAAATCCGCATACCCTATACCGAGCGGTCTGACGCTGCTGCTTCTAAACCCTCGAACAGTCTGACTAGGAATCAGGACCGAAACAAGTTTAAAATTGGCCAAAAGTTCTCTAAGCTCTTCTTCTGTGGCATTGAAACTCAAGTTCGAAATGTACACTCTTTTGGAAGGAATCGATGTGGACGCCGGATCACTGCCACTTTCAGCAGCGGCAGTCATTTTGCAAAGAACAGATGAACGACAAGATCTGTAAAAAGGAAGAGGTTTCTTTGAGAAATGTGCTGATATAAAACCACGAAGCTCAAAAATGGTATACTCTTATTTAAATTTCAATCAAATGTCATTCAAATATCACTCTTTGTGTTTCTTGTGCTCGTGTCTGCACCAGCGTCGTCGCCAGCGTCGTCGCCTGCGCTTGACGAGACGATTATGTAAGCGTAGATTACCGGAGACGAGATTAGAATCGTCAATAATGCTTGAGATTCAAATCGTTTTTACAAAGATAGCAACGAAAGAGAGCAACGTATTTGCAACGAATCCATTGCAAATGCTGAGCTATTGATGGTGTAGGTTACCTGTAATTCGGAATTTGCCCAATGGCTCGTGGGGAGCTTCGGGCACACGCAAGCCGTCAAAAGTGACAATACAAAATGACGAACAATTCGTGGGAAGAGACTGATCTCGTGACCCAACCATACCGGATCCGTCCTCAGCGCTAGTAGACGCGAAGAGACTCTAAGAGAGCCAGATTGCGGGCTCACTAATACATCGACGGTTGAGGCTTCGAGGCCATATAGCCGAAGCCTTTATCAACCGCTCAGTGGCAAATTTGAACAAAAGAAACAGTTTCTGATGAAAGTATTGTGTATTTCACTTAGATAAAGGTCTACACATCAACCAGCGATTAATCCGAATGCGATGTGCAATTCTCGATCTAAACCACCTTAGCCTCTGCGCATGAGATCAAAAGACCCAGTCACAAGCTGATCATTTCTTCTCAGCGCGTTGAGCAGCCAAAGCTTTGGCAGTGCCGTGCAAGGCGTGCTTGTGGTTTCTTCTGAACTTTGGGTCCACACCCTTCAAGGAAGGGTACTTGTAGGTCTTTGGCTTCTTGATACCGTTTCTGTGAGCCTTTCTCGACTGGTTGTGAGCGGTATGGTTCTTGGACTTGGACATTTCTAGTGATATGTTGTTAGTAGCTGTCTGGGGTAGAATAAGATACCGGAAAGTTTGCGTCGTTTTTCCGACAATATCATTAACGGCAGGAAGTGGGATCGACTAGCCATATAACACGCGAGCAATCACCTTTAGATTCGAGATTTATGAGCAGGCGACAGCGTCGGACCGTATGCAGCACTTGATGAGCCAGCATGACTTAAGTCTACCTCTTCAACGTATGGATTTCGATCATTTTCTGGAGCTCTTCACTGTCTTGCATTCCACATTGCGAACTCAACTTGCTCGAGCCATTACAGCGCCGGCTGTTCCCCAGGACCCGCCCTGTCCTCTTAACGCCCCTCGGCTGTCATTTGTCCTAGCGATTCCCTGCCGATATTACCACCTCGGATACGTACTTGTTTAGTTGATCTACACTTCACTTAGGCGTAGTTACTTGCGTGTTGGTAACCCAATATTTCAAGTATAGGATGAGACCCAGAGCCGTAGAGACAGCTTGCCACCGTACTCAGCGATACAACGACACAGCATTGCTAGGCAATTTTGCGTAATGCCCGAGAAAAGCTTCGAATAATGTTCGGCAAAGAAAACGAATCCAGGTTTACACAAATGTATGGGTGGTTTCGTGGAGAAAATATTTCAAAACGTGTATGGGTGTATTCAATCCGGGGCAGTCACATATTTGGGCATCGAACGGACAAGCTTCTCAAGAGAACTGAAGTATACCCAGCTAGAAGCCTCAGATCCCGTCATCGGGACCCATTGAGAATTTCTTGGTTAAGACCACATGCGTCAAGAATGTATTTTCACGTTTATTTTCCTCGTCTGAATACTATAGATTAGGTGATTCGGGGTTTCGAAACAGATAAATATGTTTTGGAGACAGGCACCTGTAATGTCAGCGTATGCACACTTACTTGAGCTTGCCGAACAGTTTTGGAGCGGCACAGTTGTCGACGTAATGTTGCAAGTGGAAGAACTCCTCTACGCAGTCCTCCTTGTATTCCGCATCGGCGTAACCGGGCTCCTCCTGCGCCTTTTGCACTCTTTCGACACATTCCATGTAGTGATGCACCAGGGGCTTTCCCTCCTCCGTGTTTTTGCACTCTTCTCTGAGAGCGGTGAATTGGTCAACCTGTTCCTCTTCTTCTTCTTCGTCTTCGTCCTCGTCGTCGTCTTCATCTTCATCGTCCTCATCCTCGTCGTCGTCTCCGGCGGCGTCTTTGGCCTCAGGCTCTTCGGAGTCCTCGTCCTGTGGAACTGTAGTTAGTATTATGGTCTGGGTTCGCAACTGCGTTCGCAGCAGTGATTTAGGTTCGGATCCAAACTCAGAGCGTTATAAACTCCGCACAAGGCCCTAGACCTGTCAGTCACCGGCCACTTCAAAGCCTCCAGTAAACTCTCGTCACGCAATTCTTGCACATACCTCTTCCGCTCTGGCTACTGTAGGAACAAACGCCTCTTTCAAGTCCTCTAGATATTCCGCGATAGCGCTGATCATTGTATATGTGTATGTTTCTGTTCTTTAAACCGGCAAACAAAACCAATTATCGGTCAAACTGGTCTTATCCAACTGGTGCGAATATCTAACGCTAACGTTCCCTAAGTCTTGCTTTGAGTATCTATCGACACGCCCTGTTGTCATATATCGGTCCAAAACTCGCGACCAATCGCTAGACGTTTTTCTTGCAAATTGAATATCACGCTGGACGAAAACCATGCTTTTCTTCCTCGCCTATTTTCACCTCCGTCTGCCTCTGTTGAGCCGTGGTTCCGTTGCGAGTAGAAGGGCCTTGTTTCCGCGCGCTATGATTGGATCGTAGAAAACGATAGGAAATGGCTTGCGAATTTAACGAAACTCGAAAGTCACCGTGCACGAATCGCTATGTACGTAACAAACCCGGCGGCAGCACCCGAAGAGCGGAAGCCGGAACGGAAGCGGAGATAGTAGATGTTACATAAGCGGAATATGGATGTCGCCGTGGACGGGAGAGGTTGAGGTCACGTGATCTTGAGGGACCCTGGAGCTCGTTTCTACTGGCAGAGAAGGGCATCGCATCGCATTGCATCGCATCGCCAACGTTGGACAGCACCGTTAAGGCGTTGCCGCGGCGTTGCCGGGGCGTCGACCGTGCGGAATTGCTGTAAAATCATTATTATTAGGGCGCCGGGGTGGGAATTATGTACGGATTATTAGCTGGGAGAACGCATGTCAGCCGAAGAACAGGCGCCAGTTATGGGTCGTCGTCGTCGGGCTTGCCCGTCAGATGCCGGATGTATTTGCACGCAAGCTCGACGGTGGTCGCCTTGGAAGGAATCGAGACGGATTCTTTGAACTCGTTCGGTATGAGCGAATGCAATTCCAGGAGCGCCACGTTAAGCCGGTTTCTACGACCTTGCTCTGCGGCTTTGTGGATCTCCTTTTTGGTGTGGTCGTCTTCGTCCCAGCCGGCGTCTGCGACAGGGGGCTTACTGGCACGCGGCGTTGGCTTTAGCTCGGGCGTAGCGCGAGTGTGGATGGAGCCAGCGCTGGCATTGCGTGACAAATGGGCGGACGGGTGCTTGGGTCTTATCACGGGAGAATCAGTAGCGAGTAGCACATTCCGGTCCTCGTGCGAGGGCGACGCGGACCGTTTGGTGCTGAAGTTGGACGGCAGAATGACTTTGGGGAATGTGGCCATGACTGCGGAGGGCGCGACGCGCAATTCATCCGGGTCTGGTGGTGCGTCCGGATTGGACGCGCCGCTCGAGGACGCAGACGACGAACGGGCACGTTCGGGCGGGATGCTGCTGGCCGGCAGTGCAAACATGTCGTCCCAGTTGGTTTTGATTTTGGTGGAAAGGGATTTGCGGTGTGACGAAATCTGCGGGCTTTGTTTAACGACACGCGACGCCGTTGACGACGCGGCGGTGCCCGTTGACGTCGCGGACGTCGTGGCGGTGAGGGCCGGGGTCGAGAGCGGGGTACGTTTGCCCCTGGACGACGAGGACGAATAACGGGAAGAATGGGTCTGCGAGGGCGGCGGTAGGGCGTCGTCTTGTCCTTTGCCGTTGGACCCCCAGTAACTGAGGGACCGCTGGTATGAGGAGCCGCCCGCGAGCGACTTGTCCGACGCAGTGAGCGCGGGCGACGTGAGCGGGGAAAATTGCCGATGTGCGTCGGTGCGCGACGACGACGACGACAACGAATGCGGTACACCGGGAAGCACGTACGGCGTCGCGGTCTTGGAGGGGAAGGCAGGGACCACCATGGGAGACACGGCGGGCGAGAACGCGACACCGGCCCCGAACGCGCCGTTGTCGACGTGAACGCCGTGGGGCGGATCGTGGTGGGCGTCGAGCAGGTCGAACTCCAGCTGGAACTCGAGTTCGCGGTCGTGGCCGTGCAACGGGTCAGGCATGCCCTCGGGCATGCCCCAGGGCGGGTTCGTAGGCGACAGAGTCGCGTGACGCGACGTGGACGTTGTCGCGGACGTTGTCGTTGGAACGACGCACCCATCCTCGTGCTGGTGTTCCGGCGTCGCGTCGTCACGCACGCGGTCGACCGCGTGCGCCGCATGCGTGGCGTAAAAGTCCCGTTCGTTCAGGTAATGGTCGACCTGGTCGAGGATCGAGCGCGCAGCGCTGTCCTGCGTCGAAGCGTCGTGCATGGGGTGGGCAGATGGGTATGGCGGAGGAGTAGCCCGCAGCGGAGTGAGTCGCGGCTTGGTCTTCTTGGTTGTGCTCTGCCGGGCGGGCGATGCGTGACGGGGGGAGGTCGCTGCGCACGAAACCAGTCGCAGGCACGTGACACCCCGAACCCACACACCCTCACGTACAGAACGACACATCACAAAACCCACACATCTCTACGTACACAACGACCCCTACACGAACCCACACACCCTTACGTACACCCCAACACCCTAGCACCCCAACCCACACACCCTCCACACCCGGCCATTTGTCATTGTCATCGTCCCCATCCTCGTCCTCGTCATCGCCGCCGTCCCCCCACCCACACCCCCATGACTAATACCCGCCTTCCCCCGTCCTCTCTTTGTCCGCCTATCGCCGCCCCTCCGCTGCTGCTCCGCTGCTTCTCCGTTGCGGCTCCGTACGCCTGTTTGCAACCCACGCTCTACCAGTCCGCCCCGTGCTTCCGCGGGCAACCCAGCCCACACCGCCCTTTCAGTACCATCCCGCGGGCGGGTCCCGGCACCGGGACCCACCCTCGCTCCGGGGCATTGACGGCTATATGCCTCGGCCACGGAAGCGCAAACTGGCATGCGGCCGGTGGAGCCCGCTCGCACCCGCCGTCCGCCGCCCACGGCCCGTGTCCACGGTCCGTGTCTATACGGGCCGCGTCGCGCAAAGCATCGCGGATGAGCAATGACAAATGGCTCAGCGGCCGAACACACGCACCCGTTACTCAGCATTGACAAGCACATTGTATATATTTGAACCGCAGCGCGTCAGGTCGCCCGCCAAGGTGTCTTGCAACTACGTCTACATACCAGTCATCTACACTACACATCTACATCTACACATGTACGCACAAAGACATTCGTCGCTGCTGACGTCGATATCCCAGCAGTATATCCTGGCCAACCGCGCACGGTCCAAGCTGCTGGCGTGCGCTGCGACGGGCAAGAACAGAGAGTTTGAGCTCCGCGTGCTCGTGGGACACGCAAACCTGCTGGACCGGGTCGTCGAGAGCATACAGGGCGCGGAAGAGAGCGGGAGTGAAAGCGCGAGTGAGAGCGAGGAGGAGGCGGTAAGCGCTGGCGAGAGCGTGAGCGAGAGCGCAAGCGACAGCGAGCCCGAGTCAGCCGAGGCGGAAAAGGAGTACGTGTACGTATACAGCGACAGGCGGGTCCGCAGAAACGGCCGCGGGCCAGACGGGCCGCAGGCGGTGTCGTTCGCGGTGCGCACGTCGGACTTCGAGGTGTACGGGTCGGAGTCAGAGTCAGAGTCGGACTCGGGGTCGGAGTCGGACTCTGAGTCGGAGCCGGAGTCGGAGCCGGAGCTGCAGTACCGCGCGGGCGGCGACGCGGCCGCGCAGCCGCGCTGCCTGGGCGCCGTGCACGCGGTGCCCGACGACGCCGAGCGAGAGCTGGCGGCGCTGGGGCCCGTGTGGGTGTGAGGGTGGGCGTGCCCGCGGCTAACGAGTACATAGAATTCACGAGGTTACGATTTAATAATAATTAGTTTTTGGCGCAAGCGCATGTTTCACGGGTGTGCAGGCACGCAGGCACGCAGGGCCCGTGCCTGCGCCAACGGGCGTGCCTGGGAGCTCGGGAATCCGCTACCGCTTTGGGCGAGGTCGTTATCGCAGAGACCCCCGCCGTGTGCAGAGACCTGCCCGCTGCTGGGTCGCGGCGTATATATAGCGGGCCCCGCCGGCGCGCACCGGCACGGGTCTCACCGCTTCCCAGCGCCTCTCCAGCATGAACTCCGACTATGCAGACCTCGACGCGCGCCAGCGCCGGTTTTCGCTGCGCAAAAAATGGGCCCTGGCCGGGCTAGCGCTTTTTCTCGCAGCTGCGACCTACGCGGTGTCCAGCGTGGTGCTAGCGCACCACGCGCCCACCGCCACGCCAGAACCGCTTTGGTGCAACAGCGTGCGCAAGACAGACGCATTGCCCGTCAAAGACGTGCGCAAATTGCTTGCAAACAGCACGCTCTGGGACGAGACCCTGGCCAAGCTCGCAAACGCTGTGCGCGTTCCAACTGAAATCTACGACCATACCCCAGACCCATCCAGCAGCCCCGACGACGCCATCTGGGAGCCGTTCCAAAAGCTGCACGACCAATTGGAATCGGACTTTCCCGCCGTGTGGAGCAAACTCCAGGTCGAAACCGTCAACGAATACGGACTCGTGATCACGTGGGAGGGCTCGCGCGAAGACCTGAAGCCCGTCATGTTCGCCGCTCACATGGATGTGGTCCCGGTCGAGCGCAAGACGTGGTCCCATTGGCAACACGAACCCTTCAGCGGCGACATCACGCACGATCCAGAACTCGGCGACTTGTTGTGGGGCCGCGGCTCCTTTGACGACAAAAACATGCTCATCGGCATTCTGCAAGCGCTAGAGTACTTGCTGACGCACGAACCGGACTACACGCCCCGCCACGGCGTCGTGGTTGCGATCGGTTTCGACGAGGAAGTCGGAGGCTATCGCGGCGCGCAGAAAATCGCCAAACTCTTGCACGAAAGATACGGCCAGCACGGAATCCTCTCGATCATCGACGAGGGCGTCGTGGGCGTCAAAGAAATCGAGGGTGTCCTTGTTGCAGCGCCGGGAACCGGCGAAAAGGGCCGTTATGACATGCAATTCGAGTTGAACACCCCTGGTGGTCACTCTTCCGTGCCCCCAGACCATACTTCCATTGGCATTGCCGCAGACCTCATCTCCACAATCGAGCGAGAAAAATTCCCTGCCATGTTCACGTCTAAAAACCCCATGTCCCAGTATTACCGCTGTATCGCCGATTATTCCACCACGATGGACAAGTCCCTGAAGCGCGATTTCCTGCACTCGATGACCGACCCTGCCGCCAACAACCGTGTCATCAATTTCTTGATTGAGTCCGGGGGCCATAAAACCGAGTATCTTTTCCGCAGTACGCACGCGTTCGACATCATCCACGGCGGCATCAAAGCCAACGCTTTGCCCGAGACCGTTTCGTTTCTTGTCGATTCCAGAATCGCCGTCGAAACGAGTGTTCAAGATATCCAGAAATCTTTCCTCGACTCTACTCTTGAGATAGCTCGCAAATACGACCTGGGTGTCACTTTCGAAGGCGAAGAGTTAATCCCTGCGACCGCCAACGGTAACTTTAGACTCACGACCGAGGGCAAGCCGCTCGAAGCCGCACCTGTGGCACCCCAAAACGATATCTGGGACATTTTCTCCGGTACCATTAAAAGCTTCTACGAAGACGTAGTTTTCCCAACGAAGTTCAACGAGTCTCGCGAACTAATAGTTGCGCCCAGTATTATGACTGCAAACACAGATACGGCCCACTATTGGAACTTGACCCGTAACATTTACCGCTACCAGCCTGGATTCGCGATGGAGGACACACTTTCTACGATTCATTCCGTCAACGAACACATCAACGCCGAAACCGTGATGCACGTCGTCGCATTCGTTTACGGCTACATTCGCACCGTTGACAGTGCTTAATGGACCTCTATAGCGTGGACAATGTAGCTTAATCAAACCATGCCCTCCCAAAGTTCCCATTCTTTGATAAGAAAAAGACCTTCGTTCATAGTGATATCAACACTTTTCCAACATTCAAGAACCTTAATAGTGCTTGAAATCCATCAAGTGGCGAAAACCTATCGAGAGCCAAGAGAGTCAGTGAAGTAGCTATGGCGAGCACGATAGCATCAGAATATTCGAACGAGGTCAAGAATGTGCCAATTGAACACCAGTTCAACCCTTACTCCGACAACGGTGGTACAATCTTGGGAATAGCTGGCGAGGATTTCGCCGTTTTGGCGGGAGATACAAGACACACGACAGATTACTCGATCAATTCGAGATACGAGCCCAAAGTGTTTGACTGTGGGGACAACATTTTGATGTCGGCAAACGGGTTTGCCGCAGACGGAGTGGCGTTGGTAAAAAGGTTCAGAAATAGTTTGAAATGGTACCATTTCGATCATAATGACAAGAAACTGTCGCTACAATCGGCAGCGAGAAGCATCCAGCATTTACTTTACGGGAAAAGGTTTTTCCCATACTACGTGCACACGATGATTGCTGGGCTAGACGAGGAAGGTAAAGGAGCCATTTACTCTTTCGACCCAGTCGGTTCTTACGAAAGAGAGCAGTGCAGTGCTGGTGGCGCCGCTGCGCCACTGATCATGCCGTTCTTGGACAACCAAGTCAATTTCAAGAACCAATATCAACCAGATAGCCAAGGAACGAAGCGTCGCGACAAAAAATATTTGAACATCGACGAAGTCATCAAGCTTGTGCGCGACGCGTTCACGTCGGCCACAGAGAGACACATTCACGTTGGTGACGGGCTGGAAATACTGATTGTCACAAAGGAAGGTGTGCGCACGGAGTACTACGACTTGAAAAAGGACTGATTCGCGTGTTTTAGAGCTTTATATCGCAATGAAATCTTTTCGAACTTAATCTCGTGTATGTAAGGGAGAATATTCTAAGTATGCTTTCCGCGTGGAAGCGGGGGAGAGATTCACACAGGTAAGTTAAAGTTCTTGCCCTTGAACACCCGCTTGTAGTAGATGTAGAAGAAATCAGAGTAAAGAGCAGTTTGAATTATACCCGCAACGACGGAGTTGGTATCGAATCTGCCTTCCTCCGTGTAATATCTCCAAATCCAGTTAGGAATATACAAAGCCCTGTAGAGCCCCAATGCAAAAATGTAGTGTGTAGTCAAAGTGTCGGCTCTGCCTGATTTCGACAGCATGAACAATTGAGGTAGAATGGCAATACTTTCAAGCCAAATCGAGAAAGTCCAGCAAAGTTCCAAAATGGTAAACTTGGTGCGAAAGAAAAGTGCCAGTAAAGCACTTGCTCCAATCAAATACTTGATTTGGAATGTGTCGCGCACAAGCATGTCCCTGTACCCAACTGGGTTTGTAATTTTACACTGTTGCATTAGGTTAACCACGTAGACGGAAGAGCCAATGAAAACCATTTTCATGACTGTGTTATAAATGGAACGCCAATGAAAGGTCAAAAGGTCCAAATACCGCGTGCAAAACACCAACAAATACAGAAACTGGGTCTTAAGCGAAATCCCATCAACTTGACGAGTCTTTTTTATGGTTTGCAACAAAATGAAAATACTCGCCAAATGCGACAAGTCTCCGGCAATTCTGAACACGTTGAGCATTGGTGCTGGGGTCGATCGACAGCGAAATACGGTTCTGGGAAGTACTGTTTTGAGCCCGTGTGCTGTTCTTAATTTCTGGGTTGGTTCTCTTTAATTTTACCACAGTGTTAAACTAGCCCTTCGTCTGTTGTTATCTTGACGATATCAGACGAGCTCAGTTCCATAAGTGAAGCTTAGATCCATGCTAAAGGTCCCTCAGAGATCCGAAAAGCCATTCTTCGTCAAAATCACTAGGCGAGTCCAAATCTGGATCCAAGACCTGCTCGATCGCGTCGCCCTGGAGGTCCTGTAGCGAATCGTAAAAAAACGCGTTAGGAAGTGTATTAACGTACTCAATGCAGGCGGAAGGTTGATCATCTACATGCCGCAAGCATCGATTTAGCATTGTCTGTAACGTCTCGCGAGCTTGGTTCCCGGGGAGTCCGTTTCTGGCTCGAAATTCGTACTTAACATATCGGCCCTTGGGAGTCACGACGACGGCGGTGGGTGTGACACCGATGCGAAGCGCGTTCACCGTCGCAGCTGAAGTCTGATTGGAGACGTCGACACTGTAAAAAGCGACGTCGAGATCACAATTATCGGAGGCAAGCCTTTCGGCGACGTCTGTCGCTGCACCGCTTGCAAACAGCGACGCATATTGTGGGTCCATGTAGGGGGAAAGAAAGAGAATCACGGCCGCTGAGTTCGCTATCTCTGGCAGCGAATTCACGGGCTTGACAAGCGCGTCGGGCAATTCGGCAAGCAGACCTGTTCTCTCGCTAATAAACGCGGCCAAGGATTTGACGTTGCGTGGACCCTGGTAACTACCCGCATAATGAGACTCGCTCATCTGCTCGAGCGTGACAGCCCCGCCCTGCAACAGAAGAAGCTCCGGGAAACTCCGGATCTGCATCGTCTCAGTGAACCGAGTCGCGCGTCGCCCGTCAACGCGCACGAGCTGTAATTTCGGCCCGAAAAGCCGCTCTAGATACTCGAACGCGGGTTCAAGCTCCTCACACCAGTGGCATCCTTCTTTGAACACGGTCACGAACGTTGGAATCTGCGTAGCAGCCACAACTTCGATCAGATCTGCGGTGCTGTCAATTTCGACCACCATCGCCGCCACAGGGTGTAAAAAGCTACTGGAACCGAGCAACCATACTAAACATGCCACTGCCAATCTGTTCACATGCATTTGAAAGCCCGAAGCGAAGCTTTTCCTGCCACTGGAGCGCTGCCAAGCATTGCTGATTTCCCCGGGCTTTCTTTCTATGGTCCGGTGTTCACGTGTTATTGCTCGTACAACGGCACATCAACTTCTATCAAACTCCGAAAAACGAACACCCTGTCGCTGCTAGAGTGGATGTGGCTACAACGATGAGGAACTCGCAGAGAGATTCACAGGACGAATCGCAGAGGGACTCTTCAATGGCTTTTTTCCACGATAACCCGGTGATCAACGCTATTCACCGGCTGCTAAGGCGGCCTGCGGACGCGGCCATGTGGCTGTTCACGGCAATGGTCGTCACAGGTACGGTGTACACGCTGGCGTGGCCGAACGTGATTGGAGGCGGTGGACGTAAGCGGAGGCTAGGAGGAGCCTCAAGCGACGAGACGGAACCTACGCCAAGCGGAGGAGACGCGTCGAGCGCAGCGCGTGACTGACTCGTCCAAGATGACACAAGACCGGGAGACCCCATCGCTCTGAACGAAATAACTTATATTTTTTACGAACCAAATCACAATCTACGGCTTTACAAACCGGTCACGTGACAACCGATGACTAATCATTCTGACCCCTTTTTCTTTTAGGGGATAAATCGTGGATCTAGCTTTTCTGCTCTCGCACTTTGTACGAACGCATTGACGTCGCCGAGACGCAATTAATCTAATTGAATTACACTTATATATATAAGGAAAGGCTGCAACCCACAAGAGGTTTCAAAGCTTCAGTAACCACTAAAGTGATCGTATTAATCGACGAGACATAGCATTTACAATATACTAGAATGGTTAAGGCAGGTATGTTTGCTACGGGAGGCACTGGGCTGCCGGCGGTGCCGGCAGCTCAGTCTCAATTGAAATTCGTGATTGAGTTTTTGTCAAGTGCCAGAACTAACACCCTTTGCAGTTGCAGTTTTGAGAGGAGACGCTGGTGTCTCCGGTGTTGTTCATTTTGAGCAAAACGCCGAAAGTGACCCTACCACGGTCCAATGGGAGATCAGCGGATTTGACCCTAATGCCAAGAGAGGTTTCCACATCCACGAGTTTGGCGACAACACTAACGGGTGCACATCCGCAGGCCCGCATTTCAATCCGTTCAAAAAGACCCACGGTGCCCCCGAAGATGACGTCAGACACGTCGGTGACTTAGGTAATATCCCTACCGACGGCCACGGTGTCGCCAAGGGCTCTAAGACGGACTCTCTCATCAAGCTACTTGGACCTACCAGCATCTTGGGGCGTACCGTGGTGGTCCACTCGGGCCAAGACGACTTGGGCAAAGGTGGCAACGAGGAGTCTCTAAAGACCGGTAACGCCGGCACGCGTCCTGCGTGCGGTGTCATTGGCTTTTCCAACTAGGCTGTTCAAGTAAATGACTGTGATATCTCGCAATTATAGGTTATGTTATGTTATATGACAATTCTAGCTTACCGCGTAGCGCGGGTTCTCGCTCTAAAACTCAGCAGGTTCTAGCGATTTTTCCCTCGAGAGTACTTCGTCCAAGACGCCTGCAGACGCTGCGACCAATCCCAAAAACGGTTGGGATGGGTCTAGCACTTTCGACATGTATTCTGGGTGGTACTGGGCCGCCACGAAATACGGGTGGCCTTGCAACTCCAAGATCTCGCATCTCTCACCGGACTCGTCCTTACCGACAAAATGCAGTCCATGGCTTTCTAGTTGTTCCACAAGCATTGGGTTGATCTCGTATCTGTGGCGGTGTCTCTCGTGCACCTGTTGCGCTCCGTCGTATAGCTTTCTAATGCTGCTAGATTCTGTGTTTGGCTGGAAAACGGTGGGTCTCAAACCAAGTCTCATCGTGCCTCCCATTTTCTCTTTATCGATCTCAGGCATGTACACGACCACTTGGGCCTCTGCAGGGCTTTCGGGGTCGAATTCAGCCGAGGTAGCATCTTTCAAACCCAGGAGGTTACGTGCAAACTCGATTGTAGCGATCTGCAATCCAAGACACACGCCCAGGTATGGAATATTGTTTTCACGAGCCCACTTCGCAGCAAGAATCATACCTTCGGTACCTCTCGTTCCGAATCCACCTGGAACGAGAACACCGTCCGCGCTGCTCAGCTTATTCCAAGCGTCGTGGAATTTAGCCTTTTCAGATTCGTTGGTTTCGGGCTCCAAATCCGAGGCCTCTACCCAAACGATTTCCAGTTTCTTGCAACAACGCATGCTAGAATGCTCCAGAGCCTTAATAACGGACAAATAGGAGTCCTTCAAATGCGTGTATTTGCCGACCAAAGCGATCTTCACCAATTGCGAGGACTCATCGATCGATGTCGTTAAGGATCTCCATCTTGCCAACAAATTGTCACCACGCTTCTTGTCCTCACTGTCTAATGTAATGTCCGACAATTTGAGTCTCGCAGACAAGTAGTCGATCATCTTCTGCTCAAGTAAAAGCAACGGAACGTGGTATGTGGAATTCACGTCATGCACGTTAACGACTTGTTCTGGTCCAACGTGGCAAAACATGGCTATTTTGTTGATGGTGGGCTCGTCCAGCTTTTCAGTACAACGACAAGCAATCATATCGGGAGTTAACCCCAATGAACGCAAATCCTTGATGGCAGCTTGTGTGGGCTTGGTTTTCTGCTCCCCATGAATAACGGGCACCAAAGAGACATGGATGAGTGCAAAATTGTCTTTACCTACTCTGAACTGGAATTGACGCAGCGCCTCGACAAAAGGTGCACTTTCAATGTCTCCGACGGTACCACCTAGCTCAATGATGCAAACGTCGGGCTCAACGGCAGAATCGTCGACAGGGATCCTCGACACGCGTTCGATCCACTCCTGAATAGCATTGGTCAAATGCGGCACAACTTGGACGGTTTTGCCCAAGTAGTCACCTTTTCTCTCGCGCGAGATGACATGTGAGTATATTTTACCGGTGGTGATGTTATGGTCGCTCGTGAGCGTCACACCGAGGTAACGTTCGTAATTACCCAAATCTAAGTCAGTCTCGCCACCATCGTTCAACACAAAACACTCTCCGTGCTCCAGCGGCGACATGGTGCCGGCATCCACGTTCATGTATGGGTCGATTTTGATCGAAGTGACCCGTAACCCAAGCGTTTTCAACAGCATACCGGTCGATGACGCTAGAACGCCTTTACCGATGCCTGAAATGACACCTCCGGACACAACAACGTACTTCATGGTCGCTTTGGTGATTAATGTGTTCTTGCTTGTCTACGCAGTACGACCCTCGCCCAGCAAAACCTCACGAGATTTTAAAGAAAGCCACTTGGCAATGTCAAGAATAATAAAAAAAAGAACAAGAAAAACGAAGGGGGTGAGTGAGCGGAAGGTGATTTTTTAGAAGTCTTATCGTGGGGAAAGGTCGATTTCAGTTCATCTTATACTCATCTCATCGCGATGATGTGGAAAATTTTTCACCAAAAAAGAAAATCCAGGACAAGTCAGTATGTGGTGCAAGGGTGCAATCTCATCGCGACATCGCCAATAACGCCAGCGACACTTAAGCTCGAGCATTCGCAGCTAGAAGGCGGTTAACAATGGGTTGTGGGTATCTTGGACGATAAGTAGGTGTACACTGAGGGTTTCAGTAGTAACGTCGGATCATTGGGGCCTGCTTCGGCCCGTTTCCTGAGAAATCAAATCATGGCCACGCATTATGTTCCTCTCTCCCTTTCATTACCCTCCACATATCCTGAGCCACTCGTCAATTTCGGTGCATGTTCCTTGGTATCCAGACTGTACTATCAATGCTGTTAGAACGATTTTCATGCGCTCATTCTGTCGGGCGACGTCGCTTTGGTTTTGGACAGATTCTGTGGGCTCTGGCGGCGTGGACGGCATATTGTGAGTCCTGTCCCTCAACACGTCTACTAAACACCTAGTCTCAGATCGAAGCTCAAAAAACTCTTTTCTTAATTGTGACAGCCGGGTCATCTGATCCAGGTGTTGGTTCTGGTTCGCAATGACTTGTTCGTCCAGTTGACGACCTGTTACTAGCATTTCGTGAAGCCGTAGATCCAAATCCGTAGACTCATTTCCGATACTCGCTGCTTTTGATAGCGGGATTGTCATAGTCAAAGATGCTTGCAATTGGTGTCGAATGGCAAGCAATTGCTCATCTTGGATTGCTGTCTTGCGACGTAACAGGTATATTCGATCCAATTCATTGATTAAGTCGTTGTAAACGCCCACATAGCGGGTTTCAAGGTCCCTGATCTGTTGTTCCATCTGTCATTTGATGATGGTGTCTAAAAAAGATGACTTAACTACCTAACTACCTTGAAAATGAAAAACTGGTAACCAGTATATATAGTAAGGCCATCCACGACAGAATCAACGGCAGGCAGAATGACGACTAATTTGCCTGCGATTTACTCATTTCCACCATTGTACACGTGTCAGCCAAATGCTTTGATTCGAGAACAGCAGTTGACGGTTTGGTGCGAGATCATAGTGGAGTTTGCCAAAAAAGAACGAGTTTGGTGTATAACGGCAGAAGGAACACCAGCAAAAGATGGTGGAGACAAACAAAGCGTTTTCCGCAACGACGTTATCCAACGATCGGTCAAATCGACTTTTATCGAAGAAATTTGGCATAAAATGATCGAAACTGAAAAAGCACTAAGAATCGATTCCGATTCCAACTATTTCATACTGTGGAGAAGTCTGGATTCTTGGAGTGCGTTGATTTTGCAGTGGTTTGAAAGCAGCGGTAAACTGAACCAGGTTATAACGCTGTATGAATTGATAGAGGGTGATGAGACGCTTGGTTGTGAATTTCACGGTATGGATTCAATGCTAATGGAAAAATGCTTACTGAGACTACGAGAACGCGGAAGAGCCAGCTTACTCAAGGATCAGAATAAAGTGATGGGAGTCAAAGTTGTGTAAGTTCAACTATATACATGTGTGCTAAATAGCGAAGGGGAAAATAGTGGGTCATCAGGTCTGGCCAGAATATAGCCTTGAGTTCACGACGGACCAATTCAGATTGTCGAGTACCTTTTCGACGTACTTAGAACGACCTTTGACACCGTAATCATGCAAATACACATGGTCCCACAAACTCACAGCAATGAGAGGCATGGTCCAATCTTGGATCTTGGTACCGTTTTGTACAGCTTTTTGAATTGCGTTGAATTGCGTAAACTCTTCGAGCGACAACGCAGAGTTCATGTCGAACGTCTGGTTGCGAGGGAAATAGTACGGTGTTCCGTGATTCTGTACCGTCAAAATGTGTAACTCTTTGTCGCTGTTTTCTACAAGGAACAACCAACCCTGGCCCAGAACCTCAGTCTCGGCGCGACGCACCATTTCGCGCTTCAACTCGTCCCAGCTACACTGGTACTGTTCTTCGATTCGCGATTGGAATAGCCGTGACGAAACGTCGCGACCATTACCATTACCACTACCACTACCGCTTGGTAAAATGTTCTCAATGAACAAATGATTATTATGCGCAGCTGAAGCCAAATTGAAAATATTCGTCTGGAACGGTTTCTTGGCCGTATTCAACACCAAATGGAACGGTAAATATGATTCCAGCGACGTCCCACTCGTTGCCAACGTTAATTTATCACATAACGCTTGCTGCTGTTGTTTCCACGCCACTTCGAATCCAAGTGGACTCAATACGCCCGGTATGCCTGTCTTCGTCAGCTCATTCAGCCCTGGCAGCCGAGGCACACTGTGAATGGCTCTTCTAGACCCAAATTGGAACATCCGACACCTTGCAATACGGCCTTATGTATACGCTCTATACCCAGATCCAGAATTGGCTCTTTGGAAAATTTTCCAATAGAAACCAGCAAGTTGGTTATTTTTCAATTTCATGAACATCTTAATAGTAGGACAAGATGAGAGGGACGAGAGAAGTAATAAACTAGGGAAAATATCCAAGACACAATAGCCCCTGTTGAGAGCCGTGCGTTTGAGAGTTTTTAGTACTGAGCACGATTATGCTTGTTGATGTTTTCATATCCTTTTTTGCCCACGATTCTACCTGCTCTGAAGCCTTCGCCCGGTGTCCCGTGTTATCTTCAAGGTTGATGTGCCTCTCATGATTTTCGGGTTTGTAAATCTACTATTCGGTGTATGCATTTGAGGTGTTTGAATGCCACTTGAAAGGATTATCTGACATGTGGCTATCGAGCTCGAGGGTATCTTGTATGGTGCTGACGGCTTTCAGCTGTGGAAACCCGGGAAATTGATGCTAACGTAACGAACTGAAGCCCAGTGGATTACTAAAAAGACTGGCGTAGCGAAGTTGGTTCCGATCTCAATGTCAAAACCTTCCCAGTGTTGTAGTTCAACCATGTAGCGAACCGTCTGGTGCGACCTCGATGGTCTATTCGATGCATGAGATGCTTTTAAACTAGAACATCTAATTGAAGAATCGAAGTATAAGAAGAAGAGAAACATGATTAGAAGGTTGGTGATTCGACGTTTTTACAGTCCTCCAAGATTAGCTAGGATACCGTCGCGGAGGCCCTCAGGGGCCCAGCCAAATCTCAGCTTTGAAACCAATTCCATCATTCAAGTCAATGACCCCATTGCCACCACCATATTGAATGAGCCCACCATCGTTGTTGAGAGACAAATTGAAATGATGAACGTGTTTCTTGGGTTCGAACAGGCAAACAAATACGTGATCATGGACGCTCTGGGAAATAGAATAGGGTACATGCAAGAAAGGGATTTTGGGATTACCAAGGCCGTGTTGCGACAATTTTACAGGTTACATCGACCCTTCCTTGTCGACGTCTTTGACAATTGGGGAAACGTGCTTTTGACGATCAAGCGCCCTTTCTCGTGGATCAATTCTCACATAAAAACAATTCTTCCACAACAAGCCGATGTGGTGCGTGGAGAGTCTACTTCGCCCTCAATAGTACAACCCTCTGCGTTCAGCGGTGGTCCCGTACCTCAAGGCGTATCCAATTTGGGAGAAGAGGGGACTTTGGTTGGTGAAAGTGTTCAAAATTGGCACTTGTGGCGACGTCGTTATGAACTGTTCCAGCGCGATCAAAGCAATGTCGACACTTTTGCACAGTTTGCCAAGATCGACGCTCCGTTTTTGAGTTTTGAGTTCCCGCTAACCGATCAAGATGGCAGAATTTTGGCCAGTGTAGACCGGAATTGGGTCGGGCTGGGCAGAGAACTGTTTACCGATACAGGAGTCTACGTGGTTCGCATGGACTCATTCCGCAGTTTCGAGGGCGTATACCCGCGCGAACTGGTGAGCAATCGCGTGTTAACTCTGGATCAACGTGCCATTTTGCTAGCAAATGCCGTTTCTATTGACTTTGACTATTTTTCCAGGCATTCCGGTCACAGTGGTGGGCTGATCGGATTTGGTGACTATGGCGAATGATGGTGCATGGGAAATCTTAATATTGGACCAATGACAGAAATAACTACAGATCTAGGGTATCTCAGGTTTTACCTCACTTGGTGGACAACAAATGTTAGATTTCGGCTTTTGGAAGCTCGCTGAAATAGGCGTCGCCGCTGCCATAAAAAATTGACTGCGAAAGAGTCGATTATCGAGTTCATTCGATCCGCATTCATGATTTCTCCTTGAGACGGTGTCGATCACCTGCTTCTATAGAAGTTATACTAGGCTTTCTTTAAATTTCAGCATGACCTGGATATATAACGAACTACAGGACAACGACAAGACGACGAAAGCGGGTCAAATCTCGTAAAATTAAAGCTAGCGAATCAAGTTCAGAATGTCTTGGAATACAATTGAGTCCGACGCAGGTGTTTTTACGGAACTTGTGAAGAATTTGGGAGTTCAAGGTGTTCAATTTGAAGATGTGCCAGTGCTTGACGATCTAACTATGATGGGTTGCGATTTATATGGAGTGGTGTTTCTGTTCCAATATAATGCAGAGGAATACGGCAGAGACAAGCTGTCTCACGGACAGTATGTTACAGAGTATCCTGACTCTCTGTTTTTCGCACAGCAAACGATCCAAAACGCCTGTGGGACCCAGGCAGTTCTGAACGCTTTGCTGTCTTTAAGCGCAGAAAATCCCCAAACTATCAAACTTGGTAATACGCTGAGCACTTTTCTGGAGTTTACATCGGGTTTCAATGACTCGGCTCTCAAGGGTGAAACGATTTCGAATTCGGAAGAGATTCGCTCGGTTCACAATTCCTTTACGTCTCCAGACCCCTTTGTAATGGACGAAAATCGTCCGACCCCAGACAGTCGTAACACGTCTGAATTGTTCCATTTCGTCGCTTTTATCCCTTGTGGTGGTGCCATCTACGAGTTGGATGGACTGCGCTCATCTCCAATAGTATATTCCGACTGTGGCAAGGATAACGGTAATCCTGAGATATTCGCAGCCAATGTGGCCAATATTTTACAGAAAAGAATAGCGGCAGACGCTGCCCACGGCTCTGCCAAGTTCTCGGTGATGGCGATTATAAGAGATAGGTTGGATGCTCTTAAGGACAAGCTAGCGAGTGGTGCGATTGATGAGTACACTTTCCAAGTGCAATTGAACAATGAGCTACAGAAAAGAGAAGGCTGGAAAAGAGAAATTGTGATGCGCAGAAATAACTTCTACGGGCTGGCTTTCGAGCTTTTGAAGCAGGTCACGAGCGACATGACCGACGATGATTTCAAGAAACAAGTTTCAAAAGCACAGCAATCTACACAAAGCAAACTGGGCCAATTTTATCAATGAGAGAGAAATATTCATGTGATATGAGAAACTTCAATGTAACAACGCTGATCGATGCCCTTTCAAATAGTTGGATGTGCGACATACGGTGAGGTTTAAGTCGACTTTTTCGTACATAGGTACATGGACTTTTCAGATTCCATTAAGGTGACACGAACTGGAACTCATCGATCCCACTTTTGCCCAAGGAGACAAACCAACAGCTATCGTCAACAACTCTTATCGACCTTTTAATAAGATCTTCAAAATAACGCTCGTCTGTAGAATGAGTAACCGACCTCGTGGGAATTCTGATGGTGTAAATCATGCAGGAAATGCGCTTTACAATCAGGTGGATCCTTTGACTTTGGGGCAATCTAAAGCGATGAGGAAACGCAAGATCGAGAAAGAAAAAAGCACTTTGCTGCAGAATATAATCACTGACGAGACTGGATCGAATCCGTCTGGGCTAAGGGAATTCATTTTGGGATCTTTTCAGATGGCTGAACAAAAGGGTCTTGACGAAAGATCCAAAGCGGAACTTTTAATTCAGGTTAAAGATCTCATATTCCAGGCATTTTCAGAGAAAAAAGAACACATCAACGACTGGTGGTCGCAGAGCTTGCCTTTGCTTTCTCCCAGAGAGACATGGCCTCAGTTGGTGTGTGACAAAATATCTTTGGCATCTTCAAAATCGTCTCGTCATTCGGCTGTTCCGCCTCCTCCTCCGCCAGTAAGGAAAGCTGTTCAAGTACCGCCTCCTCCTCCATTGGCAAGTCCTCGAACTTCTCCCTTAGGTGCACCGAATATGAGCAATATAGCGCGTCGGCAGGACAAAGGGAAGAGGGCGACAGACGAGAGGGAGTTGGAGCGCAGAAGGAAACGAATGGAAAGATTTTCTAATGACTCGATGGTCAAGAAGCCAAAAGCTGACGATGAGGACTACGCGAATCTGAATGCAACATCCACTAACTTTTACAAATTCGATAAACAGAAACCCGTTGTGGGACGATGTCAGACGTTGGAAAAAAAATATTTGAGATTAACCTCGGAACCAGATCCAGATTTAGTTCGGCCTTTAAACGTTTTGAAAAAATCCTATGATCTCGTTTCGTCCAAATACAAAAATCAAGAGGTTACATATTCCTATTTTTGTGATCAATTTAAGTCCATTCGGCAAGACTTGCGGGTTCAAATCATAGAAAATAAATTCACCATGAAGGTTTATCAAACACATGCGCGGGTTGCGCTCGAGAATGGAGACATTGGGGAATTCAATCAATGTCAAAGCAGATTGATTCATCTTTTTGAGATACCTGATTTAAAAAAGTCCAATTTGGAGGAGTTTTTGAGCTATAGAGTTCTTTACTTTTTAATGATGAATAGTCACAACTCTATTAACGCACTAAAGCTGAAATACATGGAGGCGGAAAACTTAGCTATTTTCAGACACCCAATTGTACAGCATTCTCTCAAAATGGCGGAAGCTTCGCTCATGAGCAATTATCATCAGTTTTTCAAACTGTACTGCGAAACTGAGGGGCCACGAAGACATCTTGTCGACACATTTGTAAATCGAGAGAGACTTAAAGCGCTCGATATCATCTCAAAAAGCTACAATCAGTTGTCTCTCAGCTTTCTTTTCCAGCAGCTGGGATTCACAGGTCATGAAATGGGGGCTCAATTTTTGAAGCAACATGGGCTGGCTCAGTGCATCGTTACCAAGGACACAAGCGACGACTCGGCTAAATCTTTCTTTCTTGATATCAAAAGAAGCCGCGGGATCATTGCATCGCAATTTGAAAAGGCAAAACGAGTTGATATAAAGGGTCAGTTGTAGATAAGGTGTGTGATCGATATCAATCCCATGACGGCCCTAAACCTAACAGCGAGAATTTCAACCTGGAGTCTTCATCTGCATTATCCATGTACCATTGCACGCGACTCTTGATTACGGGCTCTTCTAGCAAATCCTGCGATGAGGACTTGCCCAAACTCTTGGCTCCATCGCCACGTCTTCCATCGAGCTCGTAGACTTCTCCAGCCCGATTGACAAATGTTATAAAATGCAGGTCAACCTCGTCGTTGGCGTCTGGTGCTTCTGTCTGTCCCTGGCTTGAGCTCTGGCTATACAGATCACCAAGCGAAATGATAAAGTTGTCTGTCGTTTCGTCGTCAAACTTGTTGTCCGTGTTGACAGACTCCTGCAGAAATTTTCCCAGGAGCGAGTCTGGTATCAGACAATCTGCGTTGTTCGACAACGAATGTAATAGGGCATATAATCCGCAAGCGTTTCTGACCTTCTGTTGAAACCAAACAGGAAGGGTGTCTGCATTCGCTGAAGTGCTTTCAGAATCCTTCGAAGACTCGAATAACCGATTCAACGGAAAGAGCAGTATTATAGCTGTCATGGGACGAGGCAAAAACGCAAGCAAATCAGGTTCGGTTAAGGAAAAGATATCGTAGAATTCAAACCCATTTTTCAACCCGATTTTTTTGGCCATTCCAGTGAAAACCTCGGGATTGGATTCCAGAGGTACTACAGATTTTGGTAAAGACATTGTGCCTAATGAGATGTGCTCTTAAATTGATAAATGAACTGACGTTTGGCTTCTATCAGGCTTCTTTTAGGCTTCAATTCGGACTCCAATACCTAGTAAGACCCTTCCAAGAATCTTGAACTCTTCGAAGCATTACGAACGAAGCTCATCGCCAGAAATGTATCATCGACTTCTTTGGAATCCGAAGATACTAAACTGACTACTACAAGGGCTCCGAAATTGGATCATGTTCATTAAAAAAACATCGGTCTCTTTTTACATAGGTTGGTTTGCGTTTGCCAGATGTCATTGAATCGGCAGCAAAGAGAGAAATTTGTGACGAGTCATATGAACCAAAAATACAATCTTGTACACATGGCATCGCTAACAGGGCCGCCGCAGTTATCCGGTTTGTATTTAAAAAGCTTTTACAACGCTGCAAAGAGGAATCGCTTGCAACTGCCAGAGCACATAACGGGAGACGGGACAAAATTCTGTGGGAAATGTGGATGCGTGCGAATTGGTGGAGTGAATGTGCGACAACGATTAGAGGACGTGAGTGACGAGCTTTCCAACGGTGGAAATCAAGTCTTGAGTTATGAGTGTTTGGATTGTGGAGACCTGAAAAGTTTTCCGATCAAACGGACTGGAGTGAGAGAAAACACGGGGAAACCAGTGGCAGGGCCATTTACCGAGAGTATGCGCTCCAAGATGCCTGGAATTAAAGAAGCTCAGAAATCGGGTAGTGAGAATGGTATCGGTAAACGGTCCAGTGCGAAGGAAAGGGCCAAAAAAAGGAAATTGAGCACCTTGAGTAACTTGTTGTCAAAGAAAAATGGCGAAAAGCAGCCCAAGAAGAGCTCGTTGTTGAACCTTGAAGATTTCTTGAAGAAGTAAACCTGTGCTCCCACTTTGAGTGTGTGTGTCTGTGTGTGTATGTGTCGAAGCGGAGCGAGCAGCGTCATTGCGACAAACTCAGAAAATCGGCTAAACTTTTAAATGCAGAGGCCGATGGTCTGCGAGCCGCTGAAACGTTAGAATGGTCGCTCATACTGCTTGCAGTACTCGAGAGCGATCCTGTGGATTCCGATTTGGTAATTGTGGAGGAACCCTTGTGGCTGTTTTTTTTCAAACCGTCAGCACCGACGCCTTCGCTACCGGAAGAATGGCCGATTCCTTCGGCCTGCGGATAGCATCTTGCATCCTCATCGGGCGTTGCATCCACGGTGGACTCATCTTGTGCGCTTCTGACGCATTCTCGCATCCATCTTCTGCGTCTATATTCACCTCGAGTGCCATCGAAGTTGGCGTCATAAACCCATTTCGTTTCGACGTCGACCTCAACATAATCAATGAACCCTTGCTCCACCCATCGCACGGATTGAAGGTCTAGGATCCATTTTGAGCCATTGATCCACACCCAGCCCACAGGTGGTTTAACGTCATTGATAAGTTTAGCATTTGCATCGAGAGACTTTTCCGCTATTCTCAAATCGGAAAAGAGCGTATAAGGATCCGTTGAGTAACCTGCCGGCTCCCATTCTTTTTGGTTCTCATTGAATTTTTGAAGTTCAAGTATGCATGCCCATCGCCTTTCGCGAGGTTCATAATAATTAAAATAAGAGTTAGCCATTTGTTCGAATTTGTTGGTCAAAACCAAAAATCTAAGTCGCGTTTCTTCTGAATAGGCCTTGGTGAAAAGTCTTTCGCGATTCGCAGGATACATCGCTAAAGCGAAGGTCCAACCAAATGCTAATATGATGCCTTTCACTGGTAGAACTGCGGAAATGGACTCGATGAAGAGAGCATTGAAAAGAGCTATGATAAGTAAACTGAGAAATGCGACGGCCGACACACTCTCATCGGTGAAAAATGCAAAACTGGCCAAGACTTTGTTAATAAAATCAAAGACCACGACGTAGATTAGCATGTGGTTTTGCAAATCTGTTAAATTCAAAATGAATTCTTTACTAAATTCCGGGACAGGTCCCGGAACCGTGGCTCTCAACAGGGGCTCACCAGGAGCTGGAATGGGGTTAACTTCAAACGCAGTATTTGGGTCAGGTTTATGAATTTTCATGTACTGCGGGACCATTACACCAAACAGTAAGTAGAATATGGGGCCGCTTAACAGCATTGGAAGGGGTTTTAAAACGGCAAGGCTGAAAAAACTCATGATACAAAGCGTGTAGGACGTATTGCTCCAACTGAATACCTTAATTATTTCATCAATGATCATGAAGGGGAACCCAAGTCTTGAATTGAGCTGCATGAAATTTCGACTCATGATTTGAACCGATAATCCTGGCCTATTTTTCCCGGCTTCTACACGATTTTCAATGGTATCTACCGCCAACTCGGAAGATGCAGGTAGCGCCAAGTAAATGATCTTTTCTACCAATTTTTCAGCCAACAGTTGTTGTCCCATACTACCCAAATTTCCTGTTAAACCATGACTACTTTGCACCGTGTTGTTCTTAAATGTGGGGGTCTTTGAATCAGTCATTTTACCGTCGGTAGTAGTACTAGTTACAGTTCTCCCTGTCATCGAATCTTCTGTCGGATCGTCGCTGTTCTTGTTTGAAGTTGATGCTTTTATATCCGATTTGGAGCTAGTATCATCCCAAAAAAACCCTGCCACCGAGTCCATATGTGGTTGGTTCAAAACTGGAGCTGTCTAATGGGCTATTTGGATTGGTGGGTCTCGTTTCTGGTCAGACCTTTATATAGCTTATTCGTAACCTTAATCTACACGAGATGACTATGACAATTTTTGACGAACACTTTGACAGATATAAATAGAGGTAGAAAGAGCACCAACTGAGGTCATTATTGACTTTATTCCATGCAGTTTCGCAAGATTCTGGATGGTCCGAAAGACTATATATCAAGTTTGAGCCTTCTTTCGGGCTGTTCTCATGTTCTTTATACGGCTTGGGACGGTGAGATGAGCATATATGATTACGAGAATGAATCCAAATTGGTAGAACTGAGACACGATACGGCGTTATTATCGTTGTGTCCGACTGATGATGGGAAGATTTACGTGGGGTCAGTGAACGGAGAGGTTTTGGAGGCGGATCTGGAGTCTGGACGGTTCAATTTGGTTTCTGACATTGCGCAACTTGGCATTTCTACGATGTGCTCCTATAAAAATGATCTGGTCGTTGGGTCATGGGATGGTAGTATACAACTGATAGACACGAGAAGCAATAACCTAGCTTTTCGAACATCGCCGTCTGAACATAAGGTATTGTCGCTGGACTGCGTTGGTGACAGAGTTGTAGCGGCGTGCACTAAGGGAGTTGTCAAGATATATGATTTACGGGACAGAACAGAGCCCCGAATAAGAGAATCGGGGCTTAAATTTCAAACAAGAGATCTCAAGGTTATGCCTAACGGTCAAGGGTTTGTGCAGAGTTCAATTGACGGAAGAGTAGCAGTTGAGTTTTTCGAAGATGACGATTCGTCCAGATTTGCTTTTCGATGCCATCGCATGAATTTACAAGACTCGCAGTTCGTGTTCCCGGTAAATTCTGTGTGTTTTAAGCCGAATTCTCTGGTTTTGTTCACTGGAGGCTCGGACGGTAAAGTGTGCAGTTGGAATCTGGAAACCCGCAAAAAGATTGACGAGCTGCCAAAGTTTGACGAAAGTGTCATTAAGTTGGCCTGTAATGGCAGCATTTTGGCTGTGGCTACGGGCGATGATTCTTTCAAAACTTTGGCGACTATTGAAAAACTTGATCTGCAACCTGGAAGCATTTATGTATCAAAACTATGAAACAAAGGCCTCTAATCATTGGGTATGGATTAATTTTTTATTCTCTTCGTGGGTGGCTCGGGATTTGACCCATTGGAATCGTCTATGGTTCTTTTCTGCAACATGTTCAGTATGGTTGAATCTCTCAAAAGGTTCATGTCCCTTTCGATACTCAAAAAACAGTTCTGCAAGCATCGTATTTCGCTCTCCAAGACGCATTGCGCCATTTGTTGCCGTAACTCATTCCCCTTCAGCTGGAAATGATCGGGGGTCACTTCTCTGAAAGCATGACTTGGGTATGCTTCTAGATGAAGATTTACGATACGTTTCCACAAGTGCACGACCGACACGGTGATCCGAGATCCGTTTACTAATTGCAACCCGATTTGGGTTGTTTTCAAAAGACGATTTTCCAATACGGCATCGTCAAATGAATTTACATCTGGCAATGCCAAAATAGCAACCAATATCTGAAGTACTGTAATGCATTCAGGAGAAATTGTACCGTCGACTCCGCAATCATAGCCATTTAAAACTAACGGCTCGGACTCCAAAAACTCTTCGATCTTGGAACTCTCGTTCAATACGTTGAGTATGCGTCTGACAAGATCTAGTGATGCGCCAGTGTATTCCGCGGTGGCCTGGACTATAGCACGTAAGGGTATCTCAGCCGTATCGTATTTGGAGCCGCCCCACTCAACGTATCCATATCGACGCAGCAGCTCCGCGTTCGCGTGCTCCCCATAGAAATTGTATATCTGGTCGCCAGCCGGTATATCTGCGATGGCTTTCATTTTAAGGAATTTCTTGGAATGGATCAAATGCGCATTGCACAAATGAGTGTCGGCGTTCAACATGTCTGCGAGTGGCACCATCGACTTGGAGTAACCATCGGTTTTCACAGTGCCTGCCTCGGCGTCTTCATCTTCAAAGTCATCATTGCCCGTGGTCGTCTTCTTCCTCACAGGTTTCTGCGCCTGAATGACTTCTACGTCAAACGAATACGCCATGATCACCGAGGCCGCATCGACAAACTCATCCCAGGTCGTAGACTCAAATTCCGTCAGTCCCAGCTCGTTTGATAAACTCATAATCCTCTTGTACATCTCCTGTGCTTCATGGCGACCGATTCTGTCAATGATCGATGATGGACGCAGCATTCCTGATTCTTCGTCCGACCAGTACATCAAGGTTTCCATCCCACCACTCTCGGGCAACACTTGCAGGTAAGCCCACCACTTACTCTCGGGTCCAACCAACTTTATCTCGTGCAAAAGTGCCAGTACAAGTCCTTCCCAGTGACCCACACTCGAAACTAGTTTCTCGCGGATCGCGCCGTCTTGGCTCAGACTGCAATTAAGAACATTGAAAAGTCGATCTCTAGGCACTTCAAAAAGCACTTCTCCCCTGTTGATTAGCTCTTTTGCAATCAAAAACCGTCCAAATTGTCCTTCTGATGAGTTGACAAGTGAGATTTTCTCACTGATTTTGAACCCAGGAGTCGCTTCAAGCCATTGCAAGAACTTTTCAGTCTTTAAATCCACGTACGTCCCCGTCATTCACCGCCTCAATTTTCTGCCAAATGCCTGATTTGTCTACCCTTTGCTCGCTTTGTTTGCCAGCGTTGAGCCATCGAAATTTTTCACTTTTCTTGTTTCTGTCTACTGGAAGGGCATCGATGAGGTGACAAAGACTAGAAACTGAAACAAAAAGTCGTGAAATGATTGCCAAAAGGTATGTCATAACGAGGGTAACTTCTCCAGCCACGGAATTCTGAACCAATATCGTATTGTTTCATTTTCTTGGCATGGAAAACCGCGATTCTAGGCAAAGTTGACCGATATCGCTCTAAAAAATTGCAGAAAAAGCAGTTTGCGTCAATGTATCGCTCAGCTTGCTTGAAAACAAATCCTTGGGCTCAAAGTGGTTGAGTTCTCGATTCTGTCTCGAAAGCTGGATTTGATGATGGTTTTAAAGCCATTCGTACGAAATGCCACCACCAAGAATATTCCAGAAGGTCAATGTAATGCGAGTATATAAAGAGGGTTTCATGGGTACATCGTATCAACTTTAAGTAGTAGCGAGTTGATATAAGGGCAATTGTAGCATGTCGGCAGAGGAATTCAAGAAACAAGGTAACGAAGCGTTCATCGCCAAGGACTTCGAGAAGGCGATTGAACTTTTCACGAAAGGTATCGAAGCATCAGAGTCGCCAAATCATGTGCTGTTCTCTAACAGATCAGCATGTTACAGTTCGATCAAAAAATTCAATGAGGCGTTACAGGACGCTAGTGAGTGCGTGAAAATCAATCCTGGTTGGTCCAAGGGTTATAACAGAGTTGGTGCGGCGCAATTGGGTCTGGGTCATTTGGAAGAAGCCGAAAAAAGCTACCAAAAGGCTCTCGAACTTGATTCATCCAATAAAGCTGCCCAGGCTGGTTTAAACCAGGTCTTGCAGACTCAGCAGGCTAGACAACAACAGTCGGCACCAGATCTGGGGTTTGGTCAAATGTTTAACGATCCAAACATGATTGAAAAATTGAAGAACAACCCCAAGACGGCTGAGTTGATGAAAGATCCCCAATTGGTTGCCAAAGTTTTGCAATTTAGATCGAACCCGTCGGCTATGAGCCAGGAGATTCTCAAAGACCCGAGAATGATGACCATTATGGCCGCGTTGCTTGGGATTGATCTCAGTATGGGGGGCGAGGACGCCGCGGAAGGAACTCCAAAAGAAGCTCCAAAAGAAGCTCCAAAAGACGCTAATGAAGCTCCAAGAGCCGCTTCTGAAGCCTCAAAGAAGGAGGAGAAAGTCGAGGAAGAACCTCAGCCGATGGAGGTTGATGAAACCGCTCAAGAAACAGATTCTAGAGCCGAAGCCGACAAGGAAAAGGCCCAAGGAAATGCTTATTACAAAGCTCGCAAATTCGATGAAGCCATTGAGCACTACGATAAGGCTTGGCAACTGCATAAGGATATCACCTACTTAAACAACCGTTCTGCGGCCGAGTACGAAAAGGGAGACTACGAAGTGGCCATAAAGACCCTTACAGAAGCCGTTGATCAAGGCAGAGAACTAAGAGCGGATTATACTATTATTGCGAAATCATTTGCTCGTATTGGTAACGCTTATCACAAATTGGGTGAACTCAAGAAAGCTACCGAGTTCTATCAAAAATCTTTGACGGAACATCGTACTCCAGACATCCTGACGAAACTCAGAAACTGTGAAAAAGAACTTAAGAAGCGTGACCAAGAGGCCTACGTCGATCCCGCCAAAGCAGAAGAAGCTCGTTTGCAAGGCAAAGAACTCTTCACGAAAGGTGACTGGCCCGGTGCCGTTGAGGCTTATGGTGAAATGATCAAAAGAGCTCCTGAGGATGCTCGTGGTTACTCCAACAGAGCTGCCGCTCTTTCAAAGTTGATGTCTTTCCCTGACGCTATCAAAGATTGCGATCTCGCTATCTCTAAAGACCCAACTTTTGTAAGGGCATACATCAGAAAGGCTAGTGCTCAAATTGCCGTCAAAGAGTTTGCTGCTGCCATTGAAACTTTGAATGAAGCTCGTACTAAGGATGCCGAGGTTAATAATGGTGCTAACACCAGAGAAATTGACCAATTGTTTGTGAAGGCATCTCAACAGAGATTCAAATCAGATGACCCCAATGAAACGCCAGAACAGACTTACGCAAGAGCGATGAAAGACCCTGAAGTTGCGGCCATTATGCAAGATCCAGTCATGCAAAGCATTTTATCGCAAGCTCAGCAAAATCCAGCTGCTTTGCAGGAACACATGAAGAACCCAGACGTTTTTAACAAGATCCAAACCTTGATTGCCGCTGGTATTATCCGTAGCAGGTAATTGCCATAATTAACGTAGTATGTATTCGAAATTGACCAAAACTTAATATTTCAAATAAAACTTTAGATGAATGAGCGAGTGTTAAAACCAGGCTGGGGTACTGCACGTAGTTGGGCGAGGATAAGTTCATTGAAGACAACGACAACTTGTTTGTGCAAATTCACTTATAGTTGTTTTAACAGGTTTTCAATAATTCCGTTTGAAGCATAAATAATATATACAGGTTTTCTCATTTTTCGTCCACGATCTTTCTTATTACATTACTGAAATATGTTAAATTTCTGGTTCATTTGGTATCACTTCATTCTCTTCATGATTTGGCTTAACAACAAGTTCACCGTTTTCGACATCAATCTTAATCGTTTCTTCCGGTCTTAATTGGCCTTTTAGCATGTAAAGCGCAATAGGGTTAAGCAGTTTCTTTTGAATAACCCTGTTAAGCGGACGGGCTCCGTAAAGTGGATCGTATCCCTTTTCCGTTAGCCAATCCTTCGCATCACTTGATAAGGAAAGAGTCATTCTCTTTTCAGCAAGTCTGTCTTGAATCTCGCTTAGTCTTATGTCTGCAATGGTCCTCAAGACCTGCTTGGAAAGTCTGTTGAATACCAACACATCATCAATACGGTTGATAAATTCAGGTGGATACGTGCGTTTCATAGCTTCGATGACCTTACCCTTAGTTTTCTCACTAACTTTACCGTCGCTCCTGGATTCTTTGTCTTCGAACAAAATATCTTGCCCAATATTAGAAGTCATAACAATGATTGTATTTCTAAAATCAACTTGATGACCTTGAGAGTCTGTGAGTTTCCCCTCATCCAAAACTTGCAAAAGGATCTTGCAAACGTCAGGGTGTGCTTTCTCAAATTCATCAAACAAAACAACAGCATATGGTTTCCTTCTCACAGCCTCCGTCAATTGACCACCGGATTCACTTAAAACATAACCTGGAGGAGCCCCGATCAACCTGGACACGGTGTGCTTTTCTTGAAATTCGGACATATCGAAGCGAATGACGTTAGATTCGTTGTCAAACAAGAATTGGGCTAAAGCTTTGGTTAATTCCGTTTTACCCGTACCAGTTGGGCCCAAGAACATGAAGCTCGCAATGGGTCTCTTTTCGCTCGTGAGTCCAGCTCTTTGGAGTCTTACCGCATCTGAAATGGCATCGATGGCTTCATCTTGTCCCACCACTCTTTCTCTTAGGGAATTTTCCATGTATAAAAGCCTTTCTTTGTCACCCTTCACAAGAGTTTCGATCGGGATTCCGGTCATCTTGGATATGACTTTGGATATATCACTGGACGTAACAGAGTCATGTAGCAGGTTATTCTCGGTATCTTTTTTCTCATTGTGAGCGACCTTCTTTTCCAACTCTGGAATTTTCGCATAACGGAGTTCAGAAGCTTTACCGTAGTTGCCCTCTCTTTGAGATATCTCGAGATCAATTCTTGCCTGTTCAAGATCGGCTTTGGCGCTCTTGATAGAGTCAATCTCTGCTCTTTCTTTATCCCACACAGCAGTCAACCTGGTGAGCTCCTCATTTTTCAATTTCAAGTCGTTCTCAAGCGCTTCTCTTCTCTCAACAGATAATGGATCGGTCTCCTTTTTCAAAGATTCTAGTTCAATTTGGATTCTCATAATGGCGCGATCCAAACTCTGAATAGCATCGGGCTTAGATTCATGTTGGAGTCTCAAAACGGCGCACGCTTCGTCCACCAAATCGATGGCTTTATCCGGTAAAAACCGGTCTGATATGTATCGATTAGAAAGCGTGGCGGCAGAAACCAAAGCCGCGTCTGTGATTCTCACACCGTGATGAACTTCGTATCTTTCTTTTAAGCCTCTCAATATCGAGATAGAGTCGCTTACGGAGGGCTCATTGAGCATGATGGGTTGAAATCTCCGGGTCAAAGCTGGGTCCTTTTCAATGATTTTGAATTCGTCTAAAGTTGTAGCGGAAATGCAACGTAACCCCCGCGCAAGTCGAGGCTTCAGAATGTTGGACGCGTCCATGCTTCCGTCAGTCTTTCCCAGACCTAGAAGCATGTGTACTTCATCGATGAACACTATAACTTTCCCGTCAGCTTTGTCAATTTCTTGTAACACATTCTTCAAACGCTCTTCAAATTCCCCCCGAAATTTGGCACCGGCCACCAAAGCACTCAAATCCAATGCAACTAGCTCCTTGTCCTTAAGCGACTCTGGTACTTGCCCGCCAACAATTCTTTGAGCAAGGCCATCGATCAAGGCGGTCTTACCGACACCGGCGCGCCCGATCAGAACGGGATTGTTTTTTGTTCTTCGGGATAGGATTTGCACCGCCCTGGCGATCTCCTCATCACGGCCAATGACCGGGTCCAACTTCCCCTCGCGGGCCAAACTCGTAAGATTGGTGCCAAACTGTTCCAGGGCAGGCTTGTTCTCGTTGTCGACGTTGTTGGCCTTCATTGATATGTACCGCTTGGCGCCCGCAGCATTTAACATGGGTGGAACGCCTTTGTAATGGCCCGTGCGGGCCAGCACATACGGCGAAACATAATGCGAAGTCACCGATGGGGCCACACGACTCGCTTGGCCAACGTTCCGATATAGACTTTTTAAATTAGTACGCCTGGTGACGTTTCTGAGCATGTTCGCGATGACGTTCCAATTACTCCCAACTGCGCCAGCGGCCCTCTGCTCTTTATATGCTTATAAGGCGCCGCGGGATGCTCACGGTAGAGCTTCCCGGACTGTGCTGGGAGGATCTGGAAGCGCGAAGAACTCGTAAGAGTCTGATGGAAGCGGGCACGTGATAAGGTTCCAGCTGGAAAAAAAGGGGGGCGATCCAGGGAACGAGTCACATGCGTTTCACGTGATTTTACCCTGGATCACCCCTCGCCGTTTCCTCTCTGTCAACGCCTGTCATCCCAGAAACACAGACCACTCCATCCCCCGTGCCTGGCTCAACGCGCAAGGAACAACAGGCCGTGATGGTGCCCAACATGCTGAGGGGTAGTCCGAAGCAGGAGAACCAGAGCAAAAAACAGAACATCAAGCTTGCCGCCCAGATACCGTCTGTGGATGTTTGTCCCGGTCGCTAGGAACTCTGGGAGGCCCGCTGGGAGGCCCCTGGGACGTTCTCGTCGTTGCCCTCCCCTTCTTGCGATCTCCTTAAATACCCGTCTCCGCCCCCTGCAGACCTCGGCGGCACCCGGGAGAAAAGAAATGGCCACAAAAACAGAAAAAAATCCTAATAACTATGTACGAGTTCGAGTTCTCCGGCCAAACATGTCTTACGTAACAGCCCCGTACATTGTCCGTGCTCTCCCGCCGAGCACCATCCCAGGCCGCGCCAAAACCGCGGTGGCTACTGCCACTACAACAACTCAAGCGCTGAACGAATATGAAAAGGAAAACAGACGGTGTGCATGCGAAGGTCCATTGGGAGGGTCACGTGACCTGCGCTCTTTTGCGGAGACAGAATAAAGCCACACACCCCCTTTGAGCCATCCCCTACAACCCACCGTCACACGCCCGGGTGGTGCCGTACACCCAGTCGTTGCTCCAGCTCGAGCACGTACTGCTTCAACGATTGGTTCTCCTGGCCGAGAACGGACACCTCCTGCTCAAGCCTATCGTACTCCTTAGCTTTTGTCTCAAGCTCTTTGATGTAGCGCTCGCGTCTTTGCCGGAACGCCTTTTGGGCGGTCCGGTTTTGAGCCGCGCGCTTCGTATTGCGTAGGGGCTTGCCCGACTTGCCAATGAGCACGCCGTGCATGTTGACATGCTCGCCGTCGGCGCTCCCTTGGTCCGGCTCGGGGTCGTGTTTTACAGAGCCCGAGTCCGGGATGCCGGCAGCTTCCGGCAGGGGCAGGCCGGAAACCGCGGGAAGCCCCGTGGGACGATTTGCGCCCATGGAGTTCCCTGCGCCCGTCGGCGCGTTCACGGGCGGAGCCCCATACTGCAGGGGCAGCGCCCCATGGCTTCCGTCCACAGCAGCGGCTGAGGGCCCCAGCGCAAGAATACCGGGGACCTGGTTAGACGCAGGCGCAGCCTGCGGCTGAACCAGGGCATGCGCTTGGCTCGGAACCATTGCCGCCGGGCCCGCGGCAGCGGTTTGGTACACAAGCTGGGGAAGGGGTACAGGGTGGTGTGTGGATGTGGACTGTGGCGGGGGCGCGCCGCCGACGCTCGCGCCGATGTTGCTGCCGTAGCCAATGGAGCTGCGCACAGACGAGCCCGCAGACGAGCTGCTTCCGGACACCCCCGCAGACCCGGCCGCGGACCCGGCGTCGGAGCTGAGCGGCGCGCCGCTCATCTGCGCCGCAGCCGCCGACGGCGGTACGTTCACGGAAAGCACAGTGTGGGCCGCGTTGGGCGGCAGTGAGGGGTGTGGGTGCGAGTTGTCCGCCGGGAGATTGGGCAGCACATGAGGCAGCGCCATGTGGTTGTCGTTTGACTGCATAGGGGGCAGAGTGCTTTTCGCTTCTGTCCTGGTGATACGATGGGCAATAGTGCACGTGCAAATAAGGCACACACAAGCTTGTTGCTACGATGCGTCTCAGCAAAGCTTGTACTTCCACACGAGAAAAATTAGTAGCCCACGCTTGTTTGTTCCGCGGGGCAAGCCCCGCTACAGGGGCCCGAGATGCTTATATATTCAGCTTGCTTAAAAACGGTTGCTGACAACGCAAAAATCTGCCGCGTAGAAGCAACCTGTACGTACCTGTACGTACCTGTACGTAAGCCAAACGCCAACCATATTGTGATGCGAGAAAAAGGCCCAGGAGCGCGTTCTCCCGTGGCTGCTGCAGCCACTTCTGTGGCACGGTGGGGAAAAGGAACCAACCATGTAAGCGAAATCTTACGGCGTTTCTGGCGGTCATGACGTCATGCTGAGCTCATGCGCGAGCTCGTCGCCGCCAAAATCGTCCCACACGGGCAGGCGTGTTGCGGCACGCGCGGGCGCAAAAACGGAGCCCAGTGGTGTAGGGGTTGACACCAGCGGCGGGACGGCGGTCAGCTGGCCCGTGCAGTCCAGCTGCAGCGAGTGGAACAGGCCCCAGTCGTCGTCGTCGTGGAAACCGTCCCAGAAGGAGCCGGCCACCGCGGCGTTGGACGCCGCGAGGGCCAGGTGATGCGGTGGCAAGAACGAGTCGTGGGTCCAGTCCGCGTACAGGACGTCGTGGGCGCGTCGGAGATGATGGCTCTGGAAGTATGAGTCCGAGTACATGGGGTGTGGATGTATGTGTGGGTGCTGGCAGGGAATTGCGGATGGGATGCTATTACGGCAGGGGGTAGGAGTTGCGGAGGTCGTTTTTATAGGGACTGTACCTTGGTGCGGGTAACCCGTGGTCGTGGTTGGGAGAACGTCTTTTGTGGCCGGGGGGCCGCGCAGGCGAGGTGTCCGCGGCTAGAGAGGTACGACGGGGCGGAGAGTTGGCAGAGGGGAGGGGAGAGAAGATCCTGGCTGTGTATTTTTATAATGTTTTGGCAATGGAGGAAAAGAGGAAAAGAGGAAAAGAGGAAAAGAGGAAAAAGAAGAAGCGACATATCGTTATCGTTTTATATATGTTAGAAGCCCACTGCGTTGAATCAGGTAGTCTGTTTCCCTGGTGTCCCAAACGTGGGACACCAGACCTCTTCTCGAGAAGCTAAAAGGCGCATTTCCAAGGGCACGCCTTCCCATATACCGCTAAACCATCTTAATGTCCAATACACTTACTAAGGGCGTGTGGCGCAGTTGGTAGCGCGCTCCCTTCGCATGGGAGAGGTCATCGGTTCGACTCCGGTCTCGTCCATTTTTTTCGTTGCAGGACCCGGCGACGTTGAAAACGACTGCGTTTTATCCTTGGCAAACTGGACCAAGATTCAAGCGTCCCATTAAATTCCTCCTCTGGGAAAGGCAGGTGTGGCCGGGCCATGTGAAAGCGAGCAACTACAAGACCCTGACTTTGAGAAGAGTCGTGCATATGTTTGAGGAAGGTTTGCAGGGCCTCTGCACCGGCCGAAGACTTTCAGCTGGGTTTCTCACGCTGATAAATGGCTCCGAAACGATGGTTAACGATTCCGTGGTTAACTCTGCCACGATGGTTTTCACTTGCAGTGCGAATTCTTCAAATGAGTACGCCGCTCTGGCGTATGCGCTCAAAACGTACCCCCAAAAGGTGCTCAACGCTGAAGTTTCCAGCATTCTGAAACAGAAAGATCCTTTCATTTCAGGCGCTTTGATGACAGCTTTTATCTTGTGCAGTATTTGCGTTGGCACCTGGATGTTGTTGCTGGTGCTTTTGTTGCTGCCTTCCAATAACCACAACCATCGCCGGAAACTCGTTTACGTCAGCATCCTGTACCAGGCGATATGGAACACGGTTGTTCTTACCAAATCCGTTAATATGGAATTTGAAAAAATGTACGCTTCGAACTACCAAAGCCGAGAAGAGTATTCTCAAGTTATTACAAACAGCTACGCGTTCGCTATTCTGCGGCTTTTTGCGCTTCTGGCAAGCGACTTAAATTGGCTGGACATTGTATACTACATGTTCCATTACTACAATGAACGCGAAAAACGCAGTCGAATATTCAGCATTTTGAAAAGCAGGAACAAACAGTTAATCTTGGGAGGCTTTTTCATCTGTTTCGTTCGTTGTCTTTTGGTTGCGCAGCGTATTTGGCTCAAATCGAAGATCAATGCCGAACTTTTGATAGCAGTTACAGTGTTCTCGCTGGTCGTGGACCTTGCTTTTGCGCTATGTCTGATTTATTATGTGTGGCACGACTTTAGATTCATTTTAATTCCAAGCCGCGTCGAGGAGCATTTAACCTGGAAGAAAGTGTTATGGCATATTTGGGAAGATTACCACGAAACTATACCACTTTTGGTTTACAACGCGATCGTTATGATACTTCTCTGCATGTGCACTATTGTGGAAGTTTGCATATCGTCCCTTGTCACGAATTGGATGATTGACCTCATTCTGTTCATGCGGGTTCTCGTCACGGTCAACACTTGGGGCCTTATAGGCGTATTAGAGAGACGTGAGCGCACTCTAAGCAAAGAAACGGTTTTAGGGCGCAAAATCAACAATCGAAATCGACTATTTGCCGACCCATCGGTTAAATGTTACGAAGATGCTGACGATGGCCACGCTAAGAGCCCTCCAAATGTCCCTGCGCAATCAGCCGTAGACGAGAGTGCGTGTGTGAATGCGAAAAGTCCTTTGCAGATGCCGTCTCGTGCCTGGCTATCTCGTCTTAAAGTGAGACGAAAGACAAAAGGGAACCAAATGCAAGATCGACGTAGTGCCTTTGACAGGTCGGTTAGCCATGTGGGGGGCATTTTGGAAACACCCAAAGAGACTGAATTCGATAACCACGAGGAAAATCATTTGATGGACAATGACTCCGTGGAAACAGTTTTGACTAGAAATTTTATATTTGACCATGACAAAGTTTAACGCAGAACTGAGAGCATTGAAGTCAGAAAGCATTACAATTCAAAGGAATCGTTACAATCATAGATCCATAGATAGATACCTAATTCATTGAGTCCCCAGTTTAATTATTCAACGTTTGCGCTTGGTAAAACCGTCTTCTATCTCTCGGCAATGCCGGTATAAAACAGCCAACCAAAATGTCGCATCGAATTTCATTCTAATTTTACAATCGAAGCTATTGCGAGGCACTGGAGGACATAAGCAAAACCTCTCCGAAGTAACCCAACATTTAACATTCGGCTTTGCGTTATAGCTCAGCTGCGTCTTAATGTACATTCTAGTATATCGTACCCAAAATAAACTAAACTCATTCAAGAGCGCAAGTGGTTTAGTGGTAAAATCCATCGTTGCCATCGATGGGCCCCCGGTTCGATTCCGGGCTTGCGCATACTTTTTGCTTCCATCATCAGGGGATGCTAGTGGAACCCTAAATGAAATAATTATCTGGTGATGACTTTGTTAAGCATCTAGTATACCATTGAAACCTTGAAAATAACGAGCGTGACAGAAACCCCAGGAGCTGTAACTAATTGTTGATTTGAAGCCAATATACTCGTCTGCGTTAAAATAAAGTTTGAGAATTTGAAGAGTTCTACTATGTTCATTTTCCGCGCATTATTAGGTCTCGTAGCCTTGGTTTCATGCGTTGATTGCAAGCGCGTGGTTCCCCTAAAAGCGACGGTAGACCCCGAAACCGGTAAAGTGAAACGTCAAATCACCGAACCCCATCAGCTTTTCCAAGAACGAGACTTCGTGGCATCCAATTTTTACAAGAGAGAGCCTAAAAACATACCTATCGATTTGGACAAGCTTTTTGAAACTGGACAAGAGAAACGAGACATGTACCAAGCACCATTTGCCGAGGTTTCTTCCGCTGTTCCTGAAGAAGAATTGAGCAAGGTCAGCACTGCGGAAACTCTTTGCCTTGACTCCAGGATTGCGACCATCAACGAAATCGGTATTTTCTCAAGTTATATCAGAGGGGATGCCGAATTAACAAGGAAGCTAGAGGATCCTCAAGAATCACTTATAATTTTCGCGCCTTCAAATGCAGCCCTTGAAAAGCTGTCCAAAAAACCTTGGGAGTTTCCAACGGACATCGAAGCTTTGGAGTCTAGTGGTGCTGATCAGCTAACAGTTGATCGTGCTATTAGCGACAATATCATGTCTTTCATTAAGGCTCATATTGTTCTTGGAAGCGACTTTGAAGCTGCTTCCCAGCGTCATTGCAAGGGCTCATCCGTTGTACTGAAAAGTATGGCATACAACGGGGAAGATGAAGCCGGCGACATCAAATTGAAACGTAAGCAAGGAAAATTTTACGTTCTGTCAGCAAATCAGAAAGCAAAACAAGAAGTTTTAGATGTTACTCAGGCTCAAAATGGGGCAATTCTTCTCATCGATTCTGCTCTTGTGTCTCCTTAAATCATATCAGACATGGTTGATTTATGAAACGAAAGTACAGTGACTATACATACCTATGAGCCTCGCGGCAGGCTTTTACAATGATAGCTAGGATGCATTTATGCGGATATTTAGAAAAAGGTTGGTTTGAAATTCACCAGTATCACATTCACGAGAAAGTTAATTCAAAAACTCATCTTAATACTTCAAATAAAACAAACCTTATCTATATAATTCATACTGTACATCTTTTTGTAAATTACCCCTCTTTTCCTGCAACTCGAATTACACCACAGGCTTGTTCATTCCGACCGGCGAAATTGCAAGACGATGCCCGTCAACTTTCTATCCCATCAGTTGACACAAGGCTGTGTTCATCTTCAAAAAAATGACTGCTGTCGCCGTTATTAGCCCCACATTCTACAGCAACATTCACGCAGTGATCGACCAATTTACCGCGATCTTCTAAGCTTACATTACCACAGGGATGGCGCCCTAGCCAGATTCGCAGCTGGCTCGCTAACAATTCCAGACGCGAGCAGACATCTTGATAGTTGCTTGAGAGCTTACTCTCCTCGATAGCCCGCAACGATAAATACGCAGCTGCAATGCCCAAGATCGAACACTGTTCTTCAGTGAGCATATCGATCGGTAGCCTGCGGATCCACTGTCTAGATTGCTCTTGTTGATTTTTGATAAGAAGGTTTCGTATTATGCTCGAATAAAGAATGAGAACCTGGTCATTGCGGAACTTTTTGTTAGTTGTCTTACTCAGCGTAGTAATTTTAACCGCTTGGAGAAGGTCATCAATGTTTTGGTCAGTTGGCTCGAAAAGACAGCGAGCAGTGATGAACCCGTCTTGTGAAAAGGAGTATCTCTTTTTCTGTACAACCTCTGTGTCGTAAATCTTCCCTAGAATGTCCTTAATTGGTTTTTCCAAATTAGAACACTCCCTGAACAAGCTGCTGATGAGGGACTCTGTATCCGATTGCATCAAAAAGTCCCGAACAGCACTTACAAATTCCTTCAGCGTGTACACGGCTTTGCGAGACAACAATTGCTCCGAAAGGACTTGAGAGTCCAAGGAGTTGGCCTGGGGCTTGGACAAAACGTGACTGATGACCATCCAGTCTGTACTTGCCTTAAGTTTATCACCACTCTTTGCGTTGGCTAGTCGGACCTGATTTTGAATTTTATTCCAAGTCGCCGAAACATGTCTTTTAGCCAAAAGAGCAATGGGGAAAGGCAAAGAAATTAATTTGAGGGCAAAACAGCAAGCAATCTCAGATTCAATGCGCTCAATAGAATTGCTTGGGTATTTCAACCTGTTAATGACCAGGGTCTTCTTCACGGTCTCCCATAGTAGCTCTGGGGTGCAAAAAGATACGGTGTCTGAAAATTCCACTACTATGTGATCTCTGCTCTGCTTTTTCTTGCGCGAACCTTTTCGAATCAAGACGTTGAATAGGTGAAAAGCGGTTGCAACAACCAGAGCGATTCTTAAAATCGAGAACAGGGCCGCACGCAGATCAATTATTCCATTGCTATTGCTCAAAGAAAACCCTTCCATGGGCGAATAATGAAATACAGGCAAAGCCATCAATCCTTTAACGGTGCTGAAATCGTTGCCCTCGTTGAAGGATGAGACTCCCATCGTAACGGCAAGGCCACCCATCAACACTTTACCGGCCATATCGCTACGACCGTAAGAGTTTTGTCTCCCCACAGGGTATGCCTCCGCATATGGAGAGGTTTGTTCGGGGTGTGTGCCCGAGTTTATTATGTCGGAAGACCCAGTAGATGGATTCCGCACGCTTTCAGGAGTAGAAAGTCCCTGAGCGCTTTTCAACTTGTGGTTCTCCAATTTGAAGTAGAAACACTTGTTTTCCAAATGGCGTATATACTCGACCGTCTTCATAAGGATCGTTGCTTTGTTGAGTTTTCTCGCAGGCTCAAGTCCATCTAGATCTTTTCTGTCCTCTTCGCTTATATCCAAACCCAGTTCGCGTTTCGACGCGACTCGCACCGACGGCACGATATCGCGTAGCTGCTGGATTTTGTCGTTGATATTCGTACGGTATCTCTTTTCTATGAGATTGTGGGAAGTTCTCTCACGCCTAGGCTTACCAATCTTGCCATCTTCAGTGACATAAAATCCGTCTGGGCCCTCACTTCCGAGGAGATCCTCGTTTTCGATAATACCTTTGATCTCCTCTGGGCTCAGTTTCATGTGAGGCGAAAGTTCAGCTTTGACAGCAACCTGATCGCTTTGAGAGGAGCCACCGTTGCTGACAGACCTGCTTTGCTGTGGAACCGAGTTCAACGGAGTGCCATTCTCGCCCGAATAGTTGTATTTTTCGGCAAAGGTTGACCCCGTACTACTAGATTGGGCTTTAGATTGTGTGTCATATGGGTGGAAACTTTGCGAATCCCCATTCCCAAATCCTGATCCTCCTTGATATCCCTGTGTTGGGCCAGACGAATACGATTCCGGAGTCAACCCCATTGCCATAGTGTCAAACCCCATCCCATTACCGGAATCAGATCCGCGACGCTCGTTTTCACTCGCTGATCCTCCTGTAAACCAGTCATAACTCATGTCCTCTTTCCGGTCGTAACTGCTCCCACCTTCTGATTGTAACGACGCCAGAAAGCTTTCGGCCTCATCAAACCTGTCGTTGCTCAAAGCCATGATTTGCACGCAAACAATGCCGAGCTCAAACGAACCAACAACTGATTTTTCTTCGAATTGCTCGATCTCTTCACAGAACGACTGGAACTCTCGTTTGTTCTTCCAAGCAGCGTGATTTCTGCTTGGGAAAATGGTGTGATTTTCAATTTTTACGAAAAAGAAACAGATTTTTACCAGTCGGCGACCTGGGGAGCGATTAGGGGAACAACTAAGGAATCGAATCAGGGAAAGGGTAAAGGTACAAGTGGTAAAATGGGTATATAATTAACTCGAGCAACGACTAGAAGAATGGTCAAAAATTGAGAGACACCAACGACGAACATGACATAATTGGCCCTCGAGGCGGTTAAGAAAATACATATCATTTTATAGTCTGGGAAAGTCTTGCCAAATTGACTGAAAAAAAAGCAGGTATTAAAGTGTTTATCATTCTCTTGGTGCTGAAATTCTCTAACCTCCCCTGTAGACGAATTCTGAAAGACTCACAGATCTCGTGGCCTGGCGACGAAGAGGTGGAGAGTCTGATAAATTCTGTACTTTGGACAAGATGTCTAATTTGCTGGGCATAATAGCTTTTGATGGTTGAGAACTAGTCACGTTTATGTTTCGTTCTGAAAGAGGAGCACGGCGGCCGTAGCTATACGTATCTCTGAGATCAGCGAGCGATGCACAGTGTCTCTTCTGTGGATACGATTCAAGTCTTTTTGCAGGTCTAGTTTTCGCATGTTCGTCGACTTCGTCCAATATCTCGGAGTCTTCTTCGCTAATGCTTGAAGTTTCATTATCGACTTCCGTGGGTGCGAGCGAGCTGGGAATGAGCGACCCCGGAACTTCTGTCGAAACAAGCGAGCTGGGTATTTCCGTCGAGATATCATCTTGGAACTCTTCTATATCGCTCGAGGATGTTTCTTGGATTGGGCCTGTGCTACGACCAGCATTAGCTACACGAAGTCCAAGCTTCGAAGTGGCTACTAAGCTTGCGGGCACGGCAGCAGCGGCTGTCGCGTCCGAAGCACGGAAAAACTTGCTCGATACACCGTTCTTGTTATTGCACTTGGAATCACTCAGCTTACGTCTCTCCACAATTCCATTGAGCTTACGTTCGTGCTGTGTGCGTACTTCTTTTTCGTTTTTTGATGCAATGGACGGCCCACTTATTCCTGTAGAAACTGAAACAGTAGTTCTCGAGAAGAAAGAGTCAATTTTCCCGGCTGCTAATGCAGGTTTCTTTAAAATGGGCATGGATTGTGAAGAAATGCGTAGTTTCCGCTCCCGGTTGACTAATGGTTTTGTGAACTGATGCGGATTGAGTTCTCCACGAGCTATTCGGGCATGAATTTTATGATCCAAATCATTGTCGTCAATGATAAAAGATTTCTCACCTGTAGAGATGGAAACCGCTCTTCCAATACATTGATAAAGATTAGTCTCGTTTCGCAACGAATCTGGGACCGGGTTCAATGTCACCATTTTTTGCTGCTTGGGACAAAAAACCCGCTGAAACTGAAAAGCGTAATTGGCCAATTCATACTCAGTTGCAAATTGAGCAGGTATCTGGAACTTGCCATCAAGTCGAATTCGCGCCAACACCTTTTCCATGCTTTTTGATCGAAGTACCATTTTCATCGCCGTGAGTAAGCCCACTTGTGGTATCCCTGATGTATAATCACACCCTGACAAACAAACAACCGTGCGAAATTCGTCTGGTTTCAAAGTACCGAGTGGAAATCTACTTGGTAAATGATGAAGCTCGTCTCTACAAATCTCAATACACTCTCCTCGGTCGTTAAGTTTTGTAATTAACTTTCGGCACCCAAAAACGAGTAGATCTGAATCTTCCGAGATTATGCCATCTACTATACCATTTTGCTCCAAGTAAACCATCTGAGCATCCGCCTCAAACGGCGCCACGATATATGGAATGTGCTGTACTTGGCAATACTCAATTATGCATTTGGCCATTTCTGGCGTAATATCGACGCATTTCTGGAAAAATTCGTAACTACCGCTTTTATCACCAGAATTGTACAATTTCAAACCCTTTTCCAAATTTTCTTCCCTTTTCTGTCTTCTCTTAGACTCCACGTCACCTTTCACATTTATAGAATCTCCGTCGAATACCAAATAAGGTTGTACATTGAAATTGTTGCGTAACATGTTCAATCTTCGAATAAAAAATTCCAAATATTTAGATGTGGGCTTTCCAAGTGCCAATTCCATGGCACACGAGTGTGCCGATCGGTGAAGCCATGCATACCCATCAATGGCTAAAGTTTGTCCTTTATATCTCGCCAACGAAACCGGCTGCTGGATCGGTTTAAGCTGAGGTAACAAACCTTGTACACCCATAGCAGCCCAGAGAGGTTTCAGAAACCAATAAAGATGTTTTAATAGTCACTTTCGAAAGCCCTTTCGAAAGCTGTTTAGAAGGGTTTTGATATAGATTTTGTGATGTTTTGAAGGCACGTTGAGGTAGTTGATGATGATAATTTGAAAACCAAGGCGCGACGCGTAAAGGTTTTGAAAAGGACGCGTAAACTTGAACGCAAGTCAAACCGAATCGAGATGAATCGACACGAGCGGATTACTCGAGAATGTAGAGATTAGCGGGCACAACTGGGATAATTTGGACATCTTCGAGAATAATGGGATATGAGTAGATAGTCGCTTAATTAAAATCTTATACAGCTTCTTCAATGGAAAGTTGAGTTTCAGGCAAAGCATATAAAGTCGAATAATCCACTTCACGCCCGTCTAAGAGCGCTTTGAAAGACACAGGAGCCTTGAAAAGTCGCTGCCATAGCGGGGCAGTTGTGTCGCTTGTGAGCCAAAAATCTTTTAAATTGGTTTTCCAGCCATAATCAGTAGGGATACGAAATCTGGATGATCTGGCCGATGATGATGCAGGATTCGATTGCATGACACCGAGGTACTCCTTAAAAACCAATAAGAACTGGTCAAGTCCCGTAAGAGCACAACAAAGCCCGAAACATGTCCTTGACCTGAAGGAGCGTGAAAATGGCGGATCTGACGCCAGTTCTGCGGGTTCCGATCCTAGATTTGACTCTTCTGCAGATATCAATTCCGAGGGAGTTGTAGTGAAGATTTCACTAAAATCGGCGGTGTGTTCACCATTTTTTTTCATCAAATCGTTAAACTCTTGATTCGTGACACCTTTAAAGGTTTGGAAAACCTGTACTACCAGCAAAAACATGATCCAACATCCTTGAAATGCAATCCAAAAGAAAAGTCCCAACGAAAATGCGTCATGATTATAGGCGGCGCACAAATTCTTGCCCAGGATCAGACATTGATTCTTATCACTTTCATATTTGTCCTCCAATTCATCAAAATACTCCAAATAAAGCATTATAAGTACCATAAGACCGATTTCCATGGAAACAACAAACAACAAGAAATGTTTGTGATTTTTGAGTCCCACTTCGTTATTGATCCAAGGACAGAAGTGGTCAAATCGGGCAATAAGTGACTTACTAAAAGTTGAGTATTTGGAGCGCAAAGGTTTTCTGATGTAGCTGTTAATGCAAAAATGACGCGCATCAAATTTCCCAATACGAAGTAGCTCTTTAATAGTAGTCTTAGTCCCTTCGGGATTTTGCACGTTATAAATGGAACCAGGATCGGAATTTAAAAGGTTCGCGAAGAGGTAAATAGTGGCCGAGAAGAGAATAAAGAAAGCCGCATTCAGTCCCATTTCGTCTGATAAAGTCACGGGCAGAACCGTCAAAAACCAAGAGTATAGTAACCAGACAAATGTTCCGAAAAGCAGCCCTGATAAAAAAGGGGTCTTGAGGAAAGCGTCTCTGTTCTTTCTCATGCCAATAGAGGTGAACACGAATTGTTTTAAAAAGGTAAAAAAGGCGGTTGCGGTGATCGTTGAGAAGAGTACCGCTAATGCAATATGCAAATGGGCATAAAACTCGAGAATTAGCCCAAGAATTATAGTCGGGCAGAGAAAAATCGCGATTTTGGCATTTGCTTTGCTTTTGAAAAGGACTTTCAGTGGATGACCACTTTGATCCATGCCGCATGCAAACATGGCATCTTCCAAACTAGCCACTGTACTGAGTTCTCTCGAAATCGTAAAACAGTCCTTCCCATCTCCAGTCTTTTGAAAAACATCGTCACCATTTCCCATGAGAAGCTGCAAAACCATGGACTGACCCTTCACTGTCCCCCAGTGCAGGGGAGAAAACCCACTATCATCGCAGATTTTGCTGTCCGCCTTAAAATCCAACAATGCCTTTACCGACAAAGAGTCACCTTGGTAAGCCGCCCAAAGCAGAGCAGTTCTCCCATTTGAATCCGTCGAGTTGATATCTATCGTATCTCCGACGCCAAAGTACAGCAAGTAAATTACCAGCATTATGTTAGAGGAATTGATCGCGAGATGGAACACATTGAAACCTTGGTCATCGGTGAGAGTGGTGTCTGCGCCACTTTTCATCAGCAAATCCACAATATACACATACCCATATCTCGAAGCCCAATGCAATGGTGTCGCATTCAGATCTCCACCTGCAAAATTGACGTCGGCTCCTCTTTGGATAAGATACTGGACGATCGACATTCGGTTATTAATACTCGCCCAATGCAAACCAGAAATTCTCTCCTTCTCGTAGAAATCATGTTTAATATCAATAACACCAGAATCTAGCAACTCTTTGATAGCATTCAAATCCCCATTCTGGCATGCTTGTCTATAATTCTCCAAGTTTTGATCCACCGGTAATGCATCGCTTTTGGCTTGTGATAACGTATACTCTTCATCTCCAATTTCACTGGTGTTGGATGCGATGGGTTGTAAAGAAGATAACGACGCCTGAGTGTCTTCAACTTGCCCACTAGGCATCGCCTTGAGCTTGGATGTAGGTGTTCTTTCTGATCAACCAAGCACTATGCTGAACAAGATTTTTCAGGTTGACGAAATTATAGATAGACCTTGTGACGTTATAGAAAAAGCCAAGTCTAGTGAAAAACAGTCGGTGGCTTCCAAGCTTGGATTAACTAAGAACTATGTACCATTACTACCAACAGTTTTAAACTTGACGCTCATTTAGCTGATCGACTAGGTCACTTGCTATAGTTTTGTCTTGAGAATTGACCATTTCTTCATTTTTGAATGCTTGTAGCGCATTGGACAGCCGAATGTTTCGCTCATCTACTATTAGAGTCTGTGGAGAGTTTGCAGATAACATTGCAGATAAAAGTGTCATTAATCTGGTTCTTAGATCTGCATCGTCGCCCTGGCTTTCGAGCAATTCACAGACTGCGTCAATGAGATTAGATTTTTGAGACAGATCCTGGGCGATGAACGGCACGGAAGTAGCAATGTTGGCAAAAATAGCAGCAACAGCTCTTTGAGATTTGATGTCATTGAGATAGAGTAACTTGACAAGCAAGTTGAAGTTTCTGACGCTGGCGGGATTGTCAAAATTGAAAAACTTGACAGCGACATGCAAAGAATTAGCCATTAGGTTCGCAAGTAATTCCAGAACGGACCTTTGAATTCGTATATTTGTGTCAATCATGCAATTCGTAATTTTGGACCAGTAAAGTGGGCTTGAAGAAATGGTTCTGCAAATCTCGTCGCATTCCGGTAAGCTCGCCAAATTCGTCAGGGCAATCAAGGCTTCGTAGGTAGCTTTGACATTGAATTCCTGCTCGGTGTCGCTTTGTTGGTCCGGGGTAGCTTGCTCGCCATTTGGAATTAAAAAGAATAGGTAAGGAATGGCGTTAAGAGGCGATATGCGGCTGAAAAGCACGCTAGGATCATCAGAGGTCAAACATCTAGTCACAATCCATAAACTGTAGCGGTTGTAATGCGCCGAATCGTGAGACGCCTTTAAATCTTTAAGTGCAATCCAAAGTCCACCCTGCTTAGTACATTCTCGGATTGTTTGATTCGATCTGATCATATTGTACACGATCCTGACGGCCTGGGCCCTCGACCCAAGACTAAGCTCCTTAAAGTGGTCATCGAACAATTTTACAAGTTGTTCCTTCAGTATGAATCTTTTGTTGAATAAAACTACACTTTCAGTGTCCTCGGTTTCTGACTTCATTAACTGTCCAGCAGGATCTTTAAGTGAAGAATACGCTCTGAGATTTTGAACAGCTCGTTGTGACTCCTTTTCATCGCTAGGCAACACCGAAAGGTTCGAAAATATGGCCAATACACCGTATTTGGCCGCACTTTCAGTATCCTTTCGTTTCAGTAACTTGAGCAGCTTTGAGCACGCCAAAGAGTCGGCCCTAAGCCTCTTTTTCACATTAATCATTAGAGTCATATATGCCAATCCTTCTATTGCAAGCCCCTCGTCGGTGCCCTCTCGGCCCAATGCCGTGACCAAATTATTGGTCAAAAGGGGTATTATATCGGTTTTGAGCTTGGCAAAGTTCCAAATTTTGATCAAGACAATTGTGGCCAAAAGACTGAACCTATCGACATTGACACTCTCTTGCAAAACATCAATGTAATTTTCAGCAATGAAACTTCTGACATTTTCATCAATACATGCACTCGCTAGCAGCTTGAACGAAACAATCGCCAAGTTCTGATCCTGTGTGACTCTAGTTTTGAGTAAATCTTGGAAATCTTGTCCCAGGAATACCCGAGTGCATTCTGTCGTAAAAACAGCGTAAAGCTCCGTCAACACCTTCACGACCGTCAAAATCGCGTCGCTCGTACCCGAAATTTCAGACTCAACTACTAATGCGTCCAAACAACCTGTGAACTGGGTGTTGAAAACCTGTTTGTAGCGTTCTTGTAATTTCGCAAAAATGACCAAAGCCATCGATCCGATATCAGGATTTTGATAACGAACGATAAGGTCCCTGACTAAAAATTTGACATCAACAAAATCGTAATTGTTGAAACGGCCTAATAGTTGAAGCACGACTGAGAGGGTAAAAAGATAATTCTGCTCGCTTTTACGAATTCGACCTTTCAGTTCACGTAAAAGTGCCAATGAATCCGTTTCATTATCAAAGCATTGTACCAAAACAAACGCTAGCGACCTATCATAACGCGAAAACACATCAACTGATCTTGATACGTTTTTGTGCACTTTTGTCTTCAAATATGTCTGCGATGACCCGTGTATTTGAAAGGCCTCCCTTATGACCGTTTCGCCGTCAAAATCGACGGGAAAGGTCTCCTCAAAAAGCCTATTGATGGCATTGTTGTACGATGTACTATCGACAAATATAGCACCTGATTTCAATGATTCGTTCGCATTTGATTTTGGTTCTGTCATGATCCTAGTAATCTTGTTGATAATAAAAGGATAAATTGATATCTCATCATTGAATTTTCAAAAACCGACTTTCGACCGATGATAATTCAAATATGACAGAAAACGAGGATTGGATGCTGACTGCGGCGTCTGCATCTGCAATTGGTGAGTATTAAGATCTTATTGGAAGTTTTTTCGGTTCAAATAGGCTAACTTTAAGGTGCTTCTAGTTCAATCGCATCAAAAGGACATATACATCGAGTCAATCTTAACTAAGAAGCTTGAGAGCGCATTGAAGCGTGTTAAAGGTCAATATTTCACAAATGCATATGTTTTAGAGATAAGAGTTGCTGCCAAGCTGTTGTACCTGGGTTTGACTACGTTGAGAGGCAAACGAACACTTGGTGAACAATATGTCGATGTGATCTACGTCGACAGGGCCAGAAAAAGTTTATCTGGTTTGCTAAACCGGCTATTGTTCGTATTTGCTCACGCATTATTACCATATATCGGCTCCAGAGTTTACTCCAAACTTTCGCAAGCCTGCAGTTTGCCGAACGCCAGGCGAAATTGGCCACGACTAGGACGTCTCATGGAAATTTTGGATTATGGCCGCTCCTTCAAGCTGATGGAACTGCTCACAGAGCTGCATTTGATCATTTTTTATTTTTTTGGAACTTATTACCATCTTTCAAAAAGGATTTTTGGATTAAGATACGGACTGGCACATAAAGTCGATCAGTCGGAACGTCAGTTCCGCGAATCTAGCGCTCGAGGCTATAAAATCCTCAGCAGCGTTGTTTTTATTCGGTTTGGTATTAACTTGGCAAATGTAATACGTGATATGCGCGATCGTACGTTAGTGAGTCGAGAATCGAAGGATGACAAGACCTCCTCCAACGCCAAAATTGACAATCTACGCTTATCCAAAATCCCAAGAGAAAATGACGTTTCACATTTAGACATGAAAGATCCCGATGTGCTTCCGTTCATACCTCAAGAGTCGAGGAAATGTGTTTTGTGCTTATCTGAAATGAGGGACCCAAGCTGTGGACCTTGTGGACATCTGTTTTGCTGGTCATGCATTCTAGACTGGACGAATGAGAGGCCAGAATGCCCACTCTGCAGGCAAAAGTGTCTTCAGCAATCTATATTACCGATTAGGTGATTAAAGGACAGGTCTTTCTTGCCCTACAATGCTTAACAGATCTATAAATGGAGAATTCACTAAATGCCGATATGGAATAACAATTGTTTCTGTTTGTTCTTCTTCTTGCCGTTACTTGCCAAACTATCGGAGGACGATGACGGAGAAGGGCTCACAGGGCCACTTCCTACTCCCACCGATGTTGTCTTGCCCCATCGCGAGGGGTCCGGAATGTTTGGCTGATGAAGAGGTGGAGCCCGGAATTTTTTTGTGTCGGGTTTAGGAAGAGGTGGAAATTTATCTTTGGTTATTGATGTGCCTGACAAGGACGTTGCTATGTTCGGACGGGACGTCGATCCCTGTCGTGCATCCCAGCCTCCCGTGCGCGAGCGATCAGACAAAGAAGGCGTGCTCGTTCTGACTGCTGGGAGCTTGCTTTTTACCGCTGCAGGCTTATTTGTAATGTTTTCCGCGCGAAGGGGAGGCGGCGATGCTGAAGGCTTTTTCAAACTGGGAAAATTCATTTTATTTGCAATTTTAGTTGGGCCTGTTTGAGTTCCCCAGGAGCCAGAAATGACATTGGCACCCATCAGAGAAGCAGAACTGGTTAAAGACGGGAAGTTCGTAATCCTATCTCTCTTCTTTTTCTCAGACTCATAAACTTCACGTAATTCTTTATAGTTCGCAGATTTCTCGTTGAACATCTCTGAAAAATCATAAATTATTAGCATTATATCAGCTTCCGGAGATGTGAATAGAGCCTCATAGGATGTAAGAACGTCATAAGCTGTGATATTTCTCTTGCAAAATTGGTCATTTATGGATAGAAACGTTTCGAACTTAGAATGCGAGTAATTCAAATAGTGGCGCGCTCTTTCTTCCATGCGCAGCTTCTTCGTCTCTTGAGAGCTGGTCGATTCGGTGCTAACCTCCGCTCTGGTTGCGGAAGAGTTGATGGAAGAAGGAGGTTCAAAAGTAGACAGTTGAGATTGATACCTTCTACCGTTCGCCAGAGTAGCAGTCCGTTTGCTTCCCGTAAGACTACCATGTTCCTTCAAGATGTGCGCCTGTAGATCCAGTTCGTCGCGGAAAACTACAAACTTGCTATCCAAACAGCTTTGCACAGTACAAATGTAATGGGCATCTTTGAAGTGCTCGAAAAGCTGATCATAGTTTTTGAAATACTGTGGATTTGTGGAATCGATCTGATCGCATATGTGACATCTTTCATGACGGTCCCTCAGATGTACCCTGAGTTCATCCTCGGAATAAAACCGCTGACCAGAGCAGAATCGGCACATTGGGTGGCCCCAAAACCCCTGTGTATCGCCTCTCGATTGATGCACGCGCAACAGATTAGGAGTAAAAATCTTGAGTTCACAGGGGAACGCTTTCTTATACTGAGCACAGATTGAACAAATCGTTTTGTTGTGAGCAGTTTTGAGATGGTGGTTGTAATTCTTATAACTTCCGAAATCAGTACCATCGGCGTCATTGAACGGACACGAGTACTTTAAAAGTCCAAGAACCGCGGTCTTTACCTCTGGAGACGTAAAAACTACGCCGTATTCTTCGTTTTTGTCATTGAGTTGAGTTTCCTCAAAACTGTCATAAGTACGCTCTTTCCCTTGAGTGAAAATTGCCCGGGGCACTTCCGACCTGCACACCAAACAAGTCCTTTTCCCATATAAAGATCTCTGTCGAAACGTACATTTGTGGCAAGTGTAATGATTGCATGGTGATATGGCTGCGAACTCTAACTCTTCAGCGCAAATGAGACAGATATCGTCCTCTCCAGGATTCTGAGCCTGACCATCGTTACCAGCATCACTGAAGGCTCTTTTCCATTGATTTTCAATCCTATTACCACGTTTGTCCTTGGCTGAGAGCATCGTTCCCTGGTATCTTCTCATACCCCGCTGCGCTCGCTGCGATGGCACGTTCGAGGTCATTTTTCAGGCTTAAAGTGCTAAATTTACCACCAAGATACAGCCAAAAAAACGAAATTAATTAATAAATGAGTAGTTAGGCGAGTCTAGCCCCTTAGATGGGCTCTTAAGGACTAAATTCAATACCTAAATCAACACTAACTTAGGCGCAATTCCAAGTTCATTTCCTTCACATAAAAATTTTTATTTTCGAGGTTTACTAAATCTTTAAATTCTCGAAATATCACGTGATTAAATTACTGGAATTAGCATCTCATCGCCAGCTAAACTTAATTGATTATATTAACAAGAATATTGCTACACACCGAAAAGATTCACAGGGAAACTCAATTGCCTGTAGGTCTATGCAAACGAGTTTGAAATGAACCTTAGTGCGACTTTTAATGTCTTAAGGTTGTTTTTCAGTCCGCATTTGTGTGTGCCCCAAATGACGATAAACAGTTTCGGACAGCTTCCTGTTCCGATCGGACCTAAGATCAAGGCGGTTGTTCTAGATAAAGACAATTGTTTCGCTTTCCCGCACGAAAATAAGGTGTGGCCTGAATACGAGGTATGTAAATGGTGGGAATTGCAAGAAATTTGGGCGAATAAAGCTCTGTATACTCACATGACGGATACAGGAACTTTGGCAGAAATTGAAAAATACGTATCCCGGAGCATCAATGCTCATTGTGAGCAATAGTGCGGGTAGTTCAGATGATTCTGGGCATGCGGAAGCTTTGCTCCTCGAGAAAGTAACTGGGGTGCCAGTTTTAAGGCATTCTTCCAAGAAACCTGGATGTCGAGACCAAATTCTAGAGCATTTTTACAGGGAGAAGGTAATCGAAAGCCCGCAAGAAATTGCTGTAGTAGGTGATAGACTGTTCACAGACATCCTGATGGCCAATTTGATGGGATCTTACCCTGTCTGGGTCAAAGAGGGCGTTAAGCTCTGTGAAAGTCCCATATGTCGGTTTGAAAAGATTCTGTTAGAGTGGCTCAGGCCTGAAAAATGATATTGAAAATGGAAGGATTAAACCTAATGGTCAATTGTTAAGCCTGTCTGCGTTTTTGTGTATTTTTACCCTCGCGACACAATGCGTCCCAAACAATTATGTTTAAAATTAGGTATTATGTGGTGATTTCACCGATTTTCCAGCATCATGACGATGAAAGTATCCCGGCATTTGCTATATGCTCGAGAACAATCCTAGAGGTAGTAACACGGGGGTCGTCGTCGCCCTGCTGGTTCTTTTTTGTTTGAATTACCTTCTGACAGTTTTTGGAGCACCTTTCGAAAATGTCACAAATAGGTCGGCATTTTTTTTCTATTGGTCCTTGGAGGAACTTTTGGCGGTGTTTTTCTGTTGCTCGATTTGCATATTGCTTCATCAGCAACCGCTGAGACAGGATCTTTATTTATTACAATCGATGATGGTTGGACTTTCCTTTCTGAACGTCAGCTGTTCGATAATTGGTTTGGTCTACATTGTGAAATGTTTGAAAAGCGAGTCCCCTATGATGTACCATTTCGGTCAAAATCAGAATCCAGTTGTACTGACGCGTCGGATATTGGTAGTAACAGTTTTATCATTCGCAAGTTGGAGTACTTGCGCTGCGCTTTCGTGCTGTGTTCATTGGAAACTGGTCCAACAAGCCAATATGACTTTTGGAAGCAATCCTCGAAGCTCTCGCTGTTCTCAATCCAATGACTGGAGCACATTTTATCAAGTTTTGCATGGAATGCCGAAAAACTACGAGGCAGCATCGTCAACTGAAAACGTCAAATTGAAAGATTCGGAAATATTTACTTTAAGTCGATGATTATAGTTCAACCTGATCTGGCCTGTCCTTATCCTCTCTTTATTATTTACAAGTATGGGAGGAAGCTTTGATCAGTTTTCGCTAAGTTGCGTGGGCTCACAGCCGCACTGATGGCATCTAAAACAAATTGAGTCGCCACTGAAGGTTTCGAGCTTAGATGACCTAACTGCGCGATTTTTCTGGTGATCAAATCAACGTTGGTTCGCACCACTTCACGGAGTTGCGGGTCTTCCACAATAGACCTATGCAAATTACTATACCATGAAATAACCTCGTCCCTAATGAATAACGACAGATAAGTGTTTAGTTCATGGTCTGGTTCTAAAAGCGCGCTGGCGACAGTAAATATCCCCACCGACAGGCAACCCTCGAGCGCTGAGTCACCAATTAATTTTTGAATATTAGGAGTCAGTCTGAAAGGAACAGGTTCATTATTGAAGAAGATTGGAGCATCAGGCGGAACGTTGGCACCCAAAGATTTGGCCGATTGCTTTACTCTGTCAAATGGATAGCGAGCTGGAAGCATCTCTAAAGTGAAAACGTTTCCAGAATTATGATCAACATATATCTTATGCGGAGCTCTGTTGTTTATGGCCATCATATAAGTCATGAAAATAAACGTAGCATATTGTGTTGAGAATCTCTTTCGGAATAACCAAAAGTCTTCAAAAGTAACAAAGTGAGACGTGAAATAGTCTTTCATGACAGTTGAAGGCAGGAACATTGACTGAACAGAGGTACATATCTCGACCTTGACTGCTGTTATGTCAGGAGGTGGCAATACTTTGTCATGAGCGGCATCCAGTTGTTGACTCACAAAATCTTGGATGGCATCGCGGTCCATATTTTTTTTTGCACAATATTCATCATATATTTGATGCATGTTGATGAACGATGGGCTGTCGTTCATAATTCGAACCTGAGGAGAAAGTGGAACTGCGATCGGCAGTGTAAAATTAATATCACGACGGCGTGTTTGTACATTTTTAGACAACGTCTCATTGAACAGGCGGAACATTTGAAACATTCTTTCCTCGCGGCGAGAGTGACGAACCGCAGGGTATTGAACGGCAAATGGATGAAGCGTACCATTGTGACCACGAATTGTGAGACGCCTAAATGAGGAATGCGTTCCTCTAACGAAATTTACCTGCGGCAAAAATCGAGCAATCTTAACAAATTGCGCGTTGCTGTCCTTGTTTAGGAGGTATTGTCCCGGTACTTCAATGTCCTCAAATTTTTGATGATGAAAATTGCACAAATGAAGACACCAGTCCTCCATGTATTCTACTTTCGGAGCGCGATCCAGCTTATTCTCAAGTCTATTACGCCATTCCCTTAATTTCTTGATATATGCCTCAAAGTTCGGTTTACTGTCGATAAAATCGGCATTGAATTTAGTTCTAATGTGAGGTGGCAAAAGATTTTCCGAAAATCTTATCAGATTGGACTCAGTGCTGGAAGGAAGGAGAGGGGTATCTCTTGGATAAGGTAGGCGATTAAAATTGTAAGTTCCATCTATCAAAAGAACATTAATCAGTCTGAATAAGTCTTCATCCGGCGTTGTTTTGAACTTTTGATTAATTTGATCGACTAGAGATTCCAGCGAAAGTGCAAGTAGGGGATATGCCGTTTTTAAAATCCCATTTAATTCATCCAAATACTCCCAAGGTTGTCGGGTGGCCCCAGCTGGAAGCTGACTTTTGCTACTCGATGAGCGAGAATTAGCAACGGCGGCAATAGTTTGTCTCTGAATAACAGAGAACTCTTCTTTAGTGGTGCGTAATTGGAAGTGTAGGGCTTGAGGATAACTCTTGGCAATCCTTATCAAAATCTGACGCACCATATTTGCCTCCTTGTGAGAAAGCGCCGTCAGGAGTTGAGGAATGAAAGTGATCCAATACCAAACAGGTACTTCTCCTCGGAAGGATTCAAAAGCATTGGCTAAAGATCTAGATGAATCTTCAATGCCAATAAGCCATAAAATTCGACAAAGAAGCTTTCTCGTTTTAGAGTTTTTGTAGAGACCTGCAGCCTGTAAGTAGCAACTTATTGCATTGTTTGCAAAGCTGATATTGGTAGGTTCTTCTGAAAGTCTCCGATCATTAAAGAAGCCCCACTGGGCCCAAGCTTTTGCTAGGTTTAGGTCGATTTGAACAGCGGTTGCGAAAGCCTGGTTAGCTTCATCATGGGCTCTAAGCTTTGACAGAAACATCCCCTTCAATGTAAAGAACTCGGCCTTTTGAACAGTGCCAAAGTACACTAGATTGGTATTACTGATGACGTCCAACCCTGTTGTTAATTCATTCAAACTTTGATAATGGCATTTAGCCTGTTCACGCAACTTCAAAAACGCTTCTTGAATTTCGATGTTCGGAAGGGTGTAAATCCTTGCCAGTTGGCTGATGCAAACGTCTGGCATGTCATGCTTTCGAGCTACGTGAGCAAATCGATTAATGACCCAGGCAATCTCATGGTATCCCCTATATGCGTGGGTATTGACATTGCTGTTACCATTTGCCTGTTGAAGGGAAGGAACCATTGGAAGGTATGAGCTATTGATGACCTGGAAAGCATGTTGCCTCCAAGTTATCAAGTCATTCCACATGTTGATATCATCCCAAATGTTCGGAAGACGATCGCGCCATGCTTGCAATACCCGCTTCACCTCTTGCGCCTTGCTGTCTAAATTTTGAATTGTGGTTGTGGCTAGATTGCCATATATTTGAGTTGCTTCCATAAACTCCATGTATTGCTGAAAACCATGCAAAAGGAATTTGTGAGCAGGTGTAAATCTTTCTGGCATGGAAGCCCATTTATAAAGGCTCAGCTGAATACCTTCGTCACATAACCTTCTAACCTCTTGATCTCCCTTCTTTGTCTCTGCGAAATTTTGCAAGGCCAGGAATGTTTCAAATATCTGTCGACGAGGAGTTGGGACATCCATGACACTCTTCACAGATTGTTCCAAAGCCTCTTTATCCGCATTCCAGTCCGCAACTCTCCAGCCACATTCTAGTAGAAGATCAGTGAAACCTTCGTGTTTTGCTAATTCCGTGAGAACGTCCCAATGTTGCAACTTCTCGGCACACATAATCCAGTTGTCTTCCCAGAGAGCATATTCGGATTCCGAATAGGGTAAAGCCCCACTGCGTGCTTTCACCTGGGCGGCCTCGTATAGCTGCTGAGCTTTGTCCCATAGACCTATCTGCTCGTATGATAAAGCCATATTTGTCTCGGTGTATTTGGCTCTTCTCCTCCACAGCCCATAAAACATGTCTTCTTCCTGTAGATTCACGTAAAGCTCCAACAGAGCATCCTCATTTGTCTCTAAAATTTTAGCGTTTTCGATTGAGCTGTTTTCTTCCAATGACTCCAATATTTTGATGGATTCATACCAGGAATTATAAGAAGTGGCCAAGTATTTGATGAGATGAGGCGGAAGTTCTAAGCCCTCAATTTTGCTGATAGCGTCAAGCAAAGTTCCGATCACATTTGTTCTGACATTCACTTGCCTAGAGTGATAATCTTTTGAAAGCAGTGAGACTAACGAGCACATGAAACCAAATTTCTCGTTTTTGGGAATGGACTTGTACGCCATGGGAAACAAATCGACCCACGCGGAGTGGACAGACTTGGGAGATCGGTAAAAAATCTCAACGAGTGGTTCAAGAATATCGTTGCAAGCAACTTTCCTGAAATTGTCTGAAAACTCGCAATGGTTTTTTATTAAAATCGACAGATCCTCGCGTACCTCGATAGAGTTTAGGTCCGATGTAAGGTCTCTTAAGGATGAATCAAGTTGCCCGATTTCGTATTTATCACTCAGCATCAATTGGTGCTCTTTCTTAAAGGCTCCGTAGAGAAGTTGTAGCGCCTGATTTAGCCAAAGATGATCCGCAATGAATTCCCAGTTTTGATCTCGTATAACGTAGTAAAGTCTTTCTCTAATATTTCTTTCCAAGCTCCTATCCAAAATCTCCATTAGCTGTTTTCGGATGGAAACATCATTCAATCTGGTCCCTACCAAGAATGGTTGTTCCATCCTCACCGTAATCTCGCTGTTGTTGAAAGATTCGCTCTTGAAAAGTTCCAAAATAATTTCATAAAATTGCTTGCATAACTTTGGTTCACCACGTACTTCAAAGGCTAACATCTTCGTCAATATAGCTGCCTTTTCCTTTACTGTGGGGAAAATTTCGTTTGTAAAAATCCACATTCTCGCAATGACTATGATTTTTTGAAGGAATTGTTGGTCCATTGAGCGGTCGATCAATAAGGCAATAGTAGACAAAAAGGGTCTGCGCGCGTCACCTAGAGAGGCAACCTTCATTGAAAGAAGACAAAGAACTATCTCCAAAAGCTTCGTTGTCAGCTTCGCTTCTTCCAGAGCTCCCGCATCTTTAGGTTGCGAAGTCGCTAAATGATCCTTGCAAAGTTTGCTAAACACACGCATAATCAAGGGAAGTAAAGGATCAATATTTTGAGGAAAATGAAGGAAAAGAGTCCACGATAAAGTGACTCCAGCAGCGATGGAGGAGGTGCCTTGAAGATCTTCCGAGATCACAGCGGTCAGATTGTTCAAAAAAGATTTTCCCTGTGTCTCCTCTTCACTGTCCATACTATCGTCTTCTTCTTCATGCACGGCAGAGAGCATAGTCGAGAGCACCTTTTGTAAGACTTGTTGAACGTCATGATGATCAGCTCTTAAACATTTATCAAGCAAAGTTCTGATGGGAGTCAAATTAGATACGATCCATTTCGAACTTTTACTTTTTAGTAAAACGTAGAGCACGTCAAGAGCATTCATGCAGTAATATAGTATGTTTGTAGAGGAAAAGTCTTGTTGTACAAGAAATTTTTCGAAATACGGGAGCTTAACTCCAACCTCTGACCAGTGAGCGTCAGATAATAGTTCTGTCAAAATTCTCAAAGCTTTCGCACCGCTTTCAGTTTCCAAAGCACGGTGATTACTGACACAGATTTGTCGAATTAAAAAGGTAATGCAAGCTTCTCTCTTGTTTGGTGGCGTGAAATAAATATGCGAATGATCTGTTTCAGCTTCATGGGTCATATCAAAGTTTTTCTGCTGTTCTTCGGCTTTCTTTTCCCATTTTAAAATCAAGCTTGCACAATCGACAGCCAGAGCTTGGTTTTCGGCATTCGAATTAGTCATTAAAGTGAGTTTACCCATGAAAGCTATAATACTAGAGACGAAAACCTCTCTAGATTGATAAAATTCTTCAGAGTGATTGATGAGAAATTGATAAAGTAAAGTGTTCTGTGCAGGTCCCCTTTCGGACAAAACTCTCCTGACCCAGTTGACCCACGTTTGCGGAGAGCCTGCAGCAGCCATTCTGCCGTGCATCACTGGGGCTAATAAATCCAGTGACTGCTTCACCATAAAGCGTGATTCACCTTGTGTTGACCTCAAAAGAGCAACAAATACTTGCGTAACAATCTTAATTGGAAACTCATAGCTATGGATGAAGTATGAAGTTACCATGTAAGCAGCTTGTTTAACCAGAGAGTCCTCCAATTTTATGAAATTCCAGCAGAACTTTATTATTTCCTTTCTTTTCTCTGGATCAATGCCTATTCCATACTTGACAAGGATAGCCGACTGTTGTAAAAGTTCAAACCTGAAAACATCGAAGTGGCCCGATGTGCTGGTAAAAAGGGTATTGTTTGCTCCTCGCCATATTTTGGAACTAACCAAATCGAGCCACTGGGGTCCCGCTTCTGGGGAAGTCTCGAGATTATTCAGCGACTTGTGTTGAAGTCCTTCATATAAAAGCGTTTTGTTCACCAAGTGCTTTAGGATGAAAACGCTGGCATCGAGAGGTTTGTCCCTGGTGATGAAGTTTAAAGCCTTTCCGAGATAGGTGGCCTTTACTGTACTGCTTTCATTCGAAATAACATGTTCATTTATGTGATCAAATAGGGCTTCCGGAGGACTGAGACCGTTTGTAAAAGTAAATTCGACTAAATCGAAAAGAAGATCAGACTCGGATTCCTTGATTTCGATTAGTTTCAAAAAAAGCTTTTGATATTTTGCCAAGGCTTGGTGAAACTGCAGCATGTCGAAGTGAAAATTGCCTTCCCTGACAGTGATTAGACAAAGCCGTAACATTTCGCCTAATTCCATCAGCTTGTTCTTATTTTCACGGAGCCATTGGTCTCCTTCTACTTTATGCAAAGTATCGAATAGATCAACGGAGTTTGCAAAGAAGCTGACTGCTCTGACTTTACTCGTCGACAACCCAGCCATATAGAATTCAAAGATATTGGAAAACTCCATTTTGAAATCCTGCTCTAATTGCTTGGCTTCACTTCTCTGGATAATGTCACACATGAGAAGTACAAGTTCTCGAGATCCCAGATTGCTCTTGAAGTAGTTCAGTACTGATACATGGAACCTATCCAGATATTTTGCTAGTGGCTCACGAAATGGAGAAACTAAATGAAGCCGCAGCTTTTTCTCGAGGTGCAAAACCTTAAGGAGAAGGTCATTCAGAAACACGTCCGCCTGCGGTGGCAGCAGATGGAAGATATTGATAATGCCAAAAATAATTTTTGTAGGAGTCTGCTCGTGTAGGTCTTTGCCGAAGAAAGTGTCAAGCACTTCTGTTCTGCACCACGCATCAAGGTGGTCCAAGAGTTTCTTACCGATCTCAACCTTGAAATACGCAATGAGCAGCTCCAATAATCGCGCCAAAGCTTCTAACCCGGACACCGTTAACTTCTGATGGTCGGATAGGTTCATCAACATCGGCTTCAAACCATTTTGCAGGAGCTCTTTAGGTAGCTTCGGATTATCTGCTAGAACGCTTTTAAGGCCCTGATAGGTCGCCTCGATTATCTCCGAGGAGTTTTTCAACATTGTTTTAAAGAAAACGGCTAAAATTCTAATTCTTGTAGCGCCCTGCTGGGCTGCAGAAAATTCCTCGTTCTTTAGTGCAAGCGCTAGTAGCTTGATGCATACAACTCTCAGTTGCACCAACTGGTCAGCAGTTTGATGTTCACTCACTCTATGAGCGCTGGCAAGAGACTCGTCTTCCGCATCCACAAGAGCGATTGCCTCATGCAAAAGACGGTAAAGCTCTTCATTGAATTCTAAAAATGAGCCTGGGAGGTTAAGGCAATATATTATTGCATCAACATTACCTATTTGCATAGGAAACGGAAGCGCCCTTAGGGGCTTGGCAAAAATGGGAGACAGGAGAAAACTTTTCGCGTGTTGCATGAGTTCGACAACGGGTATGGATGACACGTTCGATATTGTCGATAAAGCTTCTTGACAGGCTTTCCTCACAACTTTATTGGCATTGCTTAGTTCGCACACTATGTCTGTCAAGGTGTTTTCCAAAGCCTTTTCACTGAGAGATGAGACTGTAATACCTTCACAAGTCAACTTTAGTATTGCCATTATGAGATCTTCGGATCGATTTTTGATAACGCCCGGTGCTTCAGTGGAAATATCTTTTAAAACAAATAGGAGACCAGTGACGAGATCAAATTGGTATTTGCGCCAAAATTCAACGGGTAAATCTACTTCCTCAATTAAAATTTTGATTCCTAAAACCCCGCTGCTTTTGTCGTAGAAGGTCTCATCATAGCAATGGCGTACAAAGCATTTTAGCATCTGAGGAATAAACGAACATTTCAGCATGAGCTCTTCACCATAAATGATTTCGCTGATTTTAACCAAATGCCTTATAGCTTCGATTGCTAGTAATCTAATTTCTTTGACGAACGATCCCAAAGAAGAGGATATTGCCTCTAAAATAATGCTGATGTCAATCGTAACATCTGGCTGTTTCACATCGACACTAAAAACGTCGGGCTTTCTGCTCTTTTCATTCAAAGCTGAATTCACTTGAAGGAGGCAGAAATGATTCACCAGGTTTAAAGCTATTGTTGAAGCTTCGTCTCTAATCTCAGGGATAGAAGCAGAAAAGAAAATAGTTTCGAGCAATTTAAGGAGCAAAACTTCCTTATTGCGTAACAACCTGGCATCTTTTACTCTCTCATCACTAAAATCTGCCGAAATCCTAACATCTTGATGAGTTAGCAGCTCCACTCCAGCTCTTATAGAATGTTCTAAATCATCCGGGACCTTCAAGGAGGTCTGCAAAATTAATTTCAGTACCGCTTCCAAGTAACGAAAAGCGTTCCTCTTGTAATGTAATGTAGCTTTTTGATCTTGCAAAATTTCAAGACACGATTCGACGCCCGCAGTTACTGACAATGGGACGTCTTCGCTGATGCCTTCAATTTTGAAGAGCGCATTTACACCGATATCAAATTCCGACTCGAACCTTAAGTCAGCAGGAGGTTTAATAAATCGACGATTTCTGCCGCCCAATTTACCTAAAATTCTAACAGCAGTATGACTGATTTGATGATTGAAAGGTTGAGGTTGAAGCAGCTTAAAGAGAGAACGTATTACGTCTTCAACAACTGGCTCGACGATAGGATCAAAATATTCTGCCGTAAGATTATCAATGCAAAGCTCTAAAGTTCTCAAGCCTTGAGTTATAAGCTCTGGAAATCCCTGTAAGGCATAAACAAGAGGTTTCATCAGATAGCCAAGATAGGGCGCTAAAACACTCAAACGAACGGGAACTGTAAGACAAAGCTCAACGTAAAGGTCCTGTTCGTGAGGCCTTCTGGCTGTAGCAATCATACGATTCAGAGACTGCAAAAGGATCTGAAGAATTGGTTTAATTGATCTGTAAAGATTTTCGAATCTTCCCCCCCCAATGCTTCGGAACAACGTTCTTATCAAATAAAGATAAACAAGTGGTTCTTTGGCTGTGGTCGCATATTTCAAAGAATCCAGAATCAGGTCATTTAAATGTGGAAGAAGAACAGATTCATTTGATACAGGAAAAAGATTAACGGACATGAAGGAGAGCTTGAAAAGTCTGATTAAAATATTTGATTTATTCCAATCGACGTTTCCCAAGGTGCTCAGTTTGGACTTCAAAAATCTTAAAAGAATCCCAGTGAAATTAGGAGACGTTATTTCACTAGTTAAAAATGACTGTGCAACATGAAGCAAAGCTGAATCCCGAAGCATGGACTGATAGAGAAACTCAATTTCTGTCTCTAATATATCGTTAAATGTGGAACTATCGATTTGCATGAACATAATGGCAAAATAGTCCATAAGTTCTCGACCATCTTTAGTAGCCGAGACCGGTAAACTTGGTGCTGTTATGTCAAAGAACTTCCGCTCTTGAATAGGATTCTTTCCATGAGGACTAGAAAAGAAGTGCAGTCCCAAAATACATTCGTGAAATAACTTCTTGAAAACCAAGACCTCCTCATATGAGAAAATTCTTGAAAGGGAAGACCACAACTTTGGATTCATTCCGGTGTAATCAGTCGAAGGAGGATTGAAAACCTTTATATCGTGGATGATAGTCTTGAGAAAGGACATCAGTGTGCGATAAAGATAAAAAGCATCTTTGAGTGGATCACTAGATGGAGGTGCAACGATCAGAATCGGCGAGCGATATTTTAGGTCCAACACATCCAGGGGTGAACTGCCATTTTCAGTGGCCTCCATTTCATCCCTATCGCTGGCAATGACCCGTGAAGCCGTAGCGTCCTCCATGTTTTGGTCACCGTCGCTGTCAGTTTTGAGTGCCAAACCAAAATTATCTTCCATTATTTTCGCAACCCACGTCTCCGGCGTTTCGACTTCAGTAGTGGCATCCTGCTTGATCAAAGCAACTTTTTGGGCTTTATCTTTTTCGTAAACGTCATGATGTTTTAAAAGATTGTCATACTGTTTGTTGAGATTTTGAAAGCGCGTAATATAAGCGTCAATAATTATAATCAACAGTTTCTTAGCTCGCACTGCTTGATTTTGAACTTCTTTTCCTAATTTAAGAATTCTCTCAACCAAATTTAAAAGGAGTTTCGCGCTCATAATCTGGACGGTAAGCGCCAGGCTTTCGTCCAATAAAAAACCGGTGTACATTTGGACCGTCTTTTCAATATCTTCTAAACTTAACTCTCCTCTGACATTGTGTATAAAATCTGCCACTGTGCTATAAGCAAGTGGTCTGAGGGTCTCATGCGAAGTGAAGCCGTCTCCGATCAAAATCTTTTCGTTAAAGAGTAAATTAATCTGAGGCAGAAAAAGTCTTTTGTAATTAGTGGACAAGATGTGCCTCGTTGCATGCAAAAGTTCCTTCCTTGCAGAAGACATTCCAGCCGGACAGTCCTGGAGTAGCCTTATAATTAATTCCGGTACGAAGTTGACATAATTCTGGAGATATTCCGAAGCGTATCCACGGATAAAAATATACGCCAAAAATGAAGTAGCCTTTATTTGTGCCAGAACAAAATCACAATAGGCTTCACGATTTTTAACGTCTGGTGACATCCCGGTCCAGATCTCACCTTTGGCTTCCGCTCGCACTCGGGTGGCTTTTTGTTCATCTGCCTCCATTAAGAGCAGCTCAATAATATGGGGCATGAATTGGGGTAAAGACGACGTGGTCAATTGTTTGAAAGATGAATAAAGTGTCACCATAGTAATCGGACACTCGGCTAAGACCTTGAACGAGTGCATTGAGTGTCTGAGGCGTTTGTTCGATGAGAAATGCGTAAGGTGGCTAGAATTCGATTGCGAGTCTATTACATCTAAATCACCCGAATCAAACGTATCAAACGATCCATTGACCCCCACTGGACTATCTTGTATTGGATCTTCCTGGAAGGTCTTGTTGACAAGGCTAGGAACCTCTTTGTAAATCTCCATAACAACCTGAATAAACTTTTCAACACGGTTCAGGAGCGCCACCTTGTAGGTCTTAAACAAGCCAGTCAAGACTCTCATTGAGAGTACTCCGTTTTCCTCATTGTCGTTTTGTAAAACGTCCATTAGCCTTTCTAACACTTCTGGCGCCCAGCTGGAAAATGCTTCATTCAACGCGCATCTGTTAAGCGCCTCCAACGACATGTTGCGTAGTTTATGCTCTATTGAGCCACTGTCAAACGACACTGGTACCGAGCTGAGTTCATTAAGAAATACCGGTACGGTCTTCCTGAGAAAAGATTCATAGTCCGGTGATGAGCTTAATGGTTCTATGATGTCACACAATTCGGACAGACCCTGGTATCGAGATGCCATGTCATCTGCACTATTGGTCATATTTGACACAAAGTCGTCAATTTGGGCCACAAATGACATGACTGTAGCCCTTGTTTGTTGAAGTTCCGTTTGACAATTGGTTAGCGGTTCTAGTCGTGGTTTGGTTTTTCCAAATTATGAAAACCTTCCCAGACCCGTTTCCTATTCGTGCAAACGTACTTTCCTAAATAGGAAATTTTACCAATCACATGATCATCATGACAGATTGGTGGTCAAAACATCAAAACGTCCCACTTCGTTCAAGAAAGCATCGAGAATCCCATTCGTTAGTTGCAAGCTTTTATCGTTATGTATATACGTACCTATACAACATTGAACATTCTTATCCAACTAAAAGTAAACTTAAAAGTCTCTGTAGGCTTCTTGCTCCAGAACTAGCTGGGGAATTGTGCGAGTATACCGGAAAAATCAACCAACGCCAGTCCAGCAGATGGTACAGACAGCTAGCCAAACATCCAATGATTTTATCTTTTAGATATTAGAAATTTCGCGAGCCAGGACTTCGACATCAGACTTTTTGGTCGAGTGTAGGTTTTCAGAGGATTGACTAGGAACAGCGTCGTCAGAATCGCTTTCATCGAAACCCATCCTGCCTTCCCAACCGTGTTCGATTAAAAAGTTGTGGAAGTCGATATCTTGTCTCATCAGGTCATCCTCTCTCAAGTGTCTGATCAAGAAGGTACTGACAATAATGCCTGCCAGCCCACAAAGCGCGGCAATGATAAAAGTCCAGCGTTTGCCTAAATTGTCTCTGATTGGCGTAAAACATTGCGTACCTACCACGGCGCCGACTTTACCTAAAGCGGCGCTCAATCCATAGCAGGTCCCGCGTACCGCGGTTGGGAATGATTCACTTGACACGACTCCCATCATGTCACCGGGGCCCGCGTTGGCCATGCCATTCATGAAACCATAAAAGATGATAAAGAGTGGAGTGATGCGTGATAGCTGCTCAAAAGCGCATCCGATAATCAAACCAAAAATCAGGTATCCGCTGAAACCAAAAATAAGCGTATATTTTCTACCAATTCTATCGCACAAGTACGCACCGACAAAACACCCAGGGACGGCGATTATACCGAGGAGTAGATTCCAACCAGCCACTTTTTTCAAATCATTGCTATCTTTCATAACGGAGCTGATGATCTGACTGGAGAATATTCCATTAGGGAAAGTGACGAAATCATACAGAAACCACGTACCACAAGTCCCTAGCAAATCCTTCCAGCAGTACTTGATAACAAGCCAGTAAGGAACCGTAGATTTGAAGGTACCCTTTTTGTAAAGCGTATTGGTCGTCATTTTCCACCGGAAATAGAACACACTCAAGGGCCAGAAACATCCCAAAGCGAACAAAGTTCTCCAAACCGCCTCCAAATGGTTCCTGCCACAGATGGAATACACGATAAGGAACACGATGTTAGCAAATGGGCCTCCGAGAGAAAGCGGCAAGTTGGTGACCAAAACCATTATCCCGCCGCGTCTCTTCGCGCTGTGCTCGTTGGCGGCTTCGTTAGCGCTCACAGAACAGCACGGATATTCCGCACCAATACCAAAACCCGTGACACCGCGCATTACGGTCATCATCCAGAACATACCGTTTAATGTTCTACCATGAGAAGCAGCACACAAGAGAGTCCCGATTACCAAAAGCAAGGTTGCAACGAGAATGGACCATTTGCGGCCCATGTAGTCACATGCAATCCCGACGAAAACCTGTCCCAAAATGGTGCCAACCAACGATGCATTGGAAACTCGCGTCGATACTGTTGACGAGTAAACCTCTTTACCGTATTCAATGGGGAAAACTTTGTTTAACATCGACATGACGTTATTTTGGTATCCATCGGAAATTAGGGCAAAACCGGCAGCTACAATAGTGATAATATTCACCAATCTCTGCTCTCTCGAGCCGAAAGTTCTTTGTCTTCTAGCATCAGCGTCATAGCTGATAACGCGGCCAGACTCCGATTTCGTTGCTGTAATTTCCATTATCGCAGTAATTCTTAAAATGCCTAAGATCTCGAGTTTCTTGGGCAGGGTGAAACTTAAAACCAAGCAGCATAATTTTGAGGTACCAGAAAAACCCAACGTTTATATATTCCGCCGCACAGGGTTTTTCGTATTGAAACACGCCAACTCCTTTTTGACAATATATTGAGTTAGACCTTAATGCGACACATGTTCATACTAATTAACATTCACCAAAAACTAAAGAGGCCGCCACCCATCCACACGGCCTCCTCATAATCAAGTAGAGTAAAAGAGTGTGTTGCAAGCAAGATTTGATGTCATGTTGGCTGCATCACTACAGATTTGTTATTATTATCATCCATGTGGGCCTTGTCGTGCGTGCCTGAACAAATTTTAATTATTGACGACGACGGAGTTGGTGAGGCGGGATTCTTGGCGAAAAAAATATTCTACGCGATTCGCTAAAAAATGTGCTCCAGGGGAGGTTCGAACTCTCGACCTTCAGATTATGAGACTGACGCTCTTCCGACTGAGCTACTGAAGCAAACACTGGCTTCTGAGTTGAGTATGTGCAAGCCTAGCCCACAGGCTTGTGTCGATTATCTGTCTCCAATAGACACAAGTGGGGCACGAGAAAGTTATCACTAGACTATTTCTTATTCTATTTCATTATGCTACCTCCTGATACTAGCTCCATGAAATCGTGATTTACCTTCTTGACTCCATTTCTTGTAACATCTGTGTAATATTCATTTATTTCATGAAATTTATAATCTTCACGAAGAGCTGCCTTTTGAATACAAACGTTTATCATTAGGTACTTTTAAATCGAGGCGACGAGGCCCACTGCGAGGACAAACAGTGCTCCTACCACCGTGGCTGATATGATCCCCTGCGAATTTTTTCGAATTAGAGGACGCACCTGATTTGCGCCATTACGTACGGTGGAGGTGACAGTGCCATTGGATGACGAAGTTGTCGTCGTTCGTCCAGAATAGGAAGTCTCGTAGAAGGATCTTCCGGTGAAAATAACTCCGTCCGATGAAATGAATGCAGTGAACTGGTTGACTAGTTGCGACGTAGTGGAACCGCTGTAAGTGTAAGACTCGTAAAGTGTCAAATAGCTGCTATCTGTCAGATTGTTGGTTGTCGCAAATGGAATGTAGCTTGATCGGATCGCCGACGGATTGTAGGAGCGCGAAGGCCCCGACGTAATTGTTTGGCTCGCACTGCCGGTCTGGTATGTGGTTTTTGAAGCAGAACTTGCAGCCAACAAGGAGTCGTCAGAGAGATGAATTATTTTGGCCTGTGCCATCGCAATTTGATTGCTCTCTAATTCCGCTGCGAGGTAAACATTTTTCAAGAATGGTCCTCCCAGAATGTTGAAGCCAGTCATCGTATTCGGGAACATCCTAACAAAACAAGCTTCCTCACCGTTGGAAAAACGCAGCGTCGAGTTGGTATTGTCATCGAAAGCCTTGTCTAGTAAATCATCGAGGGGAACTTTGATGACCAAATTGCCAAATTCGAAAAGTATCGAAGCGCCTAGACTGCTCACACCGCACGCGACTAACCACCTCTCTTGAGACTCAACGTAATAGGCGTTGATTTCGATCGCAACTTGTACGATCAAGCTCAGAGGTAAATAACTGTAAGTGTATCTGGAGTCGAGTAAAACCGGCTCGATGAAGGAATCTGAGGTTAGATTGAGAGATTCTCCAGAGCTGGCCTGAACGCTAACCTTCGTTAACGGAACAATGGGGAATCCATATGAGACCTTTAATGTGTTGACGTCGTAGAAAGGTAACGTGTCAAACTTCACAAAGTCTCCAGTGTATAGCGATTGGTCAACGCCTCCTAGGATCAAACTCCCGCAATTGTTTATGACGGGATCGCTACTATAGTTGTAAAAACTGTACTCGCCTCTCCCCAGCCAGAGGGAGAAAGAGCTCGTGTTTATGACATTGTTTTGAACCAGTTGCTCAAGGAAAAAGAAGGAAGTGTCGAAGTTAGCGCTGTCGCTGTCATAGCCTGTCAAGGAGACCTTGCCTGCAAGTCCCAACGCACCTTCATTGACGTAATACGACGATTCTGCGCTAAAGAAAGACATTTTTCGAAACGGGAGACCAGGCCCCGCAAAAGTCCCAGAGATATTGGTATCGTTGTTGTGTTCTTCGAATGTGAATGGCGAAGTGTCACCGGTTACGGAGGTGAAGTTCACAATGTCCTGCACTGCCGTTGCGTTGTAATAGATAAAATCCGGGAACACCATCCGATAAGTCCTGTTGTCATTCAGCACATGCGCAGTCGAGCTGTCCTCAGTATAGAAAACGGTTTCCGCGTCGCAAGCGCCGGCTTGGTCGCTATATTCGTCGTACGCCGCGTCGGTGGAGTTACAGGCTTCATAAGAATCTCCAGATGGGACCCACATGTATGGCTGTGCAAGGTCCACACGGAGCATTTGATGTTGTCCCGGGGTACCTATCGAGGCGTTGACATAGAACAACAGAGTATTGTCCCGTCCCACGGTCAATGTGGGAAACGCTTCACTAACATCAAAAGTCGAGGACGTCAACGAGGAGGAAGACAAAGTGCTGTTTCCCAACGTCTTAGCCACTATGCAAACCAAAACGCCCAAATATCGTAACATTGTCGTCGTTCGGTTACCTTCGGCTACTAGCCAATGCCACTGCTAGCTATTTTATTTGACTTTGGAGAGTTGTTCGGATTCGACGGTGATGTCGATGATGATGAGCTTTCTTAGTGTGAAAATTGACATATAAATTATATGTCAAATAACTAAACAGACACCGTCAAGACAAAAGAACCTGATTTCGACGGTGGAAACATGACTGAAAATGCCTTGGTAAGCGCCTAATTATTTTCAAGCTCCAAGCAAAATACAGTATGTGACGAGATGTAAGTCGGATTGCGTCGTTTATTGCTTTCCATCTAATTGTAACTAGAACCGTGGTATAAACTTCAGTAGAGAAACCTTGAATCGAAAGGCCAGACAGGGGAATCTTCTTCAAAAAGCTGGCAATTAGAAACACGTTTGATTTCTGTGGAATTCAACTCGAAATGTGATGGTTTGATACCGAATGCCGGCACAAACGTGCATCGTGATTAATTTTCAAGCATTTTCTTGTTCTAGGAACGGCTTCCGATCTGAAATGAAAATATCTGTAAACACCATAAATTCGATGGCATTGGTGGCAGACAAATGCAGGGACTCAATTCTAGCATTTCCAGCTTGTCTCTGAATCAAACGAACGGACTACAGGGTTCGACAGCGAGTTCCAAGAAAAGCAGGAGACCCAACAGAGCTTTCCATCAATTGGGCGAGACAAGCACAGTCCAAGAAAGTCCAAAACTGTCGTTTGGTGCTGCCAAGCCATTTGGTACCAGTGATGGTGTACAAAATGGCTCAGCAGGTATCGATGTAGCGAGTTCGACCGTTTCCTCCGTGGTTTCGCATTTCGTGCCTACTGAAAGGCTCGAAGATCAACAATCGTTCATGAACAAGTGCTTTGTCACGTCACAGGATAGTATTCCGCCGCTGTCTGTTTCGCAATTCTACTCCTTTGACCAGGGAAGCAGCGATCCCCGTAAAATGCGCTTGACCATGTACAATATCCCACATACCGAATATCTTCGATCTGCGACAAAATTACCATTAGGCGCTCTTTTACAGCCCTTCGCAACTTCTATTCCCTCGGACGACATCCCAGTCATTGATTGTAGCACAGATTCAGGTCCTCTGCGGTGCAGGCGTTGTCGAGCCTACGTGAATGCAGGGTTTTCTTTCACATTCGACTCAAAAGCAGTGTGCAATTTTTGTCAGGTGAGCACGCGATTAGAGGAGCACCAACAAGCACCATTGAACCCGGATGGCACTCGTTCTGATTTTGCTGAACGGCCAGAGCTATCAAACGGTACAATCGAGTTTCTTTTGCCCGAGCAGTACAATGCGATCAAAGATATGCCAAATCTTCCCTTGCATTACGTCTTTTTGATTGACATCTCAACTCTAGCGAATGAAAACAAAAGTTCTCTCGCCATGGTCGAAGCAGTGCGAACGTCTATTGAGTACATCGCCAAAAATCAACCCCAATGCAAAGTTGCCATTATCGCTTACGATAACAAGATCAGATTCTTCAATTTAAGGCCTGAAAACTTTCAGGCCCAGGAATATATTGTAAGCGACCTTCACGAAACTTTTCTGCCTATTTACAATGGCCTATTTGTCAGACCCGAGGAGTCCATGCATGTGATTCAAGACACGCTCTCCAAACTCACCACTTTCATAGAGGACGAAAAGTTTTTCCACAAATTTGAAGCGTGCTATGGATCCGCCTTAGAGGCAGCAAAATTGGCTCTTGACACAGTCACCGGTCGTCAAGGTGGTAAAATAGTGGCATCTTTATGTTCGAAACCTATAGTTGGCAACGGCAACCTTCGACTAAGGGCAGACGATGCCTTGAAAAAATCATTGAAGTGTGAAAACGAGTTTTATGCCAAGCTCAGTCGCGATTTGCTATCCTCTTACATTTCTGTCGACTTGTATTGTACCACGTCTGCCTATGTCGACATGATATCTGTGGGACAACCCTCGCTCGTCACTTCCGGAAAGGTCAAATACTACCCGCATTTCAACATAGATCGGGATGAATTCACGCTTGTCAATGATGTTCTGAATGGAATCTCGACTATTGTAGGGTATGGAGCTCTTGTCAAAGTTCGCTGTTCTTCAGAGCTTTCGATCTATAATTATTACTCAGAATCCTGCAACAACTCGAACCACGAACCAACGATACCCGTTCTCAGTAAGGACTCAAATTTGACTGTTCTTTTCAAGTACGACGGACAATTGCCGGTCTCAAAAGACGTGTATTTTCAAGCCGCTGTTCTGTATACTGATATCGAGGGCCAACGTCGTGTCAGATGTCTGAACACATCTGGAGCTACAAGTGACAATATTCACGAGATTTTCAAATTTGTTTGCCAAGATGCTTCTTTAAGCATAATGGTTCACGACGTTATTTCGACGTTAGGTGATTGCAATTTTGTCAACATCCGCAAGCTCATTGATGGCAAAATTTGCGATGTTCTCACACAATATCGTGCTTTAGTGTCGACATCTCCCTCCACTCAGTTAATTCTTCCGGATTCTTTGAAAACTCTTCCGGCGTTTTTGCTGGCTTTCGAGAAATCTGAGCTCATGAAAAACAACAACAAGACGTCGCATGGAAACACTAGAGTTCACGATCTTATGTTGTACCACACGATGACACCGGCCCAGATGTCTCTAAAATTATACCCACAAATCATCCCGCTCCACGAGCACCTTTCAGAGACAGATCTTACTTTTTTCGATGAAAACTCAAAACTGCTCCAGATCACCCCATCCGAGAGCCTTTCAGTGCGGGCAAGTAGGGCCAGTTTGGTCGATGGGGGTTGCTATTTGATCTGCAATGGTTCGACGGTTTACTTGTGGCTCAACGAAAACACCAATAGGTTCTTGCTGCGCGACCTTCTCGGGCTCGACGCGGAACAAAACGATTACAAGTCAGTGTTGCTGTTCGCCAACACGCTGCCCACGCTCGATACCGACATCAATGTCAAGGCTCGCAATTTGCTCCAAAATTGGTGCAACATCCTAAACTGCTGCTATCTGCCAGTCTTACCGCTGCGTCCAAACGTCGACATGTACTATTCTGGTGTTATGGAACAAATTCTCTGCGAGGACAAATCCATCGAGATGATCGAGAGCTACACAAACTATCTCGTGCATCTGCACCGCGCAATACAAGAGAAAATCGGTCGCGGGGACTACATAAAACCCAGCGCAGCGCGAGACCACGAGCATTTTTCTCAAAAGTTTATTCACTTTTAGGCCTACAAAGGATGGCTTATACACAAGTGTTGTCCTTGGTGAGGCAGCCATGCTATACCAAATTCTTGGCAAAGGATGCGAACTCTCGCGAGCATCAAGCATAGAAGCACCAATCACCCTGGCCTTTATATAGTAAACTCCGGCTGGACGTTTCTATATTTGTAGTGCGACGGAAAATGACGTTAGTTGATAGTCTTGCACGAACCAGACCGCATTTATAAGAAAATTTTGATAGATAACAGAGCGCGGAAGTTCACGAAATACAGGGTCTTTGCCAGATACGCTTGGGATAAAAGACTAATTTGAGAAGCTCGTAGCTGCAACCCTGTAGAATTGGCTATTATCAACGCCTAATTGGTGCAGTTTTGGCCCTTTTTCCGAAAGTTTTTTCTGTCTTTTACAAAAGCTAATCTTGAAAAGGAAGCGCCGACGGGATGATGATGCGCACAAACAGTGAACAGAGTGGAAATCGACCATATTCCTCAAACAATCCATTCAGGCTCGCGTCGATTGACAGCGATATACAATTGGACCAGCCAAATAAGGACACCTTCAGGGGGGTCTCTAGGAATGGGTCTTACGCGTCTGCGAACGCGTCCACGTACGCGAGGCCGATCGCACAACGTGAGAAATCAGCTCATAGCTTCGCGGATAACTTAGATGGCGACGACATCGTCGGATACTCCTCGCCTCGACCAATGAGTGCGCGAAACAGTTTTAGGTATGTGTCTTTTGGGAATCACGTGACTTTAATTACTGGTTGACATAATCAATTGATTTGTCGTTTACCCTGAGTTAGGCTCTCCTTCGCCATGTGAGAATCCGAGGCAACCATTTCGAGGTTTCCTTGGGATATTGTTCTGGGCTTAACTTGGATGGGACATTCTTTAAGTTTAAGAAGGAAAGCTTGTTTTGAAGTTTATCGAAATTGCGACTGTTTGGAAACAAGGCTTTTTAGGATTTGAATAACTCAGAGACCACAACGATCATTACTGATTTGTCACTCAAACAAGCATCTCTCTCTGTTACCTGACATTTATTGAATATACTAACTTTTAACCAATTTTGTGACAGTATGACACCGCCACCACGTCCTGCGTCAAACAACCCTTTTCTAGAAGATCTAGACAGCAACTCAGTCGCGAGTGGCGAAGAAAGTGAGCTTTCCAGCAGCATTCCAAGCTATCATGGGAATGGCGAAGACAGGACAAGCTATCCTACAGCTCAAGAGGAAAAAGCACGTTTGAGACAACAATATATCAAGCAGACCAACGTCTCAGAACCCTCAAGCGATCTGCCTCCTTCGTATGAGGAGGTTGCAGCGTCCGGACCCAAGAAAACCACATATCCACGCGAGAAGTCCCAGAGCACTGGCTACAAGTCGTCTGGGTCTCATTATTCGTCTAGGTCTGGCGAGAGACCGTCGCATCACCGCCAGCGCGAGTCCAAGGAGAGAGGCGAGCATAGTGCTGACCGTGACCACGATCGCCGCAGATCTAGTCGTCGGCGCGAGAGCGGAGGGGGTACGTCGCCTCATAAAGGCCACAGGACCAAAGATAAAAAGGGCAAGAAAGTAGTTCCACCCAAGAACGTTGACACTATCGACAAACTGGACGTCACGGGCCTCTTTGGCGGTGCGTTTCATCACGACGGTCCCTTCGATGCGTGCACGCCTCACCGCAACAGAAACAACAAAGTTGCGCCTGTCATGGCTTTCCCAGTTGACGGGCCCAACTCTTCCATATCTGGTGTTTCTAACAACAAGTCGGCCATGAACGAGGTTTTCGGGCGTGACGAAACGGAAGACGACGATCTATATGGGAAATCCAAATTCCGTCCTTACAACAACAATAGTTCCACCACTATTAGCGCAATCAAGCCAGATATGAGCGTTACGCAATTTGATACCAGTAAGAAAACTGAACTTGTACACGGACCTACCACGGTGGGACTCGGTTCAACGACTTTCCTCGACGGCGCTCCTGCGGCCCAATCTGCGATCAGGGAAGATGCATTACACCAAGCGCATGGCATTCAAAGGAAGAAATCCTTGAGTAACAGGCTCAAAAATGCTAGCGCTCATAGACAAGATCATCATTTGACTCCTCCGGATGGATACCGGCGAGAGCCCCTAAAGCTAGCAAAGACTCATTCAGGTCATTTGGAGTACGATAACAATGATGATGGCGAGGACGCTTATCTTGGGCTCCCCAACGCTGGACGAGACAAGAAAGAATCAACCGGTAACAAATTGATGAGAAGAGTAAAGAGCTTAAAAGTCAGCCGAAAAAGCTAATTTTGTTATAGTATAACACGGGTCTGAAGGAACTTCGGCCATGAGGTTCTCAATGCAAACATCATCTGCAGCAGAGACGACGAACAATTACAGAGAAGTCAAATGATGCAAGAGAAATGATTCTCAACCAGCTTTGCTTAGCTTCATAAATTCTTTTATTGTTCGTTTCGGAGCAATGTACACCGATTCAAGCTTCTGTATCACCAGGCAAATGTGGGCCTCAATTTCGAACTGCATCATTTTGGAGCTCGTGTCTGCGACAAATTATATATACAGGAACAAATATATTATAAGGGATCATAACGTCAGCTCATGGCTGGGCGCCTTGGAGGGCAGTCTTTTTTCCACTTGTGACCATTCGGTGCTTTCCCAAACCCTATCCAGATATTGCTGTTTGCCAAAGACACCATAGTCGTGAAGCCATGCTTTTGGTGAAGCATCAATGGCAAGAAGCGGAACGTAAACTATGTTCTTATATGCCTCCGTCTGCTTCGCCTCCTCGATGCTCTTGATCTGGAATGGAGGCGCGTCTGTGTCCTCTTCCGGGATGGGTTCTTTTTTGGCAAGCTGTTTTGCGAGATCATGAACATGGCCAACTCTGTTGAAATTGTGTGGAGACCCCACATTGTATGTGTTCAAAATGAAAAGCTTATCGAACTCAATGGCACCGGACACTCCGCCTGCATGCGAAGAGGAATGTTGTCTGGCCACCAACCATGTAAATCCATCACCGCTGATGGCCAAATTAGAGTTGAGAAGTAGAGTTCTGAATTCGACAATTGAACCGAACGAGTTTATCAAAGCTGCTCGCAAATCTGCGTTTCCAACTTCAGATGGCTCGTTTTGAAACTTTAAACTCAAGTCTGGTGTGTTCAATAGACTTTGGGCATCAGGCTTTTCGAGTAGAGGGCTTGCATTCCCATGTAGAGTGGAAAAACTGAATTTCAGGTTGTGAAGCAGAGATGCATAATTGAAAATATCCCTCTTTGAAGCAGATTTCGCACTTTCAAGAATAATGTTCTCTAGGGGCTTTTCATGGGTTTGACCAGTCAACTTATTAAGCTTTTCCGTATAGTATTCAGCTCTGTCGAACCATGCTGTATTGAGACCTTTCTCAGAAAAAAGACCCGGCAGACCTTTATCTTTTGACAAATGCTCAAATGATGGAACAATATATGACCTCGCGAAGGACCGAAGAGCAGGACGTCCCCTCAGCATTTTGAGCTTTGAGGATTATTTGTGTGTTCGGCATAGTAACAATTTTCTAAAATTTTTCATAATATATAGGAAGCCCGCCCCGATGCCTTACTGATCTAAAAAGACCAACTGCCAAGGCAAATCATCGGTCTCAATGACTGGCCTTCTGACAGGCCATTACGCAGTTATTGCGCAACTTACGGAAAATTGCATCCCTGTCTAATACTTAAGTGGACTCCATTTGATGAAATATGAAGAATCGCTGTAACTAGCTGCTAGCAATCTACGGCCTATTGGCAGTTGAGTTCAAGAAGGTCAATGTTTACAAAAACTCGTGAAACTGCTATCTATGCAGATTATGGACGTTTGTGATAAGGCTAATATAAGAAGTCAATGCAACTCGCATGGCCAGCGTGAAGAACTATATGACAAGATCATCCTTGATGTGATACTAGTCAATCCTTTAGCAGCACACTAGGGTTGAATGAGGAGACTGACAAATTGAAAACTCGAGCAGCCTCACTGAGAGCTACTTACTTTTGCGAATCTGAAAAACGCACCACACGGACATTTGATGCCAGGTGTTCTTCACAAAAACACCCTGCTAGTTTGTTACGTCAGAATCATGACCAATTGCCACGATAAAGAATCATTCAGCTTGTCGCCTAACAGCGGTATCGGTGTATCTCACTTACATTTTCTGGCTTTACGAAATGTAGCATCATCTGTTAATAAAACTATATATTGCTATACCTGCCTTTCTGTAATGTCCAAGAGCGCAAGTGGTTTAGTGGTAAAATCCATCGTTGCCATCGATGGGCCCCCGGTTCGATTCCGGGCTTGCGCATTTTTTTATATCTGTTTCCTTCATTAGCTAACGTAATAGAAATGTCAAGAATGAGACATCCGTCAGACCACGTGATTTGCGGACGCTCCGCCCTTAAGTCGCTATTCATGTTAACAAATTTGAAGAATTGCACGTTATGTGGGCCGACTAAGCAAACACTTGTCCTGTTCGCAAGCACGATATGATCTAATAGCTGAACTTCGTCTATTCGGATTCTTACGCTAAGTACACTTTTAGTGATTTCTCACGGTCTGGATTCGCACCAGAGCTGATCTTGAGTTCATGCAACATCGTAAAACGTTACATCTATGTTCCTCGAGATCGAGCCGCTTGGAAGAAAAATCCTAGCACGTTTGCACCCATAAAATTCTTTTTTTTCCCACACAGCGCGCAGCGCAGCGCTGTGCAACGAATGAGAACCTAATTGCACCCTTATGCAAGTGAGTGTGTGAGCACAGGTGTCGACGACGCTACGATGTCTTCTACGATGTCTTCTCAATGAAATGATTGTTGATAGGTGAGCGATTCCGACTTGGGTGCAGGGTTTGGCAAACTTGAGCAGCAGCGTCTCAAGCCAGGCAGTTATTTAAGTGTTCGAACAAGAGCAATATAAGAGCAATAACGTGGGGCGTCTGCTGAAGCGTAAGATAAGCTTGAGACTACTGTCGATTGTTCAGGGTCCCAGAAAGAGCCTGTGTTGAACGAACTTTTTCTTCTTCTTCTCTCTCGTTTATCGAATTTCGTTTAAACTGCAAAAAGACGGATTGCGTAAGCGATGGGGTCCAGTAACAAAGTGTTTAACGTCGCGGTGTTCTTCGTGGTGTTCAGAGAGTGTCTCGAAGCGGTGGTAATTGTTTCCGTGCTGCTCTCGTTTTTGAAGCAGTCCATTGGGAGCCAGGACATGGCCGTGTACAAGCGACTTCGACTGCAGGTTTGGGTCGGAGTGGCAGCGGGCCTTGTCATCTGTTTGGCGATCGGTGGTGGGTTCATTGGCGCGTACTACGCACTGGACAACGATATTTTCGGTAGCGCCGAGGACCTCTGGGAAGGTATTTTCTGCATGATCGCTACGGTGATGATCTCTGTCATGGGTATTGCGATGTTGAGAGTGAACAAGATGCAGGCTAAATGGCGTGTGAAAATTGCACGTGCCCTCGTCGAAATTCCAGAGCGTAAAAGAGACCGGTTCAAGATCGGCGCACTCTCGAGAAGATACGCGATGTTTTTGTTGCCATTTATCACGGTTTTGAGAGAGGGGTTAGAGGCTGTCGTTTTTGTTGCCGGCGCCGGTATCACCACCCAGGGTTCTAGCGCCACGGCTTATCCGCTTCCCGTCGTGGTCGGACTCATCGCAGGGTCGGCGGTTGGGTTCGTCATTTACTACGGAACATCTCAATCGTCCCTGCAGGTGTTCCTGGTGGTGTCTACGTGCATCCTGTATCTGATCTCTGCGGGTCTGTTCTCCAGAGGCGCGTGGTATTTTGAGAACTACAGATTCAACAAGGCCACCGGCGGGGACGCCTCTGAATCTGGCGACGGAAACGGCTCTTACAACATCAGAAAAGCCGTGTACCACGTCAACTGCTGCAATCCAGAGCTCGACAACGGGTGGGACATTTTCAACGCACTGCTTGGCTGGCAGAACACCGGCTACTTGTCTTCGATGCTTTGCTATAACATTTACTGGCTTGTGCTTATGATTGTGCTGTTCCTGATGATGTTCGAAGAAAAAAGAGGCCACTTGCCCTTCTGCAGAAGTCTGACACTCAGACAGCTGTCGCCATCCTACTGGATCAAGAACAAGAAGAAGAATGAGCTCACGGCCCGCCAGAGACACGAGCTGTTCGAGAAGGTTGAGCAGCTGGAGTTTAACGACCAAGGCATGATCAACGAACAGAGACGGGTAGAGGCTTCCAGCTGAATTTCCCAACACGGTGTTTAACTTACTCAATTACGTAAAGACTTAATGTAAATATGAACTCTAATTCGGCTGTTATGGATATCATGGTTATGGATACTACGGATGCGGGCTGAGTTTACCCTACTCATTTTCACAACCCCGCGAGCATTGAGACGCATTGAGGTCCACAGAGCGAGTCACTGAGCGGACCAGTACGTCAGCGTCTATTAAAGGTTCGGGCTTTGAATCCCCGCCTACCCAACTAAGCTAAGCCCTATCTTACCTTATCAACTAGCCCCAGCTCTGGCCCAGCTCTGGCCCAGCTCTTACACTCCGCGCCCTAGGGGTTCCCCCTAGGGCTCGATGCCAAAAGAAAGAAAGGAGAACTTCGTTCAAACCAGCCAGGGTCCGAACCGCTGCGAGCCGTTTAGATTTGCGTCTAGCCCTTTTTTTCCCCGCCCGCTTAAACAGGGATCAAATGCGCGCCGGAGCCGAATTGGGGTTTCCATAGTGAGTCAACGCACGAATTGGGGTATTTGGGACTTGAGCCGAGGCTAGAATACACGGCCTGGATCTAAGGGGATTGTTTTTGTTGGGCAAGGGCTCGAAGCACAGAAGCGGCCCGAGCAAGGGGGGTGGGTCGGGGTTCAGCGGTTAACTGAACACCCATACCCCGTGCGTGTTGGAGGCGGTTTTGTGTCTCGAGCGAAAGCAAAAAAGCCATGACGCGGGGAGGGGAGAGTGGGGCTAGAAGAAATTCACATATATAAGTAAGGGCTATGGGCGGCTTGAGGAACTACGACTGAGTTTCCTACCAACCAGTGTAATTGTCAAAAATGCTAGTTGTATATAGTTCGAGCCCTTTGATTCCTATGTAGGTTTAGATTCAATTCAGTTGGTGTTTCGGTGCCGTCGTACAATAGATGCAATGCATGCAGGTGCTGCATGCATTTAGCAAGACGCAGCCAGCGATTTGCTTTAACGGCACGCGCTCTGTGAGACAGATGTGTGGGCGCCTGGGGTGTGAAGATCGGGGCAAACGGAAAAGTGGTACGATGTCGCCGCCGCCTTCGTCGGTGGCGATTTTTTTGGTCTTTTTTTTCTGGGAGGTTCGGTTCCAACGTGCAGGCAGACCGGCCCATCGCACCGCGACGTTCCGGACTGGAAAAAGAGAGAGGGCGAAGAGGGACTCGCGACAACCGGTTAATTTTCGGGCTAACAGGGTAGAGACAAAGATTTCGACCCTCTTTCACCAAAATACAAACAAATCTGCTGTACAGCCGTATAAGAAACAGAGATTCACGGTGCGGGTGAAGAGTAGGGTCTTGGGATTTGTTACAGTTTTCGTTGTGTAACTGACGCTTTCTCATAGGTGATTATTGTCGACGACCCGTTTTGGCTTTGTATTAGTGAGCGGATTTAAAAGAGAACAGAAACAGGAAATTTTGCACGAGCGCTGGGCGATCGGCGAGTTTCGAGAAATCCCAGTTTATCAACCCTGTGTTCCGTCTAATCGAGAGGGAACTCAGAGAGCGGTTTCGTAAAGGCCAACGAAGAGCAAGAAGCGTGGCAGCCGCGGTAATTTTTGGCGCACACTCTTTGCAAGTACATACTCTTTCAGACCAGCGAGACGAGCGAGACAAGCGAGAGGTGAGCATGGTGTTGATCAACGGAGTCAAATACGCCTGCGAAAGATGTATTCGTGGGCACCGTGTGACGACCTGCAACCACACCGACCAACCCTTGATGATGATCAAACCCAAGGGGAGACCTTCGACAACATGTGCGCATTGCAAAGAACTCCGAAAAAATAAGAATGCCAATCCCACCGGAGTTTGTTCGTGCGGGAGGCAGGAGAAGAAGAGACTGGCACAAAAGGCCAAAGAGGAAGCCCGTGCAAAGGGCAAAAGCCTGAAGGATGAAGACTGTAAGTGCGGGCTCGGCGAAAAATGCGTTTGCCACACGAGTCGCCGAGCGCGTCGTACGCCCTCGTCCAAATCCAAGACCGCTTTGTCCTCGGTACACTCCGTCGACAGTTCGTCCGTCTTAGGTTTCGATTCCTCAGATCATCTCGGCAAAGTTTTCAAAAATCAACAAAACCTACCGTCACTGACCTCGTTCCATTCATCGCAATCTCTGGACCAAGATTTCGCGCTGGCCACCAGCCCGACTATATCTACTGCCTACTCAAACGGTAACAACTGGGACACTAACTCCATTTCGAGCTCTCTTAGATCTGAGTCGAGGCTCAACATGTTGGACAGAAGCCAAAACAGTATTGGTTTGGACCCACTGGCGCACATGAAACCCGTCACGGCATCTACGCGAGTACGCGTGGGCGAAGTGAACGTTCCATTGGAAGAATACGTTCCACCTGACATAAACGGCATCGGGAACGTGAGCGACACGTCCGAACTCCCCAAAAATACTCAATGGAGTTCTTTTGAATCCGGCAATGGGTTGTTAGATTTGTTTGCAGACACTTCAAGGGCTAGTACAAACTACTCGCAGATGAAAAGCAATCATCATCAACAAAGAAAATCTTTGGATTTCCATACTCGTGATGGAGGACCATCTCCCCCGGACAATTTCACCCCAAATATGATGAAATCGAGATCATGTTCTCAACAAGAGCGCCCATTCATTTTCAAATCTAAAAGCACCCTTACCAATAACTCTTTGGATCGTGCGAGACCATCTATAGCACCCCTCAGAAGCGAGGAATCGTTATTGTCCTCTCAATATGGCGGTCCCTTGCACGAGCCGTTGCATCATTCCTATTCCAATCGGCAGTTTGCGCCCCAACTTGATACTGTACAAGATGAAACGCGATCTTCCTTCGATGGAGGACATGATAATGAAAGCGTTCAAAGTGTCGAGGTTCTTTCAATCACCCCAAGTTTCATGGATATCCCTGACAACAGTAAATTATATGCCCCAAGCTCTAACCCTTTCCTACCTCAACCCCCAGTCTCTAATCCTCGTAAACGATCGGTAAGCATACATCGAAATCATCGCTATGAGTCTGACAATATTCCATCGATGCAAAGGGTACCTTCAGATCGCATTCTGGATAGAAGTAATTCTAGTATAGCGAGCCGACGTGATAGGCAAGATTACTCACAGCAACGAATACCTCTTTCCAATTCTGTGAAAAACAATGATTTGGCATCACACCCTGGAAGTATCAACCCTACCATTTTGTCCAATTTTGACACCGTTGCGGGATCTTCCTCTAGTAAACCTTCGCCTCGTGGTGATAGCTCTTATGCCATCAAATTGTCAAACGACACATCTCCGGTAGACGATCTGAGCGACCGCCTTTTGGAGCCCACGTCCAGCATAACTTCAGAACTAGAACAAATCCTTGCATCGAACACTAATGATAATCAGCCCGCATTTTTTGCGCCGATGAATACTTTTGAAGCAACAGACATACCTTCTGATGATTCTCCTTTGCGCGCATCCAAATATATGACAACTCCGTCCCCTGGCCAATCAATGAATGACCTAAATTTCGCAGAACTCGATAATTTGATGACAGACTTGTGAATGGATTTTCTCTATTGCTCCAGTGGGAGTGTGTTCTGTAACTTTAAATCTCCTAATATATTGTTTGGTGTTTGTTTAAAAGGCTCGAAATCTGAAGGTGTTCGTTATGAGTTGTTATTCAATGTCATTAGGATGATTTCGGATTACATTTTCAATCTAGGCACGACTTTTCTGGACAAAAATCATGCGGGCTTACGGTTTGACGGAAATACTTGGGAAATGGTTATTGTCAGGAATCTCGGTTTACATTCATCCTGGTGGAATAGATTTATTAATGAGAATAATTAGTTTTATAGATGGTTTTCGTAATATATTCTTTTGATTGTTGTGATATTCTCATGATCTTCGGCATTGAGTTTTGTTTGATATGATGCTATAGTTTTTGCTCTAGGGGACCTTTATCACTGATATATAATGAAAGCTTATGTCTTTCTGCCCTTCCTTCATCTTACATCGATGCACTATAGCTTTGGCTGACACGAGACTGCGTGTCAAGCCAGAGAAGTTCTACTGCATGTCCTCGTGTCTCACTGGTTAACCGCACTCTGATTTAATTTAGTTATTTTGACTTAAAATGAGCCTCCGCCTAGCCGCCCGCGACCTGAGACATCGAGGCCACGTATAGTTCTTACCGTTGCCCACTAGTCGATCTAATATTCCATAAGGCTTGCTCACTGCTGTGTACGTGAACCCAGACACTGCTGTAGTGAGAATAAATCGAAAGAACACCATCAGCAGGAGATGTACTGGAAGACATAACTTATGTCATTAAATGAGGCTTCACGCTTCAGTAAATGATCATTCGTCTTTGCAAGAGCATCTCTATCCACATGATTCCAAGTGGTAGCATCACCATAAAGCATTGCACGAGGCTTTATAATTTGTTTGCCCTTTTTACATCTTTTGCACTGGTATCCATCGTGAGTATCGCAATCAGAATTTTGATTAAACTCGAAAAGCTGTTTTAAGTTCTCGTTGGAGTAAAGGCGCTCTACATCTTCTTTCTCGTCAACCACGCACGAACTCAAACTCATCTTCATCGACTGTCGTTGATATATTTTCTCCTCTATGGTGCCCGTGGAAATAAATCTGTAGATGAAACAGTCCTTTTTCTGACCATCTCTCCAAACTCTAGCCAATGCCTGTTGATCTGCAGCTGGATTCCAGTCGGGATCCATTAAAATCAATCTGTTGGCCCCTATGAGGTTTATACCGCATCCACCGGCCTTGGAACTAAGAAGGAAAATAAATTCTTGACCCTCCGGGTCGTTAAATCGGTCAACGAGTTTCTGTCTCTTATTGATGGCGAGTGTCCCATCCAGACGAATAACGCCGTAATCACAGTCCCTGCAAAGTCTTTCTATCATGTCCAGAGTTTGTGTATAATTTGAGATCAAGACAATTTTGTCATTGGACTGAGTTTTGATTTGATGCAAAAATCTCTGTAGAATGAGGAATTTGCTGGAGTATTTGATTTGCACCGATGAGCCTCGTTTGCTGTAGGTAAAATCCTGATAATCTTCCGGCAGAAAATTCTCGGAATCCCGAATCTCATTGGGCAAATCCAAAAGAGCCGGATGGTTACAAAGCTTCTTCAGCAGTCCAATCGCTTTAAGAGGTTGTTGTTTTGGCTTATTTGTGACGAGGTCCTTCACTTCTCTCGACTTTAAGAAATGGGCATAAAGTTCTTTTTGAAGCGGACTGGGATTCACAAAAATTACATGCTCATATTTGCAAGGAAGGTATTTGGATAAAATGTCGTTGGTCCGCCTTATAATGAACTTCGACACCACCGTAGAGAGCTCCTGCAACTTAGAATTCCCAATCGTTACTTCCGAATCAGTCGCACAAGCATCTCGGCCGCGTAAAATTGGCATTTCGTAGTTCTTACGAAAATCAGATTTCGAGCCAAGTAATCCGGGGTTGGAAAAGTTGAGAAGGGCAAAGTATTCGGAAAGATCATTTTGAATAGGGGTTCCGGACAGAATTATACGTCTCGGGCATGCAATGCTGTTCAGCGAAGTGAAAGTCAAAGAATCGGCATTTTTCAGGCGGTGGCCTTCGTCTGCTAACAGAAGTCCCACTTCACAGTTTTTAAGATGTTCGACATTACGTCGAAGCGTTTCATAAGATATGATCAGCACGGGCTTAACAACGTTACGACCGCATGCTTGTGCCCATGTTCTGACCGCCTGTGACACAGTACCGTTGTTGAGGGAGCTTTTCTTGCCATCGACGGCCAATGACGGAAGAGTGTCCCTCCCAAGCCATTTCACGATTTCGTTTGCCCAATTGTTTACCAAAGAGGACGGACACACGATAACGCATTTATCTATGGTTTTTTTACCCTGCGGACCCTGTCGCAACAGTGTCCACATCAGTGCAATGCATTGTAAGGTCTTGCCCAGTCCCATCTCGTCGGCCATAATGGCTCCGTAGGCGCCCTTGTTTTGCTCAATTTTTTTGGGGGCTGATGCGGGTGAAGGCACCATGGCGGCGTCTTCCGTCGCATTAGAGACAATCGCTTGCGCGACCTCGAAATCCTTCATTACAAGACCCGTCACGCATCTGTACAAGAAACGAACACCTTCGACTTGATGCGGACGCAGAATCTTGGCTAAAATTGGATCTATTACGACCGGAACATTGGCGAATCTTTTCTCCTTTTCTGGGTCGCCCAGCAACTCGCGAAGACTCTTGTTTGGAACACCATTGGAAAGCATTTTTTTGGCAGCAGCTTGCGAGGCCGACAAGCCGGCGGTTTGGGTTTGTAATTGCGTCGCGGTCGGTGACGCGGCGCGTGACGTTGGGCTGCTCTTAATGGGGGGCGGTGGCGAGGCCCGGAGCGTTTCCTGTGAGGGCATAGTAATCTCGCCGTCGACGGTCGGATCGAAAAGCACAATGGCAAACTCATCGGTCGGATCGTGAAGCGGCCGTGGTTCCATGACAATTTTGGGCTTGGTGCCCAGCGCGCGGGGCAAATTGTGACGGCACACGTAGTTCCGGATTGGAACTGTGAACGACCGTCGAAGTACGGTCTCTATCTGGCCCAGCCGCGCGGGATCGCCAGAGAGCCGACGCGCTGAAAGCGCGTCGACTCTCTTTCGGAGAGACCTGTCGCGGTCTTCGCCAGTGTTGCCGTCGAAGTCATCGTCATTGTCATCTGCAGCTGGAAATTCTTCGTAGACGTAGGTCACGGGCCGTTTGCGAGCGGTGCGTTCTCGCACCGCGGTCGTGCGTGCCGAAGTCTTGATCGGTACCTTGAAGGGTTGCGTGAGCTTTACGCGCGCAGCCTCAATATTCAAGGGCTTTGGCGCCAGTGACGGCCGCTCACCGGCGCCTATCCCATTCGGAGGTGCATTCGGAAGCTTGCGTCGGGCCATGGTCGATGTTTGTCCCGGGATAGGACACGAATGGAGGGGGCATCGCGTTCTTTAACCACAACACGCGACGCGTAAGCCGTGGACAGTGAGAGCATGAATATCCGGGTAACCTAAACAAAGATCACGTAATCTCCATTTTTGCACCTGACCATCACGGGTGAGCCCAAGCAAGTCCAAGCGGCGATGGCTCCACGCACAAAGAGATATACTCATGAGTACTGGCACCAGGACTGGGGATGGGTAGCCTCGGGTAGGCCTACCCGTGAATCTCACGAGTACGATACATATAATGTGATAAAGTCTACCCGTGATTGCGCGGGTAGATGTATCTAGTCTCTGTCGCTGTGCAAGCAAAAGCTGGGCAGTAAAGTTGTACTGCGCTATTAATTGCGTCCAGTCTTAGCTCCCATCTGAATTGCCAATGGAGTGTGCTCACTAACTGTAAGAATCTTGATCACTGAAGCTGTCTTCGTCAAGAGAGACATCAGACATGTCGTCTTCCGCCCAGCTGGCCTCTTCGATCGACGTGATATGCTTGAGCTTCTCACGAAATCCAAAACACTTAAGGCGGTTTCTCAAGACCATTGCTCGCTTAAGATTCGCGCTAGATAGTGAAAATCGCCCTTCGATAGCTCTCTTACTGATTGAATAGCATCGTTCTACGTCAACCGTGGATAATTTGGTATAGTAGAAAGATAACGCCAAAGAAGACAGTCGTGGAAACTTTTCTCTGTTAGCCATCCAATAGTGGATAAAATCGAATCGAGAATCGAGCGGTTCTTGATTGTAGATCTCCCATTCAAGTAATGTCCGGCGCTCAGGTGGTGTGCTTTTTAGTAGTCCAGAGAACTTGTTGAATGATTTGAGCTTTTTCTTGGGCCTCCTTTCTTTCCCGGGATATGAAGTTCTTGCATCGATGTCTGTGAGATCTGTCGGGATGTTCAAGTTATGTTGACCAAAATAGTAATTGACATAGTTTGATGCTTTGCTGATTATAAGCTTCTCTGCCTCCGGGTCAAGAATTTTGGATATTGATTGGGCCTTCATATCTGGTCTCAATATGTGAGCAACCCAGTATCCTATCTGTGCACTGGCAAGATTATAGTACTTTTCGAAAAGCGACCTTGACTCGATAATCGTTGACAAGATATTTGATCTTTGCGCTTCCTCCACCGCCTCAAGGTGCTTGAGCTGAATACCTGCAATTGTCAGATTTTCGTCGGAAACATCACCGCTTGAAATTAGAGAGCATGCTTCAAAGTACTTGCGAAGCAAGGTGTAAAACTGTATGCCATTGGGGAGATTGTTCAGCGCGTCATCTTGCATATCCGTTGTTAAGTCGGAAAACACATTAGTGAGTCTTAGAAACAGCTTTAAAGGATAGATCTCTGCTGGTTCATAAAGGAAAAGTCTGCTGTCCTCTTTTTTGAGCTGAAACTTTCTATAGGTGTAATTCTTAAAGTAGAACTGCCTGAGAGAGTTTGTGAGATTCAAAAAGGACGACAATTGCTTATGGCGGGACACAAACCGCGTTTCATTATGTTTCGGAATTGCTTTCCTAGCGTAACTTTTGAAGTAATCACCCAGAAAAACGTTGTATTTGATCTTAGAAGTCAGTTCGTCAATCCTTTGAAGGAGCTCCACATTTTGTTTCTCAAACTTTTCAACAATGTGTCTAAAAATTGTGTTAAGCACATGGTTCAAGCAACGAATTTTTATGATTCCTCCTTCTTCATTAACTCCATCTCCAATTAGCTCGGGCTCGATTTTATCAAGCATTGCAAGGTTGTTTGTAGCATTGTCTATCGTGACACTCGCGACTTTATGTTTGAGTGAGTAGTGATCCAGTGTATCACATAAAACCAGACCCAAATAGTCTCCTGTGTGGCGGGAAGCGCTTACATCATGAAAATCGATGATGTGAGTATTAGGAAACCCTCGGCATATGACGTCCTTTCTTTGGGAGTTTTGATTGAGATGGTCCAAGTTTGGACAAAATGATACTGAAATGGCGAGATAGCTCTTACTAACAGCAGAAGTCCAAATATCCAGCAGGATATTGATTTTTGAAGTCCTTTCCAAGGTGAACCTCAGCTGCTTGTCGAATTTGTCGTGATAGTTCGTAATTTCTTTCACCAGTGCTTTGCCAGAAAAAATGAATTGGTCGCTGCTTCGGTCAGGAGCAGCAGCAATCAATTCACGAAAGGACTGGGACTCCACTAAGCTGAACGGTAGCAAATTGTCAACAAAAAAATTCAGTTCCTTGGTCATCGCTGGATTCCGTTTGTAAAAGTCAATAAGGCTAGCGCATAATTGAAAGGGCTTTCGAGCTTCAGAAATTACGCTCTTCATGCTTGTAAGTTCGTTTTGCTTGGGATGTATTTTTGAGTAAAACTTGTCATAATCGGAGCTATGATTTGTTTTGAGGTGCTTCACCAAATTAGAAGAAGTGAGATTTCTGCTGAAGCTGAATACCTTACGGCAATGATCATACTTGCACTGCGCAAAAGGTTCGTTCCCGCTATGCTTCGTGAACCAGATTCTGAATGGAGATGCCGACAGCCAGTTCTTGAATTCCTTGGCAATTACCTCGTCGGAAAGCGTTTGACTTGATTCGTAGTTTTCGTTTGGTATTTTGCATGGATTCATAGAATATTCATCGAAATCAATAGCATTTCGGTTTGTGAAGACAGCTTCCACTTGCTTCATTTTCCGTTGCAGGGCGTCTCGAGAATCTTCGTCAATTGATTGACAACTACGGTCACAGTCAGACGGCTCAGATATGGAACGATGGTAAAAATCCTCGGGTTGTAGAGTCGAGTCGTGATGCACACGGTCTTACCTCAAGGTTTCTGCTCGGCAGCCGCTGATTTTCCGTAAAGTAGAAGATGAAGGCCTCCTAAAATTGAATTGTTGGTGCTGCTGGTGCAAGGTCTCATTTGACGGGGAATCCAAACTCTCTTCAGAAGAAACACCACTTGTTTGTTCCTCCAATTCGACGGCATCCCTGTGGTTCTCATGGAGATGCATATTCAACAAGTCATCGCTGACCGAGTTTCCCTCTTCATCATCTCCTGAATTGGCCCTGGTGAAAGGGGCTCCACTATCGAAGAGCACTGCTCCGTATCTCCATGCAGTGTTTCGTGGTATCCGGAACCAAAGCTCATTCTTCCGTCTGCTGATCCGCTGGTGACGTGCCAAGTACGTTTAGAAGGTTTATAAGACCAGAGTGTTCGCGCCGGTGAGAAATCTTGTTCATGATCAAAACGAATTCTACCCGCGGCTACCCGCCGTTTGTTTACCTTCTTCGAAGGCTACCCGTGAATCTCACGGGTATTATACGTACACTGTGATAAAGTCTACTTGTGTGCAGCACTGGGGACGAATCACGAATCCGGTGGACGAATCCTACCGTAAAAAGTGCTAGAGGATTCGAATCAATTCGTAAAAAGCTATTAAAAGCACAACGAATCCGGCACGAATCCGGCAACTTAGATGGACGATTCATCGGCCACGTATTTTATCAAAAATAAGAATATTTACGCGTCTCTTTCGCATTCTCTCCTTTCACCATGTGTTACTTTCAATCGCGGTTAACTTTCGCTTCGCTTAACTCACTACAATTTACAGTTTTCGATCAGGTAGGGAAAGAGATTATAGAGAGCTGAATGGTTGTTTGAGAAAGAAGCAGTGCGCGGAAAAAAGGCAATCCTTTGGTGACTCCAGCTCCGCAAATACACTTGTCGACGACACCTTGGAATCATGCGATGGCTCCACTCATCAGGATGAAGATACCTTACGTCATTCTGCGTGCGGTGAAACCATCGAAGAAGACTTGCGCAATAGCATATCCGTGAGTGATAACGAGTCTGACACTCCCACCCTCGAGGAAGAACGTGTTATTGAACATGCTAGTCCTGAGGTTACCCAAAGGAGCTCTTCGGAAGCTTACGAGGGGGTTTTTGAACGAGGTTCCTCAATTGGTGCTCAACAGACAGTCAAAGAAACATCTGCTGCAAATGAGGCTTCAACAGTGGTTTAAACAGTGCAAATTCCTGCTGCCGACAGCCAGGAGAATCCAATTATATCACAAGAAATGTCCGGTCGCACTCTTCAACGAATCGGAACAGTTACTATTAACCATTTGATTACGCTACCCGCTCGGAATTGGACTATGCCAGCTAATTCGAGAAAGAGGTCACACGATGTTTCTCTTCAACCTAGTCAATATCATCATTACAGCAGCTCTGGTGAATCAAATGATGATAACAGTGACTTAGAGGGTAGAACCAGGGCTAGAAAAGGGATAGAAGAAAGAGCGTTCCCTGATTCCGAGTCAGCATTTGAAAAAAGATATGGTTTTAGTTTTGAAAGCTTTTCATTAAATCCTTTCAGTAAACCCTCTCTTATCTTGAATTCAAATCTAAAGGATGCCGATAAGCAAGTCATTAAAAAATTTAATGCTTGGCTGTCATTGTCTCCGTTTGGGATTTGGGTCACGAAAGTGGAGGATAACCCACCTTATGCTGTCTGCAAATTCGACAACTGTAGACACAAATTTACGTTGCATGGCAATCCTACTTCATCTAACGTTGCAAGGCATTTGAAGCGGCAACATAAAGCTGATTATGAGCTATACCAGAAAAAATTGAGCTGCAACCAAATAATGCTAGAAGCTTTCCCCTCTGTTTCTTCGAGTAACCAAGAGCCGTTCTCGTTTACTAGGAGATTCCTTCAATTCCTATCCCTCAATAAGCTAAGGCTTAGTCAATTAAATGTTTTCATTGAAGGATTCATGCCGTTCAGCTTGGTTGAATCGTACGCTATGAAAACATTTCTGAACTCTCTCAACACATCCGGTCGCCCGATTTTATTGTCAAGAAAAGC